TTGGAGATGATGGGGATGGAACATGGAACCTTCTGCATGAAAGGTAGATTTTCTGCCACTGATCTACAGCCCTCCCCTCTGCAAAGCCATTGGGATATCCATCCACTGGTTGCAACCATTTGAAGAAGCCATAAGAAAAAGAAAATAATAGGCTGTTGTGTTGATCCATTAAGAAAAAACCCACATTAAGGCAATACCTTTATTAAGACAAAATAAAATATTAAATAATAGTGAGCATTCATCCTGATACATTTGCACAAAGTTTTCAAGGAGGTCATACTGAATTTTTACTGAGCATTCATTCTGATTTGTTTTGGGGGAAGTTATATGATGCTGTATCAAGCAAGTGCTAACCCAAAATTTGCAGTGCTTTATCTCCATCGCTTTCCTTATGGCAAGAAGTTTGAAATTTATTTATTTTTAGTGGGAATGGAAAAACAGGTTTGTTAAGCAAGAACATCAAATCAGCTTTAATTGCAGAACCTGAATTTGTGGTATGCACTAGAATCCCACTTGCAAGCTAGCAGCAGTCTGGAAATGCCTTTAGAAAATGTTATTTGGAAGAGTCATACGCACAGTAACCACTTGTGCTAGTAACTGCTTTGGCAAAGGGCAATGTGATTCCAAGTTGTGGAAACCCAGTGAAATCAAGAAGACCCCAGTGAGTTTGTGTGCATGGATGTACATATGAAACATAAACAAGGACTGATTGAGTAATGGCCCTTTGTGGTTAATTGACAGCAGATGTCTTCCAATCATCTACTGACTTCAGAAGTCACCTGAATCTCTGCCTGAGAGATGGATCTAGATTTTCTCTTGCTGGATAGAGACAGGATAAAGTCCTCTCCAAAAGCCCCCTCAAAGGCCACGATTACCGACTGACGGAACTTCTTCTGCCCTACAAACACATAAAGGATGGGGTTGATGCAACTGTTGAAGAACGCCAAACTGGAGGCCAAAGGGATTCCCAAGAATAAAGCCATCTTGAGTTCATGATTTGCAGAACCTTTGGACATCTCTAGCAAGGAGAAGATGTGATACGGGAAATAGCAGATGAAAAACGACACTGTCACAGCTATGATGATCCTGAAAGGTTTGGTGGACTTGGTTAGACGTCTCCGTTTCATCCTGACTGCCACGATGCTGTAGCAGACCAGGATCACAGTGAAGGGAAAGAGGAAACCAAACAGGAACCTGGATATGATCATAGCTTTGTGCCTCATCCTCCAAAGCCTTCGGGTCTCCTCGGTATTGTAATTGTCGGACAGAGCAAAGTTATTGAAGCAGCTGGTGACGTTCCTGGAGTTCATTGCGGTGTCTCGAAAAATGAGGTACGGAGAGCTGATGATGAAAGCTGTGACCCATGTCACCAGAGCGATGCCATATGCCAGTTTTGTGGTTCGGTAGTTTCTGGACCACACTGGGTAAACGACCAGAGCACACCGATCCATGCTAATGATCATCAAGAGGAAGACACTGGCAAACATGTTCAGGAAGGCAATGGTGCTGTTCAGCTTGCACAGAAGTTTCCCAAAAGGCCAGTGGAAGCCCAGAGATGTGTAGGCGATGCTGAAGGGCAGAAAAAATGTGAAGACGAAATCCGCAATGGCCAGGTTGAGAAACCAGACTACGTTCACCGTCTTCTTCATCTTGAAGCCTGCAATCCAGATCACTAGGCCGTTCCCGGTCACCCCGAGGAGACAAGCAACACTGTAAATCACTATGGACAGGAGGTGCATGCGTTTTTGAAGGCCCAGATAGCGGTCGGTGTGAGAAGAGGTGGTGTTCTCCTGCCACCAGGTCAAATTAGACAGGAAGGTCAACGAAGAGCTGTTCTCCATTCCCAGTGAAGTATTCATCCTCCTGAAATCTTATAAAAATCATCCAAATATTTGAGAAAATAAACACTTTAGGAAAAGCCAATCAGGGAAGAAAATACAGGGTTAGCTATGTTAGTTACTGCAACTGTCTGCAACGTCAGTCCAACTGAAATTGGAATTTATTGTGGCAAATTAAAGAGCTTAATTGAGCTAAGGCAACCTTTGTCTCAGTTGGCCTTAAACAATGATCTTTTTAAGAAGGCGTGTATTGAAATTTCGGTATTTGCTGCTAAATATGGGTGAAATGTTGCTGTTCATCTTTTCAAGCTTTGATGTTATATTTCTGCTCCTTGATCGTTCAGATTTATATATTACTTGTGTTGTTATTTTGGCAAGCTTTTGAGGCTTCCTCGTTATAGCTAAATAAAATTTATCGCCACTACACCAGTTCCACCAGACCATATCTTTCCCTCATCTCTCTAGCTGCTAATAAAAATACATTAAAATTCTATTTTGTTTTACACTACTGGCTAAGACAGGGATCAGGAAGACTCACCCCTTCTTTTTGCCTCTTCCAACAGATGTCTTTGCTGGTTCCGATTCCTGGAGCAATCTAACACGTTTTCTCTAGAAGACTTTAACAGAGTGTTCTTCCCAGCGGTGAATAATCTTGGCCTGAACCTTTTCCTTCTTCTTTCCACACGTCTTTGTTTAGGGGAATTTTGAGAATCTAATTTATTCCAGCCTCTTCTTCCCCTACATGTTATTAATGGAATTTAACCCTTGGACTAGTTGTAATATGCGGCATGTTTTTATTTTGGTCACCAACTGGGGTGGCTTTAAAAGAGGATTGGACAAATTCATGAAGGATAAATCAATGACTACTAATCACTGTCTATTTCCTCCATTGTCACAGGCAGTATGTTTTCAAGGAGAGTAGATGGTATTGACTATTTAAGGAACATTCCTTCTGATTTGTTTGTTGGGAGGTTAGATGACAGTTTCAGCTGTACTATACATTTAAAGCAGTATTATACCTCTTTAAACAGTCATGGGTTCCCTCAAAGAATCATGGAAATTGTAGTTTATTAGTAGACCCCTTAGCTCTCACCTGTGGCTCCTGGAAGCTGGAAGCATGTGACAGCAGCCGCAGCTCAGAAACAGCTTCAACTGGCCAGCTAAACCAGGTGAGGGGAGCCAATGGGTCTCAAACCCTTTGAGAGTTAGGAGGCAGGCTGCGGTAGATTGAGCAGACGAGACCAATAGTGGGTCCAATCGTCAAGTAGGCAGTTTCTTTGCATGGTTTAGAGGGAAGTGAGGGGCAGATGGAGCTTGTCATCCTGCGGAGGTAGCCCATCTAGGTGAAGGACAACTCTGAACCTAATTCTCCACTGCCCAGTGCCAGATTTACGCATAAGCTAAACAAGCTATAGCTTAGGGTCCCAATCTCTTCGGGGCCCCAAAAAAATTTAAAGGGAAAAAACAACTGGATGTAATTTTCAAAATAAAAGATAAAAAGCAAATAAAATAAAACCTACATACAACAACAGTGTTTTGTGTTGTGTAGGCTCCTATTTGTTATGTGCAAATGGCTTTAGATACCTATTAGGTCCATAAATTACCATATAGCATCTATTCAACACAAAAACAATGGCAATTTGTTGTTGACAAAGGACAGCTGGACATAGAAAGGGCCCCATTACCTTCAGTAGCTTAGGGCCTCATCAAACCTAAATCTGGCCCTGCTACTGCCTTGTGGGATGTGGGGGACTCAGCCAGACGGGGTATAAATAATAAAATGAAAATAATAAAATAGTATTAGTATTCAGGAGAAGAAAAGTCTCAGGAGTAAACCCTACGCAAATCCAGGATGGAGAACCCTAAGACAGTTGCACCTAAGGGGGGTCACTTCAGTGGTGCTAACACAGTGGTTTGAACTTCACCTCCAGAAGTGCACTCCATTGTCTCTCAAGACAGATGCCAACAACATTAGAAAATGGGATACTGAACAGTGGAGACATATTTATCTTTGGCCTGCCTACAGTCCCAATTTCAGGCACGTGTAAGTCCCACTGTAGGATTTACTCTTGAGAAAATACACATAGGGTTGCAGTTTTATTTTTCGTGTGACCACCAACTTCTAAAAGCACAGGGGCAAGGCAAGTGGGGAGAAAAAAAGTGGCAACCTTGTGAAAACATAATGTTGATGAATTGCGTCCCAAAAGCTCCATTCAGTCTTTCCAGCTTTTTAAGATTGGTATAGTCTGATTATACTCTCTGCTATGTTACTTCCAAAGTCACCAGATAAATAGATTTTATGATTTATTTAAGGAATGTGTACCTGTTCACTATATAAGACCATCACATATGACAGTTACATGTATGTTGTGTTGCTTCCTGCACTGAAATGCTTTCAGGGCGGGAAATGCGTATGAAGCTGTCAATCTGATCTGCTTATCCTCCCCAGGAAGAGACAGAGTTGCTTGTTGTTTTCACCTGCCACCCGGTATTGCCAGTGTTTCAACATTATTATTTTTTTCACTAGAGGAAAGGTGGTATTCTTCAGGGAAGAAAGCAGTCTGCAGGACTTTTAAAAAGCCTACACATGTCCAGGTACACCTTCTCATTATGTCTTTAAATAAATATATAGAGAGAGAACATTTGTACCCTGCTCTTCTGCCAAAATGGCTCCCGGATCTGCTTACATACAACCAGTCGACACAGGACATTCTCTGCCCTACAGGTTTACATTTTTTATTTCTTTTTAAAAGACACACAGAGGAAAAGGGACAGGGAGGGAAGCGGAAAAACAAAACACGAGCCCAAATTTCTAAACCGGTCCTATAATGACCAGCTGGCGCGGTTCAGAGGCAGGAGGTACCAGATGGAGCTGGGTGGTTTTGTTTTTGTTTTGCAAAGATGATCGGAGTGAGCCGCCAGCTTCCCCTCTCTTGATGGAACGGCTGCCCAATAAATGTTTTCCTGAAAGAAAGAATAAATACTCTGCGTATGCTCAGAGGAACTCTGCCCGAGGTGCAAAAAAGCACTGAAGATCAAAACTGGCAGCTCTGATAACGGGGAGGAGGCAGAGCTTGTGCGTTCTAAAGGGAGCTCGAAAACTCTCAGCCAATAGCGTGCGAGGCAAGGCAGGGAGGCCCGGGCCGCTTTCCCCGATTGGCTATGACGCAGACGGAGGACTGGCAGTCGGATCGCTCTGATTGGCTGCGGACCGAGGCAGAAAGTTCTGAGAGTTCCATACCGCGCAGCGCGCTGGGCCTTGAGGATTTAAGCCTAGGAGTCGAGGGGAAACTTGCCCTTTCTTTCGAGGGATTCTCCAGCACGTGGCGGGGAATTGAGGAATCCGGTAAGTATTGAGGGTGTGGGTTTGCAGACTCTTTCCCCCTTTTCCGTGCCTAGTGCTGTGCTTGGCTGTCCACCCATATTTTATCTCCTCCTGCGCGGCAGGCAGAAATCCAACAGGTGAAGCCTCACTTTCTCTCCCTAGAAAAGCTGCACCTGTTGCATTTGCCGCCCTGTGCACGGCTCTTAAAAGGCAGAGGAGACCTATCAAGTAAGGTGAAATGTTTGTAATCCCTAGCTTGTGGGGGTGGTGGAAATGCATAAAGTTTTCACTGTTTCAGAGGACTGGGCTGAAGGAGGCCTGAGGGCGTTTAGTCCCCTGTAAAAGTTGTTGTTTAGTCGTTTAGCCGTGTCCAACTCTTCATGGCCCCCTGGACCAGAGCACGCCAGGCACTCCTGTCTTCCACTGCCTCCTGCAGTTTGGTCAAACTCATGCTGGTAGCTGCGAGAACACTGTCCAACCATCTCGTCCTCTGTCGTCCCCTTCTCCTTGTGCCCTCCATCTTTCCCAACATCAGGGTCTTTTCTAGGGAGTCTTCTCTTCTCATGAGGTGGCCAAAGTATTGGAGCCTCAGCTTCAGGATCTGTCCTTCCAGTGAGCACTCAGGGCTGATTTCCTTCAGAATGGATCGGTTTGATCTTCTTGCAGTCCGTGGGACTCTCAAGAGTCTCCTCCAGCACCAGAATTCAAAAGCATCCATTCTTCGGCGATCAGCCTTCTTTATGGTCCAGCTCTCACTTCCATACATCACTACTGGGAAAACCATAGCTTTAACTATACGGACTTTTGTTGGCAAGGTGATGTCTCTGCTTTCCCCTGTAAATACTTGCAGCCAAGTTTTTTAGAGCATGTTAGCAGTTAGATCTTGTCCTCCAGGAACGGGGAACCTGCAGCCTTCAAGAAGTTGCTGGACTCTCCATCAGTTCAGCCAGCATGGGTAGCGATCCAGGGATGTTAGAAGCTGTAATCCAGCACAGTTTGGAGTGTTGTTATACTTTGCTATATTTGCTATGTTACAGGCAACATCACAGACCTGTGAGAAAAACGGGGAGAGGATATAAACACAATAATAATTAACATGCGGATCATCAAAAATGTGCCATAAAGTGCAGGGCTAACCATCTTTATTCGTAGATGTTCCTCAAAAGCCAGAAACTTACTCATGACTAAGTGTTACAGGATTGCAGTCCTAAGCGCAGAGCCACCCCATACATATAAAGTGCACCCATTGCTTCCCCCAAGGAATCCTGGGAACTGTAGTTCTCCCCTCACAGAGCTACAGTTCCCAACACCCGTAACAAACAGCAGGTCCCTGGATTTTGTGGGGAAAGTCTTGTGCTTTGAAGCGTGTTGGGTGTGCCGTAAAAGTATGGTGCAGATCTGCCCCTCGTCTTTCTGGAATATGCCAACCAGCTCATTTTTACTGCCAACAGCGGGCGGGCAGTCAAGCCGCCGCTTACCCCTTTTAAACAAGGGCTGCAAATTTTAATGATTAAACTGAGTTATTTTCCTCAACACTGGCTGGTTCAGCTGCTATGACCAATTCCTGAATATGGATAGCTTGCCCACAGTGACCTGTCTTGCACAAGGCCACCAGCCAGAGCGATGTTATTCCAGCTATTAAAATATGCTTCAGCTGCCAATACCGTTTCAGTCCAAAGTCAAGGGTTTGCAAATGACTTGCAAAGCCCTGAACCACTTGAGACCTAAATAACTGAGCGAGATCCTCTCCCAAGTATGTCCCTACCTGGGAGTTAAGGGTGAGAGAATCTCCATGGTGTCTCACCACCAGAAACTGAACATCAGGCCAGGAGGGAAGGTCCTTTCTGCTGGGGCATCTAATCCTTGGAATTTCATGGCCCTTGGTGCCTGCGCTGATGGTTTTTAGAGGCTAAAATGCGGCTGATCACTAAGGCCTTTCACCCAGGCTGCAATCTGAAATGGTTTCAATTGTTGTCTATATTGTATTTTTATTGTCCCATTGGCATTTTATGACTTTGTTCCAGTTGTATTGTCAGTCACCCAGAGCCCTGTGGATCTGCAACAGAATTTAAATAGACTTAAGTAAATAAACTGGATTAGGTAACTGATTCAACTCTTAAAAAAAAAAGAGGTGTACACCTCTTAACCAGAAATATTATAATGAACACAAAGTACAAACGGTAGGTGGCAGGGATTGTTTTTATAACAAGCATTCCCCACTTTTTCTCTCTTGCATGTTTACATCACCTAAAAACAGGGAGCGCCTCCTTCAGAGTGTTTGTTTTTACCCTTAGGTAAATGTAATTAGTGAATTAATCAACAAAGAAACACAATTAATTGGCTGAGATTTTCTTAGCCCCTGGATTTAACGAATATTGCTAAGCTGCGTGTTTCAGTTTGGGAGAGGACAGGTGCATAGCTTTCAGCAGAATAAAGCACAAATTATAATAAAAAGACGCCTGTGAATGTCATGCGTGGCTATGGTGGGTGTGTTGTTTCTTACACAGAGGTGCTTTTGGGGGACGAAAGGTATGTAAAGTGGCCCCCCAGGTTATGTTGGAACTAGTAACTTTTCGTGAAGTTCTGATGCTGATGCTCATGGGAGTCATATAAAGGACCCCTGACCATTAGGTCCAGTCATGACCGACTCTGCGGTTGTGGCGCTCATCTCACTTTATTGGCCGAGGGAGCTGGCGTTCAGCTTCTGGGTCATGACTAAGCCGCTTCTGGCGAACCAGAGCAGCGCACGGAAACACCGTTTACCTTCCCACCAGAGCAGTACCTATTTATCTACTTGCACTCTGACGTGCTTTCGAACTGTTAGGTTGGCAGGAGCAGGGACCGAGCAACGGGATCTCACCCCGTCGCGAGGATTCGAACCGCCGACCTTCTGATCGGCAAGCCCTAGGCTCTGTGGTTTAACCCACAGCACCACCCGCGTCGGGAGTCATATAGAGAGAGATAATTTTGAACTTGGAAGGGTTCCACGAGGGCAGTGTTAGAAACTGGGATAGAAAAGCTAGGAGCCAAATGGCTTCTGGGACCTGGGTTGTGGGCACCAAAACAGAATGTCTAGTTCTCTTCCGCGGCTCCGGAAATCGCTTCTGCGCATGCCTAGATGCCGGAAATCGCGCCTGTGCATGTCCGTGGTGCCGGAAATCGCAATTTTTGGCGTCTGGGCATGCACAGAAGCTATTTCCGGCACCACGGACATGTGCAGACACAATTTCCAGTGTCGCGCTGCGCCGGTCTGGCCCACGGCGGATCTCCGTGGTAGTGATCTGGCCCATGCCCGCTAAGCCTTGCCAACCCCTGGTCTAGTTGCCACGGAGGGTGGGGGTCGGCAACACTTTATTTATTATTTTTATAAGCATGAACCAACACGCAATTCACAAGAGACACGTTGTTAACATCACGTTTTTATCAGAAATGGTTAACACATGTTTAATTTGGTGTTGATAATAAAATTATTGGTACCATACTTCAGTTTTCAAAACACCCTACGCTTTATTGCTAAACTCCTTAACATATTGTCTGTCTTTAACATATACTTCGAAGCTTCAAAGCACACACGTTTCAGTAATCCTTGAGTGTCAGCAAAAAAACAGCACCCAGACTTTTTGAAGTGCTCGCAAATGGAGAATCTTTAGGCGCAAAATGAGCCTGGCGCCCTGCTAATTTCGAACCCTGAACGAGGGTCATGTAGCCCTTCCCTCTAAAATGCTGGCTTAGCAGTTTTTAAAGCCAAACATTCTTAGCTCTGGCCCCTCTGATGCCCAGGACAATCTTGGACGCTAGGCAGTATTTCAAAATGGACTTTAGCTGTTTGGCGATTGCGAGCTGCCTGCAGTTGCCCAATTAGCTGCACACGGCCTTTTTGCTATCCTTGAGGAGTTAACGAATAACTCGGGATGAGTTCCCCCGGTTAAGACAGCCTGAGCTTTGTTCCTGTTGCAGTTTGCGCCTGTTTAAGGCTCCGGTTCTGCCAACAAGTCACATGGAGGTCAGCAGATGAGAGCCATCTGTTGCCTTGGGCAGGCTGGCTTGTCAGTCTTGCTCCAGACAGGGCGGCTGCCCCTGCTGCACACCTCCCAAGCTCAGAAGCATTTAAAGCACATGGCTTTCCCCATAAAGAGTCCTGGGAACTATAGCTTGCTAAGGGTGCTGGGAATTATAGCTCTGCGAGGGGTAAACTGCAGCTCCCAGGATTCTTTGCGAGGAGCCATGCCTGTTAAAGTGGTATAAAAGTGCTTTGCTCCATTGCTCCGCCCACTGTTGCCTCTGCCCCGCCCACCACTTGCAAGCGGCCCCAGAAGGCTCTTTGCAAGAGGATGTGGCCCTTGGTCTGGAAAAGGCTCCCTGCCCCTGTTTGAATGGGTCCGTGGGGCAGGGTGTTGCTTCCCCATCTTTGAACACATACGCTTTTGTGGTTTTTAAATATCTCTGTTGTTACGCTGGCTGCATATTTACAGGTGTATTTATTTTACAGTGGTACCTTGGTTCTCAAACGCCTTGGTACTCAAACAACTTGGAACCCAAACACTGCAAACCCGGAAGTAAGTGTTCCGGTTTGCGAACATTTTTCGGAAGCCGAACATGCTCCGTTTTGAGTGTAACGCTTCCGTTTTGAGTGCCGCGCTTCCATTTTGAAGTTTACGCTGAGGTCTGTCTGTTTTTGCTATTTATTTTGCGTTTTTGTTTTTGCGGCTTTTTTGTTTTGTTTTTGTGACTGTGTGGAAACCCAGTTCAGCTACTGATGGACTGATTGTGTGACTGCAGTACATTGTTTATTGCTTTCATTTTATGGATCAATGGTCTTGTCAAACAGTAAAAATCATGTTAAATTGCCGTTTTAGCGGTTGTTTTTAAAAAGTCTGGAACGGATTAATCCATTTTGCATTACTTTCTATGGGAAAGCGTGCCTTGGTTTTGGAATGCTTTGGTTGCGGAACGGACTTCAGGAACGGATTAAGTTTGAGAACCAAGCTACAGTGGTACCTCGGGTTAAGAACTTAATTCGTTCCGGAGGTTCATTCTTAACCTGAAACTGTTCTTAACCTGAGGTACCACTTTAGCTAATGGGGCCTCCCACTGCCACCACGCGATTTCTGTTCTCCTCCTGAAGCAAAGTTCTTAACCTGAGGTACTATTTCTGGGTTAGCGGAGTCTGTAACCTGAAGCATCTGTAACCCGAGGTACTACTGTAGTACCACTATACAGTCATAGCTCGGGTTACAGACGCTTCAGGTTGGGGTTTTTTGGGTTACAGACCGCCGAAACCTGGAAGTACCGGAACGGGTTACTTCCGGGTTTCGGCGGTTGCACATGCGCAGAAATGCTAAATTGCACATGCGCAGAAGCGCCGAATCACAACCCGCGCATGCGCAGACGTGCTGCTGCAGGTAGCGAACGTGCATACCGCACGGATCACATTCGCAACCCGAGTGTCCACTGTATTATCACGAACCTCCTTGGTGGCTCTGTTAAGGGCCACAAAGCAGAGTATACAGGCCTGATAGCTCACTTAACCTTTCTCAGTTTCAGCTTCCAAAGTTTTGGGACTCCCTTTTGCCTGCCCTCCGGCCAATCCTCTGCCGTTCTTTCTCTCTGGGCTGCTGCAGAGCTCTGCTGCCATGACCAGCCTCCCCAAAGCAGATGGAAACCCCATAACTAAGGAGGAGTGGACCTCTCACAACAAGATGGTGATGGAACCTCTAGACACCAATGACCCAGAGGTAAGAGGGCTTCTTGTTTGGACGGTGACGTCAACCAGGAGAGGGTAGTATTGATTCTGGCGGAAGAAACCGGAGGGCAGGGACCGCTGTCATTCGTCGGCAATGGTTTTGAGCAACCAGGGACAGCAGGTCATTGACCTTTACGGGCTCAGTGACGTTCATTGAGAAAATTACACTTGGCGCCGGCTTAACCCTTTCAGATTTTCCCACCTTCCTACCTCTGCAGCAGAGAGGGGGTCTGTTCTGGCCCTCCCAGATTCTGCTGGAGTCCAATTCTCTCTCTCTTTTTAAAATTTTTATTTCAAAACCAAAAAAAATTACAAACATCAAATTCAAAATCCATATTCATTTTCTAACATAAGCCTATTACATAGATTACCTAAATTAAAATATATCTAATTGCTCTAGGCTTCCCTTTGCTATATGTAAATACAATGCAGTTAACAAATTATATTATAAATGATATTATAGGTTCCCATATACCCCCCCACTCCCCTTCACCCATGTGTGATCTCAATATTTTACTTCTTCCATCTTGTGTTGTTATAATTTAATAATTATTCAGTTGATTCTATTATTATTTTCTTGCTTACCCCTGCACATTTTACACATTCTCTAGTAATATTTCAATTCCGGAACCATGTTTTTCCATGTATTCCTTCACTACATCCCACTCTCTAATTATTCTCTGATTAAGTGGCCTCTAATAATTGCTGTCAATTTTGCCATTTCTAGAAACTCACAGAGTTTGTCTCTTTATCTAGCCCTGGGGAACCCAAAGCGACTTGCAACCAAGCAAATGGACAGTAAACCCCACATAGATGCATTCAAACTAAGAGGGAAAAGAAATGCCTTAAAAACATTCCCACCCACTTCTAAAAGGCCACAGATGGTTTAAGGCTGGGTTATAGACGAAAGCTTTTGCCTGGCACCTAAGGATATAGAACTACGGCGCTAGCTGAGCCTCCCTGGGGAGAGCATTCCAAAAAAAGGGGAGCCACTGCAGAAAAAGCCCTGTTCTCATATTGAGAATGTCTGTTAATGTCACTGTGGCACTTCAGATTGGTGCTGTCCTGCTAACATTGTTTGCACTGGGGCCAGGTTAAAATTTGTTTCTTCAATCTATACATTTAAAAAGTGGTGGTTATTTCGCCCACACTGTTGTTTTCACCTGACATTATTTGTTGTCAATTGTCAGGGAACTGCCATCGGACGGAAGGGAGGTGAAAGGGCTCACACAGGTTGGGAGAGACGCAGCAGCTGAAGAGGAAACCAACAGGGAGGTGAAAGGGCTCACACAGGTTGGGAGAGACGCAGCAGCTGATGAGGGAACCAGCAGGGGGGGAGGAGCTGAGCTGGAGGGATGGCTCAGAGACACTTCCAGCGAAAACAGTGGAGAGGTTTCAGGACCTCCTGTAAGAACACCCACTCCTCGCCGGAAACTGTCACGCAGAGATTCCAGAAGACGTGTTTCCGTTAAGGAGCTTTTATGTTGGAAGCGATTACGAAGCAACCACTGTCGGAATCTGCTAGTGACTAGAGTAGCCATGTCTGAGGGGCTCTGTCACAGACAGAGGTTTGTGGACTTGAACAAACTCTGAGGGGATACGATTTTACGCACAAGCAGCTCATCATCCCATCACAGCATTCCGACAGTCTTTGAAAGCAGCTTGTGCAGGAGAAGGTATCATGAGCAACCCAGCCGGAACCGGAGAAGCAGGAGCTGGAGCGGGTCCAAGCCTGGAAGAAAGGTACCAGATGTTGGAGGTCCAGCTAGCGATGCAGACGGCGAGGCTTGAGGAGAGGAGGGCTCAGGATGCAGACAAAAGGGGAAAGCCACCCAGTTCGCCAGAAAGGTACCAGGATTGGTGCAGAAGTTTGGGGGAGCCCACAACCTATCATGGTTTTCGGACAGAAATGCAATATGCCCTCAATCTGCAGTTTGATGAATTCTCTGACGAGGAATCACGAGTGGCTTTCGTGATTGAGCATCTTGAAAAGGGGGCGAGAGACTGGGTTAGACCCCTGATGGCAGCGAATAGTGACGTCTTAAAAGACACGATGAAGTTCTTTCGCGCCATGGATCTGATGTTTTCCAGCGATATTGAAAAGGGAGTGGTGCGCAGACAGTTAATGGGTTGCAAACAGGGAGCCGATCTGTCCGTGAGTACTGGACTGAGTTCACCATGCTTGTTCACAGATTGGGGTGGGACTTATCGGCGGAACCCATTCAAATGCTCTTTGAAGAAGGGCTTTCTTCGGCTGTGAAAGACGAACTTTCCCGGGCGCCCAGGGCGGAGTCTATGGACCAGCTGACCAAATCAGCGCTGGCCATAGGAGCGCGCCAGGAGGCGAGAGCATTGGAGAGGCGGGAAGGGAAAGGGGAACGTTGGAAGGAGTTCCGCATTCCAGACATTCCAGAGCCAACTTTCCCACCGGCAGAGCCGATGGAAATCGGAACAGCGCGCGCGCGCGCAGTTTCAAAGCCCAGTGAGGGGGCAAAGAAGGAGGGAAAAGGCGCCCGGAAATGCTATCTCTGCCAACAGCCAGGTCACTTTGCCAGAGTCTGCCCCCAGAGGAAAGAATGGCAAGGGATGGTAGGGGCTGTGGATGGAAGAGAGGAAAATATACCGGAGCAAGTAAAAGCCAACGCCTGGCTGCCACTGTCAGGGCACAGCAGCCAGGCCAAAGAGCAGTGAGAGTGCCCACGCCAGAACCTCCTAAACCCGCCCTAGTGATAGAAGTGACGCTAGAGCTGCCAAACGGACACCCTCTAAAGATAAAGGCGCTGTTGGACTCAGGCAGCTCCTGCAATTTCATGAGCAAAGAGTTTGCAGCTGAACACCAGATACAGACAATCCTTTAAGCAGCCCCCTGCAGGTGACCACGATCGATGGCAGGGAGCTGTTGGGTGGAGAAGTCAGCTTGCAGACCGTCCCAATGATAATGAAGGTAGCAAGGCACACCGAACTGATAGCTTTTATTTTTTTTTTTTTTTAAAGCAATTTATTGGGTTTTACAATAAGAATAAACATAATAAACAATATAACATTTGTCTTCACATAGTTTCACATTTTCTTTGGACTTCCTCACATCCCCCCGCTCCCACTTTCATCGTTATAACATTTTGTCAGCAATTTATCATCTTATTTAAATTCTTATATCTCTTCAATGTTTCATAATCTTATAGTTCTCATAGAGAGTTAAACTTTCACAGTCTTACTTATTTTCTTAAAAACTTCTAAGTTAAGTGGTGCTCAGTTATTTAGTCTAGCATCTTATTTAGCATTCACTCAAATCACAATATTTTTGTAGATAGTTCTTAAATTTCTTCCAATCCTCCTCGATTCTCTCTTCTCCCAGGTCACGGATTCTGCCGGTCATTTCAGCCAGTTCCATGTAGTCTATCAGTTGCATCTGCCATTCTTCCAGTGTGGGTAAATCTTGAGTTTTCCAATGTTTTGCAAGAAGTATCCTTGCTGCTGTTGTTGCATACATAAAAATGTCTGGTCCTTCTTTGCCACCCCTTGGCTGACAATACCCAGAAGGAAAGCCTCTGGTTTCTTGGTAAAGGTATATTTAAATACCTTTTTCAATTCATTATAAATCATTTCCCAGAACGCCTTCACTTTAGGGCAGGTCCACCAGAGGTGGAAGAACGTTCCCTCACACTCTTTACATTTCCAACACTTATTATCAGACAGGTGGTAAATTTTTGCAAGTTTAACTGGGGTCATATACCATCTATAAATCATTTTCATTACATTTTCTTTCAGAGCGTTACATGCAGTAAATTTCAATCCATTACTCCACAACTTTTCCCAGTCCTCAAACATAATATTATACCCAATGTCCTGTGCCCACCTTATCATAGCCGATTTAACCATTTCATCTTGTGTATTCCATTCCAACAGCAAGTTATACATCCTTGAAAGTACCTTAGTCTTTGGTTCTAACAATTCTGTTTCTAATTTCGATTTCTCCACCTGGAACCCTAGTTTCTTATCATTTTTAAAAACTTCTTTAATCTGAGCGTAATGTAACCAATCTCGCACTTTGTCTTTCATTTTCTCCAAACTCTGCAATTTCCAATTGTCTCCATCTTTTCTAGTATTTCCCAATATTTTGGCCATTTAGCCTCCATATTGGGTCTTTTCGGTCCTTAGCTTCCAAAGGTGAAAGCCACCTTGGTGTTTTATTTTCCAGCAAGTCTTTATATTTTGTCCAGACATTAAACAATGATTTTCTGACAATATGGTTCTTGAAGGCCTTATTTGCTTTAACTTTGTCATACCATAAATATGCATGCCATCCAAAAACATTATTAAACCCTTCCAAATCCAACACATCAGTGTCTTCAAGAAGTAGCCAGTCTTTTAGCCAGCAGAACGCTGCGGCTTCATAATACAACTTTAAGTCCGGCAGGGCAAAGCCCCTCTTTGTTTTGCATCAGTTAATATCTTAAACTTGATTCTGGGCTTTTGCCCTGCCAGACAAACTTCGAAATATCTCTCTGCCACTTCTGAAAGCACTCCGCTTTGTCCAAAACCTGAAGTGTTTGAAATAAAAACAACATCCTTGGCAATACATTCATCTTAATAGCAGCAATTCGGCCTAACAAAGAAAGTTTCAATTTTGACCAACTGTCTAAGTCTCTCTTAATTTCTGTCCAACATTTTTCATAGTTATCCTTAAATAGACTTAGATTTTTTGCTGTTATGTTTACCCCTAGGTATTTTACTTTTTAAACCACATTAAGTTCCGTCTCATTCTGAAACCGTTCTGACTCTGTATCAGTCAAATTTTTCCCCAAAACCTTAGTTTTCTGTTTATTTAATTTAAATCCCGCCACCCGACCAAAATCATTAATCAATTGTAATACTCTTTTCGTACTGGGCTCTGGCTTCTGCAAGGTCAAAACCAGGTCATCTGCAAAAGCTTTTAGTTTATATTGTTTCTGACCAACCTGAATTCCTTCAACCAACCGATCCTCTAATCATGTTCAGTAGCACTTCCAGAACCGAAATAAATAACAAAGGGGAGATAGGGCAACCTTGTCGTGTCCCTTTTTCAATTTTGAACTCTTCTGTGACCACATTATTAACTATCAGTTTAGCTTTCTGTTCTGAATATATCGCCTCAATCCCATTCTCAAAACCCCGTCCCACTCCCATCTCTTTTAAATTTCCCATCATAAATTTCCAGGAAATATTGTCAAAGGCCTTCTCCGCATCTATGAAAATTAAAACTGCTTTTGTATTTATATCTGTTTGCAGAAGTTCCAAAATGTCAATAATGTTCCTTGTGTTAGCAAACAGATGTCTACCTGGGAGAAAACCGGCCTGGTCCTTATGAATTACTTCATTTAATACTTTTTAAATCTACTTGCCAAAATATCTGCAAATATTTTGTAATCCACATTTAAAAGAGAGATGGGACGGTAGTTCTTCAGTTGTGTCTTTTCAGCTTCTGACTTTGGTATTAATGTGATGAACGCTTCCTTCCACGAATCCGGTGCCCTCTTCCCCTCCATAATTTCATTGCAGACCTCCATCAAGGGTTGTATCAAATAGTCTTTTAATGTCTTATAATACTTGGAGGTCAGCCCATCTGGCCCTGGAGATTTGCCAAGTTGCATGTTCTGAATAGCTTGTTCAATCTCCTGTCGTGTTATTTTAGAGTTCAGGATTGTCCTGTTTTCTTGTGACAATTTAGATAATCCATTTTTGGCAAAAATTGTTTAATCTCAACTTCGTCTTGCGGCCCTTGGGTGTATAATTTTTAAAATATCTCTGGAAACACTTTCTAATATCCACTGGATTCTGAATGTTTTTCCATCAACCTCTAAGTTTGTAACCGTGTTTAATCTTTGTCTTCTCTTCAACTGCCAAGCTAGCAGTTTTCCACATTTATTCGCCGACTCAAACGTTTTTGTTTCATTAATTTAACCTTCCATTCAATTTCCTGATTTATCAATTTAGAATATTGTGTTTGATAGAGTTTAATTTCTCTCAGAGTTGGCTGTGACTTTGGATTCGCTCTTAATTTCTTCTCTAATTCTTTTAATTTGTCCAAGATCTTATCTTTTTCTCATTTTGTGTTCTTTTCTTTACTACATTCTGTTGTATCAAGAATCCCCTCATTACAGCTTTGCTTGCGTCCCAGACAATTCTTTTTTCCACCGAATTGTTCATGTTTATCTCAAAATAGTCCTTCAAAACTTTTTGGGCCTTCTTGGTAATTTCCTGATCTCTAAACAAATTGTCATTCATCTTCCATCTAAAGGATCCAGTTGGTAGTAGTGTCATATCCATCTTTACTGCATTATGGTCAGAGCAGGTCTTTGGGCAGATTTCCACTTTTCTGACCTTAGGTGCCAGGCCTCTGGAAATCCATATTTGGTCGATTCTTGTCCAGGTCAGTTGGGCTTCAGAAAAGAATGTTCCTTCTCTACCTAGTGGGTTCTTTGTCCTCCAAATGTCAATCAAATCCATATTGTCAGTCATTTCAAAAAAGTTTTAGGTAGTCTGCCGTCTTTTGTAACATTTTGACTTTGTGACTTGTCCATGTTAGTTGACACGACCCCGTTCATGTCTCCCATCATTATGATGTTGTTGTAATCCAGATATTCCAGCATTGTCCCCTGCAGCTTCTTGTAAAATTCCGATTTCCCTTCATTAGGTGCATAGATTCCTAATATCAACAGTTTCTCTCCTTGATATTGTATCTCAATGGCCAAAATTCTTCCATGTTCATCTTTAAATAAGAATTTAGGTGACAGGCACTCTTTGCATATATCACCACGCCTCTCTTCTTAACTTTGTCCGACGAAACAAATTCCTGGCCCAATCTTTTATTTATTAACACTTTTCTGTGGAGCCTCGTCACATGTGTTTCTTGTAAACAGATAATGTCCAATTGTTCTTTTTTAATATATGAAATATTTTCTTCCTTTTTCCGGAATGTTACAACCATTAATGTTCCAACTCAGCAATTGCAGAGACATCCTGGATCTATCTGGTTATTTCTCCAGGGGTGGTGTCTTCTCTGGATCTTCAGGTTCCCCAGGTGCTGGTGTTAATGCTGGCTTTGCCCCAGGCCCAGAAGGTAATTCAATTCCTTTTTGAAGGTCCTCTCCGTATGTAGCCAAAAATTTGTCTCTCTCTTCCAATGTTCTAACTTTGACCTTTCTCCCTTTAAAGGTAAAAGATATTCCTTGGGAAATTCCCACCTGAATGGAATTGCGTTGCTCCTTAGTAGTTTAGCAAGTTCAGAATAGGCGGCTCTAAGATCCAGCAGTTGTCTTGGAATATCTTTATAAATTTCAATTCTTCTGTCCAAAACCTCCAGTGACTTTCCGTAATGTAGGCCCAAAATCTTATCCCTTTCCTCCTTTGATCTCAATGTAATCAAACAGTCTCTGGGCCTCTCCTTCTTTATGAATCTTCCAAGTCTGAAAGCCGACACAATTTTAAAATCCTTTTCTTCCAAATTCCAGAACTTGGAAAATTCTTTGGTCAAAAACTCAGTTAAATTTCCTTCTTCTGCCTCTTGTAATGATCTAATCCTCAAATTATTCTCACGATTTCGCAGTTCTATCATGGAAAGATAAGTCTGATGTTCCCCAACTTGTTTGGTGAGTGGTCTTACCTCTTGCTCTAAATTTTCCAATTTTTGTCTAGTATCCTCAGCCAATTTCCGATTTTCTGCTGAGGCCTCCGTTAACTGTCCAATTGCTTGTGTATTCTGTACAACTTGTATAGTTAATTTATTTAGACATTCTGTATTTTTGTCAATCTTTGCTGATTGCGCATCTACTTTCTTGTCCAAAGCTTCCAATTTTTCAAAGATTTTGTCTAGAACAGAAACAGATACTCCTGAGGCCATATCTTCCAATTGTAACTGCTCTGCTTCACCCTCTCCCTCTTTTGCCTGTGGCAAGGCAACTTCTTCAAGTTCTACTTCTGAGGGCAAAGTAGGTACAGATGATCTACGTGTCTGCGAGGCTGAGGTTAGAGTTGTTAAAGTTGTTTGTCTAACTCTCCCTCTTTTCCTTGTGCCACTCATTCCAACGTTGTCTATCAGTCAAGGTCACACTGAGTTTTTCCCATGGGAATAGAAAGGCCCAGAGCAAGCAAACAACAAGGGAATCGAAAGTAAATGTAAATGTAAAGTCACTGTTTTAGTCCAATCCTCTAGAGGGAGCTTAAAATGTCTTTCAGAGTCTAATTTAATGTCCAAGAACCTTCAAATATAAATATTTAGCAGAGTTTATAAGTAGTCACTTTGTTACAGACAGTGCTTATTTATCTCCAAAAAGAATGTTTCAAATTTAAAAGTCTCAATACCCTCAGATTGTTGCAAGTTCCAATATACAGTATCCAAATCTGCAATACTGACAGCTCAATTTCTCAATGCTCAGGCAGCTCCTGACTCTGGGTTTCACCTTCTAATTTGTAATCCAATAAAAGGGGGAAAGTCAAGTGCAAGTTAAGATTCCAAGTCTTTAGCTTAAAGTCTTTACTTTAAATTGCAAGTTCAGTAGATGCTTAGATCTGTAGAGTTTAAAATCTCTTCCTTTCAGCCTCCACTCCTCCAACTTAGTTGCTTTTTTCAAGTTCAATGGCTGCGGAAGACGGACTTCCTGTTTCCACGTCTCTCCGCTTTCAGCCAAGTTCAAGCCAATTTAAGGTTTTTCATTTAAAGTCTCTAATTTCAAGTGATTCAGTCTTTACTCACGAGTAAGTTGCTTTTCGTCCGAATGATAGCTTTTAATGTGGCCACCTTGGGAGGAGCTCCCATTATATTGGGGATGAGCTGGCTAGCGTTACATGATCCGCTGGTGGGCTGGCATCAGAGAGTGGTTTCTTTTGGTTCAGCACATTGCTTAGAACACTGCAAAGAGGGAAAGGGTTTGGCAGGGGTCCAAGCCACCCTAGCAGGGACTGAAGTAACAGAGAACGTGAAGGTACCACGACAATATGCAGATCTCCGTGACGTCTTCAGCGAAGGGAAGCTGACCAACTACCCCCGCATAGACCCTTTGACTGTCAAATCAACTTACTCCCTGGAGCACAGCTCCCGGTAGGCAAGCTGTACGCCATGTCAGACAGAGAGATGCAGGAGTTAAGAGAGTTCATTGACAAGAACCTGAAGAGAGGGTTCATCAGAGAGTCCAGGGCGGTGGGGGGCAGCCCAGTGTTTTTTTGTGGATAAGAAAAACACGAACAAGCCGAGGCTGGTGTGTGACTTCAGGGCCTTAAATGCAGTGTCAGAACCAGTAGCCTTCCCTATGCCCAGGATTGACGACATTTTGACAAGGGTGCGGAAGGGAAAGATTTTTACAAAGCTGGACCTAAGGGGGGCGTACAACCTGGTACGAATAAGGAAGGGGGATGAATGGAAAACCACTATGTTCACCCCTTTAGGGGCATTTGAATATTTGGTTATGCCCTTCGGCCTCCAAGCAGGCTCCGCAACCTTTCAATCGTTTATGAACCACGTCCTGGGGCCTTTGCTTTACAAGAATTGTGTGGCCTTTTAGACGACGTGTTGGTGTATTCTGAGAATGAGGAGCAGCATGTGAGAGACGTCAGAGAAGTGTTGAGCAGGCTGCAAGCCAACCAGCTGTGGGTGAAACTGGAGAAGTGTCAGTTTCATACCAAGGAGGTGGAATTCCTGGGGTATCGCCTGTCAGACAAGGGATTGGCCATGGATCCCGGCAAGGTCCAGGCTGTGCTGGAATGGAAAGCACCCAAAACAAAGAAGGATGTGCAGAGGTTCCTAGGATTTGGGAACTTCTATCGTAAGTTCATCCGAAACTTTGCCCACCTGACGGCGCCCATTACGGACTGTCTCAGCAGTAGAAGAAGTTCGTGTGGACTGAGGAGGCGGAGCGAGCATTTGAGGAACTAAAAAGGTCCTTCGCCTCGGAACAACAACTCCTGCATGTGGATTTACAAAAACCGATGAGAGTGGAAACTGACGCATCAGACACAGCGATTGGGGCGGTGCTTCTGCAGCCAGGCAAGAAGGGGTCAGAGTGGAGACCGTGTGCCTTTTTTTCGCGAAAGCTGAACAAATCCGAGAGGAACTACACGGTGTATGACCGAGAACTACTAGCCATTCATGAGGCGTTCCGGAGATGGAGGCACCTGCTAATTGGCGCACAACATAAGGTGCAAGTGTGCACTGACCACAAGAACCTAGAGTATTGGAGGACGGCACGAGTGCTCAACCAACGGCAAGTGAGATGGGCCCAGGAGTTCTCCAAATTTAACTTTGAGATTAGTTACGTGCCAGGCCCAGAGAACATTAGGGCGGACGCTCTCTCACGCAAACCTGAATATTTGGAGGGAGGGGCACCGAAGAGAGACATGTCATTCCAGAAGACCGCTGGGTGTGTGGGGCGGCATTGGTGGGACAAAGAGAACTGGTAGAGGAAACAGAGAATGATGAATACGCCCAGAATAAGCTCAGAGGTCTTAGGGGTGATGGAGAGGAACCAGGGGTTTCGAGGAAAGAAATGGAGCTTTGTATTACAAAGGGGCACTGTATATCCCTGAAGGAGAGTTAAGGGGAGGGTACTCAAGCAGTTGCACGACAGCCCTACGGCGGGGCATTTTGGACAACACAAAACCATGTGGTTGGTCACCAGGGAATTTTGGTGGCCTAAGGTGAGGGAAGATGTACGTGAGTATGTAAGAGGGTGCGAGCAATGCCAGCGAGCCAAAGGGGAAAGGCGGGCGCCAGCGGGGCTGTTAGAACCCTTACCAACCCCAGAACGACCTTGGGAGGCAGTGTCGATAGATTTTATGACTGATCTGCCGAAGTCCAAAGGGAAAACAGCCATCATGGTGGTGGTAGACCTACTAACAAAGATGTGCCACTTTGTAGCTTGCTCGCATGCAGTCACGGCGGAAGAGACAGCGAAGTTATTTGTAGAAAACATTTTTAGGTTGCACGGGGTGCCATTGAGGGTGGTCTCAGACCGAGGAAAACAATTTACTTCCAGGTTCTGGAGGAAGCTCATGAGCTTACTGCAGGTGGAGGTCAATTTTTCGACTGCCCGGCACCCTGAAACCAACGGGCAGGCGGAAAGAGCAAACGGTGTCCTCCAGCAATACCTGAGGTGTTATGTCAATGACAGAGAGAATGACTGGGTAGAAAAGTTGGCGCTGGCGGAATTTGCCTACAACAATGCCGAGAATGTGTCCACAGGGATGAGCCCCTTCTTGGCTAATTATGGGTGTCATCCCAGGGCTTTCCCAGGGGGAGAGGGGGAGAGATGGAGCGTCCCGGCAGCCGAGCATTTTGTGGAAGAAATGGAAGCAATCCATCGTCAGCTCCAACTCAACTTAGAAAGGGCGAAGGAAGAATACAAGAGGCAGGCAGACAAGAACCGAAGGGAAGGTGAAACCATAAGGGTGGGAGATAGGGTGTGGCTGTCAACCCAAGGGTTGCCGTTCAAAGGAGGTTGTAAGAAATTAAGACCCAGGAGGTTGGGTCCCTTTGAGGTCATTCAACAGGTCAACCCAGTGGCTTTCAGGCTCCGGTTACCCAACCACATGAAACTGCACCCAGTATTTCACAGGTCGTTACTGTCACCGTACGGAGGGGGACGAGAAGGGCTGGCCACTCGGGGACCGGTCGTAGAAGAAAGAGAATGCAGCAGCCATGTGGCAGAAATCCTCGACGCCAGGTGGAAGGGGGATCAGGTGGAGTATTTGGTAGCGTGGGAAGGAGAACCGGAGTCAGAAAACACTTGGGTAATGGCTGAAGATATCAATGACGAGGTATTGATAGAAACGTTCCATCAAAGGTTCCCAAGGAAACCTCAGCCTGTAGAGAGGTTCCGGAGGGAATACTTTGGGACCACTGATGAAGGGGAGGAGTTGGAAGGATTCCCGGACTCGGAAGGGGAAGGGGAGATGGACTCTGAGGAGGAGGTGTACTTCGAGACCAGGAACCGCAACAGGTTGAGAGAAGTGTTCGAGACATCGGAAGATGAAGGAAGTTCATTCCGGGGTTTTGCCTCCTCACCGCCCGTAGAGGAGGGGGCGAGAGGGGGTGAAGGGGGCCCTGGAGGGGAGGTGGATGTCAGGGAACTGCCATCGGACGGAAGGGAGGTGAAAGGGCTCACACAGGTTGGGAGAGACGCAGCAGCTGAAGAGGAAACCAACAGGGAGGTGAAAGGGCTCACACAGGTTGGGAGAGACGCAGCAGCTGATGAGGGAACCAGCAGGGGAGAGGAGCTGAGCTGGAGGGATGGCTCAGAGACACTTCCAGCGAAAACAGTGGAGAGGTTTCAGGACCTCCTGTAAGAACACCCACTCCTCGCCGGAAACTGTCACGCAGAGATTCCAGAAGACGTGTTTCCGTTAAGGAGCTTTTATGTTGGAAGCGATTACGAAAGCAACCACTGTCGGAATCTGCTAGTGACTAGAGTAGCCATGTCTGAGGGGCTCTGTCACAGACAGAGGTTTGTGGACTTGAACAAACTCTGAGGGGATACGATTTTACGCACAAGCAGCTCATCATCCCATCACATCAATGAAATTTTTTTTTGTGGTATAGCATGTCTAAATGTTTTTTTAAATATTGTTAAGTTGCTTTGAGACTTTGGGGGGGAGGGTAGTAAGCAATGAATTATTAATGCCATAGTTCAATTGGTGTGTGCTTTTGTTATTTGCTTTACGTTCTGTCCTTCACCCTGGTCAGGCAGTCGATAATAAAAGTAGTAATAATTGTTACTAAACATAAAGTTCTATAAATGCAGCCTAATTGCAAAAAACTTACAAGAGCAGCATAAAAACCAACCACTGGAGGAAAAGAACATGTTTAAAAAGCCTGGGGAAATAGGGAATATTGAGGGGGGTGCAAGGAACACCTTTAACACTTGAAACGAGTGATATAAATTCTGTTGATTAGTTGAAATGAAGTCACCCAATTAGAAATGTTTCAGCCTGCAGTCCAGTTAACTAGTCACATCTAACTCTGGGCTACCTATTTGAGAATGCCCATAGTTCAGTGATAGTGCATCTGCTGCCTGAAACTCTGAAAAGCTGCTGCCAGCCAGTGTGGGCCACCCTGAGCTAAATGTCCCAACGGACGTTGGACACAGTCATTGTCGTCTTCTTTGGCGATACCTGTAGCTGAGTAAGATTGTCTTCCATAAACACGGTTTTAACAGTGGGACCGTAAGTGACTCTGGAGGCCGATTCTGGATCCACGCGTCCTTCCACAGCGGTGACATAGGTTTCTGGGCGGGAGTTGATCACGGTGGGGATTTGCCAAGCGTGCCTTCCTCTTAGCATGTATCTCCCTTTCGTCCTGAGTTCGAGTGTCTTCAAAGCCCATGACACCTTTGGTAAAGGCTGTTCTCCAATTGGAGCGCTGGCAGGCCACTTTTTCCCTGTTATCGGTGTTTATACTACATTTTTAAAGATTTGCCTCAAGAGAGAGTCTTTAAACCTCTTTTGTTGACCACCATTTTTAAGTTTGGAATAGGGTAGTTGCTTTGGAAGATGATAATCAGTCATTGGTACAACATGACCAGTCCAACGAAGTTGGTGTTGACGAATTATTGCTTCGACACTGGTGATCTTTGCTTCTTCCAGTACACTGGCATTAGTTCGCCTGTCTTCCCAAGTAATGTGTAATTTTTTCGGAGACACTGTTTATGGAGTTGTTCAAGGAGTTGGAGATGGCGTTTATAAGCGGTTCGTGTTTCACAGCATGACATTTTACTGTGTTTCTACACGCGGTTGGCACTGTGGGTTAAACTACAGACCCTAGGACTTGCCGATCGGAAGGTCAGCGGTTCAAATCCCCACGACGGGGTGAGCTCCCGTCGCTCGGTCCCTGCTCCTGCCTACCTAGCAGTCTGAACGCACGTCAAAGTGCAAGTAGATAAATAGGTACCTCTCCGGCGGGAAGGTAAACAGCGTTTCCGTGCACTGCTCTGGTTCGCCAGAAGCGGCTTAGTCATGCTGGCCACATGACCCGGAAGCTGTACACCGGCTCCCTCGGCCAGTAAAGCGAGATGAGCGCCGCAACCCCAGAGTCGGTCATGACTGGACCTAATGGTCAGGGGTCCCTTTACATTTACCTTCCACCTTTGGGGGAAAGGTGTGCATGCAGGAGGTCCCTGGCACCTCTAGGCCGGGCGAGAAAAGACTGCATGCATGAGACCTCCCAGTCAGTGCCAACAGTACTGAGCTCAGTAGCCCAATGGGTCTCACTGGGTCTAAGGCAGCTTCTTCTGTCCCTGTATCCATTTCCTCCTCATGCAAAGGTCTACGACATCATCAAGAAGGAGAAGCGGCGGCAGCGGCTTGGCTTGGAGCTGATTGCGTCGGAGAACTTCGCCAGCCGGGCGGTTCTGGAGGCCCTGGGCTCCTGCATGAACAACAAATATTCGGAGGGATACCCGGGACAAAGGTAGGGGCCAGATGACTTGGGCTCCAGGCCCGGCTGAGATTCTTTCCCCCCATGCCAAGCAAACTTGTCTGTGTCTCATTGTTGATAAAGGCTTCCAGTGACAGGTTGTCAGGAGCGAGCCGGCAGTAAATCACACAATCTGCACAGACCTGGCTGAGTGTCAGGCCCAAGGAGCGCAGCAACTCATCCCTGGTAGGTCTTGCCCCACGGATCGGTTGCTGAGACTAAAAGTCCACAGCCATCTGAGTCTCCTCTTTCCCAGGGCTTTCCCCAAGCAATCTGAGACTGTGCCTGCATACAGCCAGCCTCTCCTCCACCCTTTTTCATGCCTCTTCTGGTTCCAGGAGACGAGGGGGGCAGGGGAGCTTTTCGCAGTAGGAGGGGGAGGCATCCTTGATTCTTCACCAGCTTGACTCCTCTCAGCCTCTTGATCTCCCTCCTCCCCTGCTTCAGCTTCTAGCACTGATTCTGCACTTCCCTCTGCCACAGACTCGCCCTGCTCACTAAGCCCTGTTACCTCTTCTCCCGCTTCCTTGTCCCACCACCAGTCTTCAGGCTCTGAGCCTTCGTCCCTTGGGGGTTCCTCGGCTGGTTCTTCCCACCATTCCTCTGCACCCAACCAGTCAGTGACACGGGTTGTGATGACCTTGCCTTGCTCTCAATAGCTCTTAACTCCACCCCATGGCACCCAGTTTATGTCTGTTGCCAATCGTATGATGCACCTCCAGCGAGAATAGAGATTATAAGCCAGTGTTGCGGTTATGAAAACGGAGATGTGCACACAAAACTTTCCTTCTCCTTCCTTGTTTTAGGTACTATGGTGGGACGGAGTTTGTGGATGAGCTGGAGAGGCTGTGTCAGAAAAGAGCCTTGGAGGCTTATGGGCTGGACCCACAGAAGTGGGGAGTCAATGTTCAGCCCTACTCAGGTATTCCTATCATCTAACTGGTAATGGAGGGCTGTGGAGAGGGCTGGTTCCTCTGTGGGAATCTAGTGATATAAGCTGTAAGCCAGGCTTCCTCAACCTCGGCCCTCCAGATGTTTTGAGACTACAGTTCCCATCATCCCTGACCACTGGTCCTGCTAGCTAGGGATTATGGGAGTTGTAGGCCACAAAAATCTGGAAGGCCGAGGTTGAGGAAGCCTGCTGTAAGCTCCTTGGATCAGAGGCCTGGCCTCTCCCTCTATAAAGCACTGTGTGTACATGGATGTCTTTGCTGGGTTCCCAATTCCTATCAGTCCCAGCCAGAGTAGTCAATGGTTGAGGGATGCAGAAACATCTGGAGCAGGGACAACCAATGGGGTGTTCTCCATCAACCCGATCATTGGTCATGCTGACGGGAACTGTAGCCCATTATATTTAGAAAGCAGTATGCTATAATAATAATAATAATAATAATAATAATAATAATAGTATTTATACATACAGACATACAGACATACATACAACCCTGCTCATCTGGTTGGGTTTCCCCAGCCACTCTGGGTGGCTCCCTACAGAATATTAAAAACACGATAAAACTAGCTGAAGAAGTGTGCATGGACATGAAAGCTCATACCAATAACTAACTTAGTTGGTCTCTAAGGTGCTACTGGAAGGAGTTTTTTTATTTTATTTTATTTATTTTGTTTTGTTTTGACTACGCCAGACCAACACTGCTACCACCTGTAACGATAAAACATCAAACATTAAAAACTTCCCTAAACAAGGCTGCCTTCAGATGTCTTCTAAAAGTCAGAGAGTTGTTTATTTCCTTGACATCTGACGGGAGGGCGTTCCACAGGGCAGGCACCACCACTGAGAAGGCCCTCTGCCTGGTTCCCTGCAACCTCACTTCACACAGTGAGGGAACTGCCAGAAAGCCCTCGGAGCAGGACCTCAGAACATATGCTAGGATATGTTCAGGCTTTCTTTCCCCCCACCCTTCTCATTTTCAGGGTCTCCAGCGAACTTTGCAGTATACACAGCCCTCGTAGAGCCCCACGGAAGGATCATGGGCTTGGATTTGCCAGATGGAGGCCACCTGACCCACGGCTTCATGACGGACAAGAAGAAGATCTCGGCCACCTCCATCTTCTTTGAGTCCATGCCTTACAAGGTGAGCCTCGTTCTGTGTCGAGGGATCTCTGTCCTTCTTCTGAATGCAGCAGTTTGTTGGGTCTTTTTCTTCTTTGGCGATCTCTCGTAGTCGAGTAAGATTGTCTTCCATAAACACGGTTTTAACAATGGGTCCGTAAGTGACTGTGGAGGCCGCTTCTGGATCCACACGTCCTTCCACAGTGGGGACATAGGTTTCCGGGCAGGAGTTGATCACGGTGTGGATTTGCCAAGCGTGCCTTTCTCTTAGCACATTTCTCCCTTGCGTCCTGAGTTCGAGTGTCTTCTAAGCCCATGACACCTTTGGTAAAGGCTGTTCTCCAACTAGAGTGCTCACAGGCCACTGTTTCCCAGTTGTTGGTGTTTATACTACATTTTTTCAGATTTGCCTTGAGAGAGTCTTTGAACGTCTTTTGTTGACCACCAGCATTAATAAGAATAATAAAAAAATATTTATATCCCGCCCTCCCCAGCCAAAGCCGGGCTCAGAGTGGCTAACAACAATAAAAGTAACACAGTTTACATAAAATCACAATCAATTAATTGAAATGCATTCTAAAATCAATTCAAAATCAAATTAATGGCAACCACTGGGCTAGAGTTCTGTGAGGATTACCGAAGGAGGGGGTCAGACTGTGCCTTGGCCAAAGGCCTGGTGGAACAGCTCTGTCTTGCAGGCCCTGCGGAAAGATGTCAAGTCCCGCAGGGCCCTAGTCTCTTGTGACAGAGCGTTCCACCAGATCGGGGCCATGGCCGAAAAAGCCCTGGCTCTGGTTGAGACCAGCCTAACCTCTCTGTGGCCGGGGACCTCCAAGATGTTTTTGTTTGAAGACCCTAGGTCCTCTGTGGGACATACCAGGAGAGGCGGTCCTGTAGGTACGAGGGTCCTAGGCCGTATACGCTTTCCATTTTTAAGTGTGTGGTGGTTGAGCACTTGGCTGCCTAAGAATGCGTTCAGAAGTTTATTTGCCGCAGCTCTTCCTTGGCACGTTATCCTGGTAGCCAATTCAGCTTGTAGTTGTGTAATGAGAGGTGTGAGGCACCAAGTATGAGCCAGCCCCTCGCCTTGTAGATGCAAGCTTGAGAACTTTCTGCTTGGACCCTTCCTTGATGCCTGCTGGTGTCTCTGTTTCCAATCTCCTCTTCTGGTGTCTACCGCGGTGTGCCCACCCCCAGGCAACACCAGAAGCTGGAGGAGCTGCTCCTGTTGAACTGTTCTTCTTGGTCCTCCTTCTCACCAGGTCAACCCTGAAACTGGCTACATCGACTATGACAGGCTGGAGGAGAATGCCCGCTTGTTCCACCCAAAGCTGATCATCGCAGGTAAGACGATTGGTGGAGATGTATCCTTACTAACGTTCTGTAATCGCCAACAACCCCCCTACTACCCCAGGGCCAGGGCCTTCTCAGTGATGGCTCCGACCTGGTGGAATGCTCTGTCCCATGAGACCAGGGCCCTGCAGGATTTAACTTCCTTCCACAGGGCCTGTAAGACAGAGCTATTCCGCCTGGCTTTCAACTTGAACTTAGCCTGATCTTTTATTCCCCTTCCTTCCCTCCCCCTACCCTTTTTATAAAGATTACCCGCTCTGGGACCCCACAGCTAATTCTCCCCTGGTCTCCTCGCTGGCCCAAGTAGGACTAACCCTGGTGATCATCTAATGCTTATTGGATGGATTTTCCCCCTAAATTGATTTTTGAATTCTGAATTTATTGTTATTCACGTTTTATACTGTATTTTATGCTGTTTTTTGTTGCATCAATTAAGTGTTTTAAATTTCCCAGCTGGTCTTGGGCATTCTGAATGGTCTCTTCTCTCCTAGGGGTCAGCTGCTATTCGCGGAACCTGGACTACGCTCGCATGAGGAAGATTGCCGATGAGAACGGGGCATACCTGATGGCTGACATGGCTCACATCAGCGGCTTGGTGGCCGCCGGCGTGGTGCCGTCCCCCTTCGAGCACTGCGACGTGGTCTCGACCACGACGCACAAAACCCTGCGGGGGTGCCGGGCAGGCATGATTTTCTTCCGGAAAGGTGAGGGTTGCGGCGTAGAACAACTGCCTGTTTTTTCCAGGAAGGGGGTGAACTTAGGGGTGGGCAGTCAGGGACCACTGCATCAGGAAATGGATGGTTGGGCGCTGAAGTGCCAGTGGACAGTGCCAGAGATCACCGGTGCTATTTACACTCCCTTCAGTGCTTATTCACCGGCAACCTCAATTGTGATGGGGAGAAAGGTGCTGCTAAGACTTAATATAGGCAGCTAGGTAAAGGTAAAGGGACCCCTGAACATTAGGTCCAGTCGCGGACGACTCTGGGGTTGCGGCGCTCATCTCGCTTTATTGGCCGAGGGAGCCGGCGTACAGCTTCCGGGTCATGTGGCCAGCATGACTAAGCCGCTTCTGGCGAACAAGAGCAGCACACGGAAACGCCGTTTACCTTCCCGCCGGAGCGGTACCTATTTATCTACTTGCACTTTGACGTGCTTTCAGACTGCTAGGTAGGCAGGAGCAGGGACCGAGTAACGGGAGCTCACTCTGTCGCGGGGATTTGAACTGCCGACCTGATCGGCAAGTCCTAAGTTCTGTGGTTTAACCCACAGCGCCACCCACATCCTAATATAGGCAGCTAAGAATAAATAAATTTGTTCTCCAAGCCAACTTCATTTGGCCCTTCTCATATCCCCAAGTAATGCTAATTCTGTCAATTCTTATTTTGTAATTAAGTAAATTTCTGGGAACTCTATATATAGTCGTACCTTGGTTCTCGAATGGCATCCATTCCAGAAGTCTGTTCGAAAACCAAAGCGCGGCTTCTGATTGGCTGCAGGAGCTTCCTGTACTCAAGCGGAAGCTGCGTCAGACGTTTAGGTTCCAAAAAACGTTCGCAAACCGGAACACTCATTTCCGGGTTTGCGGCCTTCAGGAGCCCAAACGTTCAAGTCACAAGACATCTCAATAACTAAGGTACGACTGTAATGGTTTTATTATACAGTGGTACCTCGGGTTACATACGCTTCAGGTTACACACGCTTCAGGTTACAGACTCTGCTAACCCAGAAATAGTGCTTCAGGTTAAGAACTTTGCTTCAGGAGGAGAACAGTAATCGGGGTTCCGGTGGCGTGGCAGCAGCAGGAGGCCCCATTAGCTAAAGTGGTGCTTCAGGTTAAGAAAAGTTTCAGGTTAAGTACGGACCTCCTGAACGAATTAAGTACTTAACCCGAGGTACCACTGTATGTATGTATGTATGTATGTATGTATGTATGTATTTATTTATTTATTTACTTATTTACTTACTTATTTATTTATTTATTGCATTCATAGACCAGCTTTTTGTCCATGGTTCATTTAATCCACACACAACAACGCTGTGAGGTAGGTTAGGCTGAGAGGCAGCGACTGTCCCAAGGTTGCCCAGTGAGCTTCATGGCCGAGTCAGGATTCGAACCCTGGTCTCCCAGTCCAAATCTGACGCACCAACCACTACACCACCACTGAAGTCCTTTTGTACTGAGAGACACCATTACTCTGCCTCCCCAGGTGCTTTCTACTCAAATGGGGAGAAGTTCCCCCATTGCCTGCTTGCCTGCGCTTTTAACTGGTGACACCGGGAATCACACACGGGACCTTCGGCACTCCAAGCGGGTGCTCTGCCGCTGAGCCGCAACCTCTCTCAGTAGCTGATTGCGTTTGGAGTTGAGTGTTTGGCTCTAGGTGACTGCAGAGTTGAAGCCAAGGGGAAGGATTAGCCTAGAGCAGCAGTAGCAGCACCCCAAAAGCTCCTGCCCCAAATTGCCCTCCTCCTTTCTGTTCTCCCTAGGTGCCCGCAGCGTGGATCCGAAAACGGGGAAAGAAATCCCGTACAACTATGAAAGCCTGATCAACCAAGCAGTGTTTCCTGGGCTACAGGGAGGGCCACACAACCACGCTATTGCAGGTGAGGCAGGCTCTCTAAAACAGGGAGACTGGAGGTAGACTGCTAGCTCTATGAGCAGGGTGGATAAAAATCAATGATTTAATTTTTTTAAAAATAATTTAAAACGGATTTTTTTAAATTTAAATCAGATTTTTTAAATTTAAATCAGATTTTTAAAATAAAATGCTTTTGGAGGAAAGATCTTTCTAAAGGTAGTTTTCTATTTAAGTTACATTATAGTCCAAAGGCTATTCATCAGCAAATAAGGATTTGTTTAAAGTTTTTCATATGTGCTAAAACTCAGTCTAAATTAGTTTGACACATATGCTATAATGTTATTGCTTTAGTTAAATAAACTATTTAAATTGTTATTAAGGAAATGATTATTTTTCTCCTGCCAATAAAGTACAGCAGAAAAGTTGTCAAAATATAGTTAACTTACTAAACATCACAATAATTTCATAATTACCTGTCTATGTATTTCTAATAGAATAACCAAATCAGTAGTTTTGATATAACTGTAAAAACTACTCTGAAAATTTATTATTCCAAAAACGAAACCTTCCTCTCGTTGTAAATATTAAGATTATACCAGCAAGAATGAGTTTTCAGGGTGTGTGTGATGATTTAAATCAAGTCTTACTGACTAGTGATTTAAATTGTGATTTAAATCAAATCCAACCTGTCTATGAGTGATCTGTGATAGATCTGGCGGAAGGGTAACAAGGAGGGAGGGACGGGGGTTTCAGAATCTGGGAGCAGCCACCGAAAAGGCCCAAGAAGATGGAGGTGTTTGATGAGACATCTTTCTCCGTTCCACACACCCCTGCCCACCTCCTCTCTTCTTTTTTGTCCAGGAATTGCGGTAGCTCTGAAGCAAGCCATGACTCCGGAATTCAGAGCTTACCAGAGGCAGGTCGTCGCCAACTGCAAGGCCTTATCCAACGCCCTTGTTGGCTTGGGATATCACATTGTTACGGGTAAGGAACAGCTAGGACACAAAACACACAAACACACACACACACACACACACAGACAGAGAACGAGTCGGCCCTGTCAGGAAGAAACATTACGGACAGAATAATTGCCACACACAGAAAGAACCAAGGAGTTAGAATGCTTCACCTGTAGTTGTATACATCATTTAATGCGGCGATACGAAGGGAAGGTGTTAATATAAGGGATTGTTATGATATAAGGGGTTGTTATTTTTACTGGAGCGTAATTGAAATTTCTAATGAAATTTTGGAATGCAGAAATAAAGTAAATCACCAAACCATCAATTCTAGCACGGGGTGTGGGGGGTGGGACGGGACAGGGACCTAAATTGTATAATTTGGCATCTCAATGACTGATATTTCTCAGTGCTTTTTTTCTTAAAAAAAGGTGTTTAAGGGTGCTTTCATTTTCCTACTCATATTGAAATACTGCCCCTTAATGAGGGCACACTTAGATTCACAAAATGTTTAGGGGTATGTGTGCCCCTGTCAGGAGTTCAGCCTACACTCGAGTAGGACCCTGGCAGAGACACATGCCCAGCTGGCATGTTCCCTCCCTCCTGGTTGATCGTTTGGGAGCTTCAAAAGCTTTCTTCTGCCCGAACATCACAGCAACAGATGCCAACAGACACCGACACACTTAGGGATCCTCAGAGTTTGCGCATCATGTGTGACAGACCTCAACAACTCAGCATTTTGGCTAATCTACTTTATTTACATATAAACACACACGGAGCACTGCAACATGGCTCCCTCTCTCTCTAGCATCAGACAGCAAAGAGAAAAAGAACAAGGACAATAGTCCCACTTCACGGAACACAGTAACACAAACATCCTGTCTCCGTCACTTCCCACTTTGTGGAGTCAAAACATACCACGTCATGTGAAAGACAACAATCCCATGACTGCAATCATGGAGCAGGAATTCTAACAGCCCCTGCATACCCCCAGAAAACAAAAGTACTGGTATTACTAATTGTATTATAATTTGGCATTGTTATAATGAGGCTGTTATTGGATTGTTGTAATTGAAAACTAGTAAAAATTACTATTGAAAGGAAGAAAGAGAACAAGAAAGAGTCAGCCCTGCTTTCCCTTACAAGCAAGGCTGTGAGTGTGAACCTCTGCCCCTTTATTAATATCTGGTGTTGCTTCCAGATAAATTGGCTGGAGGCATTTGCAAGGTTATATCTGGGGACAGAGTCTGCAAGTTCATCACCTCTGCTTTAGAGAACGTAGCTTGGATCGTACCCTTGAGCTGCCAGATAACAGTTTTGTTTTGCTCCATGGGATGCCTGGGGGTGGGGCTGATATCTCAGTCCCAGAAGCTAAAAGCCTCTTATTTTATTTATTCATTACACTTTATATACCACCGTTCTACCCCCTTCTAGGAGCTCAAGGTGGTATACGTCGTTCTCCCCTTCCTCATTTAATCCGTACAACAACCCTGCGCGGTAGGTTAGGCCAAGAGGCAGCGACTGGCCCGAGGTCACCAAGTGACTGTGGCCAGCCAAGCAGGGAGGATTTGAACCCTGGTCTCCCAGGTCCTAGCCCAACGCTCTAAACTTCTGCACCATACTGGCTAGCAAAACACTTGCTAGAGAGAGCAAGTTTCAAGTCTCAAGAAGCCAAGGGGTGGAGATTCAGCCCAGGTCCAAAAGATGTTCCAAAGTCTAGGCCAGGCAAGAGCCTAAGGTGAAGGGCACAGGTTGTTTTAGCGGCCGGGGATGATGTAATTTACCGTATTTTTTGCTCCATAAGACTCACTTTTTCCCTCCTAAAAAGTAAGGGGAAATGTGTGTGCGTCTTATGGAGCAAATGCAGGCTGCGCGGCTATCCCAGAAGCCAGAAGCGAGGATCAAGTGCAGCGACTCGCTTGCGTTCAGTGAAAGCAGCGATCCGTCTTCAGGGCTGTTCTGACGTTCACTTGCCCTGGAGAGGCACTGCATAGCTTATCAGCTGCTGCTTCACTTTCTCTTGCAGCAATCATGCTGGGAGGACGCATACTGGAGAAGCGCTGCGCAGAGAGGGAGAGAATATTTTTTTTCTTGTTTTCCTCCTCTAAAACTAGGTGCGTCTTATGGTCGGGTGCGTCTTATAGAGCGAAAAATACGGTATATTAATTTGTAATTTAGCAGCATCAACATGACCTGTTCTAGACGCTTAAAACGCGAAGCCAGTTCTTATCTGCTTGTCCTACTGAACGGATGCTTGCAAACTTCGCTGGCGGGTGCCATGTTCCTCGTTTCCCTCTGCTGCCCCCCCCCCAATCACCCTTGCAAATTTGGGGTGGCATGAGTGAGTCACTGCTGGCGTTTGGCTCTTCTCCTAGGCGGCTCCGACAACCATTTGATCCTGGTGGACCTGCGCAGCCGAGGCACGGACGGAGGGCGGGCCGAACGTGTTCTTGAGCTCTGCTCCATTGCATGCAACAAGAACACCTGCCCAGGTGAGAGTGGCCAAGCTTCAAGAGGTTCTTCCCAGTGCGTAGCAATGGCAGAGCATCCGCCTCCCAGCGCTGGGGTTTAGCAGTTTTCAGAAATGCCTGGTGTAGGGGTTGTGTATTGAAACTAGGAGAGGGATACAGTGGTACCTTGGGTTACAGACGCTTCAGGTTACAGACTCTGCTAACCCAGAAATAGTACCTCGGGTTAAGAACTTTGCTTCAGGATGAGAACAGAAATCGCGTGGCGGAGGTGTGGCAGCAGCGGGCGGCCCCATTAGCTAAAGTGGTACCTCAGGCTAAGAACAGTTTCAGGTTAAGAACGGACCTCCAAAACGAATTAAATTCTTAACCCGAGGTACCACTCTATATTTCTTAGTTGTTATCCTTCCTGACTCACATTTGGGAGTTCCACAAAGTACTTCCCCTTGTCATTCCCTCGGCCGGTGAATTCGGATCCTCCTAGCTGGGTATGAAGAGGCCTAGTCTGCCCACTGATTTCTCTGGCCTCATCTTGCCCTCTCTGCCTGGCAATCACTCTACCAGGCAGAGAAGGATCTTTCCTGGACCCAAGACCCCTTTAACTAGTGGTCCAGGGGGTGGCATTTGGCAGCTTGTGCACACAAAGTAGGGGCTCTTTCCTCTGAGTCACTACCCCTCCCATTTGGGGAGGAATTCAGGAAGGATGGGAAAGTAGACCTGAAGGAGCATCTCCACCCCCATTGTTCAGCCCGGACACTGAGGTCCAGCTCCAAGGGCCTTCTGGCGGTTCCCTCACTGCGAGAAGTGAGGTTACAGGGAACCATGCACAGGGCCTTCTCGGTAGTGGCGCCTGCCCTGTGGAACGCCCTCCCATCAGATGTCAAGGAAACTATCGGACTCTTAGAAGACATCTGAAAGCAGCCCTGTTTAGGGAAGTTTTTAATGTTTGATGTTTTATTGTGTTTTTAATGTTCTGTTGGAAGCCACCCAGAGTGGCTGGGGAGGCCCAGCCAGATGGGCGGGGTACAAGTAATAAATTATTTTTATTATTATGAATAATAGAATCGTAGAGTTAGACAGGACCACAAGGGTCATCTAGTCCAACCCCCTGCAATGCAGGAATATTTCACACAACGTGGGGCTCGAACCCACAACGCTGTGATCTCATGTTCTACCAACTGACTGTCCTTTATTTTGTCACTGCTGCTGTCCTTTGGGGAAGCCTTGTCCAAACCATTAGAGTCGCCAGTTTTCAGGGTTTAAACTGTTGGGAGCTGCCTGGCGTGGCTGGAGAAATAATAAATTATTATTATTATTATTATTATTATTATTATTATTATTATTATTTATTAAGAAGCAACTTTAGAAGACTGCTGGGTAGGAAAACTGAGGATTTAAATAACAGGCTTCAGTTTTTATGCAGTTTATCTATGCAATGTATAAAACTGGCCAGCTGTCCGTGTCTTTGGATTCAACCCACGGCCTCTTCCCTCGTGTCTAGGAGACAAGAGTGCCCTGCGCCCCAGCGGTCTTCGGCTGGGAACACCAGCCCTTACCTCCAGGGGATTCTTGGAAGAGGACTTCCGGAAAGTCGCTCACTTCATCCATAAAGGTAGGAAGGTGCCTGTGGGCATGGAAGCTCTGTTTTTGGAGATCTGGGCTTTGCTTTCTACCTCATCTTCGCCAGCAGCCTCTGCCTTAGGTGAACGCTGGTTTCATCCCCTCACTTATTTGCAGAATGATTTGGAAGTGCCAATGCAAATTCAGTTACAGGTAGGTAGCCGTGTTGGTCTGCCTTAGTCGAAACAAAATAAAATAAAAAATTCCTTCCAGTAGCACCTTAGAGACCAACTAAGTTTGTTATTGGTATGAGCTTTCGTGACACGAAAGCTCATACCAGTAACAAACTTAGTTGGTCTCTAAGGTGCTACTGGAAGGATGTTTGTTTCGAATGCAAATTCAGACTAGGCTTGCACCTTGTTTCAGGTGTGAGGAACCTGTGCTCCCCCCCCCATTATCTTATTTACACCCCACCATTTTCTCCAGCGAGCCCAAGGTGGTGCCCATGCTTCTTCCCCTCCTCCTGACCATTAGGTCCAGTCGTGGCCGACTCTGGGGTTGCGGCGCTCATCTCGCTTTAATGGCCGAGGAAGCCGGCATACAGCTTCCGGGTTGCGTGGCCAGCAAGACTAAGCCACTTCTGGCGAACCAGAGCAGCGCACGGAAACGCCATTTACCTTCCCGCCAGAGCGGTACCTATTTATCTACTCTGGCCTGACCCTCTAACCACCACACCACGCTGCCTCTTGCTGGACCACTATTTCCTTCATCCCAGATCATTGGGATGGTGGTAGTTGGAGCTCAATAGCATCTGGAGGGCCGGCCTTCAGCGGGTTTGGGCTGCCACACTCATGGAGTTAAGGGAGCTTTGCCTTCCTTTCCTCCCTCCAGTTAAATCCCTCTCCTGCATTCTTAGCCAGCTGCTTCTCTGCACACCCCTCTTGTGCTCCTTGTCCCTTCTGTGTTTTTCCTTCCCTCCCCACTTAAAATGTGGTTACAAAGCATGGATCCACATGGATCCTCAGGATCTTTGCATTGGGTCACCCCAAATTCACCATCAGAGCACATAGCATGTCCATGGCTACAGCCTGCACCAGAAAAATCAGGTACTCACTGTTGCCTGGGGCTGCAATGGTGCAAAAATGTGGTTAAAAAGCATGGATCCACATGGATCCTCAGGATCTTTGCATTGGGTCACCCCAAATTCACCATCAGATCACATGTCTGTGGCCACAGCATGAAGCACAAAAATGATACACCCACTGTTTCATTCAGAATGTTTTTTCCCTTGTTTTCCTCCTCTAAAAACAATGTCCGTGTTATGGTCAGGTGCGTGTTATAGAGCGAAAAATACGGTACTTGCACTTTGACGTGCTTTTGAACTGCTAGGTTGGCAGGAGCAGGGACCGAGCAACGGCAGCTCACCCCGTCGCGGGGATTCAAACTGCTGACCTTCTGGCTGGCAAGTCCTAGGCTCTGTGGTTTAACCCACAGCGCCACCCACATCCCACTCGTGGAGTTACCCTATACCAAATTTGGCCACCAGGTCAACTTGGGCCAGTGTGGTGTAGTGGTTAAGAGCGGTAGTCTCGTAATCTGGTGAACCAGGTTCGCGTCTCCGCTCCTCCACATGGAGCTGCTGGGTGACCTTGGGCTAGTCACACTTCTCTGAAGTCTCTCAGCCCCACTCACCTCACAGAGTGTTTGTTGTGGGGGAGGAAGGGAAAGGAGAATGTTAGCCGCTTTGAGACTCCTTAGGGCAGTGATAAAGCGGGATATTAAATCCAAACTCTTCTTCTTCTTCTTCTTCTTCTTCTTGTTGGGCAGAGCGATTGGTTCTTAACTGGTTGTGGCGTCTCAACATTTAGAGACATTTTGCGGTCCTTTAAACGGGAGGCATCTGGGATTGAACCTGGAGCCTTTCTGCATGCAAAAGACGTACGCTACCCCTGATCCACAGCCCCCTCTCCCCCTCTCCTGAGGTTTTGCTGTCCAAAGTAGTAATTGATCACCCAGTAGCCCACTCAGCCGCCAAACGAGGAAATTTCTGTGTTGCCCATGCAGGTATTGAGCTCACCTTGCAGGTCCAGAGCGACATGAGTCCCAAAGCGACGCTGCGAGAGTTTAAGGAGAAGCTGGTGTCTGACGAGAAGTACCAAGCTCCCCTGAGATCCCTCCGGCAGGAGGTGGAGGCCTTTGCAGATACCTTCCCCCTCCCTGGCTTGCCTGTTCTATAAAAGTCACGGTCCCCCCGCCCCCCACGCCAGAAGAACAGCAAGGAAACTCCTGCCTGGAACAGCCGCGATTCTTCTTGGCTGCTTTGAAGTGTGGGTTGTCTCATCAAGCTGCCCTCCCGTAAGAGGGATTTAGGAGGAATCGAGGTATCTCCAGTGTCCCTTTTTCTTTACTGTTCTTACAAGCAGAGCTGATCTTGAAACCTGCTCTTTAACCAACCTCTACCCCATCTTTTAAAAAATACATTGCATTGAATATAGACCCCGGGAGGAAATGGGCACAGGCCAAACGTAGCTTTAGAATCCTCCATTGGCGGGGTTAACGGCCGTATTAATGGACATCCCAGAATTATACCCCTGGCAGTGGTAAAGAGGCCCCGAGAGAGATGTGCCACACAGTTGCTGCGAATGGAAATCGCAGTAAAAAAATTGCATTTGGAATCAACCTATTACCCAAAGGTCTTAAATGGAAGAGGCTGAGAGGTGGCGGAAGGGGGAAATGCAATGTCGACAGTAACTCGAAGCTCCCCCGAGGTTTGAATAAACGTCAAACTGGGTCACGAGGAAGAATGAATCTGATTTTTTGCCGGGTTTGAGCTTCCTCGTTAAAGCTGGCGTCTCAGAAAACAGATTTACTGCAAGCCTAAGCAAGAAACAACAAAAAGATAGATCTTTGTGCTGAGGTGCCTTCAGCCAGCATAGCTGAGCCGCTTTCAAACCAGAGTTTTCTTCATTCGGGAAAACTCAAACCAAAGTCTTCCTTTGCTTTGGTTTACGGAACCCCCTGCCACAAGGATTGGGGGTGGCTGGGATCATTTAGCAGGGGTATTAAGAGCACAGATCTGTCAATAGGGATCAGTCATGAAATGTGCAACCCGGACAAAGTGCTGCGGTGTGGAACGCTCCTCTGTTCCAGTAAGATAGTTATGCCTCTGGGATACATTTCATCCCACCTGGTTTTCCATTCCCACCCTGCTGCAATGGGGCTCCCCCCCATCTTTTTTACTTTTTCCCCCTTAAAAGGTTTCTTGTATTTCTGCAAGAGTCTCCCTGCTGCCCCTGTGGCTGATTGTCCTTTGGGCTACCAGAGCAGGGTGCTCACACCTGAAAATTGGAAAGCTAAGCAGAATCCTCTCCTTCAGAGATCACTGAACCCTCACTGATCTGCTAGACAGCTGGCCGTTGCCTTTGTGGCCTGGTTAAGGGTTTCTCAGAACCACACAGCTATTCCACTGCGGGAAACAAGGCTAGACGAACCTTCCAGTCGGATCCAGCTGTTTTACGTGGCTTGTGCCTGAGATATCATCTCTAGACTACCAAGATTTCAGCTGTGTATAGCGATACCTGGAAAGGGCGAAGATAACGTTTCTCCATTCACCAGCATCGCTGTGGAATAGCAACTGGCACAAGTTTCCAATCGCTGGAGAACGGGGAGAGTTTAAGCAAACCATCTCGGATATTCAACTTTATCAGAGCGGGCCTATCATGAATGTAAGAAAAGTCCCGACGCGTCAGCCCAGTGGCCAGTCTAGTCCAGAATCCTCTTCTCACAATGGCCAACCAGGTGTTTGCTGGAAACCTGCAAGCAGGATCTAAGCACAAGAGCGCTCTCCCCACCTGTGGCTTCCAGCAATGGGTATTTGAAAACAACATAGCAAGGCAGAATTCTGTCTTTCTAAATCCAAGGCATGGGACTCTCAGCTACGTTAGCAAAGAAACAGCAATTTGGATGCATTATAAACATGCAACACTAGATGGCGCCAGAGACCAGGAATTTTTAAAACGCGATTTTCCATAGAGATTTTTTTCTTTTGTTAAAGCGATCTTATTTCTGACTTACAGCATTTTTTCCAGTTTAGATCCACCCATGGCTAGCCTCTTGCATTGCTCAACTCCCAAAATTTTGTGGTTGCCATTCTCCAGTCCTCTCCCCCCCCCCCCCCGCCGCTTTAGTATCAGACACAGGAGCTCAGAAATAGAGTCAGGACAATTTTTTACTAAGCACAATAAAATCAAGAATTGAACCACAATATACGCCAAGGGTTATATAAGCTTTAAAAAATACAACCAGTATATATATATTTTTTGTATTTCAAAAATATCTTGAGCCCAAATAAATAATTTCTTCTTCTTCTTCCCCCTGCCTCCAATGTACATTTTATCATTGTAGTCACTGGGTGTTGAGTATTGTTGGTGAAGCGCTTGTGCAGTACACACCTTAACAGCACTAAGACATGGAAGGCATGCTGCTCAGATTTTCTTCAGTGAAGACACTCCATTTCCCTCCCTAACTACTGCTTAAGCGAAGTGTTGTGTTCCTACAAGTGCGGACAAGAAACTGAACATGCAGTTAGGAAGATCACTTTGGGGAGTTGTTACTTCCAGGGAGCTGCTAGCCCAGTCCAGTCGAGATGGAGAAAGGTCAAGTAGTTGGTTGATAAGAAGAAAACGCAGAATTATGGGGCCCAGCGTCTGGGCTTTCCACAGCACCCAGAGGGACCACGATCCTGCATATTGCATCCACAAGCAGGCCAGCGCCAGCTCCGCACATGTAGTGCGCCAGCGCCAATTCACATGTCTCAAGGGGTCGATTGTACCTAAGCTGCTGAATTTGTGGGCCACTCACATCCTCTGTGTGTGATGTTCCCATGGATCAGCCTATGGTTATATTTTCAAGATTAAAGCAGCAGAGATATGCAAACACCTCAATTGCCAAATGGCTAGATGAGCTCCGTTATGGAAGCAGCTCATACTGAGAGGATGCGGAATGGGGCAAGCGTAGGATCTGCCTTCCTCTTGACGCTAGAACCACTGATGAAAGAGGGGGGAGCTTCTCCCCAGCTCCTCCAGTCTCCCCACTCTGTCCTGTATGGATTTCCCCTTTCTCTCTGCCAGCATTAATCATGGGGTTTTTTTTTACCACATCTGCCAGGAGCTTATAGCCAACTAGGATTAGCTTGTAACCAGGATTTGAAGCTGGTTGGCGCTGCTAGGGTGTAATACCACTGTTAAAACTGACAAGGGGCGGAAGAGGACGTTTGAGCCTGTGGGGTGTTGGCAATCTGTTAAGGATTGGCTAAGGACACGAAAGCAGAAAGCTAGTTCACGTTACTAGGCTCTGCAGGTGATTGGGCTAAGTCTTGGCTCTTGAGAAAAGGAAGGTGCTCACTAGCAGGCCTTGTATCTACATATATGGGAACCCTTTTTTTAAAAAAGTCAGCAGTGCCACACTACTGAATCTATGGCATGCTCGTGAACCGCCAAAACCGATTCCAGAGCCTTGTGATTCACAGATCTTGCTTCCATCAGGCAAGATGTCGGGCACACCTGCAAGTGTAACAGGTCCCTTTTGCACCTGCAAAAATAATAATAAGCAATGCTGAAGCCCTGAACACTGTCTGAAGGGCAGAGTAGATAGGACCACTGTGAAGCTAGATCAGTTCCTCAGGGATCCTTCATGTATTTCTGCTTATAGTGCAAGCTTTGAAAAGGCAAATTCTTAAGATGTTCAGATGGAAAGGCATTGCTCAGCTAAATCGGAACAAAAGTCTCTGGTGGGCCCAAGCCTGGGCACCTAGAAGACCTTGTGAGATTTTGTGTCTCCATTACAGGGATAATCCCAAATAAATTGCAGGTGTCCTTTTCTGTATTGGCAGTGGTGGTGGGAGAAATATCTGAATACAAGGCTAATGTGCAAACTAGGCTTTTTAGGAAGGCAAGAAAAAGCTACTCTTCAGAGGGACACACACATTCCTTCAGCAATTCGGGAAAGTGTTGCCTCCCACCATTGAAGGAGGAAAAGTCTATAAATGAAGGCTTGGTCTTGAAATTAAGGGAGATGTCGAAGAAAAGCCTGCCAAATGGAGTTGACAAACCAGGACCCAAAGTATCTAAAATTGGAGAGGCTTCCTGGGATAGACCAGCCTTCCCCAACCCCTGGCTGCTATAGCAGCCGTAGTCCAAAACATCTGGAGGGCACGAGGTTGGGGAACACTGACCTAGATGTGCCAACAATGGCATCCCACTGGCTAGGTTGATTACCTGAAATATCCAGAGACATTCACTATACTGTGGCTCCCAACCACCAATGGGGAAGGGGGAAACCAGTGTGATGATGTCACAATATGGGCAAATATTCCTAAACTGTACAGGGGGAGAACTAGACTCAATGACAGCATTCGGGGAGATAGGCCCATGGTTCCCATGACTCTTGAGTCCCACCCTTTAAAGAGATACCTTGCCTTGCAGATGCGGTGAAGCAACTCTGCTCAGGAAGGCCTTTTCCAAATCTTGGATATTGGGAGTCCTTGCATAACGCTGCTATGATTTCACTGCAAAGCACAACAGATTTCCCTCCACCATCTTCATGAACGAACAGCCACCCAATAGACTTTTTTGGAGGGGGGTTAGAAAGCAGCACAGGGGTGTTATCTTCTCTCCAAAAAGCTTTGAAACTTATCTGCCTACTTTGCTGAGGGACAGGTGGGGCCAGGCCTTGGAAGCCTGGCTGCTGTGAAGCCACCATGGGGTTGTCTGCATCAAAAGGTGGGACGCCCCCCCAACAACTCTCGTAGAAAAGCTTTGCCCGCAACTCCATCGTGGCTGACAACCTAGCTGGGTTTCCCAGCCCTATTTGAGAACAATGGCGTGTCAGGGCAAGATTCAAGCAAGGTTTGTACCGTTCCCACAAGATCCTTTTTCTCTGATACAAAGCAGCAAAGTGTCATACAGATGGTCTCTACCCAACCCATTACTTGAGGAACTAAAAAGTGCAGCATTACACACACACACACACACACACACACACACACACACACACACAGTGCAGCTTTGCATCAAGTTTTCCAGTACTCTTAAAACACCAAACTTGACACTCGCCCTTGAAGTTTCCTCCGGTGGTACATTCAGTTCCAGAACTCTGTCACACATAATTGCATTGAACAGAGGTTTTGAAATATCACAAGTCCAGTTACTCTTGTAAAACGTGTGTCTTGTCACCAGCTTCCTGACACACAGGGAACGGAAAGAGAACTTTCAAAAAGAAAGAAAGAAAAGGAAATAAAACTAGTAAGGCGTTCCTCCGCCTCTAAAATTACCAGCCAGCCGGCTGCTTGGGTTTTCCCGCTGCTGTACTTATCTGCAGCTAGGGAGAAGACGCAGATGAGATGTGGCCCCATCGGAGACCTCAAGTTTTCACAGGACGAAAGAAAGAAAGCGGAACCACCTCTACCGGATTCAACCAGAGTAATGACAGATTCTTAAAAGGCTCAAAACTGATCGCACCCGGTAGAGTTTGTGACTCAGGAGGAGCCCCAACATCCAGTCCAAGCTGCGTGACCGGCAACCACCCCAATGCGCAGCGACAGCAGAGGTAGTAAAACGGTTGCAAAGGCTGGATGTTCAGGAAGGGTGAGGCCAAATTGGAAGCTGCACATCCCAGCGCTGACCCCCATCCCCGCCAGGGGCTGGTTGTACCAAACAAAGCATGGGGAGGGTGGGGGAGGCCTAATCCAGTACATTCAATCCCAATGACGCCTGAGTGCTAAGGTTTAAGGGCACTGGGCGATTCCAGAGACCTCTCCCAGTGTGCTCTTGGGAGCAGTGGCACTGGCCTGTGTGGCAGGGTCCGAAGCACACCCTCCCCAGCTCCATCTTCCCTCACATTCTCCCCCATACTGCAGAAACAGGGCCAGCTATAAGGATTTGTGGGTGTCCCTTTCCCCTCTGGGAGAGGCAAGCCAAGGTGCAGCGGACTACAGAGACACAGTGCTCGGTGTAACACCCCGCCAAGGCCCCCTTGCGCTTTTCCAGGCTTCAGAAGGCCTTCACCAGACCTCTCACCTCAAGAGCCAAGGAGGGCCTCCCTCTACTCTCCAGGGATGCACAATGCGAGGAGTCATTGCAACCACCAATGCTGCAAAAGGCCCGAGAGATGGGTCAACGTCTGGCTATTGTGAAACAGCTGAATTCTTATGTTTAGCTTAAAAAACAAACAAAACCCCTCACAATTCACTCCCATACACTTCTGAAATATGTTTCTGTGGCTCACTGTGGTTTCTAAAAAATGCGCACAAGTCTTTGGTGCCACTCACATGTACCCAGCACCGACCACGTGCCATGCAAATCCCCTATAGTCGAGATATCCCACTGCTCCTTAAAGATGCTACACACACACACACACACACCCCACGCTCCCCACTTTAAGCAGCAAATGATAATGAACTTCCCCTCTTCCGAAGAGGTGTGACCGAGGTTTAGGAAGTCCCATTTTAATGAGGTTGGCTTAGCCACGCTGGGGTCCTTCATATCGTCCTACGGGTTCTCAATGACTAGTGTGTCGATCGCGGAATCGTCTAGGCCTGCAGATGGCCACAGGTGAGCCGGCGGGCGAGGAGGGGAGGCAGCAGGGCAGGCTGGGCACAACTTAAATTTTGTACAAGCAGCTGGGCACGTAATCAAACCTGAGGACCGGGCTGACCCCTCGGACGGGATCCTGAACGTACTGCAGTTTCAGGAGCTCGGCAAGGTACTGCACCACTTTGCTGTCCTCGTTTGCAAGCCCCAGCTGGATTTTCAGGAAGTTCAGCCGCCGGTTTGCCACGGACTCCTCCGTCTCCCCCTCTTTGATGGGCAGGTGCAGGTCGTGGTAGAAGGTGTACAGAAAGGCCTTGGAGCACAGCTGGGTCAGGATGGTCTGGACGTGCATAAAGTACGTGCTTCCCCGCTTGATCTGCGTGCGGTGGTCAGCGAGCCTGGGGATCAGGGTCCCTTTGTACTGCGGGCAGCGGAGAGTCTTGCTGTCGGCGTCCAGGATACTGATGTAGCGGCTGTAGCGGCAGAGGGAGTGCATCATGTTGACACCTGATGGAGAAGATGCTCTGGAAAGGAAGGGGGAAGATAATATGCTGACATTGAAACTCCAAGGTAGAATAACTACAAGTATGCAGGCATTCTGTCTGTGAGAGATCATGAAGTGAAGTGGCAGAGATTGGGAGCCAGGAGGTCTCAATTCAGCCACATCTCTCTCTGGGACCCAGAGCAGGAAATATCATTCCTGCACCAGCGTTCCCCCCCCCCCCCGGCAATTGCACACCCCTGCTGCGCTACCAAAGGAAATCAATGGGCAGGTCATGTTTCCTGCTTTCATAGCTAACCTTTGGAAGGAGCGGGGGAAGTTTCTGATTAAGTATGGAAGCCTCTGACATGAAAATGATCACCGCCAAACCCCACCATGGCAGAACAAATGGTGACTGAATGGGGCACATTTCTGACCAGTGAACTCCTCTTTCGTCAATGGGAATCAATTGTCATTTAACTGTACTGCCAGGGACCAGAGTTGTGAGGGTTCTGTATTTGGCAGGACCACAATGGCCGGAAACTACAACTAATCCAGAATGCGGCAGCTAGACTGGTGACTGAGAGTGGCCGCTGAGACCATATGACACTGGTCTTGAAAGACCTACATTGGCTCCCGGTACGTTTCCGAGCACAATTCAAAGTGTTGTTGCTGACCTTTAAAGCTCTAAAAGGCCTCAGCCCAGTATACCTGAAGGAGCGTCTCCACCCCCATTGTACAGCCTGGACACTGAGGTCCAGCTCCGAGGGCCTTCTGGAAGTTCCCTCCCTGCGAGAATTGAGGTTACAAGGAACCAGGCAGGGGGCCTTCTTGGTAGTGGCGCCTGCCCTGTGGAATGCCCTCCCATCAGATGTCAAGGAAATAAACAACTGTCTGACTCTTAGAAGACATCTGAAGGCAGCCTTGTTTAGGGAAGTTTTTAATGTTTGATGTTATCGTGTTTTGAATATTCTGTTGGGAGCCGCCCAGAGTGTCTGGGGAAACCCAGCCAGATGGGCGGGGTATGAATAAATTAATGATGATGATGATGATGTTATTACTTCCACTATCAGAGACAGTATGAGTACCGGCTGCTGGAGAAGATGGGCTTTCCAGAGGCATCTGGATAGCCACAATGGAAACTTAGGACTGTATCAAACAACTTTTGCTCAAAAGTTAGACCCATTGAAATTAATGGAACTGTGTTAGCCTTCTCTGAGTAGGACTAACAACAGGTTACATCCAATGTCAGTCCCACTCACACTAGACCTATTGAAATTAATGGGAAGGCTTAGATCTTATTAAATTCAATGGGTCTACTCAGAGCAAAAGTCAGCTGGATGCAACCCATTGTATATACAGTCCAAAATGCTGGACTAGATAGGCCTGTGGTCAGACATTTTAAAGATCTGGGTAGGTTATGGTGGTGGTGGTTTTTTTTACCTCTGCAATCCAATCAGCTTCCACTTCTGAAAATCTGTGATGTGCAAAGGAGATGTGGCCCAGTGCTTCACCGGCTTGGCATACGCACCGCAATTTGGAACAAAAATAGAGAGTGCGGTGACGAGCTTCTCCACAATCGTCTTGTCTTCCCCCAGCACTATCAAAGTCCTGCCGCTCAGCAGCGAATATATTGCAGGGTGAGCGAAGGGATACTGCCGGATGAACCTCAGTGCATTTTGCCCTGACTTCTTCTTGTGCCTTTCTCCAAAATGACCAACAGGAAGGGCAGGGGAAGGAGTCCTGTCCGAGCTGGTGGAGGCTGTGCTGCTGATGTAGCTTGTGGAGTCTGAGCATTTATCCAGGCTCATTTTACTCGTCTCTCTGCTGCTCGAGAGATAATGTGGGTCGAGTTCGTAGGTGAGGAGGCCTCCCAAGACGCCATCGTGGGAAGAATAGTCCGTGAAATTCACGTGAAACCCCTGATCCCCTTGCCGGTATGGCTGGGGCGGGATACTGACCACACTGTCACCATCGCAATGTTTGGGGAGCATGTTGGACGGAGGCTCAAGAAAATTTGGACTCTCTTTTCCAATGCAACAGGCAGAGTCCACAGGGAGCAGGTTTTCTGGTTCAGGGTTGCCTTCAGGGTTGTCTGGATTTAAAACAGGGCTAAAGCGAAAACCTTCATCTTCTTCGTCTGCATAAGGCTCTTCATTAATGGCACTTGGGTAGCTCGCTTTAAAGTCATCAGGAATCAGAGCTTCTGAGGGACACGTGCTGAGGACCTCAATGCTGTCCTCACTTATGGTCCTTCGGCTGACAGCTTTGCTCCTCACCACTTGTGGGCTCAGGTGGGCTTGTGGCATGCTTGCCTGGGTTTCAGATTGACTCAGGGCAGTAGCAGACTTTTCCGTCCCCAAAACCTCAATGCTTTCACCACTACTAACACTTCCTTTAAGATCTGCATCGAGGTACTCAAGATTGTCGTGCTGGTCATAAGTAACAGGGTCAGTGACTTCTGCTTCCTGAACGTCTTCAGTCTCCTGTTCCATCTTTATAGGCACAGACTCAACACTGGATTTGTAAGATCCCAAGCTGACTAATGTTTTAGGAATAAGGCAGACTTCCAAACCTTTGGGATTGGGGCTGTCTACGTTAGGTCCCTGGTAGCCATTTAAATGCTTTTCAGATGGTCGTTCATCAACAAGGAACATGTCTTCAAAAAGGAAGTTGGTAATAGTTTGCTGCTGCAAAAGTGCTCTGCTGATCTGATTGGTCAAGAGGTAGCAAACGTCACCTCTGAACGTTTTCTCAATTTGATGTAACTGATCTAGAGTCTGGGTGAAAAAATAAACATCACACAGTTCCTGAAGGGTTTTGAGTTTCTTGTCAAAGCACTTGGCAGATTTTGCCTTGATAAGTTTTGGGGTGTAAGAGGACAGGCGAGGATAAAGGTGTGTTTCACTGGGTTCGTCAGATTTCGAGGTAGTAAATCCTTGTTCGGAACTATCATCAGCTTGCTCTGTCACACACTCTGGCTCATAAGGGTGAAAATCAGAATCTTTCAGCTTACTGTAAGGATATGATCTGATTTGTTTTAAAAGATCTTGATGCTCAATGATTGATTTTTCAACACTAGCCAGTTCATTGGCTTTCTCAATGGCTTGTGTGGTATAGTATCCTTTCTCATTGTTTTTCTTCTGGATTTCAGTCTCATTGTGCAAAACAGTTCTAGTGTAATCAAGGTCTTTCAGTTTCTTTTCCAGTTCATTCGCAAAAGCTTTTCGGTTGCCAGTCTTTAAGCATTCTGATGCTTTGGAGAACTCCGCAGAGAGTTCCTGAAACATCTGCATAATCTTGTGCTCATCGGCAGAAATGTAGGCCATGCAGAAAGGCCGGACAAAGCCTCTCGCTTCGAGATCATAGAGAGTCAGGTGATGCACGTAAGCAAAAGCTCCTTCCTTGGAATCGCCCAGCACTACTTTAGAATCCTCCACGAAGTTCAGCTTTGGGTAAGGGCATCCAGGAGGGTGCCCCACAAAGGAAGCCTGGTAGTCCACCGACATGATGCGGAGGGAAAAATAGTTGAGATCAAAGGTGCCGGAAACTTTGGCATCATCCGGAATGGTGAGCAAAGGCTGGGGTCCCACTTGCTCCGAGAACTCGGATATAAGGATGAAGTCCCGGGTGAACTTGGCACCTGAGAGCTTGGACCAGGGGTTGGCCCCTTGGCTGGCAAAAGGGAAGAGCGGAACAGAGTATTCCTCAGGCAAGGCTGGCTCGCTGTAGGCCTCTTCTTCATACTCGTCCTCTTTGGTAAACGCCACCACATCTGGGGCGCTGATCATATTTCCAGGTGGGGACGGTGAAGGGGCATGAAGAAAGCAGGGCCGGTCCCTCACCAGTTGTCAACCGGAATCCATTGGCGGAGAATGAGGGCTCCTCTCCGCTGACGGACTGTCGGGGGTGGGGGCGCTTCCTGCACACCCAAGGAAACCTATTGCACTCTCCCTTTTACTTCCCTGCCGGAGGTGGGCACTTTCCGGAGTCTGTGGCACTTCCCTTTCTGACTAGGGGTCACCTGCCCCTCAGCTGAAGGACAGGGCACCAATCCTGTTCACCCAGCGGGCCTGGTGAGGCATGCCCTTTCATGGGGGGGCAGATCCCCCACCCCTCCAACCCCTCTCCCTTGGTTTAGCTGCCTGAATTCCAGGCTCCCCTCCCAGGATCTAATACGCCTCCTTCCCCAGGGAAGGAAGGGGACCCCTTTCTTTCTCCCCAACCCCTCGACTTTCCCTCCTGGGAAATGGGCCCTTCTCCGGATCTTCCTCCCCTCCCCACTTTTCCCCTCTTGCCAAAAAGGTGGGCGCTAGGACCAGCCCGACCCTCCACACGCACACCCCCTGCCCCGTCTCTCCCCCTCCCTTTGCCCCGCGCCTGCAGCACGAACCGTCACTTCCCCCTCACAGCCGCCGCCTGGCAGCCATCTTGGAGTCACATGACCTGTTGTGAAGCGACCCGGGTGACCCCGGAAGCGATTCCTCTATAAAAAAAATAAAATAAAAATCGTTTTTCCTTCACACACAACTTAGCCTTTAAAATAAAATAAAATAATAGGAGGAGCAGGCTGGTTAAGTTCGTGCTGCAAAGGCGCGAATATATAAAAATTTTAAAATATGAAAGAGGCCGCGCGACCGCGGTGCATCATGGGTGTTGCAGTTCCCTCTTTCCCCTCACTTCTTTTCATCCCCCCCCTTTTTTTAAAACAGCAAAAGTAGAGGCAGCACAGAACTGGCGAATGTAATACTACTTGAAAACAGCGTTAAAAAAAAAAGTTCTGTTCAAAAAAATTAGGTAGCTCGGTTGTTTACGTCAGCCGCCACCGCGGGGCATTCTGGGGGTGGTAGTTCTCAAGCGCTCGCAACCGCCTCCCGCTTCTGCTACTGCTTCGTATTCCCCCGCGGCTCTCTGTTTCGGAGAAGCCGTAAAGCAATACAGAAAGGGAAACGAACCCGCCCGGCCCGCTTCTCTTTCGCGTCGTGCGTTTACGACGGCGCGGAATACGGCTGGCAGGCGGGAAAGCTCCTGTTCTGTGAAGGAGGGAAGAGTCAGGGAAGCCTGAGGAGAGAGAGAGAAAGTGGGGGAAAACTTGAGGAAGAAAAAGGGGGCGAAGCACCCGAGGGAGGGCCGGGAGGAGGAACTGAAGGGGGGGCCAAAACAGGCAGAGAAAAGCGACCCCTGAGAAAAAGCTCTGGCGGAGGGGGAGTTTGACGTTTTTGTTTTGTTTAAAATTGGGGGTGGGAGCGAGCTTTTGATAGGAGGTTAGTAAAAAGTGGAGGAAAAGGTTTCAAGAGAGAGGGAGGCTTTTAGAAAAGCAACAACGTAGGATTGGCATTTATTTCTGCTGGGGGAGGGAATATTAAAAAGAGCGAAAGAGCTGGATTTGGGAAGAAAAGAAAGGAGAGGGGCAGAAAGGTAGGGAAAGGACCATCGTGTGTGTGGGGGGGTGTTGTTTGAAGTCAAGCAGCTGTTGAGTGGATGGAGGGGTGGGCTTGGCCTTAAGGTGGGAGGGGCAGTGCTGGCTCTGGAGTTATAAGGCAGCCAGTGGGGGCCCCCTGGGTTTTACATGTCTGAATCCTGGTGGGTCACTGGAGTAGGATCTAGTGGTCAGATAAGTTCAGAATCGTGCTTTGACGAGGGACAAGCTGCGAAACAGATTTCCTCCACCTTGGACACCGAGGGAAACACAGTATGGTGCTGGTTTGAATGGTCTCCTCTTGAAACAGGAGTTCCTGCTGCGGAGCACGTTGGCAGGCCTCCCCTAGTCCAACAGCCTTGGGTTGTCAAAGAACTCCATCCCTCTACAAGTCCACGTTTGTAAGAAATGGGAACCTGTGCACATCAGAACATCCAGCTGTTTTTGCAACCTTTCACGGTTCACGTGTGGCAAGTGAGCTGTCTTCCACTGTATCCGAAACTGGGTTATAATCCCGTATTAACCAACTTTTGGTGCTGATCCCATTGTTTCCATGGTGGCTTTATAAACAGACAAAGCAGCCTTGCGAAGAAGGTTCCGTCATGGCTTGGCAGGCTGGGAATTGGGCCCAGCTCTCAGGATGATTGGTCAGAGCAGACTGTTTGCCCGCTGTGGAGTTGGATTGCTCTTCCGGTCCTGGAGTCTTTGCTTCTCTCAGGCTGCTGAGGGCACAATGGTCCGCAACATCCAGAAGGTTCTCTGCGTGGCAGAGAAAAATGATGCTGCCAGGGGAATTGCAGACATCCTTTCCAACAGCAGGATGAGGAGGGTAGGAGAGCGCAATAGTGATACAATATTTATGTATTCGAATGTTGTCTTCCCCACCCCGAGGTTTGGTTGGAGGGGAGTAAAACTCATTATACCGCTAAAACACAGCACTCCTGATGAAATATTGGTCCTCAAAAAGAATCAGAAACCGAAAGGCTGTACAGTGCTGCTGGTCAAAAATGGAGATTATTCAGACACTGTAATACCTGAAGAGGTGTGTGGTGGCAGCTGAGGCCTGGTTCCAGTGTGACAGTGTTCCTATATGGAAAAACCTATATCCAACCTGAGCATAGTATGCAACCTGTGACAACTGCAGACATGTATTTTGCTGCATGTAGATATGCTCAAAAGATGCCAAATATCAGTCTTCCCAGTTATTGCACACAAAGCAGAATGTATGCTTCTCGTGACTTCAGCAGTGCCTGACAATTACAGATGGAAATAATTTTATACAGGATTACCCTCATTGTAAACATTACACATCTTAGCTATATGTTGATCTAATTCGTTATGTCCTGGAATTCTTGCTTTTTAGAGAGAAGGGTTTTCCAGGTTCAACAAGATCTACGAATGCCAGTATCATATGTTTGGCCAGGTATGTATCCAGCTATCCTTTACCATTGTGCTTTGTTACTGATCTGATGAAACTGTGTGTGAGAGAGAAAGAGAGGCAGGCTCTAATCCACATCAAAAGATAGTGGTAGTTACTACACAGATTCGCTGCGCAATCCGAAGCATGTCTACTCAGCAGTAAGTCCTGTCCTGTTGAATTCACTGGGGCTTACTTAGGTAAGTGAGGTCAAACCCACAAATCAGTGCAGATGCACCACAGCGGTTCTTCTCTCTGTGTTCCTCCCAGTGGTCATTCCTCCTCTGGTCACTTTCTTCGGATACACAACCTGATGGTCTGTCTCCAGGCACTAGCGTCTCATGCAAGAGATTCCTACACGGTGGTGTTGACGTTGCCAGCCTTCACGTCACATTTGCAGACATTTTTGTAACACAGGGATGATCCGCCAACAGGCCTGGTACCTGAAGCCAGCTACCCCTAGAGCAGGCTTACTCAAACTCTGCCCTCCAGATGTTTTTGGCCTACAATTCCCATGATCCCTAGCTAGCAGGACCAGTGGTCAGGGATGATGGGAACTGTAGTCTCAAAACATCTGGAGGGCCGAGTTTGAGGAAGCCTGCCATTCCATTCTGTGGAAGTGACTGAGCCAATATAGAAGTATTTTTCATAAATTCCCCCTTGTAATTGTGAAGCTTGTTTTATCGTGTGTGTGTATATATATGTGTATATACACATGCACACACAAACTGAAAGTGTTTGAATTTGGGAAGTGTCTGGTTCTTCTTTAGGAAGCTGGATTCATTTGTGCATGAACCCTATTTCTTGATCTCTTTACAATAAGCCTGAGAGGACTTTATCTTAGAAGCCCACTATGGGCGGAGGGTTTTAAGCATTTCTTTGGCTCTGACAGGGAATAATCCTTGTTCCTCCGGCTTCTGCAGAATGTAGCTGTGGTGATGACTTCTGTTTCTGGACATTTGCTGGCTCAAGACTTTAAGATTCCGTTTCGAAAATGGTATGTATGAGTGGATCTCTGAGGATAGTTCATATTTCTGCAGTTACATGCTGAGATTTTGAATAGAAGTTGTAGGAAGTTGTTACCTTTACCGTAGCAGATGTGTTTAGAAAGTGGAAGGCATTTCTTTAGACTTGTTGCCTGCTCTTGTCTGTTGTTGTTTGACTGTATATTTTGCTGACACTCAGGCACAGCTGCAATCCACTTGTCCTCTTTGATGCCGAAATTGAGACATTCTGCCCTGAAAATTATATGGACATTAAGGTTTGTGTTGCTGCGATGCTTTCTGCTGTAACTGCTGTTATCCTCTACCATTCTACCATCTATCTAAGATCTTTGCCTAGTAATATTTTCCAGTTGCATCCCTTGTACCTTCAGCAGGGGCAAGTTTGCCTGCTTTTTGAAGGGGCCTTTTTGCAAACTGTTACGATAGCTTGAACTTGCAGTTGCACTCTGCAGTATTGTTGGCTACTTTCTTGTTCACAAATTATGACTCAAGGCATTCTACCCCAAGGCCAGACACCATAAATGTCACAATTGTTGCCTCCGCATTGTACTGTGGATCAGAAATGTTGGGTCTTGCAAATCCATGCAATGGGATGTAAAACCATGTTAGTCTGTAATCAGGGCTGAACTTCCTCACCAGGCTTGTATATAGCAGGCTCCAATTTCCCCCTTTAAAACCGGCTAGTAGGTGATTGGGAGGCAGGTAAAACATTGTACAGTCGTACCTTGGATCCTGAATGCCTTGGTACTTGAACGTTTTGGTTCTTGAACGTCGCAAACCTGGTTTGCGAACGTTCTTTGGAATCCGAACATCCAAGGGGGCTTCCGCAGCTTCCGATTGGCTGCAGGACCTTCCTGCAGCCAATCAGAAGTCACTCTTTGGATTCCAAATGTTTTGGAAGTCGAACGGACTTCCAAGGTACAACTGTACTGCATACTCTGAGGCACATGGGACCTCTTTATTTTAAATGTATATGCACCATCTTTCCACTCATTAGTACTCAGAAGGCAACTTTGAATCGTAGACTTGTAAAATCGGAAGGGACATCAAGGGTCATCTAGTCCAACCCTACAATGCTGTAATCTCAACTAAAACATCCATGATAGATGGCCAGCCAGCCTCTGCTTAAAAACCTCCAAGGAAGGAGAGTCCGCAACCTCCACAACTTAACAGTTATGCAGAACAGCCTTCTCCAATCTGGTGCCCTCCAGCAGTTTTGAATTACATCTTAGCAGAAGCCCCATCTGGGCATGATGGGAGTTGTAGTCCAGAACACCTGTAAGGCACCAGATTGGCGCCTGACACAAAACAATAACAATGAAAACATAAATAGCTACATGGTTAAAATGAAATCTACAATACAGCAGTAAAAAATAATAATACTAAAGCCAGAGAAGGCAATGGGAAAACTGGTGTCCTCTGTTCTCAAATGCCCCCTGAAATGCCTGATTTTGTGCATGCTTGCTTTGAAGCAATCCCCACTGAAATCAGTGAGATTAGGTGGGTGTGCATAGATTTTCATCGTTGTAGCAAAATCCTACGCATGTGTACTTGGAAGTAAGCCCCATTGTTTTTGGCCTAGGCCTGGGAGCATGGTGTGTCTTGCCTGTTAGCTGTAGAAATGTGTTCTGTGTCCTTGCCACCTGCTAATTATGTGGCAGGCGGCAATTAAAACCAGCAGCATTGTGGGTGGCTTGTTTCCCTGTTCTCTCATCTTGTCCCGCTACTTATTCCAGCGAACACTTGAGCGAGAAGTTCAGCAGTGCCAGGCTCTGGTGATCTGGACAGATTGCGATCGCGAAGGAGAGAACATTGGCTTCGAGATCATTAACGTTTGCAAAGCAGGTGTGTGGGGTTGTGGTGTGAGAATGTGACCCCCCCTTAACAGAATCCTAGGTCAGTGAAATGCATGTAGACCAACCCTCTTCCTTCAAGCAGAGTCTTCCCAGATAGAATCATAGAATCATAGAGTTGGAAGAGACCACAAGGGCCACTGAGTCCAACCCCCTGCCAAGCAGGAAACACCATTAGAGCACTCCTGACATATGGTTGTCAAGCCTCTGCTTAAAGACCTCCAAAAAAGGAGACTCCACCACACTCCTTGGCAGCAAATTCCACTGTCGAACAGCTCTTACTGTCAGGAAGTTCTTCCTAATGTTTAGGTGGAATCTTCTTTCTTGTAGTTTGGATGCAGCCCAGTCTGTTCAATGCAGTGATTTCCCCTCCCCTCCGCCTGAAATGCTTGTATTATAGTGGACCAAAAGCAGAGAATGTGGTGCCTAATAATCTAGGCCTCTGAGCCTGCTTCCAAATTCTCCCACTCTTGCACAGTGATACACGCAGCACTGGGATTTATAGTGTACCCTTTGTGCCCCTGTTGTTCTAGTTTGCTGTGGATTTTGTGGACCATCACATTTTCTAATATCTGCCTGGGAAGCCATAGACAAGGCTTCTGGAATTTGGCTCCTTCTGTATTCTGACGCAGCTATACTGTGTGCTTCAGTTAAGAGTTGGTCCTGATTCATAGTATCTGTGCTGCAAAGCATGTGAATAGGAAGCAACATCTGCTTGCCATCTGGTAATGCTTCCCCTTTACGCTGTGCAAATGCAGCTGCTTCGGAGTGTAGAAGGAGCTGAGTTTTAATTCAGAATTTGGCATGAATCAATCCTATTTGTGGAACAAAGGAATCGATACAAACTCTTATTTAGTTTGTCTTTGGAAATTACCTTCAGCAGTATTTCCTGTTTTTGAGATGGTCTTATGGACTACCCAAAAGCACACCTGGACCAGTGGTGGTCCACAAGCCACAGTTTAAAGATTCATCATCTATTGGACCTTGAGCCCAACATGCCTTAAAAGTCTTTTCTCTCCTAATTCTTACCACGGCCTATTAAATCGACTTAAAAACACCTTCTTTAACAATAGCACTATGAGATAAAAGATGTCAGCTATGTTTTGTGGACCACTGGGATGTTATTGAGATTTCTTAAAATATTTTAATCATGTTGCTTCCTCTGTCTAAATCTGCCATTAATCTCTCTTTCTGGTGGACAGTGAAGCCGAGCCTCCAGGTATTCCGAGCTCGCTTCTCCGAGATCACGCCTGGTGCCATCAGAACTGCCTGTGAGAATCTCACCCAGCCCAATCAAAATATTAGCGATGCTGTGGATGTCAGACAAGAGTTGGATCTCAGGATAGGTATGGGAGAGAAAGGCATAGTTTATCCGCATATAAATACCCCTCGTAGATACTTGGGTCACAATGGATATTGTGGCATAAATCAGTATAAAGATGATACTAGCATATTATTGGGAAAGGTCTTTCAAAGCACAGGTATTTGCTCTGCATGTGGTGTATTTCCAAAAATTGTGAGCTTTCTGGTAATGCACTGCTTGTTATATTTTCAATTGTTGTTCTTGTTTTAAAAAAACTTAAGTACTAGAAACATACTCTCATGGCTAGTCCTGCGCAGTAACACCTGTCTCTCCATACAGATGGATGCACGGCCGTTTGGCTTATTTTCTCTTCTCTGCCTAGGTGCTGCCTTCACCCGATTCCAGACTTTGAGGTTCCAGAAACTCTTCCCCAACGTTTTAGCAGAACAGCTGATCAGCTACGGAAGTTGTCAGTTCCCAACACTGGGGTTTGTGGTGGAAAGGTTTAAAGCCATTCAGGCCTTTGTTCCTGAGTTGTTTTACAAAATTAAAGGTATGTTTCAGAATATCAAATGCAGAAAGTAAAACATTAAAAAAAAAAAGGTTTTGCAATTTACCTTTTACTATTAAATAATGTAAATTGCAAAAAAAAAAAAAAAAAGTTTATAAAAATTGTTTGCATCGTCAAAACATTTGTCCGCCGCTATAGGAGTTTGCTTTTATCCACAAATCAATGTATTATCTTTCTCATAATTTTGGACCCTACACCAGTGTGGTGTAGTGGTTAAGAGCAGTAGAGCCTTGGCCCAGTATACCTGAAGGAGCGTCTCCACCCCCATCGTTCCCGGACGCTGAGGTCCAGTGCCGAGGGCCTTCTGGTGGTTCCCTCATTGCGAGAAGCAAAGCTACAGGGAACCAGGCAGAGGACCTTCTCGGTAGTGGCGCCCGCCCTGTGGAACGCCCTCCCATCAGATGTCAAAGCGATAAACAACTACCTGACATTCAGAAGACATCTTAAGGCAGCCCTGTTCAGGGAAGTTTTTAATGTGTGACATTTTAGTGTATTTTGGTCTCTGTGGAAGCCGCCCAGAGTGGCTGGGGAAACCCAGGCAGATGGGCGGGGTACAAATAATAAATTATTATTATTATTATAGATTCGTAATCTGGGGAACCGGGTTCGCGTCTCCACTCCTCCACATGCAGCTGCTAGGTGACCTTGGGCTAGTCACACTTCTCTGAAATCTCTCAGCCCCACTCACCTCACAGAGTGTTTGTTGTGGGGGAGGAAGGGAAAGGAGAATGTTAGCTGTTTTGAGACTCGTTTGGGTAGTGATAAGGCGGGATATCAAATCCAAACTCCTCTTCTTCTTCTTCTTCTTCTTCTTCTTCTTCTTCTTGTGCTTTGTTGACGTTGAGTGGAATCGCCCTTCCCCAGCACAATTCTGTATGCAAATATCAACGATGAGGAACCTGTGGCCCTCCAGATGTTGGACCAACTTCAGCTAGCATGTCCAGTGGCCCAGATGGTGAGAGTTGTAGTCCAAAACATCTGGAGAGCCACAAGCTTCTCACTCCTGCTTTGAGTGCATTGCTTCTGTGTTGTATGACCTTTGTGACGCTGGGTCTCAAAAGTGACCTGCCTTCTCTCTGCAGTGACTCATGACCATGAGGAAGGCACTGTGGACTTCAGCTGGAAGAGGAACCGTCTCTTCAACCACACAGCATGCCTTGTTCTCTACCAAATGTGCATGGAGGTAAGAAACTACATAGTCCGGTCTGCATTCTCTTAGCATTCCAAGGCCCCAGAGATTGCTCACTCTTGCTGCTTGTTTTTCTCTTAGGATCCTGTTGCCACAGTTGTGGAGATCGGGAGCAGACCAAGGAGTAAATGGAGACCCCTGCCACTAGACACCGTGGTACGTTTATGAAAAAAGGGTCCTGGCATTAGGACGTAATGGAAATGGCTCTCAAGAGATCAACTAATCAAGAGCTCTTACTTGACTTCGTATTCTGAATCAATGTCCTTTTGGAAAGCCTCAGAGAAAGAGGCTCACTACAAATATTCTCTTTTTGAATGTATGAAAAATGTGGGTTCCTTAGGCTAAACCCTTGAATTCCTCAGCTTTAGAACTCGTGGAATATTTATCAAGTACAACATACAGGAGAAACAGGGAAGTATTGATAAGTCTGAAAAGCTCTGACATTGCCCTACACCACTTGTGAAGCTTTTGGAAGATGCTGCTTCTGTCTTTTACTAATTGAAATATGTGACCATCAGGCCTACTGTTTCTTGGAGCTGAGACACCAGTGCTACAATTTTCAGAGTTTGGCGTGTTTACCAGAACAGTCTTCCCCAACCTGGTGTCCTCCAGATGTTGCTGGACTACAACTCCCATCATTCCTGGCTGTTGGTCAAGCTGGCTGGGGCTGATGAGAGCGGCAGTCCAACAACATCTGGAGGGCACCTGGTTGAGGAAGCCTTCACTAGTATTTTAGACGTGTTATGGTCTTTCCTAAGCTAATAGACCAGCTTATTTTAATGTCAAATTGCACATTGACCATCTGGCGATGCAGTCATTGAGCATATATTTCCCCCATCTGCCTCTGGTACAGGAACTTGAGAAGCTGGCTTCCCGTAAGCTGAAAATAAATGCCAAAGAAACCATGAAAATCGCTGAGAAGCTCTACACTCAGGGGTAAAAACTGCAGTAGTTTGTGCGTGTTTGTTGTATAAAACATTCAGGTCAGTATTTCCAGAAGCAGACACAATGGAAGATGAGCGATGGATCAGGATCACATGGAAGTCCTAATGGTTTATCATCATCATTATTATTATTAATATGCCACCAATCTGACTGGGTTGTTCTGGCCACTCTGGGAGGCTCCCAACTAAAAGTAAAAGCACAATATGACATCACACCCTAAAAACTTCACTGAACAGGGCTGCCTTCAGATGTCTTTTTAAAATCACGTAGCTGTTTACCTGTTTGGCATCTGCTGGGAGGGCGTTCCAAAGGGCGCGAATGACTATCAAAAAGGCTCTCTACCTGGTTCCCTGTAACCTCACTTCTCGCAGTGAGGGAACCACTAGAAGGCCCTTGGAGCTGGATCTCAGTGTCCGGGCTGGAGGATGGGGCCGGACACTCTTCTCCAGGTATACAGGGCCGAAGCAGTATTATATCTGTGGCTTGTTGAGTGCTAATATCTGCTACTAAAAAACATCTGGCCTTTAAACAAAATTAGGTGTAGATTTGTTTAAAAGTAATGCTTATTTTATGTTATAAATTGTCATTTTTTAATGGCCCTTTATTTCCTATTTTTAAGGTACATAAGTTATCCTCGAACAGAGACCAACATTTTTCCTAAGGACCTAAACCTTCCCAACTTGGTGCAACTTCAAACGCAAGACCCTCACTGGGGAGCCTTTGCACAAAGGATTCTAGACCATGGTGGGCCGACCCCACGTAGTGGAACTAAATCAGATCAGGCCCACCCCCCTATTCATCCTACAAAATACGCAGGAAATTTACAGGTAATCCCATGTGGTTGGGGTCGCTTTTTTGTTGTTTATTACACCATATGCTGCTTTGTTTACTCTTAAGAATCTAACTGGCTGGCTTGTTTTTCTAACTGCCACTTGGCAGAGGAGCCGTGACAGGTTATCCTCATTGAGAAACATGATGGTGGAGCCTCGTTTTAATTTATTTAAGTATTAGTATGGTGGTGTGTCATAAAAATTAAATCGAAGCGATTTATAGAAACAAAACCATTAAAAAATACAATAGAAACGGTAAAAAAAAAAGTTGAAAATCGGCATCAATTAATCATTGTGAAAGGATGTATTCTTCATTGCCTGCATAGATCTGGCAGTATGGAATCATTTTCAGCAGGCATTTAGAACAGATGGTGCCTGCTGAATCTGTATTGGCAGAGAGTTCCACAGGACTGGACTGATAACACTAAAGGCTTTTTTTAAATTGTCAAATGAGCCTCGCCAACTTGGGGAATGACCAAAGATATTCCTGCAGACCAGCTGGGGCCTCCAAAGCCAAGGGCAGCCCCAGACAGAGCACATTACAGTAATCTCAACCTTATCATGCTTTAAATAGCAGGCCATTTCAGGTGTAAGGGCATGCAAGTTTCCCATTCAGATTAAAGTGCCATGGTTATCGGAAGTTTGTGAAACACTCTAGAATCCTTTGCTGCTTGTTGCTTCTGTTTATTATATACCTGTTTTCTACCCTGCCCAAAGCTGTCTCCCTGAACTGAACCAGAAGCTTGTTCTCCTCTCAAATGCCATTCACGTATTATGCATTTTTCTTTGCACTCTGTTAATAGGGGAATGATCAGCGGCTCTATGAATTCATTGTGCGCCACTTCCTGGCCTGCTGTTCACAAGATGCGAAGGGACAGGAAACAACTGTGGAGATTGACATTGCTAACGAGCGCTTTGTAGCTCATGGGCTGATGATCCTGGCCAGAAATTACCTAGATGTCTATCCTTACGAGAAGTGGAGTGATAAGGTGAGGTGGGACTTGTTCAGTATGGTTGGACTCAATAGCGGGGTCAGCAACAGAGATCCCCTGGGCCAAATCTGTCCCTCTGTTTGTAAATGTCAAAGGCAAAAAAAAACAAAAAAGACTTACGGAAACAGTATGGTGTGCCAACAGAGCTTTTAGGACCAGTGGTAGCTATGTGTTGGCTATGCATACACTCTACTCCCTTTTCATAAGAACATGATTTTTAAAAACAAAAAAACCATCCTGCCAAACTTCTGCCCAGCCCACGGAGTAGGGAACCTTTTCTTTCGTTTTATATAATATGTAATTTTTATTATATTTCTGTTTTACATTTTAGAAAATTCACTTATTCAACCTTAAAATATCAATGACTTCTCTTCCTCTCTTTCCATGGTTCACTTTTCACAACATAAATCCCTGCATATTTTATATAAACTAAACCATTCAGTATTCCATTATTACGAGGGCAGGGAACCTTTTCAACCCAGCGGGCCAGATCCTGAGCTCCCCACTCACCTGTCAAGCACCTGAGATCAGCATGATGTCAGCTAGCTCATTTTTCTGTTGCAGCATCATGTGAGCTCAAGCCATGCTGCAAAGGAAGATCTCACTCAGTAAAGCACTAATCCACAATGACTTCGGTATATTGCGATATATAGTGAAGTTGAAAACCAGAGATTGCCCAGCCCTACCCCTTATTCCCCTTTTTCTAAGTTAAGCAACTCCAAATGTATCATTTCTTTCTCTCTCTCTCTCTCTCTGCCTGCCTGTCTCTCTCCCCTTGCCCCACAGGTTATCCCAGTTTATGAGAGGGGGTCTCGCTTTCAGCCCACCACAGTGGAGATGACGGATGGGGAGACCAGCCCACCCCAGCTGCTTACAGAAGCTGACCTCATTTCCCTCATGGAGAAGCACGGCATTGGTTAGTCCCCTACAGGCAGTTCAAGGGAAGTGTAATCACATGTCTCAAGACGCTCTGTACACCACACTGCCTAAAAGCTACCTAAACCTTTGGCAGTGTGCAGAGAACTAACACGTATTGTGGGATGGGCATTTTAGTGATAAAAGGGGAGAGTGGAGGAGAGCCAATGTGGTGGTGGTGTGGTTAAGAGCGGTAGACTCGTAATCTGGTGAACCGGGTTTGTATCTCCGCTCCTCCACATGCAGCTGCTGGGTGACTTTGGGCTCGTCACACTTCTCTGAAGTCTCTCAGCCCCACACAGAGTGTTTGTTGTGGGGGAGGAAGGGAAAGGAGATTGTTAGCCGCTTTGAGACTCCTTCGGGTAGTGATAAAGCGGGATATCAAATCCAAACTCCTCTTCTTCGAAGTGAATGGGGAAGGAGCTGTGGATTCTGGGGATACTGGTAAACAGTAGGTACAGGGGTTGATTTGTGCAAGTGGCAAAATGCAGTATCCCTGCTTATTGCATGCATTTGCAAGTCTTTTAAGCCAGCGTTTGAGTAGTGAATACAGTTCTCAGTCAGTATTGTGCAAGAAATAATGGCAGGAGGCCCCTCATTGCTGATGAGTGCTAACCGAAACGATTACTTTCAGGGACAGATGCCACCCACGCGGAGCACATTGAGACCATCAAGTCCCGCATGTACGTGGGGCTCACCCCAGAGCAGAGGTTCCTTCCTGGGGAGCTGGGGATGGGGCTGGTAGAAGGTAAGGATGGGCCTTCTAAGTGAGCTTTTAGGATCGCTCTTCCTCACATCCTTTTCCTCACCACAAGGTCTTCACCCCACCCTCCAGGCTACGATGCCATGGGCTACGAGATGTCTAAGCCTGACCTCCGAGCCGAACTGGAAGCTGACCTGAAGCTGATCTGCGAGGGGAGGAAGGAGAAATCTGTTGTGCTGAGGGAGCAGATCCAGAAGTACAAGCGAGTCTTCATCGAAGCTGTCGCGAAGGCAAAGAAGTGAGTCATTTCCTGCCTCTCTAGGACTCGGCAGCGCCCAAGCCAGGAGTGGCAGCTGAGCTCCCCCGTATCTCATTGCTTTGCAACATCGTGGTGGCTCTTATTACTGTTGTTCCAATAGACATGAGGTGCACAAATAGCTCTTCTTTCCATGGAGTCATCAGTAAATTAGTTTTGGCTCTTCGTGTACAAAGTAGGGAATATACATTTTGTAAATGAAAGGTGCCTTTGTCAGGGCTGGGGAACCTTTTTCCCCCCTGTTGGGGCAGAGGTCAGCAAACTTTTTCAGCAGGGGGCTGGTCCACTGTCCCTCAGACCTTGTGGGGGGGCCAGACTATTTTTTTTGGGGGGGGGGGGAGAACAAATTCCTATGCCCCACAAATAATCCAGAGATGCATTTTAAATAAAAGGACACATTCTACTCATGTAAAAACACGCTGATTCCAGGACTGTCCGCCGGACGGATTTAGAAGTTTATTGGGCCGGATCCAGCCCCAGGGCCTTAGTTTGCCTACCCATGTGTTGGTGGCTACATGCTATCGGTGGGCAGCGCCAGAGACAAAAAAGTGAGCAGGGCAACCCTTTTCTGTCTTTCTGCCACCGCCACCACCCCTCTCCCCTAATTCCCCCCACCCTTGCCATCTACAGGAAATCAGGCCAAGCGCTGCTGGTCGTCCACTCCTGAAGCGGATAATGGAATATAGACTGGGTGTGGTCAGCGTTGCTGTACTACTATAGGTATTTATTTGCACAAGATGAATTGTGTAAATAAATACCAGAAGAAGTGCAATTATTTTATGAGTGAGCTGTGCACTCCCAGTCCGTTCATAACATTGGCAGTCTGCTAGGAGTGCCTCGCTCTGCCTGTTTTCACGTGTTCACCCTTTGTGTAATAATGTGATGCAGCTATTGTCCCCTCTCAAACTGCTTTTAGCCTCTCTTAGGAAAGATAATTCTGCATTACGCTCTTCTGTATTTACTCATACCTCCCAAGTTAGGTGAGCAGTTAATGCAGCTGATAAAATAGACTCTTGCTTTAGTTCTTTCATTCCCTCCCACTTCTCCTTTTACCCATCATTTTCTTTTGTCTTCTACTTTTATTCCCTGGCAAGAGCCACTTCCTGTAGCACAGGGATGGGTGGGAGAGGGTGCCTTCTGAATGTTGCAGAACTCTAGCTCCCATCATCCTCAGCCAGCATGGGATGATGGGAGCTGGAGTCCAACAGCCTCTGGAGGGCTAGAATTTTTCTCCCTTTGCCTTTTTAAGGAGTCTTGCCCCTCCCTTCAGAAACTGGGTCTCTGACATGGCCTTCCGCAATCTTTCCTGCTAAGGAACGAACGCTGATTTGCTTGCGTTTTGTTTTCTGTGCAAATACTTATAAACCCACTAATCCTTTGAGCCGAAACAGCTGGAAGCCGGGGAAAACAAGTGCAGCTTTGTCTGTTTGTCTTTGCAGGCTGGATGAGGCTCTGTCTCAGTATTTTGGGGAAGTGACCCACGTTGCACAAGAAGAAGAAATCTACCCAGCAATGCCAGATCCTGTTAGAAAATGTCCACAGTGCAACAGCGACATGGTCTTGAAGACCAAGAAGAATGGAGGGTCAGTACAGGGGCGGCCCATCATGTTTTGCCACCTGAAAAGAAACAAGAAGTTGCCCCCTCCTGCTGGGGTCCTGTTGTTGTCTCTTCTGCTGCTCTGGTGGCAGAGGAGGGAAGCAGCCCCACCCCCCATAACCAGGAAGTGAGGAGAGGTGGTGGCGGCAGTGAGAGCTCACCAGAAGCGGTGGCAGCAGTGGGAGGGTTGGGCAGCAGGCAGGCAGGCATGGCGGTGGGATCTGCCACGTCTGGATTCCAGCAAGATCCAAAGCAGTCCCCTCAGTGTGCCCAATAATAACCCAGCTCTGGGTCAATATGAGAGTAAACAACCTGACATTTTAAAACAACACCCATCTTACAAACGAGTCTGCAAATATATTTGTTCACAAAAAATGCTTTACTAGTCAGTCTGTAAATACATACCTGCAAGTCACTATGGGACTTAATTGGGCGGGGGGGGAATGAGCCCATTGTCTTTGTTGGTCGTCTGGAGGTGATTGTTACTCACCATGGGCGACCAGATAGGTAGCAGTTCCCAGACCTGCTTAGAGAGCGTTCCCTTGAAATTCTGCCCAATGGACGGTATTCCTTCTCTGCTGATTAATATTTGCAGAGTTCGAGGCTGGGGAAACTTTGGCTCCCCAGGCCTCCCCCTTTGGCCTGCCACACTGTTTTTGTTAAGCCACACTCACCTGTCTCGCACCTGACATCAGGTGTGAGATGGGTAGAGAAGCAGCTGAATCCTGGGCTGAAAAGCAGGATTGAACTCCCTGGCTGGGTTTTGAATGAGAAGCAGGTCCCCAAATGGGTTGAAAATATTGAATATGACTTGTGTAGACCATACCAAAGCAATGGTCCGACTCCTCGTGTGTGATGCCAACCCACAAAGTCAAAGTCTGCAAATAACTGTTTGCCTGGTCACCTGGGACAAGCAAGAATTACCTTTAGGTGACAGGGATGCGTTCATCAGGGGAAGACACTTGGGTTCTTTCCCCACTACCTGCCCTGCTTCTGAAGAGTCCATACATTACAATTGGCCACACAGATAATATCTATGGGGAATCAAGAATTTTCTGTGGGCTGTCATCCTGACATTTCTACCCTACATAGACTTCTCGGGATTTGAACACGGGACCTTCTGCATGCACAGCAGATGCTTATGCCACTGATCTACAGCCCCTCCCATAGTTCCTCCCCTATTCTGCTGTTTCCTTTTAATGCTTTTTCTTTTTTAAAAAAAATCCCCAGGTTTTTCCTCAGCTGCTTGGGCTATCCCACCTGTAAATCTGCTGTGTGGTTCCCCGATTCTCTGCTGGAAGTCAGCAAGGACGACTCCATCTGCGAAGTGTGCAGACCACATCCGGTGCACATGTGAGTGTTTTCCTAAAGACGGGGAGGCGCTTTGGTTCCGTTCACATCACAGTTTGGGGTGCATACCTAGCGGCAGGTTTTTGAAGTGGTTGAAGATTCAGGTGGAATTTTCTCCTGAGAGGCAGGAGAAGTGTGTTTGCATTTCAGTCTAGTAATAGATCCGCTCCTCAGACACATTAGAGGGAATTGTAGCAGGAGGTTGCCTTGCTATGGAGTGGCGCATGACCCATGTTGTGCAGCAGCTATTGAAGGGGGAGGTGCGGGGGGTGAATTGCAATATTCCCCTCCATTGTAAAACAGGTTGTTCAAGTGTCCCACATTTTCCAAATGCTCAGCCAAATCTGCAAAATCAGGACACCGAGTTGTAGCTGCGGACAGTGGGTATTGTTTTTGTTTGTTATCACGGTATGCATTTTTGTAGTTTAATATTGTAAGCAGGGTGGACCAAAATTAATTATTTTTATTTTATTTTTTTAAAATTTAAATCAGATTTTTAAAATAAAACGCTTTTGGAGGAAAAATCTTTCTAAAGATAGTTTTCTATTTTAAGATACATTCTAGTCCAAAGGCTATTCATCAGGAAATAAGGATTTGTTTTAAGTTTTTCATATGTGCTAAAACCCAGTCTGGTTTTTGTTTTTTTTAAATCGTTTAACCACATCAGTTAACAAGCATGGATACATATGCTATAATGTTATTGTTTTAGTTAAATAAATTGTTTAAATTGTTACTAAGGAAATGATTATTTTTCTCCTTCCAATAAAGTACAGCAGAAAAGTTGTCCAAATATAAGCAGTTAACTTATTAAACCTCACAGTAATTTCATAATTATCTGTCAATGTATTTATAATAGTATAACCAAATCAGTCATTTTTGATAGAACTGTAAAAACCACTCTGAAAATTTATGGTTCCAAAAATGAAACCTTCATCTGGTTGTCAATATTAAGAGGATGCCAGCAAGGTTGAACCTTTCTGTAAAAAAAGGAGATTTAAATCAAGTCTTACTGATTAGTGATTTAAATCAAGTCTGACTGGCTAGTGATTTAAATTGTGATTTGAATCGATTTGATTTAAATCAAATCCACCCTGATTGTAAGCTGCCCTGTGATCATCGGATGAAGAGCGGTATAGAAATTTAATTAACAATAATAATAGCCAAAAAACTTCTACTCACAATGGAACCATAGAATTGTAGAGTTGGAAAGGTCATCTAGTACAATTCCCTGCAATGCAGGAATATGCAGGTCGCCTGTACGGGGATTGAACCTGCAACCTTGGCATTAACAGCACCATGAGCTAACCAGCCGAGGTCTGTTTTGAGCAAACTAACATTGGATACAATCCAACTGGCCTGCGCTATGTGGGTTAGGTTTCCTTCCCGAGCAAGACCTTTACTTGCACATTTTTGAAGATACAGTGGTACCTCTGGTTACATACTTAATTCGTTCCGGAGGTCCATTCTTAACCTGAAGCACCACTTTAGCTAATGGGGCCTCCCGCTGCTGCTGCACCGCTGGAGCATGATTTCTGTTCTCATCCTGAAGTCCTTAACCCGAGGTACTATTTCTGGGTTAGCGGAGTCTGTAACCTGAAGCGTATGTAACCTGAGGTACCACTGTAATAGGCAGAGTGCCCTCTTTGCAGGACCTTGGGAGCTGACTGGCAAGGCATCCTTAGAATGTCTAATCTCCTGCTAAGTACAGGATCTACAGTGCAGTATGCAAATACCTCCATCAAAGATCCCGTCGCTTCCCACAGGTCTGTTCCACCGTTGAACAGTTCTTACAATTAGGAAGCTTCAGCCAAAATCTGCTTCTCTGAAATATCCAAACATTGGTTTTAGTCCTGGCCTCTGGAACAGCAGAGGATAACTGCTCCATCTATTGCTTGGCAGGCCTTCAGTTGCTTAAAGACAGCTGTAATGAATAAAAACTTAGAGGCAACTGCTTGAACTGTGATCTAGTAAATAACACAGTACAGTGGTATCTTGGTTCTCGAACGGCTTAGCTGCCGAACAAACTGGCTCCTGAACACCACAAACCCGGAAGTAAGTGTTCCGGTTTACAAACGTTTTTTGGAAGCCGCGTCTTGGTTTTTGAACGGTTTTGGGAGTCAGACTCCCAGAACGGACTATGTTCGAGAACCAAGGTACCACTGTATGGTCTAGTTAACTGGTGGGGAACCTGTGGCTCTCCAGGTGTTGTTGTACTTCTGCTCCCAGCTGCCCTAGCCAGCACAAACAAATAAGAGTTGGGGATGATGGGAGTTGTAGTCCAGCAACGTTCAGAGGGCCACAGCTTCCCCACCCCTGGACTAGCCGTTGCTGTCTACGCTGGCCAGGAACAAGCCCAGTGCTAACTTACAACACCTCTGTTCTTTAGGTTGAAGATGAAGTTCAAGAGGGGCAGCCTCCCGCCCATAATGCCCCTGGAGTTCGTTGGCTGCATCGGAGGCTGCGATGAAACCCTGAGGGAGATCCTGGATCTGAAATACCTTCAAGGGGCACCAAGACCTTTGCAGACGACCAGCCAAGCAAGCAACCTCTCACAAGCCAACCGTTCCTCTGACCGCGCCGACAGCAACCGGAACAGCCACAGGGTACTCCCGAATGCTCCCCAAGGCCCTCCTGCACGGGCCGCCCGAAATCCTCCCCCTGCGCTTGCCGATTCTGGTGGGAACAACGCGGTGGTATGCAACTGTGGGGAGGAGGCTGTGCTGCTCACCGTCCGGAAAGAAGGACCCAACCAAGGCAGGCAGTTCTATAAATGCAGCGCTGGCAGCTGCAACTTCTTCCTGTGGGCCGATGAGCAACCGGACAGCAGGGACACTGGGATACCCAGGGGCTTTGCACCCCCTCCAGGCCCCTTTGGTAGAGGGGAAATGGGCTCAGGGCGCTCTTGGAGTGACGGCTCTGACCCTGGAGGAGGAGGAGGAGGAGGAGCTGTGTGCAGGTGTGGCCAGCCTGCTGTCACTAGGACAGTTCAGAAAGAAGGACCCAACAAAGGACGTCAGTTCCACACCTGCTCCAAGCCAAGGGAACAGCAGTGTGGCTTTTTCCAGTGGGCGGATGAAAACACGGCACCAGGTAAGGAAAGGGGTCTAGATGGTTTGGGGGACGGGGGACGACTCTGGAGAGTCGGGTTAAAATCAGCCCAGTGTGGGGGCTTCCTGGGAGGAGAAAAGCTGGCAGGGGAAGGAGATGCATCACCCCGCCTGAGCTCTCTACAGGAATGGTGGGATACAAATGCAGGTAACTTGAAGCTCTGCGCCTTTTTGGATTGAAATGGCAGGGAATTGCCAATATCCTATGTGGCTTCGCTTGCAAAGTTACCTTCCCAAGTAGGTTCCAGCTGATCTGCTAGATCCTCGAAGATTCCACTTTTTAAAATACTGTATTTGCCTGTTTTGAGATTTTAGCACACAGCTGGCAGCAGAGGGAAATTCAGCAGGCAAAAGGTCCTGTATTCAAGCTGCTCACTCTCTCTGTTTAACCAGCCCTGGGCTAGCAAGGATGGGGAAAGGGCAAATCCCTAAAGAGTTTTTTCCCCTGGTTATCGTAGGTGTAGCTGGACTAGAGTAAACAGGCTGGAAAAATTATTCCGGTCTCACAGTGCAGCAGGCCACCCCTCAGAGCTGAGAAAGGGGGGGCCAGATGCCACCATCAACAATATACAGTGGTACCTCGCAAGACAAAAAACGCGCAAGACGAAAGAGTTTTTCGTTTTTTGAGTTGCTTCGCAAGACGAATTTCCCTATGGGCTTGCTTTGCAAGACGAAAAACGAAAACGTCTTGCAAGTTTGTTTCCTTTTTCTTAAAACCGTTAATACCCTATGGAAACCGTGCTTCGCAAGACGAAAAAACTCGCAGAACGAATTAATTTCGTCTTGCGAGGCACTACTGTACTTTGGTCTGCCAACATGGCCCCCTTTGGGGGGCAGTGACACCCTTGAAGTCTTCCTGTGCTGTTCATGAACACCCACCCCCTTGGTCATGTTGTGGTTGTGCATTGTTACTTTTTTCTCTGTTAAAAATATGTAAAATAGCGTCACTCTTCCAACTTCCTTTTTCAGCTTTCTCCCACTTCCAGTTTCAGCAATATTTGCTTTCAAAGGCTCAGATTTAATTCTATAGGATCCAGCATTGACTCAGATCCCTTGGAAATGGAAAGTGTGCGTGTGTGTCCTTTCTCTGTCTCAAAGTGGGGGAGTGGAGAGATACACACTCAAAATTTCCAACGTGTCCACAGACCTAAAAAAAAAAAAGAAGTGGCAACCCCTCTTCTATGGCACACTTCTGTCATCTGAAGTAATCTTAAATGTTTTCCTTCTCTTTATCCCCAGACGCTGCCTTTCCTTCAAACCACTTCACGAACAAAGGGAACACGAGAGGCTCAGGAACTAAGACTAAAAGATCAGACAGCGATTCTTCCGCAAAGGCGCCCACTACCAAGAGGCCACGGACTTGCGGGATTTGCCACCAACCTGGCCATACCAGGAAGACATGTCCACAGAATCACTGAAGCAGCCCAGCCCCCAGAATCTGACCCAGGACATCCCTTCTGAAGGATGAGGGACGAGAGGGAACTCTTACAATGCAACGAGGAAGTGTTTGCCTAGAATATTGGAAGCCTACTTGCAAGCATGGTTCCTTTTGTGGCCAGGCCTTCACATTCTTCCACTGCTGGTGGAAGGTCAGGTCTGCTTTCTGTGAGCCAGGCCTAGCACAGGCCTTTGCTCTCTTAGCTGTAATGCATTCAAGAGTCAGACAATTTTGAGGCAGTAGGAAGTCTTCCCACTAACCCCTCTTTATGCAGCAGCCTACAGATCTCCCTTACCTTTCAATAAGGCTTCCCCACCACCACCACCTGAACAGTAGAAAGCACAAGAGACTTTTCTTTCCTGTCAGTTATTCTATAATCCATATATTCTTTGGAAGGAGCAAACTCTTCTTTACAGATCTGTGAGCAGAATTCTTGTGAAGGCAAAAATAATTCACCTGAAGTGCCTGTTTCTTTCCAGTGACACACACTGGCTTGAAGAGGTGTGCGGTCTTGAGACCTTGTGCCAAACGCACCCTCAAGAAGAGATGTCAAACAAGACTACAGAGCGTAGCTCTACTGTTTTTTGGGGTGCAGGCTGCGGCTGTGTTTTACGAACCCTCATCTTACTTTTTCATGGGTCTTGAACTATGTGTGTTGCTTTTCCAAAGCAATAGCCACCAGTACAAAGGTTTTGTGACTGAAAGAGCTGTAGAGCCTGCTTTTCTTCCCTAGAAAATGTTAAAGGTCAGTGGACTAACAATGGTGGAGAACCATTGTTTACTGAACACCACTAGGTACGCCACATGCATTCCAGGAAGTCCTTTACTTCTTCCAAACGAGGACAGCAAGCCTCAGCACCTTATATAAGAGGAAGGAGGATATGGGATGTAGGCAACATCTCTCCAACTCACTTTGTTGTCTGGTAAATGTTCTGATTAAAAGCAAGCTGCTGCCTGATTACAAACTGGTTTGGGTAATATATGGGCTTTAAATATATATATATTAGCTTAAGACATGTGGTGTGTGATGTTTTGGTATTGTGCCTCGTCTTACAACCAACAGCCAGTGTATCACATATTGCACAGTGAAAGATGGTGTCGAATTCGTCACCTCGCCAGGGAAGGAAGAGTGAGGCACATAGTTATGGCGGGAACCACCGAGACTAGCTTCTGTGTCTCTATTGAAATGCTGCCTGCTTACTTTCAAGCCTTTACTCTGAAAGTGCAAAGCTCCCCCTTTTCTCTCTTTCCCTTTTGGGCTGTGAAGGTTGCTTCCTTCCCTTTTGCTTCAAGAGAGCAGGGCCTGCAGATCAGCCAGCGATGCAAGCTCTGCCCTCCCCTCCATTGCTCTCCAGTGGTGGAATGCTAAGTATGTTGAAGTGTTGAAACTAACATGTGACATCATAGTGCTGACACAGTCTGGTTTTGTGGGGTTTGTTCGTTCTTCCTCTTGCAAGGTGTGGTTAAAAACATTTCTGCAAAGCTCCAGGAATTGAATCAGGCTTAAAATATACTGTAAATAGGATACAGATTTTTTGCATATAGCCTTTGCCTTTATTTTTACCTAGAGCATATGGGAAAATGTTTCTCACACATTGCTAAAAAAACAGCATTCACTTTTCCATATTCAAATTTTGCAGGCGCCTTACTATAAAAGCAATTCATGTCTTATGATCAGATCAGCAAGATTTCAGCAATAAATTCCTATTCTCAGCCTCCTTTGCAAGTTCCAGGGATGAATTTAAGCTGTGTTTCACTCACAAAAAGCTCACTATACAGCAATTTTTGCCCATAATCATTCATTCTTTATTTCATTTGTGACATCAGCTCAAGCCCTTGCACATTTCCGATTAATATTGCCACTATATAAACACATTTTAGCAGCAAAGTTTCCTTAAGTTAGTTGCGGTTGTTCCTTCTAGCCAGAAAGGCTGGAGCTTCACATAAAAATTTAAATCACAGGAAAATTGTAAGGGAAGAGCAGGGCAACTTCTGCTTGTGAAGAATCACTCTGTACATTCAGACCTGGAACAAGGGAACCTTTGCCCTTCCGACTGATGTTGAATTCCAACTGTCATGAGCCCCAGCAAGCATAGCCCATAGTCAGGGACAGTGGGAGTTAGAATCCCAACAAATTCTCCAGGACCACAGCTTCTCTGCCCCAGCTTCAGTTATTTTCTGTGCAAATCCACTGCATAGGATCATGAGTTCCAGTTAAGAGTAGGAGCAGAGGGGGAAAGGAATAGCACTCTTCTGTATATGGCTTTTTGCAAGACTTAATTGTGGTTTTCTATACGTCAGAGTATAGGCAAGGATCTCTAGAAAAACACAATCCTGAAAAGTCAAGCCTTGAGAGAAAGATATGAGCTGTTGGTACTCCCAGTTACAGCCAATACGGTTGGTAGGTACCTTTCCCTTTTGGATTCTACAGGGAATGTACACACTCCTTAAAAAAAATACTGCAGACTATGATGGTTTATGGTTTATGCTCAGGGAACAGACACAAATCCTTGAGGGGCTCACTAAACCTTGTGCCATGTCCAAACCCATGACTATAGTTGTGTCTCTCAGCAGCAAGGACCTCTCTACGTTTCAGCAAATGCAGAACTAAGCAAGGCATACAGAGTTACACACCTACAAATTGCAAACTCTTGATTTGGATACAGGTTAGCCTCAGCAGGAACACTTCAAGCTGGAGTTACAATGGGAATCCAGACCTCAATAAATGAACAGTTAGGGCTGAGAGGATTGCACCTTCCAGTTTACCCAAGTAGAGAGTTTAAGAATACCCAAGATTTAGAGACCTCTCTCCACACCCCAACCTTCCTTTGGCACTTGATTAAATTTCTAGCGCTGGCGTCAAGTATATCTAACAGGTGGGGGTGGGGGACAAAGTTGTGTAGTTTTGCGCCCCATGAGGTAGAGAAGGGAGCCCCACCATTTCAGTCTGGGGATGTGCTCTGAGCAGGAAAGGCCACTGGGGGGGGGATCACTTTATTTTTTGCCACCTGCTATTTAAAAATAAAGAGTGAAAACAACAGTGATTGAGTCACACTGTGCCACAAAGAACATAGCCACAACCATTTGCAGATAGTGAGATTCAATTCCTTGGGGTGCTCATTCTAGGCACTCAAAGGCCTGGAAATCACAGGTGGGGACCTTCTGCTACCTGCGTGGTGATGGGGAAAAGCAGCTGCTTTAGCACCAAAGGTGAGATCCTCACTGATTCAGCAACAGCCTAATGAAATCTCCACCCACCCCAGACATATCTTCTAGGACTTCCACATAGTGCAATAAAGCAGACTTGTCCCAATAGATACAAATTACATATAATGGAGCCTCACATTTGGGGTGCTGTTGGATACTGGGCCCCTATAGGTCCGTTTCACAATGCTCCAATTACGTAGGGATGGATAAACCAGCTAGGAGGAGGCAAAGACCCCCTTCCACCCTGGTTCAGCAATCCTACAGAGTACCATGGGATGCAACCACTGGAAAGTAACACTACTGGCCCTAGATTTCAGAAATATCTAGGACACAGGGAAAGGTTCCCATTTTTCAACCCAGGCCCTATTTTACTTTGAGAATACTTCCATTCCATTAGGGTGCAAAGAATTGCATCGATGGGAGAGCTGCTCCCAAGCCATCTGACCCCCAAAGGAGACGAGTGCAGTTTTCGCCACCGAGTCGCCTGTTCATAAGCAGAGTCCGGCTGCCAGATCTGGCTCCGCTAAAGCCTCGTACAAAGTGTAGCCGATCTCTTCGATTTCCTCCGAGGCCAGGTGGCCGAGAAGGTTTATCCTGCTGTCGAAGAAGCAAGGGAGGGAACCTATCTCCAGGTACTGGACCAGCTCCTCCAGCACCTGCTGGCACCTGTCTGCTAACGCTGCCTCTGACCAATCGGTTTCAGTTTCGCTCAGGTGTAGGATGGCGTGAGTCAAGTGGCTGCTGCCCAGCTTGCTCCAGAAGGGATGGTTTTCGAAGACGACCTTCAAGATGTTGAGGCAACCCTGCCGGACGCCATCATCTCTGGCATCAAGGTCTTTCAGCGCCGAGACCTCGGCCGCGTAAAAGCTCCGCTGCCAGAGGTTCTCCACCGGTATTACAAAGGATGGAGGAAGAAGGATTTTATCCCCCACTTCTACCATGGGGCAGAGGTTTATGTCCAGGCGGATCTGGGGGTGCTGGACTTCCAACTTAAGCTCTTTGGGATCCATCACAGGCCTGATGACGCACTCCAGACTGCTGCCAATCACCGGCCAATTAATAGAGGCCACCAACATGTTATGGAGGGTCTTGTTGATGGCGTTGGACGAGAGGTACCCACCCACCACAAACCTGTCCCACGGGCTGCTTCCGCGCGGGAAATACTCCAGGCCAGTCCGCCTGACCATCCCGAAACAAGGGTCATTCACAACCGTTTGTTCACCGGGGATCAGGAGCCAAAGGCTGGGTTCCAGCATCAACGGAAGCATGAAGGCCACCTCAAGGCGGTCGCTGCTGATGAGGTCGTCGCAAAGGTAGCCGCTGAGGAATGCGTGTCCAAAGGGCAGCTCTGGGTACTTGTTCTTCAGGAACTTCTGTAGCTCTCCGCAGATGTCTCCTGCCAGCTGCTTCCCCAGAGCCTTTTCCTCCTCAGAGACTGAGACATGGTCCCTGTAGTAGGAGAGAAACTTCTCTTGAAGCGTCAGGCACAGCCGAGCCCTCAGTTCCACCAGCGGGGCCTCGGAGGGCAGGACACCGCTTTTGGGGTCTGCAACGGAGGAGAGAACAAACATTTCAGATGGCTGGGCTAAGAGTATTGGACAGGCTTCACCAACCTGAGGACCTCCAGAAATCCCTGGCAGCAGAGGTCCCAAGATGCTTATGGCAGAGCGTCGCAATGCAAGCACCTTCCTTATATTTGGCTCAGTAAAGGTAAAGGGACCCCTGACCATTAGGTCCAGTCGTGACCGACTCTGGGGTTGTGGCGCTCATCTCGCTTTATCGGCCGAGGGAGCCGGCGTACAGCTTCCGGGTCATGTGGCCAGCATGACTAAGCCGCTTCTGGAGAACCAGAGCAGCGCACGGAAACGCCGTTTGCCTTCCCGCCGGAGTGGTACCTATTTATCTACTTGTGCTTTGACGTGCTTTCGAACTGCTAGGTTGGCAGGAGCAGGGACCGAGCAACAGGAGCTCACCCCGTCGCGGGGATTCGAACCGCTAACCTTCTGATCGGCAAGTCCTAGGCTCTGTGGTTTAACCCACAGCGCCACCCAGTGCAAAATGGGTGTAGGAGCCAGCTACATGCAGAGGTCTAGCCACTGTGTTCTGCGCTAGCTGTAACTTCCTGAGCAGCATCAAGGGGAGACCAACATGGAGTCCATTACAGTAATCTAGGTTGAAGGTTCACCAACTCATGGGTCACTGTGGCCAGGATCTCCCTAGCCAGGAATGGCTATAGCTGGCGCTGAAACCAAACTAGGCCTAGTTACTAACATCACTTGTGTCTCCAGGGACAATGATGAATCCAGGAGGGACCGCTGCCACCTGGACTTGCGTCACAGAGTGAGCTGGCAGTAAATCACACCGTTCAAAGTTGAAGTGAACTATTAGCAGGAACACAATCTTCACAGGCTTGGCGAAGTGTCAGGACCCAGTTGCTATCTCTTTCAGCCTAGCCGACCTTCCAGGGGTGTTGTGAAGATAAAACGGGAGATCCAGAATGCGGCAGCTAGACTGGTGACTAGGAGTGGCTGCTGGGACCACATAACACCAGTTCTGAGAGATCTGCATTGGCTCCCAGTACGTTTCCGAGCATGATTCAAAGTGTTGGTGCTGACCTTTAAAGCCCTAAACGGCCTTGGTCCAGTATATCTGAAGGAGCGTCTCCACCCCCATCGTTCTGCCCAGACCCTGAGGTCCAGCACCGAGGGCCTTCTGGCGGTTCCCTCACTGTGAGAGGCCAAGTTACAGGGAACCAGGCAGAGGGCCTTCTCGGTAGTGGCACCCGCCCTGTGGAACGCCCTCCCACCAGATGTCAAGGAAATAAACAACTATCTGACTTTTAGAAGACATCTGAAGGCTGCCCTGTTCAGGGAAGTTTTTAATGACTGATGTTTTAATGTATTTTTAATCTTCTGTTGGAAGCCGCCCAGAGCAGTTGGGGAAACCCAGCCAGATGGGCGGAGTATAAATAATAAGTTGTTATTATTATTGGGCATACAAGCACAGTTCGCCCTTAGGAAACAGAACCCGCCTGTAGCATGTCTCTCCTGACCTTGCGCGGTCCCACCCACGACTGGAGACAGCAGTGGCTCCTCAAGGTCTTCCGGCCGCACTTTGGGCACTGTCTTGATCAAGCTCAGCTCCTGCCAACTGTCCTCCAAGGACTTCTGCTTGGCTTTGATGTCATCTTCATCGTCCGGCGGGCTGGTGGCCCGGTCGATGAGCTGCGTAAGAACAAACACCCACCCAAACAGTTAGCCTGAGCTCCTCTGCTTTTTTTAGGGCCAGTTCTGATCTGCTACAGGGACACCCGAATGTGAATCCCAAATACAAATCCAGGCTGCAGGGCCGGCCAAACCGTGAGGCAGGGTGAGGCAACTGCTTCAGGCGGCAGGTTCAACTGGGGCAGTTGATCCCAGTGTAGATCTTTCTTTCCCTACTTGTTCTTGATGTAGATCTTCGCTCAACCCTTCTTCCCTGGCAGGGAGAGGAGCCCCATTTTGGGATCCATGTCAGGTGCCAAAATGTCTTGAACTGGTTATGCCAAGGGCATACCAGCTGCACTGGCTCGCGGTGGAGTACAGGGTCAGGTTTAAGGTACTGGTTTTGACCTTTAAAGCCCTATGCGGCCTAGGACCCTCGTACCTACGGGACCGCCTCTCCTGGTATGTCCCACGGAGGACCTTAAGGTCCACAAATGACAACATTTTGGAGGTCCCAAGTCGCAAGGTGGTTAGACTGGTCTCAACTAGGGCTGGGGCCTTTTCAGTACTGGCCCCGACTTGGTGGAACGCTCTGTCCCAAGAGACTAGGGCCCTGCGGAACTTGACATCTTTCCGCAGGGCCTGCAAGACAGAGCTGATCCACCAGGCCTTTGGTCTGGACTCGGTCTGACCCTTATGTTTCCCTCCCCTTATGGTCTTAATCTATGGGCTACTTTTAAAATGAGGCTGCATTTTAAATTGCATTTTAACCTGTATTTTAAATTGGTTTTCTTCTTCTTTTCTTTTCCCCCTATTATGTTTTTACTGTAATTTTACTGGTGTTAGCCGCCCTGAGCCTGGCTCTGGCCGGGGAGGGTGGGGTATAAAAAAATTATTATTATTATTGCTAATAATTTAGAAGAATCGGGGTACAAGCCCATAACAGAGATTTAACCTTTGGGCAAATTAAGGTGGATGGTGACCGAGGTCCACCCAGCACTGCAATTTGCCGTACACCCAACCACCATGCAAGGAGGAAAAATGGGGTTTTTAAAAGAAGGGGTAGTGGATCTGGGCCCGAAGAGAAAGACTCAAGAGCTTTAAACTACAGATCCACTACCCCTTCTTTAAAAACAAACACACACACACTTTTTTTGGCTTGGGTAGTTAAATAAATACAGTGGTACCTCCGGTTGTGAATGGGATCCGTTCCAGATGTCTGGCCACATCCCAAGGAATTCGCAACCGGAGGTGCCACTCCTGCGCATGCGTGCGCTGAAGTTTAGCGCTTCTGTGCATGCGCACAAGGCGAAACCCGGAAAAATACTTCTAGGTTTGCCACTTACGTATTCCGAAGGATACGTAACTGGAGGTGAACGCAACTACAGGTACCACTGTCCTACAGTATGAATTTGCAAGCAAGATTTGAACTGTGAGCAGCAGAAGGAATTAGAGATTATTGCATTATTATTATGGTATAAGAAAGAGAAGATGAAGGGCAATGGGGATTAAAAACCCCGTGGGAAATGGGGTGGGAAGTCGACAAAACAAAAGAAAAAAATATTATGTATTGGAGAGTACATGTGAAATTTTTGAAAATTTGACAAAATATTACTGAGAAAGACTCAAGACCTAGCAGTCTCCTCCCAAACAACACCCCTGATCCAGACACAGGCTATGATCCCCTTAATAAAACTAAAACGTCATAAAGATGGTTGCTCATATAAAAGGATGCCTACCCAACAGTAATTCCTCATCACACATTTAAAGCACGTTAGCAACAGCTATGCAAAGGAAGAACAAGGCACTCTCACCCTCTTCACAGCAAGCGTCGCGATCGCCAGCACAGCCGCTCCGCTGACGCCCAGGACCAACCTGGCATTGGCCAACAGGAAGTCCACCACGCTGCCCAGGTTGCTCTCGTCCCGCCTCTTCCCCTGCTTGTGGCCATAGTCCGCCATTGTTAACCTGGTCGGAGGGAAAGAAATCAAGTTTGAGAGGTTTCGGTAATAAGCTTCCCACTTCAACCTGCGGAACTGACACTCCTAACTAGGCGCCGCATAACGTATCGGCCCGAATATAAGCCACACCTTTCTTTTTTTTCCAAATTCTGACCGTGAAAATTTAAAGGGCAGCTTAAATTCGCGACCTTACAAAAATGGGCTTTTACGATATCGCTCCCGTCACGTCCGCCCCCAATGCTGGGTAGGAAAAAACACAGGGGAGGGGGAAGACCGCTGGCACCCTTTCCCCCCCAAAAAGTTGTTGGGGTTTTTTTGGCCAAAGTTGTTGAGCTTTTTCTGCAAAATCTCAAAAGAAATTGAAGTTTTTGAGCTACTTCTAAGGAAATTTGCCAAAATACGGCAACAATAGCTGGGTGGGTCAACCTCTTTCTGTGTGAGACAAGATCTACCTTTGGGAGAGAGCTTTCTTAATTTATTTTATTTCCTCTTTCTTTTCTTTGTTGTTGTTAATAATAATAATAATTTATTATTTGTACCCCAGCCACTCTGGGCAGCTTCCAACAGATGAAAAATACATTGTTGTTTTGTTTTTCTTTTTTTGTATAGTATTTATTTCATCGTAGGTTGAAAAGTTACAGTAAAAAACATTATAAAAAGGGGGGGAAAGAGCTGTCTTGTTAAGAAAGGGGGCTGCTAGTCGTTCTTAGGTACTGGTGTTGGGCGGGTTTGGCTGCAGGGCGTTGTGTTGCTGAACCCTACGAAACCTCAGTGGCTCGCTAGCTCTGACATTGCCAACTTCTTCCTCTGTTCCTCGCCCAAAAACACTCGACTGGCATTCATCATGAGTCACAACTCCCAACATACGACTTAACAGCCACAGCATTGCCATGGGAACAAAAAGCAAACAACATACTCAGACTGGAGGGTCATTGCGTTCTACTCTGCTTTCATCTCCTACACAGTTTCTAGGGCTTTACGCTGTGAAACGGTCAATAAACTGGTTTAACAATTAATAATATTTTAAAAAACACTTTTCTGGACCATTTTTACCGCTTGACTGCAGGCATATTGACCTACAAGTAGCTCCCATTGAATTTGGAGGAGGTTAAAAGGTAAAGGGACCCCTGACCATTAGGTCCAGGCGCGGACGACTCTGGGGTTGCGGTGCTCATCTCGTTTTATTGGCCGAAGGAGCCGGCGTACAGCTTCCGGGTCATGCGGCCAGCATGACTAAGCTGCTTCTGGCAAACCAGAGCAGCGCACGGAAACACCGTTTACCTTCCCGCTGGAGTGGTACCTATTTATCTACTTGCACTTTGGCATGCTTTCGAACTGCTAGGTGGGCAGGAGCTGGGACCAAGCAACGGGAGCTCGCCCCGTCGCGGGGATTCAAACCGGCAACCTTCTGATCAACAAGTCCTAGGCTCTGTGATTTAACCCACAGCGCCACCCACGTCCCAGGTTACTTGGTACCAAATGTGAGTGTGGCGGAATGGCTAACCACCCACCTTGGGGGCTGGTCCACCCAGACCCCAAGCTGATTTTGCTAGACGGCTTCAGAACCACCTGCAATTTGGGCAGCAAATGACTTCAAAGTAACAGCTGGGACATCTCAGTTGGTAGAGAATGAAACTCTTAACTCTCAGGCGCCAGGCAAAAACATTCCTCTATAACCAGGCCTCTGGCCACTAAATAAACAGTTAAAGTGGGAAAGGGGGCTGTTATCATGATAATTTTATTATATTCTACAGCCTTTTAAATGTGTTTGTGAAAGGAGGGTATTGTTTTGTTGCTTCTGTTTTAACTATTCATTTGTGTTTTTACCATGTGAAACGCCCTGAGATCTTTCAATGAAGGATGATATATAAATCTAATAAATAATAATAATAGTCAATTTTTATGCTTTTTATTATTATTTTTTATTATTATGCTCCTTAAAATGTGCTCCTAATGTTGTACAGTGGTACCTTGGGTTACATACGCTTCAGGTTACAGACTCTGCTAACCCAGAAATAGTGCTTCAGGTTAAGAACTTTGCTTCAGGATGAGAACAGAAATCGTGCTCCGGTGGTGCGGCAGCAGCAGGAGGCCCCATTAGCTAAAGTGGTGATTCAGGTTAAGAACACTTTCAGGTTAAGAACGGACCTCCAGAACGAACTAAGTACTTAACCCGAGGTACCACTGTACACTGCACTGGGATCTTTTCATAAAGGGCAGTGTGTGTGTGTGTGTGTGTGTGTGTGTGTGTGTGTGTGTTCGCTTTCTCTTGAGTGTGTTCCATTTGTAAATTGAGTCCTCCGCTGCTATGGGAAAGCACGCCTTGGTTTAAGAACACTTTGGTTTAAGAACAGGCTTCCAGAACGGATTAAGTTCGTAAACCAAGGTACCACTGTATATATAATATTAGCAGGGGCGTGGCCTTATTTTGCCACCCCTGACACATGAAGCTACTGAAAATCCACCGGGGGGAAAACCTACTCAGCCACACTGCCAAACAAACACTTCCAAGGACAACTCATTGCCTGGTTTGAGAATAATAATAATAATAATAATAATAATAATAATTCCCCAGAGCTACAGAGGAGGATTCAGATTTCCGGTTGCTATTTTGAAGGCGTGTAACAATATCTTCCTGCCAGTTTCCCTTCTCCCACGACAGTCTTTTCTATTCTGGGCATCAGAGTCCAAAAGTGGTTGCAAGGGAACGCATCTAACCAGTCCCAGACACACAGGCAGAATATGATCAGAGGCAGAGCTCAACCTCCTAGATTTGTCTCAGACCTTTTCAGCAGTTGTGCTGCCATGAGAAGAGGGGATTTCTAAGCATGTGCAGAGTGCCTTTTCTTTTTCACCGAACCACATGGGGTGGGGGTGGCCAGGATCAGTAGTAGAGCACAGGTGCTTTGAATGCAGAAGGTCCCAGGTTCGTTCCTCAGCAACTCCACGTAGGGCCAAACAGTGAGGTATACAGTACAGAACCTTGGTTCTCAAACTTAATCTGTTCCAGAAGTCCGTTCCAAAACCAAAGTGTTCCAAAATCAAGGCAAGCTTTCCCATAGAAAGTCATGCAAAACAGATTAATCCGTTCCAGACTTTTAAATACAACCCCGAAAACAGCAGTTTAACATGAATTTTACTATCTAACGAGACAATCGATCCATAAAATGAAAGCAACAATGTACTGCAGTCACATAATCAACCAATCACAGTCACACAGTCACTCACTCACACACACACACACACGAGCCTCAAAAACAAAAACAAAATAAATAGCAAAAACAGACAGACCTCAGAGTAACACTCAAATTGGAAGCATAACACTCCAATCATCAGTGTAACATTCAAAACGGAGCACGTTCGGCTTCTGAAAAAAGTTCACAAACCAGAAAACTTACTTCCGGGTTTGCAGTGTTTGGGTTCCAAGTTGTTTGAGTACCAAGGTGTTTGAGAACCAAGGTACCACCGTAGTTGGAAAGGTTGCAGCTATCTGGCCTTCAGACTATACTCCCTCTCCCTAGGCTACGGCTGCCATACGTCCGGGATTCATTTGTTGTGAATAACGTCCGGGCAGAATTTCAAAAAATCAGTAAAATGTCTGGAAATGCCTGGGCGAATGGCAACCCATGTTGGAAGTGTTGATTTTTTGACGAATTTCCTTAAAAATAGCTGGAAAAGCCAGCTGTTTGAGATTTTGCAAAAGGAAGCTAAACAACTTTGCCGCCCTCCCCCACCCCCACCAAAAACCCAAACAGCTCAAGAACTTTTGTGTCTGAAAGAATATGGAAAAATTGGTTTTTAATACGTAAAAATTTAATGTTATAATATATCAAGATTAAAGATCAGGATTAAAAAGGAGGGAAAGGAATTGCTGGACTAACAAATTGAATTGGAATACAAAAGAGGGAGGTATGAGGAGGTCCGGGAAACAAGTAAACGTAAGAGAAGTGATGAACAGATGGAATTGTTTTTAACTGTTTTTTTCTTTTTTGTACTTTGTATTTTTCTTTCTTTATTGTTATTTTTCTTATTAATGTAATCTTTTTCTTTTGAAATTTTAATAAATATCATTTTTATATATAAAAAAAAGAACTTTTGTGTCTGGATTCTCCCTTTTTGAAATATGGCAACCCTACGCCTAGGCTGCAATGAGGACTGAACGCAGGAACATTTGCCTGCAAAGTGGGTGCTGCCGAGATGTGATCTACATACACTTGCATATGATCCAGAAGCTGCAGAGAGTACAGAATGTTGCAGCACGATTGCTGACAGGAATGAGGCCTTGTCAGCACGCAACAGCTGTGCTCAGAGATCTGCACTCGTTGCCAATTTGCTGCAGAGCAAAGTTCAGGGTATTACTATTCATATCTAAAGTCCTTAACAACTTGAGACCAGTTTACCTGCAATATCGCCTTACTGCAATCTGCCCACTGTTAACAGCAGGCTTCCTCAAACCTCGGCCCTCCAGATGTTTTGAGACTACAATCCCTGACCACTAGTCCTGCTAGCCAGGGATCATGGAAGTTGTAGGCCAAAAACATCTGGAGGGCCAAGGTTGGGGAAGCCTGGTTAACAGGGTGCCGGTAGGACTCCCTGCCTATTGACAACAAGCCCTCGCCGTACTGTGGCGCTTGCTAAAAACATTAGCAGTGTAGAATGTTGGTGCATGTCTTAATTCTGCTTTTAGTTTAACGATTATTTAAAGAGTTGTCTTTGTGTGTTTTTACCAATAACTTTATCATTTTATTCTCTTTGCAAATGGCTTCAAGGTTTTTCTTAACAAACAACGAAATAGGCAGAGTTTAAGGAGGACTGGAAAATGTTTGTGAACTATTTAAAAACTTATTGCAAATATGTTAAAATGCAAGTAGCTTTAGAGTAAGAATAGAAGTAAAATTCATCTGAAAACAGTGTGGAGAAGATAAGGTATAGTATACCTACAATACACACACACTAATATAATATAATATATATTATATAAAGGAAAAAATTGAAAATATTTAAAAATTTACAAAATTTACAAAATAAATACGGGGGGGGGGGGAAATGCTCACTTAGATGCATAGATAGATGCCTCTGGGTATCATATTAAGATGGCGGGTGGATGTGGTCTCAACGGCACATCCAGTAACAAAAGTTTAAATAAAGGTCTCAAAATCGGGGGTCTGATGCAAGAGACCCAGGCATCCAGCTCCTCCTGCCCCCCAACCCCTATGGTAGAAATGCAGAAATAGCCCCACCCAACCAGCAATAGAGCAAGACGCCTTCATCTTCCCCAGCTGCAACAAAACATGTCTCTACTGCATCAGTCTCTACAGCCACAGCTCTCCACTGGTTTGCCTTCACCCACAATGGCGCACTTCTCCATCGTCTCCAGAGACAGACGGATGCCAACCGGACAACCAACCCCTGGGGAGAAACCGCACACCAAACACTTAAACCACATCCCCACCTCAGAATCCTGGGAGCTGTAGTAGGCCCCTCACTAAGCTGCAACCCCAACATCACTAACAAACTACAGTTCCCAGGATTCTCTGGTGCTTTAAATGTATGGTGTGTACAAGCTTACCACTGATCAACCCGCTTGTGGGTCAACAGCAGCGGCCAAGGGCAAGGTGGTCGTAATCAACCCGTAGCCAAACTACAAGGGGCTCGTTGTGTTGGTCTAAAGAGAGACTGGAAACTTGTGACCTTCTGGACTCCAGCTGCCGCCATCCCTGACCACTGGGCTACGCTCCCTCCGTCTGATGGGAGTTGGGACTTCATAAACGTCCAGAGGACCACAGATTCCTATCCCTGGTCTACAGAGACACAGTCCTGTGGCATCTTGAGGGAGGCTGTATTTGCTTCACTATTTAAAAAGTGCCATGGGATCGTGCTGCGGGGTTGGACTAGATGACCCTCGGGTCCCTTCCAGCTCCATTACTGTATTGATTCATCCCTTTCTCCTTAATTAAGGCCGTCCCTTCTAACCATTCAGAGAGGGGATCTAAAGGTCCTCTAAACCCCTTTTTTGTGGGGGGAGGGGTCGTTTCCCGACCTTACTACAAAAAACGTAGAGGATTAAGCGTTCACGGTGCTGCAGCTACGGGGCTCCGAATTATTTAAATAACTAAGGCGGTTCACCTTCTCCCCTGAAAGCTGAATATCCGCCCCTCTTAGAGGTTAAAAAGGAAGGAAAATTCACCCCTCCCCCTAAAACGTAACAAAAATAAGATCCCTTCGTTCTTCCGGCGGTTCCACCTTTGGAACCGAGGCTGCTCCGTGGAGGTTAGTAGCTCAGCTACAACTTACCTGTCCCTGCACCTGGAAGCGGACCCGGGGAAGCGGGGGGAGCGGAGAGGTCGCTGCTGCTGTAGCAGCGGGCACCCAGCAACCCGACGCCACCGCGCAGGAAGCGCTCAGCACCAGCGATGGAACGTCGGCCGAAGCCGAACGCCAAGCACCCCGCCGAGCGACCAATAGCAGCGCGCGGCTCGCCTCTCAACGTTCCGACATAGAACGCCGAGTATCTTTTTCGGCTTCCTGTCCTCTTTGAGGCTGCGTAGGTGCCGCGAGGCTCCTCCTCCTCCGCCTTAAAGAGACAGCGTCGCTTTCGTCCTTTCTCTCCGTTCCGCCTCTTCCAATCTGTCCAATGTGCGCATAGCAGCATAGGAAAGTGCTTTCAGCCAAGTCAGACCAATCCATCTGGCCCAGTATTGTCTACACGGACTGGCAGCAGCTCCCCGGGTTTTCACGAGTGCGCAGCGGGGGGCGTCTCTCCCCCATACTGCCTGGAGATGCCAGTGGTGCAAAGTACCACAAACAAGGAAAAAAGCAAATTCGTGGCGCCGTGTCATGATGTGGATTTGAATTTATTATTATTATTATTATTATTACGGTCACAGACCAGTTCCGGCTCACTTACAATACTGTATCAGGAAAATCATAAAACACAACAGGAATACAGTGGTACCTCGGGTTAAGTACTTAATTCGTTCCGGAGGTGCGTACTTAATAACCTGAAACTGTTCTTAACGGGAAGCACCACTTTAGCTAATGGGGCCTCCCGCTGCTGCCGCGCCGCCGGAGCACGATTTCTGTTCTCATCCTGAAGCAAAGTTCTTAACCTGAAGCACTATTTCTGGGTTAGCGGAGTCTCTAACCTGAAGCGTATGTAACCCGAGGTACCACTGTACATTGAATTGCAATTGGGTATAACGGTGGGCGAGTCATGATGGACCCGGGTCCAGAGTCCTTGCAAACACCTAGGCACGCTCCAGCAAAGCTGGAGCTGGAAGTCATGTGCTTGTTACTTCGAATTAATTAATGCGGAGTAAAAAAAAATGTGGTTTGTGGTGGGTGGCGGTGGTGGTGGAATATGAGCCATTTACACGTCCTCCTTTCTCCTAGTCCGTACTCACCTGACGTGGTTACCGACATGTAGAGGAGCGTAGAGGTTTTCTCCCGCTCTGACTTTATTTTTCAGACTTTCAGGAAAACCCTCCGGACGCTTAAACCGTGACAGCGCCCTTGAGGGTTTACAGAACGGGATTGCGGCTAACTGTAGCCAGCTATAGTAGAGTGTTTAAAAACAACAACATACCTTTCAAGAGCTCTCGAAACACTTTGACATCGTGGGGAATCCTGCAGCGTGTTAAGGATGCTGGGAACTGTAGATCAGCACCCGCAAACTACAAATCCCAGGGTTATATGGAGAGTTGCGGGGGGGAGGAGTCGGGGCTGCTTGAAGTGGAACGAGAGTGCGTCAAATGCATGGTGCGGATGTGACCCAAGCGTAGCCGTATGAGGACCCCCCCCCACCTCGAATGCACCCCCTCCCTAATGCGCGCCCGGCAGCGAAGGAGTTAAAAGGGGCGAGGCCCTCCTCCAGCTCGCAAAAGGCCACGCCCCTCCTTTTTGCCACTGCCCCTCCCCTCTTTCTAAAAAAATAATTGTTCCCCCTCCCTGTTTAGGGCTGTGTCACCGAGCGAGAGCAGAAGCCGCTGAGTTGGGGAGTTAGAGACTAGCAAAGCGTCGCTGCTGCTGTTCCCCCTCCTCTTCCCGCCCCCCGTGGAAAGGAGCTATGGCTGCCACCGGGGTGCTCCCCTTCATCCGGGGGGTCGATCTCAGCGGGAACGACTTCAAGGTAAGTCCTGGGCCCCGAGAGGAAGAGAGGATCGCCTGCCTTCCGTGGCCGGCGGGGAGAGCCGGAAGGCAGGCAGGCAAGCAAGGAGGGAGGGAGGCCGGCCTGGCCTGGCGGGGCTGCGGCTAATTTTAGACTTTCGCTCATCCCACCCTCCTGGCCGGGGCGTGGAAGCCTGAAACAATGCCTGTTCCTGTCTAGGACTAAGGCCCTAGTCCTCAGGACGTGGGGTGGGGCGGAGGGCGACGAGCACACTTGGCAAGATCCTTTTTTTTGCGCTGTGGCAGAATCAGCTCTCGCCGGGTCAGCTTCCTGAGTCACACAGAGTTCTTCGTCGTCGTAACGTTCTAGAAGAGACTGTGCTATTATTGGCCATTCGTGATGCTGCTGATGATGATAACGACAATAATAATAATAATAATATTCTGAACGGCCTCGGTCCTGTATACCTGAAGGAGTGTCTCCACCCCCATCGTTCAGCCCGGACACTGAGATCCAGCTCCGAGGGCCTTCTGGCGGTTCCTTCATTGCAAGAAGTGAGGTTAAAGGGAACCAGACAGAGGGCCTTCTCTGTAGTGGCACCTGCCCTGTGAAACACCCTCCCTTCAGATGTGAAGGAAATAAGCAGCTATCTTATTTTTAAAAGACATCTGAAGGCAGCCCTGTTTAGGGAAGTTTTTAATATTTAATGCTGTATATGGGCGGGGTATAAATAATAAATTGTTGTTATTATTATTATTTATAATCCGCCCATCTGGCTGGGTTTCCTCAGCCACTCTGGGCGGCTTCCAGCAAAATATAAAATACAATAATTAATCAGATATTAAAAGCTTCCCTAAACAAGGCACCCTTCAGATGTCTTCTAAAAGTCAGATACAGTGGACGCTCGGGTTGCGAACGTTCCGGTACTTCCGGGTTTTGGCGGGTCCGTAACCAAAAAAAAAACGCAGCCTGAAGCTCTGTAACCCAAGGTATGACTGTACAGTAGTTATTTCCTTGACATCTGGTGGGAGGGTGTTCCACAGGGCGGGCGCCACCACCGAGAAGGCCCTCTGCCTGGTTCCCTGTAACTTTGCTTCTAGCAGGGAGGGAACCGCCAGAAGGCCCTCAGAGCTGGATCTCAGTGTCTGGGCTGAACGATGGGGGTGGAGACGCTCCTTCAGGTATACTGCATTTATAGCCCACCTTTTTCTCCCAAGGTGGCATAGATGGCTCTCTCTCCCTGCCACACAAACACACTCCCCACAAACCCCCAGTGAGGTAGGCTAGTCCGAGAGGCAGCGATTGATCGCCCCAGTGAGAGCTTCATGGCCGAAGGGAATATTTGAACCCTGCTCTCTCCCAGGTTTGATGCTTGATAACGCTGGTTTGTACGCAAACGCACACACAAAACGCCCAGATTATAAGAAAATGGGGGGGACAGGTCTCAATGAAATCCATAAACTCCCCCCACCCAGTTTTTAGGTGAATCATTATTAGATTATTAAATGTATATACCGCCCCATACCTGTAGGTCTTAGGGTGGTTAACCTGATAAAATCATGTCCCCACCCTCCCCAGTCACCTGCAGACAGGGGAAGACAAAAGCGGTTTGAGCCCACCATGGGCTGGCCTTTCCCTGGAGCTTTGCAAAGCCAGAAAATGATCATAACAGTTGGAAGGGACCCTGAGGGTCATCCAGTCCAACCCCCTGCAATGCAGGAATCTCAACTAAAGCACCCACCTCAAAACCCCCTTTTCCATGGGTACGTCTTTCGCCACATCTCTCTGCTTTTGTGTGTGTGTATTTGTGTTGCATAGTGGAAATGTGGCTGATTTTCGCTCAGTAGGGTCGCCAGACCTCCAGGTGTGGCCTGAAGTCTCCACGACTGCCTGGTCCGCTACAGGTGTCAAGGGGAGGGCGAAAGTACCTTTAATTAATAATAATAATAATAATAATAATAATAATATAGTAAGAAGTCTGTGCATACAGTTTACAAGCTTCAGCCCAGCAGGAGGAGGCTGCAAATGATAGCACAGCCACTCTATAATAGTAATAATAATAATTTATTATTTATACCCCGCCCATCTGGCTGGGCTTCCCCATCCACTCTGGGCGGCTTCCAACAAAGTATTAAAATACAGTAATCTGTTAAACATTAAAAGCTTCCCTAAAGAGGGCTGCCTTCAGATGTCTTCTAAAAGTCTGGTAGTTGTTGTTCTCTTTGACATCTGGTGGGAGGGCGTTCCACAGGGCGGGTGCCACCACCGAGAAGGCCCTCTGCCTGGTCCCCTGTAACTTGGCTTCTCGCAGGGAGGGAACCGCCTGAAGGCCCTCAGCGCTGGACCTCAGTGTCCGGGCAGAACGATGGGGGTAGAAACACTCCTTCAGATATACTGGACTAAGGCCGTTTAGGGCTTTAAAGGCCAGGGCCAACACTTTGAATTGTGCTCGGAAACGTACTGGGAGCCAATGTAGGTCTTTCAAGACCAGTGTTATATGGTCTCGGTGGCCACTTCCAGTGGATTAGTTGTAGTGGGGGGTGGGGTGGGGTCTGCGCTCTTCTCTTCCCCTCTCCCAATTAACCTCCGTCTCCAAGGTCCACCTCTTGGTCTCAGGTTGGGACCCTGAAATCTCAGGGTCTGCGATGCTCCCGGCGTGGCAACCCTACTCCTACACCCAGTGTCAGAAATATGCCAGGCACGTTTTGCGACTGGCACAGGTCCACTTGCAATTGTGTGGGGGATCGCCAGGTGGGCAATTGAGGAAAGCAAAATGTCAGAAGTATTTTCCCTGCAGCTTGAATTTGATTTATTCTGAATTGTGTTATTTGAGGTTTTAATACGTTGTCAGCTGCTTTGAGGTTTGTTCTTTGCAATGGAAAGCGACATAGAAATGAATAAGAATAAATTTCACTGAAAAAAGGCGCTGAGACATTTCATTGCGGCAACCGTAGCCTAGGTTTAAGGTGCCGTTTGGCGATTAGATTATATATCTGAGTTTCTAACACTGCCTACTGCCTACAAGTCGCCTCTTTGCAAAACTTGCCTCCTTGCTTAATTTTTGCACAATGCTGACTAGCAAACAATTGCCTCTTCTAATGAATATTTGATTTTAAAAAGAGAATCCAGGCTCCTCGTTATTAGACGTAGCAATGTCATATTGCTGTCAGTGTATCTAGCGCTTTATAACAACATAGGAAAACCTGTGTTGGATCGAAACCCTCTGCTGAATGTAGGATCCGCAGTGCTGAAATACCGTACTTTTCAGTGTATAAGACGAGGGGTTTTTTATTTTAAAAATCATGTTTAAAATTGGGGGTCGTCTTATACACGGATAGTGGCTGGGGGGATGTGGGATTGGTTCCTGCTGCAAGCTGGAAATGGTCAGCCGCTATTGGGCGTGTTATTGGTGGCTGCGTCAAGTGCTGGTGTTGATTGGCTGTCACTGTGTTTATTGGTCGGGCGATCGGCGTCTTCTGCCAGCGTTGGGACAGACGATAAGTGCCTTTTGCGACACCTGCGACAATCCCCACTGAAAAAAGCTCAGCAACTCTGCCCCACCTCAAAAAACTCAGCAACTCTGGGCAATCCCCCCCCCATTTTCTTAAATTGAAGTCCCCAAAATACAGTGGTACCTCGGGTTTAAGTACTTAATACATTCCGGAGGTCCGTTCTTAACCTGAAACTGTTCTTAACCTGAAGCACCACTTTAGCTAATGGGGCCTCCCGCTGCCACCACGCTGCCGGAGCACGATTTCTGTTCTCATCCTGAAGCAAAGTTCTTAACCTGAAGCACTATTTCTGGGTTAGTGGAGTCTGTAACCTGAAGCGTATTTAACCTGAAGCAATGTAACCCGAGGTACCACTGTAGTCTTATACATGGGGGTGTGTTATACACGGAAAAATACGGTACTTTGCACCTGTGAATTGCACCAGTGTCAGAGCACCCTAGGAAACACCTGGGCAAGAGGACTAGTTGCTCCTTCATATCCCAGAGGCAGGAGGAACCCTGTGCCGCCCAAATGCTACTGGAAGCCTGTGGCCAAAACCTGCAATTTACTTATGTGTTCCCATCCTTTTTTAAAGTTGCATGTTCATCGCTTTGATTTCTTCCCATTTGCTAATGCGGTGACTCATACCTGTAAATATCAACTGAATCAATAGACAGCACACGGTTCTGAGGCAGTGTGTCAAGGCAGGCTTGATCTGTGATGGTTCATCGGTGCAAACAAATAATTGCTTGAGCATTTGAAGAGGCTCTCATTGCAAGCCGTCCAACCATTTTCTGTCTGCTCTGACCAGTGGCAGCTCTCCAGGTTGTTGAGCAGAGAGAGGACCTTCTCCTTGCCGTACTATCTGAAGCCCATAATAATAACAATAAAAAATACAATATATTATATTATATTATATTATTACAGTGGTACCTCTGGTTGCGAACGGGATCTGTTCCATAGGCCCGTTCGCAACATGAAAAGAGCGCAACCTGAAGTGCCGTATCTGCACAGGTGCGCGGTGTGATTTGGCACTTCTGTGCATGCGCAAGCGGCAAAACCCAGAAGTTTCGGTACTTCCGGGTCGCCATGGGACATAACCTGAAAGAACGTAACATGAAGCAAACATAACATGAAGTATGACTGTATATTATATTATATTATATTATATTATATTATATTATATTAATTTATACATACATACTCTGCCCATCTGACTGGGTTTCCCCAGCGACTCTGGGTGGCTTCCAACAAAAGATTTAAAATACATTAAAACATACATTGGCTCCCAGTACGTTTCCGAGCACAATTCAAAATGTTGGTGCTGACCTTTAAAGCCCTAAACGGCCTCGGCCCAGTATACCTGAAGGAGCGTCTCCACCCCCATCGTTCAGCCCAGACACTTATGTCCAGCGCTGAGGGCCTTCTGGCGGTTCCCTCCCTGCGAGAAGTGAGATTGCAGGGAACCAGGCAGAGGGCCTTCTCGGTAGTGGCACCCACCCTGTGGAACGCCCTCCCACCAGATGTCAAAGAGATAAACAACTACCTGACATTTAGAAGACATCTGAAGGCAGCCCTGTTTAGGGAAGTTTTTAATGTGTGGCATTTTAATGTATTTTTAATATTTGTTGGAAACTACCCAGAGTGGCTGGGGAGGCCCAGCCAGATGGGTGGGGTACAAATAATAAATTATTATTATTATTATTAGTCATTAAAAACTTCCCTAAACAGGGAATGGCTTAAGAAGGATGGTTGTGAATTGGTGAGGTCTCGTTCCTGTTCATTTTATTCAAAGAAGTTGTACCCTGCCTTTCAGACAGAAAGGGGTGCAGATTGATAAAAACAGTAGAATCCCTGCCCTGCCCAGACTTACAACCTGAGTAGACATGACAGAAAAGGAAAAGGGGATAGAGGAGGAAAATAAGCCAGCTTTTCAGCCAGAACGCTAATTTACAAATAAATAAATGTTGCAGAACACTCTTTCTGTCTCCCCTCCATCCATCCACTTTCCATTTCTATATTTGCAATTTTGTTTGTCTTTCCCCGACTTTTGTGTGGCTGCCCTCGAGCTGGCAATAACGTTTGAGTCATATTTGGTAATGAGCTGTGTTTTTTTGGGTGTGTTTCTTCGCTTTGAGATAGGGTTGGAGGCTGAGAATGTTCTTGCAGTGACACGCAGGCCCAGCTCATAAACCGTGATCTAACTAACCTGTGAACAGCAAGTGTGCAAGTGATCTGTGCTGGAAAGAATTTGGATCTCTGTCACCCCCTCCTCAATATCTAAAACACTGTCCCTGCCATCTAGTTGCAAGATTGTGGAGCGACTCCGCCAGGGAGGAACGCTGCAGCGTTTGGGGTTTTATAGTTTAGAGAAAAGGCAAGCAACATATATCGTATTTTTCGCTCCATAAGACGCACCTAGTTTTTAGAGGAGGAAAACAAGAAAAAAAATATTCTGAACGAAACAGTGGATGTATGATTTTTGTGGTTCATGCTGTGGCCACAGACATGATATGTGATTTGATGGTGAGTTTGGGGTAGCCCAATGCAAAAATCCTGAGGATCCATGTGGATCCGTGCTTTGTAACGACGTTTTTGCACCATTGCGGCCTCACGAAACAGTGGATGCGTGGTTTTTTTGGTGCAGGCTGTAGCCATGTAGATGCTATGTGATCTGATGGTGAATTTGGGGTGACCCAATGCAGCGGCTCTTGCTGGCTTTCCATTGAGCCGGAAGGAGGGACAGAGGGCAGCCCGTCAGTCCCTTCTCCCGCCTGCATTCGCTCCATAAGATGCACACACATTTCCCCTTACTTTTTAGGAGGAAAAAAGTGTGTCTTATGGAGTGAAAAATACGGTAATTATGCATGGCATGCAGAGAGTCTACAGGTAAAAGGATCTCTCTCTCGTAACACAAAACTCATGGGTATCCAATAAAGCTCAGAGATGGAAGATTCAGGATAGCCCTTCATGCAGGGCCTAGTTGAACTATGGAACTCACTTTCACAAGAGGCAGTGATTGGGCAAATTCGTGGAGGAGAAGGTGATCAATGGCTACCAGCAAAGTACTCTGGCTTCTACAGGAGGAAAGACTTCTGTGTGCTCAGGTCCTGCTTCTTGCAGGTTTCCCAGAGGCAATTGCTTCTGGCCTTCTGCTCCTCGGGTCTAATAATCCCTACCCCTGGAATCATAGAAATGTACAGGTGTTTTTTTATAAATTCATTTTTATTAAATTTTCCACTTTAACAATCCAATCAAATCACATTAAATACTCCAAATTATACATATACATATCAAATAATCCAAATATTCTGCCAGATTATAATTTTTTTAATAGGACTTCCCATGCTTCAAGTTCAGAGGGGTCTGATCATCTCATATCTCATATGCTTTTCATAGTCATTTCCAATGGTTTCCCTAATTCTTCCTGTTGTTAACCTTCCTTCTTTCACGGCCTCTGAGTTGTTCTCAAAAGCGAGTTATAACAAGCAATGATGTGTTTCTGTGTGGATTTTATGTCTGTGATTCCCCTCTATAAATTTGCAGCATCTCCTCACACGCTGGTGTTTCTGCCGAATCAATCCAAAGGTCTTTTTCGCAGCTGGTAGCTGCCATCTTACCTCAGTTCCGATGAAATCAAGTCTAAGCGTCTGCTCATTAATTTCCCCAGACCGGTTGCATCAAACATTAGCCTTTCCAGGGGAGGTTTACCAAATCAAACTGGAAATACAGTGGTACCTCGGGTTAAGTACTTAATTTGTTCTGGAGGTCCATTATTAACCTGAAACTGTTCTTAACCTGAAGCACCACTTTAGCTAATGGGGCCTCCTGCTGCCGCTGTGCCGCCGGAGCCCGATTTCTGTTCTTATCCTGAAGCAAAGTTCTTAACCTGAAGCACTATTTTTGGCTTAGTGGACTGTGTAACCTGAAGCGTATGTAACTTGAAGCGTATGTAACCTGAGGTACCACTGTACAAATATAATGACATATCGAAGGCTCACCTCCCCCTAGGAATTATAGAATTGTAGAGTTGGAGGGACATCTAGTCCAGGGGTTGGCAAACTTTTCCACCGGCGGGGACTGACCGAGCGGGTGGCAAGGGCCAGCAGGGGTGGTTTAATGACCCCCTTGGGCCATATCCAGCTCACAGGCCGTAGTTTGCCGACCCCTGATCTAGTCCAACCCCTGCAATGCTGGGATCTTTTTGCCCAATGTGGGATTCGAACCCACAACCTTGAGATCAGGAGTCCCTGTTCTAGAGCATAACTAAGTCTCTGTCTCCTGTGTCCCCCCCCCTCCCTTCCTACAGGGCGGTTATTTTCCGGAGCACGTCAAGTCGATGACCAGCTTGCGATGGCTGAAGCTGAACCGCACCGGCCTCTGCTACCTCCCTGAGGAGCTGTCTTCCCTCCAAAAGCTGGTGAGGAGCTTGCCCTGGCCGGCAGCTCAGGAATGGATGGGGCTTTTCTGCTGACTGGGGAGCATTGGGAATTTCTCGAGAGGGGTTGGGGAACCCAGGCAGAGCTAGGAAAAGGGAAGGGGAGGCGAGAGCAGCTAAAACGGGTGGGTTGCTCTTTCCGTTTCAGAAAAGGGAAAATGTGTGCCAAATGTGCAAGGTTGGAAGGACAAGGCTTTGGGCTCAGGTTTCGTTGCTCAAGGAACAAGGGTATGGAGACCCCACACGGGGGACTTTGCCAAATGCAAAGCAGGTCTGGGTCTGAGTAGGGGGCCACCTGGGAATTGTGCATGCCTTCTTCTTATGTGGCGTTTATTTATGTTTTTGACAATTCACACAATGCTTGAATGCAGTCCCTGTGTCTGTTCACAGCCAGCTGAACAACTGCAGCACACAAAACACTACCAAACCATTCTACGTTCTAAATCTTATATTAATAATCCAAAAATTGAGAGAACAAGGTACAAGATCCACTACAGAAGCCACAAACAAAAAAAACTCATTCAAATTGTGTCCAAAAGGAAGATTCAGCCTTTAAAGGTCCTTTAGCCAGGCTCCTGTAGATCTCCACAAAGGTAAGTTTGATCAAACAAAGTCGAATGGTTTGGTAGTGTTTTGTGTGCCACTTATGTGCTGCTTACTTCATACTGGTCTACTACGAGAATTGGCAGCACATGTTCATTTCTTCAGCTGAACAATTGCAGCAAATTGTAGAGTTGGGAGGGACCACCAAATGTCATCTAGTCCAACCACACCCACCCACCCCTGCAATGCAGGAATCTCAACTAGATCCTCCATGAAAATGGCCACCCAACCTCAGCTCAAAAACTTCCAAGGAAGGCAAGTCCACAAACCTCACCTGTTGTGCTTTCTTTCTTTCTTTCCAAACAGGAACATCTCTCTGTGAGCCACAACAGCCTCACCACTCTCCACGGAGAACTCTCTGGCCTACCTTGCCTCCGGGTAAAGTTCCAAATGCTTTTTGAAATCCTCGTGTTTGTTGCTCAGAAGCCCTGCTAGCTCAGAACATTGCAGCTGGCCTGCTCCTCGTACAGTGGTACCTCTGGATAGGAAAGGGATCCGTTCCGGAGCCCCATTCGCATCCTGAAGTAAACGTAACATGCGACTGCACATGCGCGGTTCGCGGTTCGCTGCTTCCATGCATGCGCGTGACGTCCTTTTGGGCGTCTGCACATGCATGAGCAGCGAAACCTGGAAGTAATGTGCTCCATTACTTCCGGGTCGCCACAGAGCACAACCCGAAAATACAGTGGTACCTCAGGTTACAGATGCTTCAGGTTACATACGCTTCAGGTTACATACTCTGCTAACCCAGAAATAGTACCTCGGGTTAAGAACTTTGCTTCAGGATGAGAACAGAAATTGTGGAGTAGCGGTGCAGCGGCAGCGGGAGGCCCCATTAGCTAAAGTGGTGCTTCAGGTTAAGAACAGTTTCAGGTTAAGAACGGACCTCCGGAACAAATTAAGTACTTAACCTGAGGTACCACTATACTTAACTTGAAGCTACTTCAATCCGAGTTATGACTGTATTCATCTTCTCCTCTCTGATGGCTCTGGTTTCGGTCCTGTCAAATGTCTGTAACCGTTAGCCAGCCATTCAAATACAAAAAAACCCCCCACAAACCACCTCTTAATTGCGGCCTCGGAAGAACAAAAGGGGCAAGTTAAGAACGTACGTTGAGCCTGCTGGATCTGGCCTAAGGCCCACGCAGTCCAGCGTCCTGTTCTCAAGGCAGCCAACCAAATGCCTGTGGGAAACTCATAGGTAGAACTTGATCACAAGAGCAAAACTCTTTCCACCTGCAGCTGTCGGCAGCTGGTCTTAAAAGCCTTGCTGCCTCCAATATTGAAGGCTGTAGTAGCCATTGAGAGCCTTGTCCTCTGTGAATTTGTCCATCCCCTTTTAGAGCTAGCGGCTGTAGCAGGTCTAAGAGATACTACAACGCTCAGATATATTGCCATCTGTTCAGTAATGGATTTAACAGACCCGCCGATCCTCAAGGAAGATCAGTACAGTCATACCTCGGGTTACAGATGCTTCAGGTTGCGTTTCTTCAGGTTGTGGATCGCTGAAACCCGGAAGTACCGGAACGGGTTAATTCTGGGTTTCAGCGGTTGCGCATGCGCAAAAGCGCGAAATCGCTCTTTGCGCATGCGCAGAAGCGCCGAATCGCAACACGCACGTGCACAGACGCGGGTTGCTAATGCTGTTGGTTGTGAACGTGCATCCTGCACGGACCACGTTCACAACCCGAGCGTCCACTGTATCGTCATACTTTTTATTTGTACCTCACCCATCTGACTGGGTCACCACAGCCCCTCTGGGCCCCAAAGGGTCTCTAGAAATTGGCCAGGAAACTGCTATATGCATTCCCCAGGCCCCTGTTAGGATTTACAGCAGAAAGACACATAGAATCATAGAATTGTAGAGTTGGAAAGGACCTAGTCGAAGCGATGTGGGAGTCTTTCACCCAATGTGGGGCTCAAACCCACGACCCTGAGACCGATTGCAAGGACAGCACCTCTCCTTGAAGGGAGCTTTTAGCAAATCTGCGCACCTATAATGTTAAAAATGGGACAACAAAATGCTCTTTGGTACTTGGGTATTGTTAGAAAATCGAGCGATGACGTGCATTTGTTAGGGGGAGACCACATTAGGCTCAGTAAGTATGGTAAATGTGGTCCGTGAAGCCGATATCTTTTATTCGGAGTGATAGACTTGGTGGTCTGGTTCAGGTGCTATAAATATAATACTTGTATCCTTGTTATTTCTTCCTGACCTCTTTCAACACTCCTCTAGGCCATTGTTGCTCGTGCCAACTGCCTGAAGAACTCTGGGGTTCCTGATGACATCTTCCAGCTCGACGACCTCTCTGTGTTGGTATGTTTGGGCCCAATTGCTCCGTGGCTGCGATGGGCACATTGGTGTAACGGTTCGGGGTCACAGGGGGTCGAAGACCCATTACTATTTCTGCAGACGGGTCTCTGCGTTTTAGCCACTGAGAAGACGTCTTCTTCCCTTTGTGCCGATTGAAGCCAATCAAAGTGAGAAGAGGCGAGTTGGACACTCAGGATTGGCTCCTAGCTGCGTGGGAAGAACTTGAGGCCATTGCAAAAAGCAAGGGGTTTGCTTTCCTTGAGCTCTTTAGATCAAGGAAGATGATGATGATGATGATGATGATGATTTATTATTATTATTTATACCCCGCCCTCCCCAGCCAAGGCCAGGCTCAAGGCGGCTAACAAGCAATAATAAAAACAAGTTGAATGAATACAACTTAAAAACAAGATTAAAATACAACATTAAAATATTGAAACATTAAAATATTAAAATGCAGCCTCATCACAGGAGGAGAAAGGTAAAAGAAAAAAGAAAGAGGGGGAGGGAATCAAATTGGCTCCGAGCCAAAGGCCAGGCAGAACAGCTCTGTCTTACAGGCCCTGCGGAAAGAAATCAGATCCTGCAGGGCCCTGGTCTCATGAGGCAGAGCGTTCCACCAGGCCGGAGCCAGAGTTGAAAAGGTGCTGGCTCTGGTTGAAGCCAATCTAACTGCCTGAGGGCCCGGGACCACTAGGGTGTTGCTATTTATGGACCTTGAGGCTCTCCGTGGGGCATACCGGGTGAGGCGGCCCCATAGGTACGAGGGTCCTAGGCTGTGAAGAGCTTTAAAGGTCAAAATCAGCACCTTAAATCTGACCCTGTACTCCACCGGGAGCCAGTGCAGCTGGAAAAGCACTGGGTAAATATGCTTCCATGGCAGAGACCCCGACTGACTGATTGATTGATTGATTGATTGATTGATAATAATAATAATAATGCTTGATTGATGCAGTTTGTGAGTCGCCACCTATCTTGCTAATTGCAAGCTTATTTATGAATTACTATTCAAATCTTCTGACCCCTGGGAAGCTTGAACACCTTTGGGGCAGCTGCTGGTCAGCCCAAATGCAGAGGTCCTCCTTTGATTCATCTCTCCTTGTTTTGTCTTAGGACCTGAGCTACAACCAGCTGACGGAGTGTCCCCGGGAGCTTGAGAACGCCAAAAACATGCTTGTGCTGAACCTGAAACATAACAGGTAAGTTTGGGGGTGAATTTCCTCCCTGGAAAATGGGCAGAAAACATTTGGGTCTTCCCAGGAGGGCCGAGTGTGTTGGGAGTGGTTGGTTCACATTTCTATAAAATGGGGGTGTTAAGAACATAAGAGTAACCTGGTGGATCAGGCCCGTGGCCCATCTAGTCCAGCTTCCTCTTCTCACAGTGGCCAACCGGATGCCCCTGGGAAACAAGCAGAACCTGAGAGCAAAGTACATCCCCTGCCCCACCCCCCTAAATAACTCTAGTTTCCAGTAACTGGTGTGACAAACTATGTGTCTAAACCAACATGTGTGTCCAGCACTCACACGTATTCATACGCATGCTACCAAGATGTTCAGGATCTTTTGCTAGAGTTATGACGTGTGTCTGCTATGAATATGCATTTTCCCTTAGTCTCTTTTATACATACCGTATTTTTCGCTCCATAGGACGCACTTTTTCCCCTCCAAAAATGAAGGGGAAATGTGTGTGCATCCAATGGAGCGAATGCAGGCTTTCGCTGAAGTCTGGAGAGCGAAAGGGGTCGGTGCGCACCGACCCCTCTCGCTCTCCAGGCTTCAAGAAGCTATCCGCAAGCCTTCGGAGCGTGGCGGGAGTTCCGGGCTGCGCACCCCGGGCTTCGGGCAGCTATCCGCAAGCCTTCGGAGCGCTCCCCCAGCCCGCAAGCTCCAGGAGCGACGGCAAGGCTGTGCAACCTTGCCTCCGCTCCCGGACCTGTGCTGGGGTCGGGGGAAGCTCGGACTTCCCCCGCCCCAGCCCCGCGACTAAAAACGAAGCCTCGTGCAGCCTCTCCCAGTTGTGCGTGGCTAAAGAGGAAGCCAAGACAGACAGCAGGATGGATCCCGCTGGCTGTCTTGGCTTCTTTGCTCTGTGGGGCTGGGGAGGGGGATAATTTTTTTCCCTTTATTTCCCCCCCTAAAAACTAGGTGCGCCCTATGGTCCAGTGCGCCCTATGGAGCAAAAAAAAATACACACACACACACACATACTTTTTTTATTGGTTTTACATGAATTTGTACATAACAACTTTAACCATTCCAGTACATTAAAATAAAAAGGTTCTTTCAAACCTTCAGACCTCCTCCCTTCCCTCCATGGGTTCCATTTTCAAAGAAAGTTTTCTTTTCTTCTTTTGTCCCTGCATCTTTTACCGTTGTCCATCTGTTATATAATCGCAGTTACCAAAGTTCATTTCACATTATAAATGTCATTGTATCCCTGCCAATGATTTTAACTGTCTACAGTGGTTTTTTAAGTATATAAAAAAGTTATTCCAATCTTTTAGGAATGCTTGATCTTCCTGGTTTCTGATCTTTCCCATCAGTCTCGCCATTTCTGCATATTCCATTAAATTAGTCTCATGCCCACAAGAAAAGGGAGGGGGGAGAAAGAAAGCTTTGTTTATAATGAAGGGAACCAAATACAGTAGAACCTCGGGTTGCGAATTTGATCTGTGCAGGAGGCACATTCGCAACCTGCAGCTCCACATCTGCGCACATGCGGGTCATTCAGCGCTTCTGCGCATGTGCAAAGCACGATTTAGTGTTTCTGCGCGTGCGCCAAAACCCAGAAGTAACCCGTTCTGGTACTTCCAGGTTCGGCGCAGTGCGCAACCCGAAAGTGCATAACCTGAAGCATCTGTAACCCAAGGTACCACTGTAGATAAATGCTGCTTCAGACAGCAAAATTACAATGAAATCAGGCAGCAAATAAATGCACACCTTGATCTGAAGAGTGAAGGAATCCCTAACTATTCTCAAAAGCCTACAAAAAAGCGAGTGTGGCAGTTTTGCCACAGAAACCACACTAATAGCAGATCCAGAAACGGGTGTGGGAGGAATTTGCCTGCCCTTAAGGTGAAACATGTATTGGTTCTTCAAGAACGCTGAGTAAGTTTGTTGTTGGAGCTTGGAGAACCATTGAAAATCTAGGACAGGCATAGGCAAACTCTGGCCCTCCAGATGTTTGGGACTACAATTCCCATCATCCCTGACCACTGGTCCTGTTAGCTAGGGACGGTGGGAATTGTAGTCCCAAAACATCTGGAGGGCGGGAGTTTGCCTATGCCTGATCTAGGAGTTTAGTACTAGTTTTAGCCAATGCATTCTAATGGAGAATATTTCTGTTGTTTCACCCCAGAGTTTCCTGCTTATTTTGCTGAATTAAAAGTTGCAAGAATATAATCCTAGCGAGCAGTGACTAAACCAGTTGCCCTTATTAATGGGTCCCATAAGCCCCTGCCAATATGGCCCGTGGCTGGGGATGATGGCAGGTGGCTTGCAGCTACGTCTGGAGGGCTGCAGATTCTCCCTCCGTGATAAGGTGGCAGTGATATAATCATAGCTGTCCATTTTGAGCTTCTTGTTCAGATGCGAAGGCCTGGTGCGGAATGGGGTACCCTCCAGCCCACCCTCGATCTCTCCAATCTCCAGCTGTGGTTAAGCTTCCTTGCTGGAACCTGCCTGACAAGGTGTGTCATTCCTCTCCCTTTCTCCCTGCAGCATCGACAACATCCCCAACCAGCTGTTCATCAACCTGACAGACCTGCTCTACCTGGATTTGAGCGACAACAAACTGGAGAGCCTTCCCCCCCAGATGAGGCGCCTGGTGCACCTGCAGACCTTGATTTTGAATAACAACCCTCTACTGCATGCGCAGCTCAGGTGAGGCGGCTGGGAGCTGGGGAAGGGGAGCAGGAGAGCGAGAGCAGGCGTTCTGCAGTCTTTCCGCGGCTGCAGTCGCGCTCATTTTGCTGTGTGTTCGAGCAAAGGAACTGGGGTTGGAGGGACAGGCTTTTAGCACCTTGGAGCTGTCAGGTTTCCTTTGGCGCTTTTCAAAACGCAAAGGTGCTAGTTCTCATGGTTGGGAATGTAGATGGGAAAGTGTGATTGGGGCAGGGAGGGGGCAAAGCTCAGGCACACCAGGGTGTATACTTTCCACTTGCCCGCAGACTGTCTCGCCAGAGTGGTGCCTGCTCTAGTTATCTCCCGCTTGGACTACTGCAATGCGCTCTGTGTGGGGCTACCTTTGAAGGTGACCTGGAAACTACAACTAATCCAGAATGCAGCAGCTAGACTGGTGGCTGGGAGTGGCCGCCGGGACCATATAACACCGGTCTTGAAAGACCTACACTGGCTCCCAGTACGTTTCCGAGCACAATTCAAAGTGTTGGTGTTGACCTTTAAAGCCCTAAACAGCCTCGGTCCAGTATACCTGAAGGAGCGTCTCCACCCCCATGTTCTACCTGGACACTGAGGTCCAGTGCCGAGGGCCTTCTGGCGGTTCCCTTCCTGCGAGAAGCCAAGTTACAGGGAACCAGGCAGAGGGCCTTCTCAGTGATGGTGCCTGCCCTGTGGAACGCCCTCCCATCAGATGTCAAAGAGATAAACAACTACCTGACATTTAGAAGACATCTGAAGGCAGCCCTGTTCAGGGAAGTTCTTAATGTCTGACATTTTGATGTATTTTTAATCCTTGTTGGAAGCCGCCCAGAGTCGCTGGGGAAACCCAGCCAGATGTGAGGGGTACAAATAAATTATTATTATTATTATTTATTTATTTATTTATTTATTTATTTATTATTATAAACCAGAGGAGGACACATGTCAAAATCTGTGCCACAGATCCATCCAATCTTGGAAGGCCTTTGCCTTGTTTTGTGATCCCAACAGGTGGTACTTTTCAGGCTTTTCTTTCGAAAAAGAAGACCCTACAGCCCCTTGAGCCAGCTTTTGTTTTTTTGGTGGTGGTGGGCTGTATTAAATTGAAAGAGACCAGTGAGGCCACACCTAGCTCCATTTTGCTCCTCTGCGTGTGAAAAAGAAGAGACTACCTCTGAGATTGTACAGAGTGCCTTCCATTTTCACCGTGTAATCGGAGCTGACCTCAAAACTTCTGAGACTTATGCAGGGCAGAGCTTGTACCCCAAGGCTGAGGAGGGGCCCCTCCCCGCCCACAGCTTCCCTTCACACTTCCTAACTTTGTGAAATGCATGCCTTTATAATAAAACAAAAGGTTTTTTTTTTCAGTTGAACAAAATAAAGTGGAAAAAAGAGAGAGAGACTGCAATATATGCTGATATAGATATGATTGTCATATATGCTAATACCGTACTTTTCCATGTATAACACATCCCCATGTATAAGACGCCCCCTATTTTGGGGGACTCAAATTTAAGAAAATGGGGGAGAGGGCACAAAGATGTTGAGCTTTATTTAGGGAGGAATACCAAAAATCGCTCACAAAATCAGCCTCTTGTCTGTCCCCTCGCTGGCAGAAGCTGCAAATCGCCCACCCCATTTGCCGCAGCATCAGCAAATCACCACTCTTGACGCAGCAACCAATAACACGCACAATAGCCACTGACAGCTACGGCAGCAACCTATAAAACGCCCGCCCTATGCACTGCCCATGTATAAGACGACCCCCAATTTTTAACATGAATTTTTAGGACAAAAATCTAGTTTTATACATGGAGAGGTACGGTATATGATATTAATAACCTACTTATGCTCGCTCCAAATATCAGTATATTTATCCAAGCAAAGTCTGTTGCAAGAGTTGTCTTCAGTCCATTGATTAAAGGGAGCATATTTTTGTTCTTCCAGTTCATCAATACCAGTCTGCTGGCTGTAGGATCCATTTTTGTTGTCTGCTTGTCAGCTTCCATATAATAGGTATACAATTCAAAGGAATATTTTCCTCTAAAAAAGATTATTTTATTTTATTTTTGCAAAATGCATGCCTGTCAATTTGCACCTAGATACGTGGGAGACGACAGCCCCATCTTGCATTTAAGGAAGTGGCCCCTAGTCCACAAAAAGCTTATGCCACAATAAATTTTAGTTTTTTAAGGCAGGAATGGGGAACACCTGATAATCCTTCAGGGTTTCATCTTGTCATTGTCCTCTTTCCTCCTCTCTTTCAACTGAAGGCAACTCCCAGCAATGGTGGCTTTGCAGACGCTCCACCTCAGGAACACACAACGGACCCAGAGCAACCTTCCCACAAGCTTGGAAGGCTTGTCAAATCTCGCAGGTATGATTCCCGAGGAAATGTATGAATGGGCTCAGCTCCGTGCATTGAGCAGCCTGCAAAGGAGAACCCGAGGCTGTAGGTCTCTGCATGTTTCCCTGGAAGTAAGTCTCATGGAACTACCTGAAGGAGCGTCTCCACCCCTATCGTTCTGCCCAGACCCTGAGGTCCAGCTCTGAGGGCCTTCTGGCGGTTCCCTCCCTGCGAGAAGTGAGGTTACAGGGAACCAGGCAGAGGGCCTTCTCGGTGGTGGCACCCACCCTGTGGAACGCCCTCCCGCCAGATGTCAAGGAAATAAACAACTATCTGATTTTTAGAAGACATCTGAAGGCAGCCCTGTTTAGGGAAGTTTTTAATGTTTGATGTTTTACCGCATTTTTAATAAGTGGTACCTCTGGATACGAATGGGATCTGTTCCGGAGCCCCGTTCGCATCCTGAAGCGAACGCAACCCGCGTCTGCGCGTGCGTGGGTCGCGATTCGCCGCTTCTGCATATGTGCGTGATGTCATTTTGACAGTCTGCGCATGCGCAAGTGGCGAAACCCGGAAGTAACACGTTCCATTACTTTCGGGTTGCCATAGAGCGCAACCCAAAAACGCTCAGCCTGAAGCAACTTCAACCCGAGGTATGATTGTACTTTGTTGGGAGCCCCCCACAGTGGCTGGGGAAACCCAGCCAGATGGGCAGGGTACAAATAATTTATTATTATTATTATTATTATTATTACTACTACTACTACTACTACTACTACTACTTGATGGGATTGTTTTTGGTAGACATGCCTAGGGTTGCACCACTAAAGAAACGTATATGTTCCTGAATTAAATTCATAGACTGGGGCCACATTCACACCAAACCAATTTAGAGCACTAGTTATCACTTTGAGCAGGCTTGACTTCCTGCAAAGGATTCTGGGAGCTGTACTGTGTTATGGGTGCAGAGAATTGTTGGAGGGCACCAGGTTATGGGGAGGCTCCTCTGGGACCCTGTAGCCCACGTGGGTTGCATCCAGAACCCACCCTTGTTGAACTCTGACTCTGCCTCACTTTCATTCTTTCCTCCTCTTACGCTCAGATGTGGACCTCTCCTGTAATGACCTGACCCGCGTCCCCGAGTGTCTCTACACCCTGTCCAACATACGGCGCCTCAATCTCAGCAGCAACCAAATTGGAGAGCTTTCCCTCTGCATTGACCAGTGGTGCCAGCTGGAGACCCTCAATCTGTCCAGGAACCAGCTTACCTCCCTGCCGGTAGGTGGTGTTCCCCATCCAGGTAACTGGGACACCAGCTCTGCCATGCTACTGGTTGGCCGCAGAGGAATGGTGGGAGGATGTGCCGTTCTCACAGCAAAGGAAGGATTGGACTCTGATTAATAGAATAGCCACGAGGCTTGACCAGCAAGACTCTGGGAGGGGTGCCAATAATAATAATCCTCTCCACCCCTCGGCCCAGGTCGTTTTATTCACAAAAGAACTTTTTACACAGTGTTTGTAAGAACCAATCAGACTTCCTCAGAGCATTTCAAAAAACCCCACGTGGGGACAAAGTTAGATCAGAAGAAATTCTTTTAACCACAAAGAAACTATTTCCTACTTGAACATGCATAATAGTCCAGAGTAAATAAAATAGGAAGCAATGCTTTTAGGAAACCCGGAGGTCATAAACTGCAGTAAACAGTATTTACCATCTCCTTGTGAACTCTCTTCCTGGCCCTTAGATCTGTCTAAAGATCAAAGTAACCTACTGTCTTTATGTACTGAGGATGCCTGATGAAGCAACTGGCCTGTGTTTTGAAATGCTTATATGTGCCTGTCAGATGTAGAGAAATAGGACAGGGATGCAGAGGCGTGGATTGATCAGAAATCATATCAAAATGGCTCAAACCCAGTCAACGCAATGCTTTCATCGCGGACACAAATGTCTTGCTCCATATTTTTTATAATTCCTCATAGCAATCCCACCTGATCACTACAGGAGGAACCAGCTGGGCACCCACAAGGGAAGAAGGCTCAGAGCCCAGGGGATCGGTGATGGAGGGGCAACGATGAGTGGTCAGAGGCAGACAAGGGAGAAGGCTGTGAGGAGGAGTTTTCGGAAGCTGAAGGGGCAACAGGGCTTAGTGAGCTGGGAGTCTGTGGCAGCCACTTAAAAAGCATAGCAATTGAAGAAGCTGAAAAAGCAATCCGAATAATTAGATCAGGAAGACATGCTTGCCTAAACAGGTGTGTCCTCAGGAGCCGGCGGTATGCCAATACTGATGGAGGTGTCTCATATTTTAGCCGGGAGGGCGTTCTGATTGTCACGGACTGGTTGGACACAGAGGGATGGTGGGAGGAGCCAGCTGGGGAACCCCTCCAAGGGAAGAAGGCTCAGAGCCTGGGGACTGGCGGTGGTATGGCAACGAATGGTGAGAGGGAGAAGATGGGGAAGAGGTGTTGGAAGCTGAAGAGGCAACAGGGCTTATTGAGCAGGGAGAGTCTGTGCAGGGCTGGATTAACCATTATGCAAAATAAGACCATGCTTAGGGCATCAAGTGAAGGGGCGGAACCACAAAAACTTTCCATTTCTGGATTTTTAACATCAGCGGTCATTAACGGCCAGGCGTTCCTTTTCTCAGTTGAAGTATGTTAAAAATCCCAACAGAACAGCTGTGCAACAAGGCGGGCTGGTTGCCTTATCTGTTGTAAGTATATACGGAGGTGTATTACGTAAGACGGGTCAGCAAACTTTTCCAGCAGGGGGCCGGTTCACTGTCCCTCAGACCTTGTGGGGGGCCAGACTATATTTGGGGGCGGGGAGAGCAAATTCCTATGCCCCACAAATAACCCAGAGATGCTTTTAAATAAAAGGACACATTCTACTCATGTAAAATCACGGTGATTCTCAGACTGTCCGCGGGCCGGATTTAGAAGGCGATTGGGCCGAATCCAGCCCCCGGGCCTTAGTTTGCCTACCCATGACATAAGATTAGTTTTGAGGATCTGATTTAAGATTTTGCAATTAGAAAAAAGTAGGAGAGCATTTTTCAAATATAAATGAAGTGGACGTATACAAAAATAAACATTATTTTCCATCTTACTCTAGGTTTTGTTTCATTTTGAAAAATAAACTTTTATTTGGGATTTACTGCTGTTTATATTTTGAATTAGATATATATATATGGGGGCACCAAACTCTTTTAAGTGCCCAACCTTGCAGAAAATCAGTGTTTAAAATGAGCGAGTTAATGAATGAGTCAGCAAATGAATTCATGAGCAAATCTCCCTTGCTCTGCTTGACTCTTTGCACGTGTTTCCACCCTAGTCGGCCATCTGTAAGCTGACCAAGCTCAAGAAACTCTACCTGAACTCCAACAAGCTGGACTTTGACGGCATTCCTTCGGGGATCGGGAAGCTGGTCTCCCTGGAGGAATTCATGGCTGCAAACAACAACTTGGAACTGATTCCAGAAAGCCTCTGCAGGTATGCCAGGCCCTCCTCCAAGTGGCCTTGAGGCACCGTATTTCCTCCCAGAGGACTATCTGCATGGTTGGCTGTGCACACAGACATGGTTTTATGTGCCTTTGGCCGATGTGCTTCCAGGCTGAGACGATTCCTGTAAATCAGCACTGTTCCGCCGCTACCTTGGAAACAATTACAGTCATGCCTTGTGTTACGTTTGCCTCATGTTGCGGCTTTTCAGGTTACGAACGTGGCAAACCCGGAAGTGTTTACTTCCAGGTTCACTGCACGTGCAGAAGCGATCTGCGCACTTTGCGCATGTTCAGAAGCACTCTATCGGGCTTCGCGCATGTGCAAGAGTGGTACTCTACTTACAGACTTTTTGGGGTGCGAACGGCGTTCATAAGTAGAGGTATCACTGTAATGTCTCTTTCTACCTACCTATGAACCCAAAGCTTGTAATTCATCAATTTTGGGGCAAGCCTCTAATATTTATTTTCCTTTATTCAATTTCTGTCGCGCAGCCTTCAACACATGCTTCTCTCAAGGAGCTGAGCAATAAAAGCGAAAGACCGCCACATTGGTACCCCCGCCCCAGCAAATAACAGTTGATAAAATATGATAAATAGGAAGGGCAGTTTTGTCTTGAGTCTCAGAGGCTTAAAAGGTTAAGTGGTTTTAAAGCCTGGATTGAGAGCCAGTGGTGGGGTAATGCTTAGAGTGTTGGACCTCAGGCCTCAAAGACCAGGGTTGAAGTCCCTCCCTTGGTGATGATGTTTGCTGGGTGACGTTCGGCCAGTTAACACACACTCTCGGGGCCTAGCCTACCTCACAGGGCTGTTGTTAGTGGAGGGAAGGGTGGGAGAACAACATACACTACCTTGAGCTCCCCGGAGGGAAGATAGTTTAGGGTCAAGGCATCAAAGAGCTGATATGGCATTGGAGAGTGGATGGAGAGACCTTTTCGCCCCCGTAACACTAGGGCTTGTGGACATCCAATGGATGTCCATTCAGACCAGACCAGAATGTCCTCCGTCACATAGCGCAGAGTTAAACTATGGAACTCACTGCCACTGGAGACGGCCGCCAACTTGGATGGCTTTAAAAGAGGATTGGGCAAATTCATGGAGGAGAACGCTATCAATGGCTATGAGCCTCAATGGCTAAGCTCTGCCTCCACAATTAAAGGCAGCAATTCTTCTGGGTACCATTTGTCGGAAACCACATGAGGGTAGAGGGATCTGGTGCCCAAATCCTGCTTGCTTGGCCCCTGTGAGAACATGGCCCCATTGGCCTGATCTGACAGGCTGCCCTTATGTTATTTGCCAGATGCCGGAATTATTGCCGTGTTCGGTTTTGAGTAGGGCTCCATCCTGGGCCTACCTGGAGATGCTGGGGATTCGAACCTGGAACAGTCTGCATGCAAGGCCGATGCTCTACCACTGAACTATGGCCCTTCCTCATATGACTTAACTGGTTCAAAGGGAGACAGTAAGCACCTCTTTTTCTCTCCACAGGTGTGTCAAGCTCAGGAAGTTGGTTTTGAACAAGAACCGCTTGGTCACTTTACCTGAGGCCGTGCACTTTCTGACAGACATTGAGGTGAGGCCAGGGGGGTCCTTGCTGACAGAAGGGCCTGGGAGTTGGGATGGGGGGCGCGTAAGAAAAGGGGATCAACATCTTACTTGAGGGAGCATCTTCATCCCCATCATTCAGCCCAGACCCTGAGGTCCAGCTCCGAGGGCCTTCTGGCGGTTCCCTCACTGCGAGATGTGAGATTACAGGGAACCAGGCAGAGGGCCTTCTCGGTAGTGGCACCCGCCCTGTGGAATTCCCTCCCATCAGATGTCAAGGAAACAAACAACTATCTGACTTTTAGAAGGCATCTGAAGGCAGCCCTGTTTAGGGAAGTTTTTAATAATCTGTTTGGAGCCGCCCAGAGTGGCTGGAAAACCCATCCAAATGGGCGGGGTATATATATATGTGTGTGTGTGTGTGTGTATATATATATATGTATACAGTGGTACCTCGGGTTACATACGCTTCAGGTTACATATGCTTCAGGCTACAGACTCCGCTAACCCAGAAATATTACCTCGGGTTAAGAACTTTGCTTCAAGATGAGAACAGAAATCGTGTGGCGGCGGTGCAGCAGCAGCAGGAGGCCCCATTAGCTAAAGTGGTGCTTCAGGTTAAGAACAGTTTCAGGTTAAGAACGGACCTCCAGAACGAATTAAGTACTTAACCTGAGGTACCACTGTATGTATAAAAAAATATTATTCTTATCATATTTCATGCTGTGGGACTCCACTTGGCCCCTGATGGGCCAAAAGTGAGAAGCTAAAATCCTATATGAAGTTGATTTAACCCCTCACAGTTACAATTCCCAGTAGCTGATTAACCACTCTGAGATCTGTAGCTCTTCGAGAGGAATAGGGGTCAACTCTCAGCACCCTTAACGAACGTTTCCCAGAATCCTTTGGGGAAACCATGACTGTTCAAAGTGGACCCTAGCAGGATGCGGATGAGCTCCTGTGTTTCCCGTTCCCGTAGCTGCCTTTGACCTGAATAGGCTTTTCCCCCACTCTGCTTCTGGCTCTGTGAATCCATCGCCCCTTCCTGCCCTTCCTTCTCGCAGATCCTGGATGTCCGTGAGAACCCCAACCTGGTGATGCCCCCCAAGCCTGTGGACAGGACCTCCGAGTGGTACAACATCGACTTCTCCCTACAGAACCAGCTGCGTCTGGCGGGGGCCTCCCCTGCCACCGTAGCAGCTGCTGGGGCAGGTGAGTTTGGTACTGTGGGTTATTCTGGCCTTGTGATTTCCCCGCCCCCAGCCTTCCTGGCAAATGATAAACTGCCTTGTTTCTTACCAGTGAATTGCATCCAGTGTTAAAACTATGCAGAGTATAGGCCCACTGAAATTAATAAGACCTGAGCAATTTACTGTAGGTCCGTTAATTTCAGCAGGCCTGTTACCAGTTGGGAGATTTTTTTTTTTTTTTTAATGATATTTATTAAAATTTCACATGAAAAGAGACACATTAATGAAAAAAAAAAAAGAATTTAAAGATAAAAAGAAAAATACACAATACAAAATACAAAAAGAAAAAAGAAAAAAGTTAAAAACAATTCCATCTTTTCATCACTACTTTTACATTTACTTATTTCCCGGACCTCCTCATACCTCCCTCTTTTGTATACCAATTCAGTTTGTTTGTCCAGCAATTCCTTTCCCTCCTTTTAATCCCAATCCTTAATCTTAATATAATATAACATTAAATTTTTACCTATTAAAAACCAATTTTCCATTCTTTTAACCTTTTTAATCCTAATCCTTAATCTTGATCTATATATAACTTTAAAACCTGTACAGCTAGAAGCCACTTAATTTCAATCCATCATCACTCTAACATTCTTTAATTTTGCAATATTTCTGTAAGTAATCTTTGAATTTCTTCCAATCTTCTTCCACCGACTCTTCTCCCTGGTCACGGATTCTGCCAGTCATTTCCGCCAATTCCATATAGTCCATCAATTTCATCTGCCATAGTTGGGAGATTTTTTTAAAAAATTGGCGGTTTGGTTTAAAAGACTCAGAAGTTTTAAAATATACAGTCAACTCACAACTTTTTATATATATATAATTTTTTAATTAGTTTTTTAACATATAATTTTCAACAGTAATTAAACATACTTTTACATCTTATTCATTTTTTTTTTACTTCCATCAATCCTGTCTGAAAATTTTCCTACTTTGTAACACTATGTATATTTCTCATTACAAAACTTCTTGTAGTCCTACTAGCGTAATTTGTTGATTACAGTTGCTCTTCAAATAATTCATATACTTCTTCCAATCTTCTATAAATCTCTGGTCCCGCAGGTTTCGAATCCTTCCTGTCATTTTGTCCAATTCTGCATAGTCCATTAATTCCGTCTGCCATTCTTCTTTCGTCGGAATTTCTTCTTGTTTCCAACTCACAACTTAAGCACATTCAAGTTGTGCAAATTCAGCTTAACGTGCTTGTCAGAAAAAAAAGTGCTGAACTTTAAAAAGGGGGGGGCATCCATGGGAGTGGGGAGTCAGTAATCCCTCCCACCCACCATTGCACTCACCTGGGAGAGTGTTCAGAGGTGCAGAGAAAGTGTGTTTTGACTATACACAATTTTGGCTCTATGCACTACTCCGGAATATAACCCCTGTGTAAGTTGAGTGTTGAATATCTATCCACAATGTGCACTATCCAAACACTTGTTATTCAAAAATTCACTTATCCAAACACGAGAGATCAGTACCCAAACCTCACTTATACGCTCCTCAGATTCAGAGATCCAAATAGCCAGACCTGTGTGTAGTACTATAGAGAAATAAGCAGCCTTAAACAATCTTTACTTTTTTGTGTCATGTTGGTCCACTGGAAACCATGGGGGGGGGGAGCAGGAGAGGGGAGAAAAGGGGACAGACTGAATGAAGAAGAGAGCATCTTTTCCCTTCCTTGTTTGCCTTCTGCAGTGTTTCAGAGAATTCTCCCTGGTTTTTTTTCACCATTTTGTGGCCAAAATTCTGTGATCAGGAACACATTAGACATTTCCCCATAGGAATTAGTGGGAATCATTGACTTGTTTTGTGAACGCTCACCTGATAAACCATCTCCTGAGAACACATTGTGTTCGGAGAGCAGAAACTGCGTGTATAAGCGATACTTGTTGGAGCTTCAAAGCTATCTTCCATCCCCTAAAATTATTTGTTTCTCCCCACCCCTTTCTATTCCTAGGGAGCAGCCCAAAGGACCCCATGGCACGAAAGATGCGCCTGCGGAGACGCAAAGACTCATCGCAGGATGATCAGGCAAAGCAGGTGCTGAAGGGGATGTCGGACGTGGCGCAAGAGAAGAACAAGAAGATGGAGGTAGGAACACACTCAGCGATGGAGAGTGACTTCAAGGTTGCAGCACTTGGAACTCTTTAGTTTAGAGAAAAGGCAAGGAAGAGGCGTTTGCATGGCGTGGAGAAAGGAAATATTTTCTTCCTCTCTCTCTTAACGCAAGAAGTTTTGGGCATCCAGTGAAGCTGAACGTTGGGAAATTCGGAACAGATAAAATAAAGAATTTCTGGGTTAATCTGGGGAATTCACTTCCACAAAAGGCTGTGATGGCCGTTTAAAGTTCAGCATGGGAAGATAAGTACAATAGAGATTTTAAGAAAGACTGGGGAACCATTCATGTCATATTTACAAAATCAATGTAAAGAAATGGACTCACTTGCAGGGTTTGATTAAACCAAGCTTAGGCAAACTCAGCCCCCCAAATGATTTGAGACTACAATTCCCATCATCCCTGACCGCTGGTCCTGTTAGATAGGGATGATGGGAGTTGTAGTCCCAAAACATCTGGAGGGCCGAGTTTGCCAATGCCTGGATTAAACACTTGCAGTTAACAAAACAAATGTAGGAAATAGAATGTTGATGTTAAAATGAAAAGAGAAGAATTATAACTATTTTTTTAAAAAAAATTAAAGAATAAGAAATAACAAATAAGCTGGAGGAGATAATATGCCAAAAAACCAGAAGAGGAAACTGAGGGAAGTCGTGGAGAGGAGGGGAAAATTGGGGGATGGTATTTTTGTTATACGTTATGATAGTAAAGGTAAAGGGACCCCTGACCATTAGGTCCAGTCGTGACCGACTCTAGGGTTGCGGCGCTCATCTCGCTTTATTGGCCGAGGGAGCCGGCGTACAGCTTCCGGGTCATGTGGCCAGCATGACTAAGCCCCTTCTGGCAAACCAGAGCAGCGCACGGAAACGCCGTTTACCTTCCCGCTGGAGCGGTACCTGTTTATCTACTTGCACTTTGACGTGTTTTCGAACTGCTAGGCTGGCAGGAGCAGGGACCGAGGAACAGGAGCTCACCCCGTCACAGGGATTCGAACCGCCGACCTTCTGATCGGCAAGCCCAAGAGGCTCAGTGGTTTAACCCACAGCGCCACCTGCGTCCCTGATAAGTTATGATACTTTGATGTTAAAAAATGTAAAATCTTAATAAAAACTATTTTTTAAAAAAATAAGTTCAGCACGGGATGGCAGTATATAAAAAGCCACCATCCCATAAAGCAATAGGTATTGAATCGTCAAAGAAATGTTCGAATCCGGTTAAAGAAGCAGTCGCATTATAATCAGGAAAATGCAATGCAATAATCCCCATGTCTGAACGCACGCTAGTTTCCCTTCTTTTCATCTACCAGGATCCCTTATTCTTTGTTCTTATTGCCGTTAGGATCCTTTACTAACTCTCTCCCTCCCTCCCTTTTCTTTCCGCGCTAGGAGAACGGAGACCCAAAGTACACGGACCTGAAAACCCGCCGCTGGGATCAGAGTTTGGAGAAGCCTCAGCTCAACTACTCTGAGTTCTTTACGGAGGACGTGGGGCAGCTCCCTGGCGTCACCGTCTGGCAGATTGAGAACTTTGTGCCCACAATGGTGGACGAAACCTTTCATGGGAAGTTCTACGAGGCCGACTGCTACATTGTCCTGAAGGTTAGGGGGGCAGACATCTTGTTTTTATCCTCACAGCCACCCCTGCGAGGTAGGAGACTTGCTTGTCCGTCGCTTCATGGGCCTCACTCACACCAAGCTAGGATGCGCTAGGATGCCACCTTACTATTATTATTATTATTATTATTATATTTTGTTTTGTTTTGTTTTGTTTTTGCAATTTTATATTTAACACAAAAAACATTATCACAAAAGGAATATATAAACCCCAGTCTCCCCACCGCCCTCCCCTGACTTCCCCCAACTTCCTCTTCTGATTCTTTAAATATTTGCTTCTCCTATTTTGCTCTACCTTAATTTTATAATTTTATAATTAAATATTGTTATATTCTTCTTATCTTTATAGCATACCAAATATCCAAATTACATCTTACGTTTTGTTATTTGCCCAGTTATTACCTTTTAACCGTTTATACTCATTTTCTTAATTGTAAGTGTTTACTCAAACCCTGCTAGTGAGTCGACTTCTTTACAATGCTTCTGTAAATACATCATAAACAATTCCCATTCTTTTTTAAAGTCTCTGTTGTCCGTATCTCTGATTCTTCCAGTCAACTTTGCCATTTCAGCGTATTGCCATTCTTCTTTTGTTACTATTATTATTATTACTATTATTATTACTAGATTTCTATGCTGCCCTCCATCCAAAGATCACAGGGCAGTTTGCAATATGAAAACACAAAAATGTTTAACAAAGTAATAAACAATAACACCCCAACACAGTTTAAAAGGCTATAGATTGTTTAATTAGTGTGGGAGAAGAAGAATATTTCTGCATGGCACCTCAAGATAAGTAACGAAGGGGCCAGCCGAACTCTCCCGGGGAAGAGCGTTCCACAAATGAGGAGCCACCACAGAAAAGGCCCTTTCTCATGTTGCTGCTCTCCAGTCCTCAGAAGGGCCTCAGAAGATGATCACAGGGTCCAGGTCCGTTCATATGGGAAAGAGGCGGACCTTGAGGTATTGCAGTCCTGAGCCTTAAACTGTCACGGGTTCCCCTAAAGAATTCTGGGAAATGTAGTTTGCTAAGGGGGCTGAGAGTTGTTAGGGGGTGCCCTCATAATAGGAGTCTCTTAACGACTCTCAGCACACTTAACTACAGCTCCCAGAATTCACTGGGGGAAGCAATGGCTGTTTAAAGTGGCATTCTAGTGTTTTAAGCATGTATTGTGAAGGTGGCCATGATCTCCCAAGGATAAGGAACCTGTGACCTTTCAGATGTTGTCAGGACTACATAATAATAATAATATATAATAATTTGTTATTTCTACCCCACCGATCTGGCTGGGTTTCCCCAGCCACTCTGGGCGGCTTCCAACCAAAGATTAAAAATATGTTAAAACATCAGTCATTAAAAACTTCGCTGAACAGGGCTGCCTTCAGATGTCTTCTAAACGTCAGATAGTTGTTTATTTCCTTGACATCTGATGGGAGGGCATTCCACAGGGCGGGCGCCACCACCGAGAAGACCCTCTGCCTGGTTCCCTGTAAGCTCACTTCTCACAGTGATGGAACCGCCAGAAGGCCCTCGGAGCTGGACCTCAGTGTCTGGGCTGAACGATGGAGGTGGAGACGCTCCTTCAGGTATACTGGGACGAGGCCGTTTAGGGCTTTAAAGGTCAACACCAACACTTTGAATTGTGCTCGGAAACATACAGCTCCCATAATCCCTTACCTTTGGCCTTGCTGGCTGGGGCTGATGGGAGTTTGAGTCCGACAACATCTGTAGGCCCACGGCTGCCCTGCCCTTGCTACGGGAGTAGACAAAAGTTGAGCTGTGCCTGGTTTGATGCCACCATACGCAGGTCCCTAACCCAAAGCGACCTTGAGGGCAGAGAGGGTTCGTTTTTTAGCTTGCCCATTGGTCCAGCTGCAAACATTGCTTCTCCCCCAGACTTTCCTAGATGATAACGGCTCACTGAACTGGGAGATCTACTACTGGATTGGCCAGGAAGCCACGCTCGACAAGAAAGCCTGCTCTGCCATCCATGCGGTCAACTTGCGCAACTATTTGGGTGCCGAATGCCGCAGCATCCGGGAGGAGATGGGAGACGAGAGCGACGAGTTCAGCCAGGTAAGCTCCTTCCTCTCTGCAGGTTGCTGGCTATATCTATCTTTCCCCTTTCGGCTTTTTAAAAAAATAACTTTTTTTTTGCAATTGTTTTTATTGATTTTCATATATATTTATTCATTCTTACAATATGAGTAGCCTAAAACTCTCAGGATTACCACTTTCCTCTACCCTTCTTCTGGTTTTCTTGTTTCCACACTATAATATTTACACGTTAATTTATATCAGCATACTGTTCATATCAATACATAGTTCTTTCTATTATCTCATATAGAATGCTCCAACAATTGTAAGTTTTAAGGTTTATCCCAAACCTGCCAGTGTTCTTATATGTAAACAGTTTTTCTCAAGGTAAGTTATAAATTTCTTCCAGTCTTTTTGGAACGTCTGGTCGTCCCGCTCACGAATTCATCCCGTCAGCCTGGCTAATTCTGTGTACTCTACCATCTTTGTTTGCCATTCCTCAATACAAAAAAATTCACAGCTGAGTCCTCAATTCTTTATTACTGTGCTTGGCTTTCTTCAAGTTGGGCTGTGTCTAAAATTTGCCATTTAGGTTTTCAAACCTTTTTTGTAAACTCAGTTTTAGAAACTGTACCTTTGAGTCCTCAATCCTTTATTACTGCGCTTTGCTTCACCTAGGCCGAGCTAGGATTATAATACTTCAGAATTTTTGGGAGTTTTATCCCCTTTCTTTGAATTTGGTCATTTAAGGTTTATGATTTCTCTATTTCCTTCTGAGGAAACTGAATAGTTCAGTGAAACGAGGTTTGTAGCCGGCATCCCATTAAGGCATTGTTCAATTCTAGGTTTTTCTAATTTTTTCCTTAAACTTTTTGATTTTTATTATTTGGTTTATTTCTATAAGATAATATTTCTAGTCGATTACTTCTTGTTTCAGGGATTTTCATGGTATTTCATTTGTTTTGTGTAATTCCTCGATAGTCAGCAGATCTTGATGTTTCCATCCTTGAGCTATCAAAACTCTGGCCGCCATTGTCTCATACAGAAATAGTTTTTCATCTTCTTTTGGTATCTCATCCAAATGTTAAAAAAAATAACTTTCGTGGCTGTTGGCAGGTCTTTGATCATGAGATCTCCTACATTGAAGGTGGGACGGCCAGTGGCTTTTATACAGTGGAAGACACACACTATGTCACCAGGTAAGAAATTATGATAATGGTCCCCTTTTGATACTTCTTCTTTTTAAAAAATTTCTATCCAAGGCACAACACCCAAATCTTATTTTGCTTTTGTGTGAAGAAAGGGTGCTTCTGAGCCCATACAGAGTCCTTTTCTTTTTCTGCTAGCCCCAGAGCATTTGGGATTACTGGGTGCAACTTTCAGGTCAAAGGTTGTCCCTTCTGAATGGGCCTCAATCCGCTGCCTCTCCAAAGACTCACTTGTAATTTAGGGGATCCAGATTTATTTATTTTTTTTGGAAGATGCTCCTACTTATGACTCCTGGCTGTTCTCCTTGTTCCCTCTGTTTCTTAATTGCGGGGGGCTAACACTAGTAAATTTCTAATTTTTCATTTGATTATTCTGCCTAGAGGCAGATGGAAGGGAACATTGGGCCATAGCAGTAATTTTGGATTGGGGTTGATTCAGCAGTACAAAAAACTGATTTGGCCAGAGAACAGGAGATTGGCAGGAATGTCTCAAGTTCTGACAGCAGGATAATAAATAATGTGGGATGCAGGAAAGATTTGTGACTTTGAGATTGTTTTGAATTTGGGGAAAACTGTTTAGCTTGCAATTCCCCTTGGTGGGGCAGTGCCCTGATAAACCGGTCTTCTCTGCCTAGATCTTTCTAGTGTAAAAATTATATGGCAGAGGGCTCCAAACCGCCAAGTTTTTTAGTCCTGGTACAGCCTCTCTTTATCTAGTGTCAATCCATTTCCTCTTCCGTGCTGGCCGTTTTGAATGTTCTCTTATTTTAAGGAAGTAGGGGAAATCTTCATGAATTGCAAAACTTCCAAGACCTTTGGCCAACAGACCTGTTGGTGGATTTAAGTTTCCCCCTGCCATCTAACATTTTCGCCCCCCGATTTCAATGTAGGCTTTACCGCGTTTATGGAAAGAAGAACATAAAGTTGGAACCAGTACCTCTGAAGGCAGCATCACTGGACCCTCGGTAAATATTTAGGGTGATTCTCTTTTGGAAACGGGATCCTCTAAAATCAGCAATTTTGGGGGAAACGAATCCCTAAAATATTATGTATAGCTGAGTTGACATTCTAGGTCATCCGTCTCATAGGAAGTCCTCAATCAATTCATTACATTGGTGGAGTTGTACTTGCAAAGGCATCCTTGGATTGGGCTAAGGAATTATTTTCTAAGGTCCACCAATAATTTCTTTTAAAAGAATGAGAGAACTTTAACTCCGCATTAGTGTTTGCTATCCATATTTGAGGGAGTAAACCATAATATTAAATGCAAGGAATTGGTTTGTTCTTTATTGATTGTCGCGCAGCAATCTGGAGTTCAGAGATGGAAAATTTAGACAATCCCTGCTTGGCTTAGGGATGTTAGGACTGTTGCACTCTCAGATGGGGAAATGGCACAATATAACCGGCTCCTGCAAGGCAAAGAAGGACCACAGACCTTTTACGCCACCCGGGAAGACTTTCTTTCATCCACATCTTGTGATAATGTGGAAGGGCATCTCTCAACAGCAGCATCAGAAATATGGAAAGTGTGAGATGATTTTCAGTTCCCACCTGTGGCTCCTAGAAGCTGTCAGCATGTGACAGCAGCCACACCCTGGGAACGGCTTCGACTGGCCGGCTAAGCCAGGTGAGGGTAGCCGATGGGTCTCAAACTCTCAGTGAGTTAGAGACTTCCTTTGCATGTGAAGATAGACGCTGGTGGATTGAGCAGATGAGATCAAGAGGGGGTCCAATGGCCAAGAAGGCAGTTTCTTCATGTGCTGTAGAGGGAAGTGAGGGGCCGATGGGGCTCACCCACCTGGGAAGGGAGCCCACCTAGGAGAAGGAAAACTCTGATCCTGAACTTCCACTGCCTTGTGGGATATCTTCGGGAGAAGAAAAGACTCGGGAATAAACCCTAGATGAATCTGGAGTCCCTAAGACAGTTGGATGGCGTCTTGTTCGCCTCCTTCCGGCAAGTCCTGCAGCCAAGCTGGTGCCAAACATTTTGCTCTGCTTTCCTTTGGACCCCATCAGTGAGGCCGAGAGGGGGGTCTTGTCGTCTGGGCAGCCCAGGACCTCCATGCACACTGCCCAGGCTTGCGCCCAGGGCCAGATTTAGACCCTAAGCTACTGAAGCTAATGGGGCCCTTTATATGTCCAGCTGTCCTTTGTCAGCAACAAATTGTCGCTGTTTTTTGTGTTAAATATATGCTGTATTGTAATTTATGGACTTAATAGGTATCTAAAGCCATTTGCACATAACAAATAGGAGCCTACACAACACAAAACACTCTTGCTGTTTGTAGGTTTTATTTTATTTGCTTTTTATCTTATATTTTGGAAATTACATCCAGTTGTTTTTTCCCTTTAATTTTTTTTTGGTTCCCCCAAGAGAGTGGGGCCCTAAGCTGTAGTTTGTTTAGCTGATACATAAATCTGGCACTGTTTGCGCCCCAGGGAGGTCACTTTGATGCTGCTAATGCCGTGATTTGACTTCACCCCCAGAGGCAGACTCCATTGTCTCTTGAGACAGACAGATGCTAACGATACATGACGTATTTAGTGCCTCCTGCATTAATTGATAACTGTTTCATTTTATTTCTTGGAAGGAATGTGTTCTGAAATCCTGCAGTGGGGGGATATGATTTATAAGAAGCCTTTTTTCTTAAATTCTAGGGTTGGAGCCATGGTTCCCAACGTGGGGCACCCCCCCCCCACAGGGGGGCAATTTGATTTTTAATGGGGGGCAATTCGAGAATGAGTTATTAACAGTGAATGGCCTTTTAGGCTTCCTCCATGTGAATAGGAGTTCACTTTTTGAATAGTAAGAATTATATGTCATTGGGGCAGGGAGGCATCAGGATTTTAGAGATGCTTAGGGGGGGCATGGCCAAAAAAAGGATGGGAACCGCTGGCTTGGAGGATTCTGGGAGTTGTAGTTCCATAAAACCTGGGGGGGTTAGAGGAAAGCCCCATCACTGATTTTGAGTGAGATCTGCAGCAGCTTCTAGCTATTTGGGAAAAAGGGCCCCTTCTGTCTTTTTCTTTTTTCTTTTTTAATCCTTTATTTATTTATTAAATTCATATTACACGTTAGTTACCGCACAATTTCAGCACTGTACATAACATATGTTATATTAAATATATGGATTCCCCACATCTAACCCTATACCCTATTCACCATTTACCCAAATACCCATGTGACTTTCCTCACCCACGTGCAAGACGTCCTTCTCGCTACGTTAAAACTCTATCATTGTGTTCGCATTTATTCATCACATTAATTAGTCCTCTATTCCAGAATCATTGCAATAATGAACTCACTCAGTACTTATCCAAAGATTTCCACTGAAGTAATATTGTACAATATATTCTTCAACACGCTTCCATTCCTTTCTTAATTCTTGCTTTGATTGCACTCTAACTGATGCTGTCATCTTGGCTAGTTCAATATATTCGCAAAATTTGATTTGCCACTCTGACATTGAGGGAGTCTCCTCGCTCTTCCAATTTTTGGCCACGAGTACTCTTGCGGCCGCTGTTGCGTGTAAAAAGACTCTGACCTTGTCTTTAGGGTCTTTTTCTTTCTTTATCTCCAACTTGCCTCTTTCCTGGGACTTTTTTTTCAAGGTTCGTCTTCCTGTTGGACCACGGCCTCGAGATCTACATCTGGAGGGGGAGCCAGGCGACTCTGAGTGGCACCACCAAAGCCAGGTAACTCCCCAAGCAAGGAGAGGGTTGTGGTTGATGTCAGTAGCTTTGGGCCTTTGGGTGGTGTCTGTGGTAAACTTTATTTGAACTGCCGATGCCATTATCATTTTTTGTTTATTTCATTTATACTTTATTTCCTAAAATTTGTGCACCGTTTCTTCGTAGCGACAAAAACCCTCAAGGCAGTTTGCAAATGAAAACAAACAAAAAACAATCAAAAGGAGTAACAACACTTTAAAACATTCAAGAAATTAAAACCAGCAGTAAACTAAAAGCAAATTAAAACACATACCAGCATTCCAGACATCTGGCTAGACTTGCCTTTAAAAAAGGGTTTTTAGCAGGTGCCAAAATGTGTACAGTGAAGATGCCTGCCAGATATCAATAGGCAGGGAGTTCCAAAGTGTAGATGCTGCCACACTGTAATAAAAATAAAAAATAAATTTATTCCTTATACCCCGCCCATCTGGATTGGTTTCTCCAGCCACTCTGGGCAGCTTCCAAAAGAATATTAAAAATATCAAACATTAAACATCAAACATTAAAAACTTCCCTAAACAGGGCTGCCTTCAGATGTCTTCTAAAAGTCAGGAAGTTGCTTATTTCCTTGACATCTGATGAGAGGGCGTTCCACAGGGCAGGTGCCACTACTGAGAAGGCCCTCTGCCTGGTTCCCTGTAACTTCTCGCAGTGAGGGAACTGCCAGAAGGCCCTTGGAGCTGGACCTCAGTGTCCGGGCTGAACGATGGAGGTGGAGACGCTCCTTCAGGTATACTGGACTGAGGCCATTTAGGGCTTTCAAGGTCAACACCAACACTTTGAATTGTGCTTGGAAATGTACCGGGAGCCAATGTAGGTCTTTCAAGACTGGTGTTATATGGTCTCGGCGGCTACTCCCAGCCACCAGTCTAGCTGCCGCATTCTGGATTAGTTGCAGTTTCCAGGTCACCTTCAAAGGTAGCCCCACAAAGAGCGCATATAAGATTGATTTCATACAAATAGATATTATGCAGCAGCTGCAACCGTGCCAGCGGTCAAGTGGGCATGTCATGGGTTAATGTCATCTCGCATGCAAACTGCCCCCAAGTTGTTTAAAGGCTCCATAGACAAATAATACATGGATTTTCACTCCTGATTTGCTTGCCATGAATTGTGCTTCCTGGAAACTGGTTATTTGCCATTTTTATATCCTGGCCACCTTGAGGTTATTATTACCTGTGCGGATAAGCATCTGTTTTTAAATTTTGATTCCAGGTGTTTTGAAGCATTTGGTCGTTCAGATGTATTGTTTTGCTGCTTCGTCGTTCGACACCCTGGACTCTTTTGGGAGGGAAGGGGTGGAAATGTATTAAGTAAATGAAAAACCGAACACTAATTGGAGCTGAACCTGTGTTACAATGCAAATCTGTTCCTCTGAGCTCCTTTTTGTCTTTCCCTGAATCAGTCTTCCGCTCCGTTCTTCTCCCCCCTCTTAGGCTTTTCGCAGAGAAGATCAATAAGAACGAGAGGAAGGGGAAGGCAGAGATCCTGACCGTCAGTCAGACGCAGGAGGCACCCGAGTTTTGGGAGGTCCTGGGGGGGCAGCCGGATGAGATCAAGCCCAACGTCCCAGATGACTTCAAGCCTCCCAGACCTAAACTCTACAAGGTGAGTTGGTGCAGACACCTGTCACACCCAGGGTGGATAAAAATCAATGATTTTTTTTGGATTTTTGTTTTATTTAAATTGGAATTTATTTTTCATTTAGATTTTTAAAATAAAATGCTTTTGGAGGAAAAATCTTTGTAAATACAGTTTTCTATTTAAGTTACATTATGGTCCAGACTCCAAAGGCTATTCATCAGGAAATAAAGATTTGTTTTCAGTTTTTCACGTGTGCTAAAGCTCAGTCTCAGTTTTTTATTTTTAATTGTTTAACCGCATCAGTTAGCAAACATGGATACATATGCTATAATGTTATTGTTTTAGTTAAATAAAACGCTTAAATGATTATTTTTCTCCTTTCAGTAAAATACAGCAGAAAAGTTGTCCAAATATAAACAGTTAACTTATTAAAAACCTGACAATAATTTCATAGTTATCCGTCTCTGTATTTCTAATAGTACAGTCATACCTCGGGTTGAATGTGCTTCAGATTGAGCGCTTTCGGGTTGCGCTCCACAGCAACCCAGAAGTAACGGAGCGCGTTACTTCCAGGTTTCGCCGCTCGCGCATGCGCAGACGCTCAAAATGATGTCATGCGCGGAAGGGGCAAAACGCGACCCACAGACGCACCGTTGCGTCTTACGTTCTGTTCAGGATGCGAACAGGGCTCCGGAACAGATCCCATTCGCATCCTGAGGTACCACTGTATAACCAAATCAGTAATTTTTGATATGACTGTAAAAACTACTCTGAAAATTTACTATTCCAGAAATGAAGCCTTCATGTGGTTGTAAATATTAAGATTATACCAGCAAGAATGAGTCTTTCTGTAAAGAAAAAATGATTTAAATAAAGTCTTACTGACTAGTGATTTAAATCGATTTGATTTAAATCAATTCTAGGCTGGTCACACCCAAACACTTGTAACAGCTCTCAACACCCATAACAAACTACAGTTCCCAGGATCCTTTGCGGGAAGCCCGGGCTATATAAAGCGGTATGACGCTGCTTTAAAAGTATGGGGCAGGAGAGACCCCGGAGCAGGAAAAGGCTTGCCAGGTGGGCTTTTGATTGCTCCCTTCTCCCTGCTAACACCCATTTTCCCTTTTCTTCTTCCTTCTCCTGTTCTCCCACAGGTCGGTTTAGGTTTGGGTTACCTAGAGCTGCCCCAGATCAACTACAAGCTTTCTGTGGAACACAAGAAGAGGCCAAAAGTGGATCTGCTGCCAGAAATGAGACTGGTACGCCACTCTGTGTTTATATATGCCGTATTTTTCGCTCCATAAGACACACCTGACAATAAGACGCACCTAGTTTTTAGTGGAGGAAAACAAGAAAAAAAATATTCTGAATGAAGCAGTGGATGTATGATTTTTGTGGTTCGTGCTGTGGCCACAGACGTGATTTGACGGTGAGTTTGGGGTAGCTCAATGCAAAAATCCTGAGGAGCCATGTGGATCTGTGCTTTGTAACCATGTTTTTGCACCATTTTGCACCCACGAAACAGTGGATGCGTGGGTTTTTTTGGTGCAGGCTGTAGCCATGGACATGCTATGTGATCTGATGTTGAATTTGGGGTGACCCAATGCAAAAATCCTGAGGATCCATGGGCTTTTACCTCCCCCCTCCTAGGCAGCCTCCTTTATCGCTAGCCTCCCTTATCTCCCTCCCAGTCGCTTGCCGATCAGCTGCTTCCTTTCAACACTCCCTTCCCTCTTGTTTGCCTTAGTGTCTTTTCCTTAGCTGGAGCAGTTTTTTGCTCCTCTTTTTCTTCTAATTTCTCTCCTTATTGCTTTAGTCTTCCTGTTTCCCCCCTTTGCAAGTTTGCTGTCTTTACCTCCCCACTCCCAGGCAGCCTCCTCTATTGCTAGCATCCCTTATCTCCCTCCCGATCGCTTGCCAATCAGCGGCTTTGTTTCAACACCCACTTCCCTCTTTCTTAAAAAAAAAAAAAAGCATGATCTGTTTTTTGCCCCTGGGCAATTCGCCTCCAGGGACCATGCATTCACTCCATAAGACGCACAGACATTTCCCCTTACTTTTCAGGAAGAAAAAAATGCGTTTTATGGAGCAAAAAATACGGTAGAGAGAGAGAGAGAGAGTTGTAGAATTGGATGGGATCCAACCCTGCTACAATGCAGGAATGGGATGGGGAGAGGGAACAGAGCGGGAAGCTCTACTCTGTCCCAGGAACAAAACTGCATCAGGGGACCTATTTATTTTTATTTATTTATTTCATTTCTATCCCACCATTTCCCCCCCAAGAAGCTTCACAGTTCTCCCCCATCTCCTTTAATCCCCACAGCAACCCTGTGAGGTAGGTTAGGCTGAGAAGCAGTGACTGGCTCCCAAGGTCACCCAGGGAGCTTCATGGCCGAGTCAGGATTTGAACCCTGGTCTCTCAGGTCCTAGTCCAACACTCTAACCACTACACAGCCTCAGTCCTGTATACCTGAAGGAGCGTCTCCACCCCCATCATTCAGCCTGGACACTGAGGTCCAGCTCCAAGGGCTTTCTGGTCGTTCCCTCACTGCGAGAAGTGAGGTTACAGGGAACCAGGCACAGGGCCTTTTCGGTAGTGGCGCCCGCCCTGTGGAACACCCTCCGTTCAGATGTCAAGGAAATAAACAACAATCTGACATTAAGACAATATCTGCAGGCAGCCCGTATCGAGAAGTTTTTAATGTTTGATGTTTTATTATGTTTGTATATATTTAAGTGTGTTTTAAGTGCATTATACAGGGACGTGGGTGGTGCTGTGGTCTAAACCACTGAGCCTAGGGCTTGCCGATCAGAAGGTTGGCAGTTTGAATCCCCGCAGCGGGGTGAGCTCCCATTGCTCAGTCCCAGCTCCTGCCAACCTAGCAGTTCAAAAGCAAGTAGATAAACAGGTACCGTTCCGGCAGGAAGGTAAACGGTGTTTCCGTGCGCTGCTCTGGTTTTGCCAGAAGTGGCTTAGTCATGCTTGCCACATGACCCGGAAAAACTGTCTGCCATCAAAAGCTGGCTCCCTCGGCCTATAAAGCGAGATGAGCGCCGCAACCCCAGAGTCGTCTGTGACTGGACTTAACTGTCAGGGGTCCTTTACCTTTACCTAAGTGCATTATACAAATGTGGCACTAGATGGTGCTGATGAGCTAATGGCAAATTCCATATATATTTTACAACTTTATTTAAAAAATGGTTTTCACATCGTTTTTTGTATCTGTGTTGATTCAGCCATAGTTACTTATGTCTTAGACATAAGGGAGGGCAAATATTAGGGCGGGCACCACTACTGAGAAGGCCCTCAGCTTACACAGCTGCTTTGAAATGGGGGCAGCACATTTCCAAATAACTGCTGTTCCGACGGGCCCTTTGGGCAACTCTGGCACTAGGCCTTGAGGAGCTGCCGAAACGGATCTTGGCAGCCGAGCAGGGTGAATCGAAACCCTTCCTTCTTGTCTCCCCTTCCACAGCTTCAAAGTCTTCTGGACACCAAGTCGGTCTACATCCTGGACTGCTGGTCTGACGTTTTCATCTGGATCGGCCGCAAGTCTCCTCGCCTGGTGCGCGCCGCTGCCCTCAAGTTGGGCCAGGAGCTCTGCAGCATGTTGCATCGCCCCAAACATGCCATGGTGACCCGCAACCTGGAGGGCACTGAGTGCCAGGTAGGTGGGTGGACGGGTATTTATTTACAGTGGAACCTCGGGTTGCGAACATGATCCGTGCGGGAGGCACGTTCGCAACCCGCAGCGCTGCGTCTGTGTACGCGTGTGACTCGACTCAGCGCTTCTGCACATGCGCAAAGCGCAATTGCTGAAACCCGGAAGTAGCCCCTTCCGGTACTTCTGGGTTTCGGTGTGTCCATAACCTGAAAACGCGTAACCCGAGGCGTCTGTAACCTGAGGTACCAGTGTATTCATTTTTTAAAAACCCACATTTTTTGTTGTTGTTTGGTCGTTTAGTCGTGTCCGACTCTTCGTGACCCCATGGATCAGAGCACACCAGGCACTCCTGTCTTCCACTGCCTCCCCCAGTTTGGTCAAACTCATGCTGGTAGCTTCAAGAACACTATCCAGCCATCTCGTCCTCTGTCGTCCCCTTCTCCTTGTGCCCTCCATCTTTCCCAGCACCAGGGTCTTTTCCAGGGAGTCTTCTCTTCTCATGAGGTGGCCAAAGTCTTGGAGCCTCAGCTTCAGGATCTGTCCTTCCAGTGACCACTCAGGGCTGATTTCCTTCAGAATGGATCTGTTTGATCTTCTTGCAGTCCATGGGACTCTCAAGAGTCTCCTCCAGCACCAGAATTCAAAAGCATCAATTCTTTGGTGATGTCTGTCCTTTTTTGCCCCCCAGGTCTTCAAGTCCAAATTCAAGAACTGGGATGACGTGCTGAAGGTGGATTACACCCGCAACGCAGAGTCGGTCAAGCAGGCAGACGGCCTTTCAGGAAAAGTGCAGAAAGACTCCGAGAAGAAGGACCAGATGAAGGCTGACCTGACAGCCCTCTTCCTGCCGCGCCAGCCCCCCATGCCACTAAGCGAGGTAGGTCTCGAACGGAGCAGGTGGCTGGGCCGAGATTCTCCTCTGCAGAGTCACCTTGCGTGAAGCGGAGGCGGTCTAAAATCTGCCCTACTGCTTCCTGCCCCAGTCGTCGTCCGACCCCAAACTCTTTGTATTCAAACCAAGGAGAAAATTCCTACGTGGATTTCTGTAATTTTAAGGCTCCGCCAGTGAGCCCCTATACACCCCCTGAGGTCTGTAAAATTCAAAGCGTTGGTGCAGACCTTAAAAGCCCTAAAAGGCCTCGGTCCTGTGTACCTGAAGGAGCATCTCCAGCCCCATCGTTCAGCCCGGTCTGTGGGTCTCAAAGCCTCCTTTTCCCCCATTTTGGAGAGGGGAGGTTATGGGTTTGTTTTGCTCTTGTTTTTATTAGGAATTTTGGGTTTTCATCTTGTATTTGTGAGATTTAACGTCCGGCACACCTCCGCTGCAACTCAGTGCTTCTCCCGGCGTCTAACAGAGTATAGCGATCAGCGGAGTAGCCTGTGTTGAGGAATCTCACCCATGCAGAAAAACACCACGTACACAGCTTCTTTCTAATCTAAGAAGCGTTTATTTACAGCAGAGAAATATATCAGCAGTCCGGGAGACTGCTTTCCCACAGTATTTTTATGCTGTGAACCACACTGAGATCTTCAGATGAAGGGGGGGTCTATTATTATTAACCGTATTTTTCGCTCCATAAGACACATCTGCCCATAAGACAGTTTTTAAAAGAGGAAAACAGGGGGGAAATATTCTGAATCAAATGTTGTACTAAACTATTTTAGTAGTAAACTACCTGTATAACAGAGTGAGGGGGACAGGAGCTGTATGTTTCTTTAGCGTACGCACTCAAGGAGCGATGAGCGGGGAGGCAGCACACCCCCAGACGGACCCGACGCAGGAACCCCAGCAGCCTCCTCTCGTGTAAGCGGCTCCTTTCCCTCTTTGCTGCTTCAAAGTGAGTCACGGAGGAGGGAAGGAAGGGGAGCCATAGATCCTCAGCTCGTGAATGCAGCGGGATCCCGCCGCTGTCCATAGGCATTCACTCCATAAGACGCACAGACACATCCCCTTACTTTTTAGGAGGAAATAAGTGCGTCTTATGGAGCAAAAAATACAGTAAGTGACACCTCCTCACTGCTACGTTCAGTCTTCCTCTTAGTTCTGCCGTCAGCCCCACTGCAACTTAACTCTTTCTTTCTTGGGGGGCAGGCGGAGCAGCTCATGGAGGAATGGAACGAAGACCTGGATGGCATGGAGGGCTTTGTCCTGGAAGGCAAGAAGTTCGCCCGCCTACCCGAGGAGGAATTTGGGCATTTCCACACCCAGGATTGCTACGTCTTCCTGTGCCGGTAAGCAGGCCCTTGCTGTCGCTCACCCACCCACCTCCGCAGGCATTGCCTCCCTCTTTATTTCCCTTCTCTGTCCAGTCTGATCCAATGCAGAATCATGGAATTTGTAGAGTTGGAAGGGTCCCCCCAAAGGTCATCTAGTCCAACCCCGAACACTGCAGGATTTGGACCAAATGAGAGTGTTTCCGTTGAGTCTGGAAAACAAGCCTACGGAGCTGACTTAGACTGAACCAGGCCACGGGTCCGCCTGGGCCCTCCACACCTCTCAACCTGGCCCTCGAGGCTCTCCCCAAGCCACGCCCACTTGGCCACACCCCTTCTCGCTAGGCCACACCCCTCGCCGGTCCTGCTTGGCTCCACCTTTGAGGCCTGCAGTGCAGATGGGGCTTGCGATCCGCACTGAAGCTTCCTCGGGAGGAGGGAGCAAGCTGCCTCCCTCGCTGAGCGATTCACTGTGCTTTGCGCCTTCAAAGGTACTGGGTCCCCGTGGAGAGCGAGGAGCAAGAGGAGGAGGAGAAGAAGAAGAAGAAGAAGAGACCCGAAGGGGCTGCCGAGGGAGAGGAGGAGGAAGAGGAGGAGGAGGAGGAAGAAGAAGAGGAGAAGCAGCCCGAGGAAGATTTCCAGTGCGTTGTTTATTTTTGGCAAGGCAGGGAGGCCTCCAACATGGGCTGGCTCACATTCACTTTCAGCCTCCAGAAGAAATTTGAGAACCTTTTCCCTGGGAAGCTGGAGGTGAGCAATTTCGGTTTTTTGTTTTTTTTTTAAATGATATTTATTGAAAAAAGGATTTTTTACAAAATTTTATACAAAAGAAAAAAATTATAATAAAAAATAATAAAACCATCATTCTCGAATTCTCCACTTTCAATACCTTCTTTCCTTGACCTCCTCCTCCTCCCTTTTCCTGTATCCTATTTTATAATAATCACAGCAAATCCTTTCCATAATTCATAATATTCTGTCATCACATTGCCTTAATCTATTTTCATCTTATCTTATAAAAACCTTAGAGTTTAAAACTTAAGTCTTAATTTTTATCAACTTCTCCTAAACCATAGCATTCTTGCCTAATTCTTTTGACATTTTTATAAGAGCCAAATAATTTCATTTCAGCATTTTGCTAACATTCATCAATTTTGTAAAACAGTCCTAATGATAAAAAAAAAAAAAGAATCCAGTCTTCATCCAACGTCCTTTTCTCCTGGTCCCGGGTTTGTCAGTCCTTTTTATCCTATTAATCTAGCACATTAACCTGGCAGTCTTATGTCCGAGGCCCTTAAGCCACTTCCATGTCCCTTCCATAACTCTTCTTTATATTTCCCTTTTATTCGTGGGAGCTCCAGCTTGGTAGTGTTTTTGACCTTTTTCAACAAAACAGTCCCTTTTCCATAGTCCAATCCAGGCTCAATGTAAAATTTACAAGCATATTCCAGATTCCCTTCAAAGTTGGGAGCCCCCACAACTCCAGACATCTGAGCAATTTCGGTGGTACCTGAGGGTCGATTTCAAAAAAAATCCACTGGGAGAACGGTTATGTCTCTGTGGAGACGGCAGTATTGAGTCAGCGGCTCATGTGCTTCTGGCTTACACTCATTATAAAGAAATGTTAAATTGATTATAAAACTAATGAAATGTATAAACTTGAAAAGTATAAATAAAAGGGAGGTTACATGGCCGGCTGGACCCCAGAACAAAGGCACTCTGCAATGTGGTTATTTGAGTCAACCACTTAATATAAGAGGAACCGTGGCCATAGATGGTAATGTACTTTACCGTGTATTAGATGAGGGTTCTCCCCCCCCAAAAAAACAGATCATGTTAAAGGGGGAGGGATATACTCGTTCAGCGCATATTGTTGACATGTGATTTTCAGCCAACCCCCTTAAAAAAGCTCAACTCTGGGCAATTTCCCCCCATTTTCTTAAGTTTGAGTCCCCCAAAATTGGGGGCGTCTTATACAAGGGGGCGTCTTATACACGGAAACGTACGGTAATCCTCCTCTGCTCCTTCTTCCATCGTTTCAGGTCGTGCGGATGACGCAGCAGCAGGAAAACCCCAAGTTCCTCTCCCACTTCAAGCGGAAATTCATCATCCACAAGGGCAAGAGGAAAGCGAGAGACGATGGGCTTCAACCCAGCCTCTACCACATCCGTACGAACGGCAGCGCCCTCTGCACCCGGTGAGCGGCTCTTGCCTTCAGAGTCTTCCTTTCTGATTTTGTTTTCTTTAATTTATTCATTTTTCTTTTTCATTCATTACATATATCTCAATTTCTTAACGTATATTATATATTCCTCCCTCCCTCCTCTCCAGGGCTTCCCCCAACTTCCGCTTCTGGTTTGTTTCTCTTTTCACTCACCTTTGCTATCTCCTAACAGAAAAAGTAGGGACGCGGGTGGCGCTGTGGGTTAAACAACAGAGCCTAGGACTTGCTGATCGGAAGGTCGGCGGTTCAAATCCCCGCGATGGGGTGAGCTCCTGTTGCTCGGTCCCTGCTCCTGCCAACCTAGCAGTTCGAAAGCACGTCAAAGTGCAAGTAGATAAATAGGTACCGCTCCAGCGGGAAGGTAAACGGCGTTTCCGTGCACTGCTCTGGTTTGCCAGAAGCGGCTTAGTCATGCTGGCCACATGACCCAGAAGCTCCCTCGGCCAGTAAAGCGAGATGAGCACCGCAACCCCAGAGTCAGCCACGACTGGACTTAACCGTCAGGGGTCCTTTACCTTTTAACAGAAAAAGTTATTAATAACATAACATCAAGCCTAAAAACCTGAAGTAAATACACTAGAATATTTCACTATACTAATAATGTGAATGTTTATTTAAATCCTGCCATCAAGTCTATTGACTTTCTTTGTTTCTGCAAATATAATATAAATGGTTCCCATTCTTTTTCGAAATCGCTATCGTCTTTTTCTCTTAATCTATCTGTCATTTTTCTTCCTTTCTGGACCCAGGGGCTTTGCCAGCTTTTAACGCCCGTTCTGGGATACCAAGGCCCTCCCTTAGGAATTGTGGGCCATTTAGCTTTATTTGGGTTGCTATAATTCATTAGTCCTGTTGAAATGAATGGGCATGACTGACCTGGCGCTTGTCATTTCCAGTGCGTCTGCCCTGAGTAAAAAATTAGTTGATTATAATAATAATTGTGTGCCACCCTTCATCCGAAGATCTCAGGGCGCTTCTCCGGCATAAAAATACGAGATGAAAAGTGCAAAATGCATAATTTGAAACAAGAACAAACCAGTAACTCCCCCCATATACAGGTGTAACTCGAAAAATTAGAATAACATGGAAAAGTTCATTTATTTCAGTAATTCAACTTAAAAGGTGAAACTAATATATGAGATTAGTTTCAAGATTCTAATTTTCTGAGATTGTTAATTTGGGGTTTTCATCAGCTGTACGCCATAATCATCACAATTATAACAAATAAAGGCTTGACATATCTCGCTTTGCGTGTCATGATTCTATCTCATATATTAGTTTCACCTTTTAAGTTGAATTACTGAAATAAACGAACTTTTCCACGATATTCTAATTTTTCAAATTTCACCTGTATGTGTGGAGAGAGACATAAACACCCACCCTGTAAAGAGAGTTTACACTCATGACAATCCAGTGGAATCCCTGGGGTTTAGTCCCGTCTGAACAGAGCATGTACAGCGGCTGACTCAAGGCACTCAGAGCAGTTTGCAATGTGAATCTTTAGAGATTATATTACACCCATGACCAAATTATAACGTAGAATCGTCTATAACTGAGTTGGTACCACGGGCAGCTCTCTCTGAGGGACGCTGTCATTGCAAAGAACTACATACGCAGCTGCTTTATGCAGAGTCGGACCATTCTAGTATTGTCTCCTCCAAGCTAGTGTTGTCTACACTGGCTGGCAGCAGCTCTCCTGCGTATCTCCCAGCCCTAACCCGGAGGTGCTGGGGATTTGAACCCGGGACATTTTGCATGCAAGACATATGCTGTAGCCCACTGAACAGTGTGTCTTCCCACCAGGCTAAACATACTCTGCATCTTCACTTGTTCCTCAGAGGACGGTTTCCAGCATTCTCACCAACCTCTTGGTTGTTCTTCTCAGAAATGGACATAGTCACAATGACAGGTGTTAACTTTCACCTTTTCTGCGTTGGCGATTGCGATTGATTACCTTTTTTCCTTCCCCTTTTCTTCCCAGATGTATCCAGATCAACACAGACTCCAGCCTTCTCAACTCCGAGTTTTGTTTTATCCTGAAGGTAACCTCTTTGTCAGGTTCTAAGTCTAATACTTTATAGTCTGGTTTTCAACTCTTGTTCACATTTTAAAGTGGAATTAAATTCCTTATAGGATTTTATACTGCTGCTTTCTCTAATATGGGATAGCTTTAGCATACTCAGAAATCAAAAGTTTTGTGTCTCTCTTGTAGGAAATGCAGTGCTTTTTTTCTAAAAAAAATATTTAGGGGTCCTCTCATTTTCCTCTCATATTGAAATACTGCCCCTCAATGAGGCCAAACGACTCACAACATGTTTAGGGGTATGTGTTCCCGGGGGGGGGGGGGAGCACTGAGGAAATGTATAAACGTCCAGCATTCATAAGGGCTAGCAACTTGTTCTTTAAAATGAATTCATGAAAACGAGGTGCCTGAAAAAATTGAATTGTTGTGACTTTTCTTGCATTTGGCAAGTCACAGAACCTATATTGTGCAACATACTCACTAATCATCTTTTAAAAGGTGCAATGGAAATTTTGGGGGCCTCTTTTCCTTGCTTCTTGTGAATGGTGATTCACACACTTGCACACACTCCTGGATTAAGGAATATGTCATTCAGAAGTCTACAACCTGGATTTAAGAAATCATTTTGGATAGTATTTAACAGTTCTTCTTTAGAGAGCATTCTGTTCAAGAGCACCCTTTTCAGAACAGGAAAAACTAATACTGATCTGTCACTGGCCACAACCGTAGTTCCAGGTCAACCTTCCGACAGCTGTGGTATTTTGTTTTTCTATTAACATTCTTGTTAACAGCAATAATGATAATAAAATTGCTTGGTCGCTTTTCCCACAAAACTGACTCAAGGCAACTTACAGAAACAAACACTTGAAAACAAGAGTAAAAACAACCTGAAATGCTCAACTGCAATATGTATAAATGAGTAGATCCAATTCAACCCTCAAAAAATGAACAGGAAATTAAGGTCCCTGCCATGACATCCTTCTATACTTTTGTCCCCCAACGCTGATGGTGGGTGGGTTGTGTTGGAAGTTTGGGGGCAGCTTATTGTGAATGGTTAAAACGGAGTCAGAGATCTCTAAATTCCCTGTATTTTGACCTCTTTGCTGACCTCCATATCTCAAATGGTGTGGCAGGAAGATTCAAGGACAATCCAACATTTCAATATTTCAGTGTAGTATGGTATCAAAATATGTTTTTTATTTGCAGAATATGGATAGATATATTTTCAAAATGAGAGCAAGAGCATCAAGTGATACTTAGGACAGTCCTAGTTGTTTTCCAGTGTATTTCTTATTAATTAAAAATTCCACGTGGTGCAAGCAAAGTGTTGTTCTGAAAGTGTGGCCCGGAGAAAAAAGTTTAAGAACCACTGGTTTAGGCCGATACATCTTACAGGTATTTAGACCCATACCTGTATCCTCTTTTACCACTTCCTGACACTTCGGACCTCAAGACGAGAGGTCACCTTTAATGATCCCCCAAGAGAACAGAGGAACTAACCTGTCTGCCTTTGTTTTCTCCAGATAAGTTAGTTTGGTTGGAACTAGACACCTTTTCCCATCCTAGTTTTGTGCTTCCAATAATAAACTATCGTCTTCTTGCTCTGCAAGCATCTCTTTGTGTGCGATGGCAGCAGCCAAAGTCCACTCTTTGGCCGGACACACTAAACTCGCTATGCACGGAAACTCTCCAGGAGGTTATAGGGTTCCCTTTGAACATTTCACCCCTTTTTCTCCAGGTTCCCTTTGAAAGCACAGACAACCAAGGCATTGTGTACACCTGGGTGGGCCGGGCTGCCGACCCCGACGAAGCCAAGCTGGCTGAGGACATGATGAACTGCATGTTTGATGACTCCTACAGCAAGCAGGTGAGTCAGAGCAGGAAAACCATGGCCGTGTGGGGGGGGGGGGACTGCGCGTGAGATGGTGAAGCGGACTGTTTCCCACCCTCTTTCCTCGCAGCCAGGGCCAGATTTAGGTTTGATGAGGCCCTAAGCTACTGAAGGTAATGGGGCCCTTTATATGTCCAGCTGACCTTTGTCAACAACAAATGGTCGCTGTTTTTTGTGTTGAATATGTGCTATATAGTAATTTATGAGTTTGACCAAACTGCGGGAGACAGGACTGCCTGGCGTGCTCTCGTCCATGGGGTCACACAAAGAGTCGGACACGACTGAACAACAAAAACAAAATTTATGGACCTAATAGGTATCTAAAGCCATTTGCACATAACAAAACATGTATTTTATCAAATTAATTGTTGAACTGAAATACGGTTAAGAAGTAGTACCGTATTTTTCGCTCCAGAGGATGCACCTGACCATAAGACTCACCTAGTTTTTAGAGGGGGAAAGCAAGAAAAAAAATATTCTGCGCAGAGCATGTAAGCAGCTCTCACTTTTCTTGCTTTAAACCCTGCGCAGCGCCTCTTGTTCTGCTGGCTTCCCAGCAAAGCGGGATGAGGGACAAAAGGGAGCCCTTACAAGGGAGCGCAGAGCAGAGCCTGGCAGCGGCTCTTGCTGGCTTTTCCGGGAGGTGGGGGAAGGGACAGAGGGCAGCCTGTCAGTCCCTTCTCCCACCTCGCGGAAAAGCCCCCAAGAGCCGCACACACGCTAGGCGTGGCTCTTTAAAGGGAGCTCTGAGCAGAGCCTCCCACCTACATTCGCTCCATAAGACGCGCACACATTCCCCCTTACTTTTTAGGAGGAAAAAAGTGCATCTTATGGAGCAAAAAATACAGTATATTAATAGTGAAATGCAATTAAGAAGTATATTAATAGTGAAATAACTACTAAGCTCTAACTTAAAACGATTTTTTAATTCATAACAAACTTAATAATGCAAACACATTGGCATTTGGCAATAACAAAAGTTCCTTTAAAAACAATTTACACAGACTTGTAATTTGGGGGGGGGGGGCAAGAGTGTGGCTTGTTTAGCTTATACCTAAATCTGGCACTGCTGGCAGCCTGCCCTGGTTACAAAGATATCGCTGGCATCAGGCAGATTGGGGAAGGTACATTGGGGGGTTGGGCTGGATGACCTCTGGGGAACTTATGGTTTGCTCTGGGTGTTCACGCAGCCTGCAGGGGTTTCTGCTGGCGTGAGCCTGAACTGAATCCCATCTGAAGGAGAGAACCATCGAAGGCCGCTAGCCGGGACATCTCTGCTCTGCCTCCACAGTTGGAGGCAAAAATGGAAGGGAGAAAAAGGGCTCTTTCACTCCAGTCCTGCTTTTGGTGGTTTCCCAGGGGCATCTGGGTTGGCCTCTGTGAGAACAGGATGCCGGACTAGGTGGGCTACTGGCTTGAGCCAGAAGCCTTGTCTTACCTGCCTCACAATGGCCACTCCACCTTTTGTTCCAGGTGATAAATGAGGGAGAGGAGCCTGAGAACTTCTTCTGGGTTGGAATTGGTGCACGGAAGCCTTATGACGGAGATGCAGACTACATGAAGTATTCTCGCCTGTTCAGGTGGGCGCTGTTCCTCTTGGTCCTCCCCTCGCTCTCTTCCTTCTCATTAAAAAATATTTTACCTCCTTCAGGTGCATTAGCGTAAGCTTTGAAAACCATGGAGGGGGGGCATCGTAGAACGGGATGGTGGACCTGTGGCTCTTGTTTAATGGACTCCAATGCCCATCAGTCCCATCTTACACAGTCACCGTGGGGGGGACGGGGGGGGGTGGAGACAAGGGCACCTGCCCTGCTGCCGGTTTCCCAACCCCTTGGCACTGAAGCCCCACTCAAATGACTGCTGGTAATGTTATTGTGCCCTTTCTTCAGCTTCTAAAATCTCACGCCCCTCCGACATGCAATTTCACACAATTCCATGAAGTCACAAAGTCCAGCAACTTGCATTATAAACCTGATATATTTTTTTTTATTAAAAAAAAAAACCTCAAGCCATTCATAAGAAGCGTAATAGCTAGTCCTGTTTCCAGAGAGGTCACTCAGTTCCATCAAAGGCCACGGTCATACCAAACATTTAAAGCACTAGCAGCCATGGCTTCCCCCAGAAAATTCTGGGAGGTGTAGTTTGCTATGCCCTATCCCATGGGTAGGCAAACCAAGGCCCGGGGGCCGGATCCGGCCCAATCAGCTTCTCAATCCGGCCTGTGGACGGTCCGGGAATCAGCGTGATTTTACATGAGTAGAATGTGTCCTTTTATTTTAAATGCATCTCTGGGTTATTTGTGGGGCATAGGAATTCGTTCATTATTTTTTTCAAAATATAGTCTGGCCCCCCACAAGGTCTGAGGGACAGCGGACCGGCCCCTTGCTGAAAAAGTTTGCCGACTCCTGCCCTATCCTGTTCACAGGGCTACAAATCCCAGAGAGGGGTTGAACAATCCCTCTCTCTTCCCAAAGAACTGTGGGACTCAGAGCTATTTGAGGGGGAACAGGGGTTTTCTAACAACTCTCAGCACCCGTGAAAAAACTGCAGCTCCCAGAATTCTTTGGGGGCTCCCAGAATTCCGTGACCGCACAATGATACCACTTTAACTATTGCGGCTTCCACCGAAGAACTCTGGGAACTGTAGTATAAGGGTGCTGATAGTTTGGAGATTCCTTTTTGCCAGGGATTGAACCCAAGACCGTCTGCATGAAAGCAGGTGCTTTGCCACTGAGCCCACATTTTACTGAAATTCACTTCTGGCCTTGTCTCTCAGGTGCTCCAATGAAAAAGGCTATTTTGCCGTGTCTGAAAAATGCTCAGATTTCTGCCAAGACGATTTGGCGGACGACGACATCATGCTCCTAGACAATGGGCGTGAGGTAAAGTTTTCGGCATGGGGGGTTTATTTAGTGAGGGGTCTTAAAAATATGTTTTTGGGTGTGAGGAATTCAAATCTGCTATTTTTGCAATTGGACAACAATTAGCTTGGTTAAGTCTATGTTTGATGAACTAGCACATAAACAGCTTTCAGGAAACCAAATAATTTTAATTTTTGCCTTCTGAAAACATCACGTAATTAATAATAATATATAACTGTAATTACTTGGCAGTCATTTTTCATGATATCTGTGCATACCTTTTACTTACCAAGCAAAACTAAATTTTGTTAATTTAACCAAGATTATCTCTTGATTTCCCGAGTTGTATTGTAACTTTTTAGCACCCCTCATTTTGGGAGATTTGAAAGTTGAAAAATTCAGTACACCCTTAATGATGGGGAGTTTGGGGGCTCCCAGCCTCTCAGAAAGAGGGAGGGGGGAGGCAGATAGAAAATGGGAGCAAAATCTGTGAATCGGGACATGAGAGGAGACTCTTTCCCCTGCCAAGTGATTATTTTGGGATACGTGCTTTAATTTTAATTTCTATTAAACTTGTGTTTTCAACCTATTCCGACTTTTTTCTCTTCTCCCCTCACCCCGGCAGGTATACATGTGGGTAGGAACACAGACCAGCCAGGTGGAGATAAAGTTGAGTCTCAAAGCCTGCCAGGTAAGGAAGACACCTCTGGATATCACAATTGCCCAACAATCCTAGGGACCCCACCACCCAAAAAAACTTGATTCAGAGCAAATTGTGTTTCATTCATAGCACTGTATAGTTGGCAGGGGTCTCCTGCAATGCAGGGATAGGCAGCCGCCCCACACGGGGATCGAACCTGCAACCTTTTATAAGCACCGGGCTCTAACCGACGGAGCTATCCAGGCAGGGATAATTGCTGTTTCCCACGAATCCTGAAACTGGCTCATCGTTGAGATCGCTCTGTTTGTGGAGTGTGGTCCAATGACTCATGGGGTTTGTGTCGTGGTTTGGGGCAGGGACCGCAGCATCCTCCCTTTTTTGGCTATTTGCAGGGGACCGTTTTTCAGTCGAGGGCCGCATTTCTGTTTGGAATCGGCCAGCAGGGGCCACATGCTGGCAGTGGGTTGGTGCCAGAGTTAGAAGAGAGCAGGGCAGCCCCTTTCATTCTGTCCCTTCCTCCTTTTTCAACCACCCAATCCCCTTTCTCTCTCCTTGCCCAACCTCTTCCCCATCCCACGAAACCAGGGTGTGGCCTGTGCCTCGCCTGTACCCGGCCGATAGGAAAATGCCAAACCTAAGAGACAGGCAAGAGCGGTCTAAGAGCTGGATCAGGCCAATGGCAAAGCAGGGCCTGATCACGACAGCATTTACCCTATATCACAAGTGTTTTTAGGTCATTAACGTGTTTTAATTTACTTTCGATTTGTATTATTTTCGGACTCCCTTAGGGAAGAAGGTTGAAGTGGAAATGCAACCATTTTTTCCTCTTCCCTCCCTTGCCCTTGTCCTTGCATGATGTGTTTTTAATGTTTTGTTTTTAATAAAAATATTGGCTTTTAGGAACGGTCTTGTTTAGACTCTACATTAAGCTGCTCCTGGGAGCCTTTTTGGCCAAGCGGCAATGCTTAAAATAAAAAGAAATGAAAGTAAATTTAAATTTTAAACTTGAAGATAGCTGGACAGGCCCAGTATTGGGGCTGGCAAGCCCTTGGGAGCCTAATCCAACCCTTTTATATGTGTGGTGTAGGGAACCAGCATTTTGTTGTCTCCTGCCTCTGAACTTTCCCCCGTTTTCTCCGCAGGTATACATCCAGCACATGCGCTCGAAGGACACAGCTCACCCGCGGAAACTGCGCCTGGTTCGGAAAGGCAACGAACCGCCTGCCTTCACCCGCTGCTTCCATGCCTGGAGCGTTTTCCGGAAGCCTCCGGCCTAAGCCGCTCGCTGATGGCGGTGGCCTCTCCATAGGACTCTATGGCACCTGCTGGACCTCAGTGCTCAAGTAGGGGTGGTACAGCTGTATCCTGGTTTTTTTTTAAGACCACCTGATTGGACAAAATGTTACTAGAGGAGGAGCTAGAATTTGCCCCTCCCCTTTTAAAGAAACAGCACCAGCCTATTAAGCTCCCCACCCCCCTTTTACAAACCACTTTTCACCTAAATTTTTCTCCCTCCTCACCACCTTGGGGCAGTGAAATAGATGCTGCCTGGACCCACTCTTGCGAAAACATTGCCGCTGGGACTCTTCCCACATCTACAGCATCACTATGTTGTTTTTCCCACTTGCACAGAGATCTTTTTTATATAGTATATTTAACAGAACGCACGTGAGCTGTGACTTCTTATTCTGCTCTTTGAGAGCACTGCAGCCTGGACCCAGTTTGAAGTCTGTAACAGCAACCTCTCTCCTGCAAATGGATGGCATGTCTCTTTTTGAAGCAAGTTGTGCGAGGCAGGGCAGAGGAGCGAGACGACTTGGGCAAAAGAGTTCGCAGTGCACTTAAAAGACTTCAGGAAAAAACGTGACGGAGAAGTCCATTTTAAAAAACAGATAAAATAAAATCAAGTTTATTGCTTTTAAAAGTTGTTATCTGCTGCTAGCCCTCATGGATGCAAAAAATGTCTCCTTTGAAATGTATGGTGACTTGTGCATTTTGAGGAAAAGGCAGGCATACCTTTTATCTATAAAAACCTACCATGCAATCGCTGCAGTTGTCCTTTTATAGGTTAGTAGCTTGCTAAATTCCTGTACGGAAGGAGGAAATTGTGGATAATTTTAAATTCATGCTTTGGTGACTGGCCTGGTCTTTCCTAATATTGCTTACTGACAACTACCTTCCAGCAGAGCAACATTTTTAAGTGTTGCCTCCTTTACACTGACTTTTCTGTGCCAGAAAGCGAGAACCTTTTCAGGTGTAAAAGCTTTCCCCCACCCCAAAAAGGATTTGGCCTGTTCTAGGTCATGTCCATGCTAATCTCCCATCTATTAGAAGGTGGGTCCTTCATCTGCTTAGCTCTTCAGTGGGGCTGAGGTGCAACCAGGACATGGGACGACTTCCACCATCTCAAAGCCACCCTTGTCCACCCCCTTCAGAAGGCAGGAAGTTCCCACTGCCTTCTTCCTCCCTGGCAGCGGCGGTTTCACCCCGGTCCTTTGTGGGGCTGACGCTACTTGTTCCCCCTTCCGCTTTTCAATATCGCGATGTGTCTGTATAATCATGAAGTTGGGCTGCTGATACATCACAATGTTGGAAAGCTGATACCGCCCAGGCCTACCTGGGACCGATGGGAGTTGGGAATTCAAAACTTATCAGGAGGGCACCAGGCAGAGAGAAACCCAGAGGTACGCTCTGGCTACGCTTGTGACCTCGGATGGCAGCAACTATCCTCTAAAATGGAGCTGGGGGAACTGGATCCCACCTATCAGTGGCCTGACATCATGATTCAGGGTGCGTTTGAACATGGCTGTCCGCACATTCCACTCGCTTAGCTGTTCTGTGACGTTTTCCCATTGCTATTGCATCACTCCCATCTGGAAGGGCACCCTAGCACAACAAAACATGAGACCTAAAAAATAAAACAGAATGTTTTTGGCATAAACAGCTGCAGGATTTTCTGCAGGGACCTACAGGTTATGAACGGACTGGAAACCAAGCTGTATATTGTGAATGCTTTGCAGACACAAAACAGTATTGATCACATTTAGCTTCCTCCAAACCATCACGAGCACAAAGTCATAATGAACCCACAATTAACAGGGAACCTGGAACAACAAGCCACACATAAGCTTAAGGTATTATTAAATGCTTTATTTTTTCCATTATTAAAAACCTGTATTAATAACTAAACAATGCTAAATCCATCATCTGAGCAAAACAAAGAAGGTCCCAACAGAGAGGGTACATTCTACCAAGGAAACTAACCCCCCCCCCCAACTCCCTTCCACAATTAAGTCTGCCAAAATAAAAAAATATTAAGACACACAATGGCACGTCTCCACTATAGAACTCTGCTCTGTCATCCGCTCACAAACATGCGCACCCGTGCAAAATCACACACTCTCACATGCACGCCTGGGTTTTGGGGGGAGGGGGCGAGGAATCAAACCGTACCAAAAAAAAAAAAAATGTCTGACAAAGAGTTTCATGTAACGTCATTATCAGGAGGCAACGTCTGGGCATTAAGAGTGAGGAAATGATCCCACGCATGGAACAGACAGCCACAATCTAAGGCAGAGCCCGCACTATTTTAAGACTTAATACCAGCCTTCGCCAACTTGGTGCCTTCCAGATGTTCTAGACTACAACTCCTAACAGCCCCAGTTGGAGAAAGCTGCTCCATGTTCCAGGCCTGAGCCAGCGTCTGTACCTGTCCCGAGACCCAATATATATAATGGCTGGCTCCCCTTCTCTCCCACTTGGCCAAACTTCTTGGCACTAAAATGTCAGCGGTGGGAACAAAAAATGAGGAAACAACTCATACTGTAAGACCTCAGCGAAAGAAGAAAGAAACAAAACAAGCCAAGACCTGAACTCAGCGCTTCGTCGCTGCAAAGGTTACCTTGGCCACAAGACAGGCTGCAAAGGCCAGAGCTTCTGCCAGCAGGAGGTAATGCCAAAGAAACACAGGTAAGAGATGACTGCTTATTAAAAGCAGAGGTAGAGGAGGAAATTCTGGGCCTTCCAAGTGTTTGCTGGGCTGCAACATCCATCATTCTCGAGCAAGGGCCATGCTGGATGATGGGAATGGGTGTGCAACAACATCTCGAGAGAAGCTGGTTCCCCAGCCCTATATTAAAGACTGCCTGACACCCTCCCACTCACCTGCCTCCCAAGAAACACAGGAAGAGAGAGGCATGTGGCTTTCCACAGGCAAAGGAAGAGGGGTAAGTCCAGGCTTGGCCCCTTGCAAGATGCAGCTGGATGTTTCAGGTGGCTCACCCAAAAACAGAGAGCACGGCTTGCGTTAGTCATTGCATGCAACCATCTCCAAATCCATTCTCCAAAAATCCTCAAAGCGGATTACAAAAATCCAGGGCCAGGGGCTGGGAAGAGAGTCCCACCTTTCGACACAAATAAGGTCCTACAGATTTCCAACATCCCACTGCTTGGCTGGAAAAGAAAGGCTGCCTTTTAATAGCAAAAGAGGATTTGGCAGCTGTTTTCAGAGGGTGGCCTGGAGCTGGTGACTTGGAGCCCTTTCGAGTTCAGGATTCATAAATAAATGAAAATGTGACACGAGGGACAGAATCAGATGGGGGAAGCAAGGCGTCGCAGCCTCTCTGCCCGACAGATGCACAGAAGATGTTTGGGCTCTCCGGCTGTCGATGGACCACAACTCCCATCATCCCTGACCATGATGGCTGGACATCTGGAAGGCACAGATTCCCCTCTCTCTGTTAAGGGGGGAGATTTTAAGAGGCGGCAAAAGGAGGAGACAAGGAGTAAATAATAACACACTAGGCACACTGGCTTCAAACACCAGTGCATGATCATAACTCTCGCCAACCAACCAGCAGAAATAAAATGTAATAAAGGTGTTACAACAGGGCCACGTGTGAATAGCAGTACACTTTTGAACCTGCCGCCAAAGTCTCACGGCATACTAGCCTGCTTCCTAAACCCACCTGAAGATCACTCGGCAAGAAATAATAGGCATGTCATCTGAGTTTTTTGCCACCTCATTGCTCCGTAGGCGGGTCACAGGGCTGGCACCAAACAGAAGGTGTCAAAATTAGCAAGCCAAATTTTCAGGAAGGAAGTTGCCACCCTGTGGTAATAACTGGACCCAATGCTCCTTGGGTCGGGGGGGTGTGTGAACCTGTGACCCTCCAAATATTGCTTGACTCTTAACTCCCAACAGCCAGCAAGGCCAAGGGTCAGGGGTGATGGGAGATGTCGTCTCACAACACCTTGAAGGCCATCCTTTCAGATAAGGCTGAGAAAGCAAATGGCACAGCTCCTAAAGAGCACTGCAGTGCGAGATGCAAACACTTATACTTTATGAGTTCCATATTTCCAGTGTCCCTTCATGTACCTCTCCTCCTCCTTCCCCCCCATCCTAAAAAAATGCACAGTTCCTAGAAAAGGAAGATCGGGGGACGCCATCAAACAGGAGACGCAGGAAATTCACTCGGACGTTTTCTTATTCGGTGCGAAGCTTGCAGCCATGCAGAGGTAACAAGAGCTCTCTTGAGCGGCTGGTTAGAACTTCAACCACATGGAGGGAAGATGTGCAGCTGCAGGTGGGTTTCCTCGTAGATCCGTTTCCCGAAAACCTGCCTCTTGCGCACCCAATTTGTACAGCTGCACCGCTGAAAGAAAACCCTTCTGCCCAGCTAGACAAAATGTTCTCTGCAAGCCAAGAACAAAATAACAACTTTCCGCCAGTATTACAAAAGAATTTCTTCAGGTTGGGCTCTTCTCCAAAGAGTTCCCCACTAGCACCACAGAAGTGGGAGGCATTTTGCCATATGATCAAGGCCTGTTTTCCCCAGCCGGCTGATGCAAGAAGTTGCCAGAAGTAGGGTGGGATGGGGTGGAAAAGCTCTCAGAAAAAAGGAGGAAAGGAGAATCTGGAAGTATGTAAACAGAGCAATTCAGCCACTCGATCCCAAGAGGTTTCAGAGAGGTGTACCAGGAAGCAGAAACAAAACCATCCGTCAAGTGTGTCTGTATATATCTAAAAAGGCTCCTTTTTCGTGCAAAGTTTGATGCTGATACCTCGGCCAAAGAGAGAGGCTGGTTCAGTCTCGGTGGGATCCTGACACCACAGGCAGGCCCCTCCCATGCGCCCACTTTGTGTCTCGTTTTTGCTTTATTAGAAAAAGGTTTTAAGAGTTTTAGTGTGTGTTTTTTGTGCAACGGAAGAGACAACTTGGTCCTGTCGAAGAGGTTGGCACATTTTCCTTTTCTTCATTTTTTTTTAAAAAAGAAGAAGTTGGTGATTGCAAACTTGGGAGAGGTACCGAGGAAGAGGTGATAGGGGAGACCCCCAGCACGAAGAAATCTTCCTCATGAGTCCACTTCCAGGCCGTGCGGTAGAAAAACATTATGACTCTTTGTAATTAAGAAAAAGGAAGAAAATGCAGAACAGGGTCTCTGGAAGGAGAGGAATAGGAAAGACCAACAGTCTGTTACCACACAGTCAAAGTCTTTTGTCCCTAGGGGGTGTCGAGCGCCAAAACAGGCCAATGGGACCTTGTGTAGTATCTGCAGAAGGAACACAGAATTATGAGCTGGATATTCTGCAACTAGACACATCCACTTACAAAACTTCAGTTTCCTTATTTTGAAAAGCCTACACTCTCTGCCTAGTTTTCAAGTTGCCTAGTAAAAACCCAAAACATTGCAATGGCAATAAAATGAATAAGAAACTGAATCAGTGGGATCAAAACGTTATCCAAACCTAGAGTTGCCATACATCTGGAATTTCCCAGATTTTTGTCTGGGAAAATCCGGATGTACGGCAGAAAAGGGCATTTTTTGGCGGAAAAGAAGCTCGACCATTTTGGGCAAAACTAAAAAAATCTCAACAATGTTGCCAAAAAACGTTTTTCTTTTCACTGTTTGAAATATGGCAACCCTATCCAAACCTGCATTAGGTTTAAGTCAAATTGGCGTTGCAAAATTTGCTCTGCTGCTGTTAACCGAAAGAGGGTTACATGCAGGCGGGCACACCATTAAGTCATATGGCAGTGAGTCACCTGACTTCAGGGACATGTCACGTGATGTCAGGCGTTTCCCATTAAGGGCAGCAAAGATTCCCGTTGCAGCTGCAAAGGAAGAACCTTCCTTTGCCGCCACCGCTGGTGTCAGGTGTGGGAAAGGCGAAGGGGTTTCACCCAAAATGGACTCCCGGGTCAAATCCAGGCGACTTGCAGGTCTAATGTGGTTTCTTTCTTGCCGCTGACCTATGCTAGGCTCTGAAGTCTAAACCAGAACCCCCATTCTGCTCAGACCCCTCAACCTTATCCTCTGAAAACAAAAAATAGGCTTAAAAATTATGTAGGCAAGACCTGAGGCCTAGAAACCTGCCTCTCCTCTCTTCACAGGACGTACCTCATTTGATCAAGATCCCTGGGGAACGAGCCTCGTCCTCATTTATGTTCCTCAGATTTCTCTCTGCTTCCTCCGATGGCCTGCGAGAGATCAGGATTTTAACATTATTTATTTAAAATGTTTTCAGTCTGCGCTTTTGCCTCACAGAACCCAAGGCATGGCAGAGATGGTTATCATTTTGTCCCTAGCATTTGGGGATATGCTGCCACTGAACAAGGAGATTTTCCTCTCAGTATCCAAATCAGGAGAACCAAGCATTATCACCGTAACATTTTTTTAAATAGAAAAAAGGCATTTTAAACTAAATAACAATCACTGGAATGGTTTGTTTAGGTTTACTCCTCGTCCATTTCACAGATTTTAAGGAGAAGTTATCAGGTCTTCCCATCATCATGCCATGTACAGTGGTGCCTCGCAAGACGAAATTAATCTGTTCCGCGAGTCTCTTCGTCTTGCGGTTTTTTCGTCTTGCGAAGCACGGCTATTAGCGGCTTAGCGGCTATTAGCAGCTTAGCGGCTATTAACAGCTTAGCGGCTTTAAGAAAAAGGAAACAAACTCGCAAGAACTCGCAAGACGTTTCGTCTTGCGAAGCAAGCCCATAGGGAAATTCGTCTTGCGGAACAACTCAAAAAACGGAAAACTCTTTCGTCTAGCGAGTTTTTCGTCTTGCGAGGCATTCGTCTTGCGGGGCACCACTGTAGTTTAGATATAGATAGATCAATAGATATATATTATTTAGAACATTTGTACCCCACTCTTCAGCCAAAAAGGCCCCCAGGGCAGCTTACATACAATCAAAACAAGGTGGCTTACAATCTGAAAAAACCCATGACACACAAGGGGAAAGGGACAGGGACGGAAGAGGAAAAACCAAAACCCTGACACCAATTTCTAAACAGTTGTTCCTCTATTGACAAGCTGGCACAGTTCAGGGGCTGGGCTTTTGGATAAGCTGATGGGAGCGAGCCTGGGACAGCTCAGTCAGTAGAGCATGAGACTCTTAATCTGAGGGCCGTGGGTTCAAGCCCCATGTTGGGCAAAAGTTTCCTGCATGGTAGGAGGTTGGACTAGATGACCCTTGGTGCCCCTTCCAACTCTACAATTCTGTGATCGATTCTCTCCCTCCCACAGAGGCAGTCTGATGGAATGGCTAGATAGAGATAGGTCTAAGATAAGGGTAGAGACTTACGCCAAGTAATCCTTCACTTCCTCAGCGGTGATGTCTCCGGTGGTATCCAGTGGGGTGTCGATGCTGTTATTGGGTGAATCCACTGGCGTTGGAGAGAAAGAAGCTTGGTGTTCATCCGGAGACCCTGAGGGTTGGAGAAAGGGGGAAGAACCTTAGAGGAGCGCTGACAGATCAGAATAAAGGCCCGTCCATCTCCTCCAGCCTTCTGTCCTCACCATACGGCCATTAGCAGAAACTCACAAACAACAACAACCTATCTGGTTGGGTTTCCCCAGCCACTCTGGGCAGCTCCCAACAGAATACAGTGGTACCTCGGGTTGCATACGCTTCAGGTTACATACGCTTCAGGTTACAGACTCCGCTAACCCAGAAATAGTACCTCGGGTTAAGAACTTTGCTTCAGGATGAGAACAGTAATCGTGCTCCGGCAGTGCGGCAGCAGCAGGAGGCCCCATTAGCTAAAGTGGTGCTTCAGGTTAAGAACAGTTTCAGGTTAAGAACAGACCTCCGGAACGAATTAAGTATTTAACCCAAGGTACCACTGTATTAAAAACACGATAAAATATCAAACATTAAAAACTTCCCTAAACAGGGCTGCCTTCAGATGTCTTCTAAAAGTCAGCTAGTTTTATCTCCTTGACATCTGGTGAGAGGGCGTTCCACAGGGCAGGTGCCACCACCCAGAAGGCCCTCTGCCTGGTTCCCTGTAGCTTTACTTCTCACAGTAAGGGAACCACCAGAAGGCCCTTGGAGCTGGAGCTCAGTGTCCAGGCTGAACAATGTGAGTGGAGACGCTCCTTCAGGTATACTGGGCCGAGGCCGTTTAGGGCTTTAAAGGTCAGCACCAACACTTTGAATTGTGCTCAGAAACATACTGGGAGCCAATGTAGGTCTTTCAGGACCGGTTGTTATATGGTCTCGGCGGCCGCTCCCAGTCACCAGTCTAGCTGCCGCATTCTGGATTAGTTGTAGTTTCCGGGTGACCTTCAAAGGTAGCCCCACGTAGAGCGCATTGCAGTAGTCCAAGCGGGAGATAACCAGAGCATGCACCACTCTGGTGAGACAGTCCACGGGCAGGCAGGGTCTCAGCCTGCGTACCAGGTGGAGCTGGTAGACAGCTGCCCCGGACACAGAACTGACCTGCGCCTCCATGGACAGCTGTGAGTCCAAAATGACTCCCAGGCTGTGCACCTGGTCCTTCAGGGGCACAGTTGCCCCAAACAAGACCTGAGCACCACAGCGCTCTCCCAGCAGCTGACATTCAGAGAGCAGAGAGCACAGACATATCCCCTAGGAAGCAGCAGCAGGTCTGCACCTTACCAGTCAGCATCATCTTAGAAAATCAAACCATCTGTTGTCTTCCATTGAGCACTTTGTTGATGGACCATTTACTACAAAGGGCAAGCCACAATGCCCCGATACATCGCTTTTTGTTTTGTTTTTAATAGCACAGAGTAGTCTTCCGTCAAATAAAGTATCTCCAGAGCGGGAGTGGACAAACTTTTTCAAGCCAGAGGGGCCGCATTCAAGGATGGCCAACTGTCCGAGGGCCACATGCCAGTGGTGTTTTGAGGACAAAATGGCCACCAAACACACACTCGGATGTCTGAATCACCACATACACACATACATAGATAGGCATAGGTATACACAGGCCCACAATTGCAGCACTGGGTCAACACAAGGGGTTTCAGTCTTTCATCTCACCTCAGCACTGTGAGGGGGAAGATGGGCTCTGACTGGCTACTAATAAGAAAAAAACAGGCTTTGTGGACCTGATCAGGCCTCTGAACTCGCCAGCCCCACTTTGGGCCATTCACACCATATATTTAAAGCTCAATGGTCCCTCTTTATGTTTGCAACTACAGCAGCTTGAAGTTGATATGCCCAGAGGTGGAAAGAGGGTATAATGCCAACAAAGGAAGAGTGGCAGATGGAAGTGGTAAAATATACAGCAATGAATAGAATAGAATAAGAGGTTGAGATGAGAGAGAGAGAGAGAGAGAGAGAGAGAGAAGATTGGAAAGGTTTCGTAGATAACTTTTAAATATGCTTATGGTAATTTCCCAAGTAAACAGGAACAGAGTAAATTCACCCGTAGTGACTTATGGAGAACTAGAAAATGAAAAGACAGGGATTCATTGTAATATGTAGTGGAAAAGAAAATCGTGAAGTGAATCATGGAAAGTGGGGGGAAGTTGAAATTAAATGTGTAATTGGCATTTGGACAATCATTCATTGTTCTTATTGTAAAATGAAAATGATAAATAATTTTAAAAACCACAAATAAATAAAGCACTATACCATTTTAAAACAGTTATGGCTTCCCCCAAAGAATTCTGGAAGCTGTAGTTTCTTCAGGGTGTTGAGAGTTGTTTAGGGGACCCCCCTGTTCCCCCCACAGAGCTACGATTCCCAGTGCAATTTAACCATAAATCCCTTTTTTCCCAGGGAACTCTGGGAATTGTAGTTCTGTGGGGGAAACAAGTCTCAGCACCCTCAATAAGCTACATTTCCACGATTCCTCAGGGGACGCCACGGCTGTATAAAGCACTGCTATAGCGCTTGGCATGTATGGTGCAGGCATGACCCTAGAGAAATGAAACTTCTTACAAAAACTTGCAGTTTTCTCAAAGAGTGGAATTCACGTTTTTCAGTGGAACAGCCTGGCGAGGATAAAGCAGTTTTGAAACAGAGAGGTTTAACTTTCCCCTCAAGCTATTGGGAAAGGTTACATCAGAACTGCAGCAATGGCCGCAAAATCAGAAGAAGCCATTTTGTTCACTATTCCCTGATATTGATTAGGAAATCGGGCCGTTCCCTTACGGTCGCTGCTGGCAAGGGAATGGCTGGCCTCTGATCCTTGGAGGACGTGAGTCCCGTTGGCCTGGTTCAGTTTCGGCGTTGCTGTGAAGTTGTTCCTGAAATGACAAGGGAGCAGCCTTTATTGTTACCAGGCTGGACATGACATCGTTCAGACAATTAGTTAATAGCACGGTTTAAAATCAAAATAGCAACGGTGAGGACCCCTCAAGCGAAAAGTAACTGTGGTATGAAGGGAGGAAAGGCAGGCTTTAAACTGGGAGAGAGGAAGAGTTTTCGTCCCAGGGACCGCATCCTTTCTTCAGCAACATTTCGGGGGCCACATTCCGCTGGTGGGCGGGGATAGAGGGGGAAGTGGGTGGGGCCAAAAGCAAAGTGGGTGGAGCAAGAGGTGATTTCTTCCCTCCGTACAATGTGGTACATCCCACCCAACAAAAATTGAGACTCTTCAGCCTCCATTCAGGAAAGTGAGAGGCATTAGGTAAAGGCCCCTGGACGGTTAAGTCCAGTCAAAGGCGACTATGGGGTTGCAGTGCTCATCTCGCTTTCAGGCTGAGGGAGCCAGTGTTTGTCCACAGACAGCTTTCCGGGTAATGTGGCCAGCATGACTAAACCACTTCTGGTGCAACGGGACAACGTGACGAGTGCCAGAACGCACAGAAATGCCATTTACCTTCCCGCCACAGTGGTACCTATTTATCTACTTGCACTGGCGTGCTTTCAAACTGCTAGGTTGGCAGGAGCTGGGACAGATCAATTGTCAACCGTGCAGACTTCGCAACGCCTCTGGTTTGCAACTGAGGGTCAACGTTTTAACACGCACGCTGCTCTCTCTGTCTATAGCCAAAGTTGTGTTTACTGCATGCAAAGGAACAACAAACATCTGATCACGACAGCAAAGACAATTAAAATCTTCTGCAGTGAAGCATGCCAAATCCTGCAGCCTGCACAAGATATGCAAATTGAACATACTTGCATGATTTCTCCCCCTTCGGTGTTAACTGATTTCTATAACTCAACACTTCCAAACATCTTCCTCTGCTGCTTTAAGGACTAGAAACTTGACTCACTTTTTTAAAAAGGATCCAAGATTCTCAGGAAGCAGAATTCTGGGCCTGCTGCGGTTCAGCAAAGCAACAGCATCCTGACTGTATACACAAAGCTTCCCCTTCAGGTTTGCAGACAGCCCAGCTATGTATAAAACAAGTTTTCCCCTCTACCATAAAATATTTTGCCTGCACTTGAAGTCACGGTGGTACCCCAATCATTTCTTTCAAAGCCACTGCTGCTGCTTAAATAGCTGCACTTACCCGAGGCAGGTGGAGTCGTGCACACGGCTCGTGTCCAGCCCACACAGTGGCTCCGTGATATTCCTGGTGCTCAGGGAGAATCGCTCAAACTCCGACGGAGAGATCAAATAGAAGCCTGAAAAAAGAGATGGGGGAGCCAACACTGATCAGTCTCTGTTCCCGATGAGAGTCACGTGGCCCCACCAGCAGAATCGACTTCCCTTAATACACTGACTGTAGGTTTTCCTTCCGGTTTTATGGGTAAACAGGACAGCTTTTATTGCAGCCCACTGACCTTTTTTAAAAAAATCTGACTGTTAAAATGAAAGCGTTCACAACCGAAATGATTGGGAAATGATACATGAGTTGAAAAAAATGTTTAAAATTACCTTTTCTTAAAAAAAAACCCCAAAGCCTTTCTTTTAAGAATTCTAGGTGCCGAAATCCCAAGAGAGCAGAAAGGACTATTTATGTATGCAACCACCGCTGTGTGGATGTTATTGGCCCAGAGGTGGAAAGAAGATAAAGTCCCTACCAGAGAAGAATGGCAGATTACTGTAAATTGATGGATTATGCCAAAATGGTTTAAGATGACCGGAAGAATCAGAGATCAGGAATACCAAAGTTTTAATAAGGAATGGGGGAAATTTACAATTTATCTTAAAAACCATTGCAAGCAGCTAAAATCTTTGTAGGATTGGAATAACACTTTGACATAGTGGAGATGTAAAAGATTTGGATTATCGTAAAAGATGCAGGAGGAAATGATTGACAACAGGACCCACGAAGGGAAGGAGGGAAGTCCAGGAGATTCCTTGAATCGTTGTTTTATTGTTGTATGTTGGATATGTGATTGTAAAACTTCAATCTGAAAAACCAAATAAATCCCAAAAGATAAAAATAAAAAGAGTGTTCACAACTGCGATGGCTTGGGCTGATAGGAGTTGGAAGTCCAGAATATCTGGAAGGCTGCTTCAACCTAAACAGCCCCAACCCCTTCACCTGCTCCAACTCTTTGATCACCCCGGTCTAACTTGCCCCACCCCAGGGGCAAGTTCTCAATCTGCTTTTTTTTAGCTCTAACTAGCTCAACCCCTAGGGATGCAGGTGGCGCTGTGGGTTAAACCACAGAGCCTAGAACTTGCCAATCAGAAGGTCGGCAGTTTGAATCCCCACGACGGGGTGAGCTCCCGTTGCTCAGTCCCTGCTCCTGCCAACCTAGCAGTTCGAAAAGCACGTCAAAGTGCAAGTAGATAAATAGGTACCGCTCCGGCGGGAAGGTAAACGGCGTTTCCATGCGCTGCTCTGGTTCGCCAGAAGCGGCTTAGTCATGCTGGCCACATGACCCGGAAGCTGCACACCGGCTCCCTCAGCCAATAAAGCGAGATGAGCGCCACAAGCCCAGAGTCGGCCATGATTGGACCTAATGGTCAGGGGTCCCTTTACCTTTACCTTAGCTCAACCCCATAGTGCCTCATCATTCCCAGCTTCTTCCAGGTCTCAGTGTCCCTGCCCCACGGTGCCCCCTCTTTCCCTCTGGGTCTAAGTCTTCCTACTGCCCCACGTTGCCTCTTTGCTCCTTCCGGGCTCACCTTGCCCGTGTTTGGTGAAGACGCACGAGGCGATTCCGCTGATGTCCTCCTTCCGGATGCAGTCGTAGTGCACCTGCGGCCGCAGACCGGGCACCGTGAAGACGTGGATGTCCCCCAGGTTGGTGAGGCACGCGAGGCAGTTCTCTGCGTAGTCCTCGCACGCCGCGCTGACAAAGTTCACCAGCCCCACTTTCCGTACCCGGCAGCCCTCGTGGGCCGTCAGCTTGAACTTGGTTTTGGCGCTGACTTTGGGCAGCGTGAAGACCTGGAGTGGGAGACAGCGGGAAGTGAGTGGGGGGAGGGCGCAAGGAGGACGTGCAAGGCTTTAGCTCCGCCCAGCTGAAGCTCCGCCCTCCCTGGCTCAGGAGGGAGCTGGTTCTCAGAAAACTCAATTCTTTTTCTCCGAAAAAACTGCATCTTCTCTCTCGTTCCCAGAAGCTCAAGGCAAAATAGCAGCCCCCTTGCCAAACTTGCAGGACAACGGCACCCACCCAGGTTTTGTTAGAATCAGCCTGGTGCCTATTGCTACTGGTAGGGCAGAAGGCGGGGAGCCCAACAGTAGGTGGCGCCAGAGAACCAGCGACAGGCAGAGCCAACTGATTCCAGTTTTGTCTTTCTCCTCTTCGCTGCCACGCTCTAGGAGGGCAGCACTGACACAGAGGTGGTGGAGACAGAAGCAGCTGGCAGGCAGTCAATTGAGAGAGAGGGCAATGCTTTGCCTTCACTCTGAATGAGCGGTCACCTTTGGCTTTGTTCATAACTCAGCACCCTCTCTCTCTCTCAAAAAAAAAGGACTGCTGAGGACACTTTTTGTGAACCTCCCTGACTCAGGGATTGAGGTGCCAGTGGCCCCCAAGGGTAGTAGATACTAATTAATTAATTAATTAATTAACTAACACACACACACACACACACACACACACACACCACACCACACCACACCCTGCCCATCTGGCTGGGTTTCCCCAGCCACTCTGGGCGGCTTCCAACAGAATATTAAAATACAATAATCTATTAAACATGAAAAGCTTCCCTAAACAGGGCTGCCTTCGGATGTCTTCTAAAAGTCTGGTAGTTGTTCTTCTCTTTGACATCTGGTGGGAGGGCGTTCCACAGGGCGGGTGCCACTACTGAGAAGGCCCTATGCCCGGTTCCCTGCAACTTGGCTTCTCGCAGCGAGGGAACCGCCAGAAGGACCTCGGCACTAGACCAAATAGCTTTCTCACACAGCTAGAGATTCTGCCCCTCCCTCAGGATTACCTTGAACTGCTCTTCTGAGGCGATGAGCACTGAATGGCTGCCCTGCATGTCGGGGGCTTTGGCCAAGTCCCGCGAGACCTCGTACGGTTCCGGCAGAGGGTTCCCCCGGCCGTCTAAGACGGCGATCGACACCACGGGCGCTCTGTGCATGAGCTGGATCTCCTTGCCCAAGACCGCCTCCACCGAGCGCTCGGAAAACTTCTCCTGCGAAGGGACCTCCAGGGCGTAGGCAAACACCGAGCCAGAGTTTGTGCCGGCCCACATGGTGGGCCCATGATGCGCAGCTGGGGGGGAGGGAGAGGGGAGAAGACAGGCAGTGAGAGAAGGCATCCTGCAATGAGCTGAGGGCTGGGATGGATGACCTCCCAGGTCCCTCTCAGTGCTACGATTCTAAGGGCCAAGAACCTTATTTTTGAGTTTTTATATTACAAACCACTCTTGATCTTTGGGTGAAGGGCACTATAGAAATGTAATTATTATTAATAGTAATAATAGTGGAACTATAGTGGAACATAGTACAAGTTTAGCGCTCATTTCCATATTACAGTGGTCGGGTTACAAACGCTTCAGGTTACATACGCTTCAGGTTACAGACTCCGCTAACCCAGACCTCGGGTTAAGAACTTTGCTTCAGGATAAGAACAGAAATCGTGCGGCGGCAGCAGGAGGCCCCATTAGCTAAAGTGGTGCCTCAGGTTAAGAATAGTTTCAGGTTAAGAACGGACCTCCAGAACGAATTAAGTTCTTAACCAGAGGTACCACTGTATTTGCAAATGGTTGTGTTTTTTCTGGAGGCAAGTAACACGAAAACGAGCACCAAAGTTGCGCTTTACTTCACTGCAAGTTCCAGAAGTGGCTTTTGCATCGCATGAAAGCTCAAATATAGAACTAAGAGTTAGCGAAATGTAGTGAGAGCGGAATAAATTGCCTTTTAAACGTGGCAAGTGACCAATTCCAGGACTGACGCTGCCAAGGCTTTCCCAACTAGATGCCCTTCAGGCGCTGTCAAACTACAACTCCCATCATCCCTTGCCACCAGACATGGGTGTCTGGGACTGTTGGGCAGTAGAGTCCCAACCATCCCGGACTCCGGTCCCTTTCCACCCGCGTTGCACCTCTTCCTCCTCCTTACCGTCTCGGAGGAAGGTATCAGCGAAGTAGAGGCAGCGCACGACTCCCGACAACGAGTCGTCGGCCGAGCGGGGTTCAATCCGCCGCTGGACGGGGGTCATCTCCACCTCGTGGGGGCCGGGCTGCTCAGCCAGCTGGGCATTTGCCTCCTGCACCTGACGGGGGCAAGAGGAGAGGAGGCAGATTCATGTCAAGCCATCGCCAGGGATGAGAAACAGGTCGAGTGATGCTTCAAAAACAGTTCCGTGCCACCCTGCTCTACAATATCACATTCCCCATCCATCCCCAACTAGGACTTCTGGCCCATTTTTATCTTCCGTTTATCTTTTTATTCTGTTCTCCTCTTGAGACTGATGGACTCTGACTCATCCTTGACCACTGGCCTTGTTGGCTGGGGGCCACTGGGAGTCAGTCAGAGGTCAGCAACAACCAAAGGGTTCCCCCTGATCTAGCCCAATGCTGCTTATCTTGACCGGCAGCTGTTCCCAGTACGTTTCCGAGCAAAATTCAAAGTGTTGGTGCTGACCTTTAATGCCCTAAATGGCCTCGGTCCAGTATACCTGAAGGAACGTCTCCACCCCCACCGTTCTGCCCGGACACTGAGGTCCAGTGCCAAGGGCCTTCTGGTGGTTCTTTCACTGCGAGAAGCAAAGTTATAGGGAACCAGGCAGAGGGCCTTCTTGGTAGTGGCACCTGCCCTGTGGAACGCCCTCCCCACCAGATGTTGAAGAGAAGAACAACTACCAAACTTTCAGAAGACATCTGAAGGCAGCCCTCTTTAGGGAAGCTTTTAATGTTTAACAGATTACTGTATTTTAATATTTTGTTGGAAGCCGCCCAGAGTGGCTGGGGAAACCCAGCCAGATGGACGGGGTATAAATAATAAAATTATTGTTGTTGTTGTTGTTGTTGTTGTTGTTGTTGTTGTTGTTGTTGTTTATTCTGCACTCCATTTTTTGCCTTTGCCAGGCTCCTTTTCACCGGGAGACGGAGCCATTTCCCCTTTCTCCAATCAGGGCCTTTTGAGGTTCAGCCCCTTCCAAGAAGCACCTCTCCCCCGAAACTGGGAAACGTAAAGGCTCCCTTCCCTTGCTGGTGCTACGTCTACACACCAGTCCCAAAACCTCAACCTCCCTCTCCCTTCCTCCCGCCCTCCTTCCTAAACCTTTGTTAGGGTTTAACCCAGAACTCAAACCCGCAGCTTTCCTAACTGGGCACGCGCCCCAGTCCACTCACCTTGCTTGAGGGGCTGCTGGTGTTGACCCTCTTCTTCCCGGACACCCTGCTTTTTCGGATCCTCCGGAAGGACTGCCGGAGAGACTTCTTCAGGGACTTCACTCGAGAAAGAGGCCCCTCCATGGCGAGGGAGTCATTGGGGTGCAGCGTGCACCTGTTTGAGAGACAGCAGAAGGGTGCATTTGATTTAAATCAAATCGATTTAAATCACAATTTAAATCACTGGTCAGTAAGACTTGATTTAAAACATTTTTTTCCAGAAAGACTCATTCTTGCTGGTATAATCTTAATATTTACAAGCAGATGAAGGTTTCATTTTTGGAATAATAAATTTTCAGAGTAGTTTTTACAGTTACAGTGGTACCTTGGGTTAAGAACTTAATTTGTTCTGGGGGTCTGTTCTTAATCTGAAACTGTTCTTATCTGAAGCACCACTTTAGCTAATGGGGCCTCCTGCTGCCGCTGCGCCGCCAGCGTGCAATTTCTGTTTTCATCCTGAAGCAAAGTTTTTAACCTGAGGTAATATTTCTGGGTTAGCAGAGTCTGTAATCTGAAGCATATGTAACCTGAAGCATATGTAACCCGAGGTACCACTGTATATCAAAAAATTCTGATTTGGTTATACTATAGACGGATAATTGTGACATTATTGTGACATTTAATAAGTTAACTGTTAATATTAGGACAACTTTTCTGCTGTACTTTATTGGAAGGAGAAAAATAATCATTTCCTCAATAACAATTTAAACAACTTATTTAACTAAAACAGTAACATTATAGCATATGTATCCATGTGTGTTAACTGATGTGGTTAAATGTTTTTTTTTAAAAAAAACACTTAAAACTAAGTTTCAGCACACATGCAAAACTTAAAACAAATCCTTATTTCCCGATGAATAGCCTTTGGACTATAATGTAACTTAAATAGAAAACTATCTTTAGAAAGATTTTTCCTCCAAAAGCCTTTTATTTTAAAAACCCCATTTAAATAAAAAAAAAATCTGATGCATTAGTGGGTGGTAGGTATAAAAAGGTTGACTACTCCTGCTTTATAGGGTCAAAACCAGCACTCTGAATTGAGCCCGGATACGAATTGCTTGAGGATTCAAATGAAGGTGCTTTCACCTTAAAACTTGCCCTGCCCTCTCCCCGCCCCCTACCTGGCCAGCACAGAGTTCCTCCGGTAGTAATCGTACACCCCGAAACCGTGGCTGGTCCCGAAAGCCACCAGGTTCCACTCGGAGTGCAGTGTGACGGCCGTCACGGCCGCGGGGGGCATGCACTGGACGAGGACGCAGGGCTGGAAGCCCGGGGCGAAGGCGAGGGAGCCGTTCTTGGGGGCGAGGCGGTCGTGGCCCTTCCAGGTGAAGCCCTCGCGGTCCTGGAGGAGGTCGACCACGGCCACATTAATCAGGTGCTCCGACTTTTCGTCGGCGAGCTCCATCACCAGCACCTGCCACGGAGGGGGGGCAGAAAGACAGGGATCAGGGACAAGAGGAAGGTGCTTCTCAGTTTCACACTGGACCCATGTAATTCAGGGCTTTGTGTATACAGTGGTACCTTGGTTCTCAAACGCCTTCGTACTCAAACAACTTGGAACCAGTGCAAACCTGGAAGTAAGTGTTCAGGTTTGCGAACCCTTTGCAGAAGCCGAACATGCTCCGTTTTGAGTGTTACGCTTCCGATTTGAGTGCCACACTTCCGTTTTGAGTGTTGCACTAAGGTCTGTCTGTTTTTCCTATTTACAGTGGTACCTCAGGTTAAGTACTTAATTCATTCGGGAGGTCCATTCTTAACGTGAAACTGTTCTTAACCTGAAGCACCACTTTAGCTAATGGGGCCTCCCATTGCCGTCGTGCCACTGGAGCACAATTTCTGTTCTCATCCTGAAGCAAAGTTCTTAACCCAAGGTACTATTTATGGGTTAGCAGAGTCTGCAACCTGAAGCATCTGTAACCTGAAGCGTATGTAATACAGGTACCACTGTATTTTGCATTTTTGTTTTTGCGGCTCTTTTCGTTTTGTTTTTGTGACTGTGTGGAACCCAGTTCAGCTACTGATTGATTGATTGTGTGACTGCAGTACACTGATTATTGCTTTCACTTTATGGATCAATTGTCTTGTTAGATAGTAAAATTCATGTTAAATTGCTATTTTAGGGGTTGTTTTTAAAAGTCTGGAACAGATTAATCCTTTCTGCATTACTTTCTATGGGAAAGCGCACCTTGGTTTTGGAAAGCTTTGGTTTTGGAACGGACTACAGGAACGGATTAAGTTTGAGAACCAAGCTACCACTGTAGCAGCACAATAACCTGGAAGCCAGCATGGCAGGGCACTTGCTTAAGCAGAGGTCTGACATGCTGTTGGCCACCTGCCCTCATCATTTGCCTGGCCGCTGCCTTTGGCACCAGCTGCAGCTACCAAGCCAGGCAGGTGTGGGCAGGTTAGGGGGGACTGCATCACGGGGTTCAGAAAAAGTATGCCTTTCCCAGTTACCTGCCCTGCTGTACCAGCCACCACCATCTTAGCTGTGTATTTGCACAGAGCAATCTTCTGAATCCCCAGCCTGGGGTCATCGCTGTAAGGGTCGAAGCAGCCAACCTGGAAGACAAATATTCATGCATTCATTTCCAGGGGGAGAGAGAAGCAAAGGAAATGAAGATCAGAGGCACACAATTCCCTCTGTAAGAAGAAAGCAGTCAAGTGCTGTATATATTGGAGCGTGTGTTCATATGGTGGCAGTAGAGGAGCAGCTCACAACGGGCCTCTTTCTGCAGTGTTTCATCAGACGGCATGAACAAAGTTTCCCAAACTGGTTGATACTGAAAACACTGCTCCCTCTCCCCGCAGTCCATGGGTCGAAAAGGGCCTGGGGTGGGACAGGTGCCTTGCACTCGATGAGCAAGCATGCAAATGTTTGTTCTGCATTTTTTTTTAAAAAAATGCAACGTATACTTTTACGTAGATGAGGTTTAGACTATGAAAGTTTCCATCCAGCTCAAAAGCTGCAGTGACTCCCTTCCTCCACTTGGGGGCAGAATTGCACAAGCATTAGCCAAATCTTTTTTAGAAAAGAGAACAGATTTTAAAAGATGCATTGCTGAATTCGTTTAGAAACGAGTGAGACAAGATAACGAGCACCGACGTAGCAGAAATCAACACAGAGCTAGCTGCTTCTCTACTCTGAGGCTCCATCAGCATTGTGCATTCAAAGCCGTACCCTACCACTTGCAAGAGACGCTAGTTCCCCCAAAGAACCCTGGGAGTTGTAGTTTGCTAAGGGAGCAGAGACACACACACCCCATTCCTCTGAAAAGGCTACAATTCCCAGAACTCCCTGGGAAGAGGGACTTACTGGTAACCTGCTACTGGACTGCAGGCATAAAACAAAGATTTCTCCCTCAAGCAAGGTAACAGTAACAATTGTTGTTTGTTTGTTTTGTTAATGTTGTTGTTGTTGTTGTTGTTTGTGCCCTGCCCATCTGACTGGGTTGCCCCAGTCCCTCTGGGTGGCTCCCAACAGATAAAAGAGCAGACTAAAACATCAAACATTAAAAACGTCCCAATACAGGGCTGCCTTCAGATGTCTTCCGAAGCTCGTATAATTATTTATCTCCTTGACATCTGACGGGAGGGCGTTCCACAGGGCGGGTGCCACCACCGAGAAGGCCCTCTGCCTGGTTCCCTGTAACCTCACTTCTCACAGGGAGGGAACCGCCAGAAGGTCATTGGAGCTGGACCTCAGTGTCCAGGCTGAACGATGGGGGTGGAAGGCAATGGGAAGATCTCTATCTATACCTGTTGAACCGCTCAAGAGACACAGAGCTACTGTGAGGCAAGAGGAGTCACTCTGCCCCAATGAGCAAAGAGCCCCCCACCCACCGGAGCAAAGGCATTTGGAGGGGGGGTTGTTACCTTACGGAAGGGCGGCCAGTCCTCCTCGCAAGACTGGTTCAGGCTGTCGTTGTGTTCACAGTCCGTCTGGAAAATGTTGGCCGTGCCCAGCTTGTACAGCGGCTTGAGGGAGACTCCCGAAGCGTCCCAGAACCGGACTGTGCCGTCTTCATGCCTGTGGAGAGGAAGGTTGTTTTCAGCAAAGGCTGGTTGTGAAAAATATCCGTAAGATTGTGAGAAGGGTCTTGCTGGTCAGGCCAGGCCAGCTTCCTGTTCTCGCAGTGGCCAACCAGATGCCCGTTTTGGGAAACCCACAAGCAAGGCCTGAGACCCCACAAGAGCCCTCTCACGGCTGGTGAATCCCCGGAGTTGAGGCACTTGTGAGAACAGGAAGCTAAACTAGATAGGCCTGCTCCCACAGCTTCTCGTGTTCTGACCTGGGACTCTCTTAGCTTGGGTTCTGAGAAGGAATTTGTCGGCATCTGTCTCAAGAGGCAATGGAGTGCGCCTCCGAGGGTGAAGTCAAACCGCTGTGTTAGCAGCAGCCAAGTGACCTCCCCAGGGTGCAAGCTTGGGCAGTATGTAAGGAGGCGCTGGGCAGCCCAGATGTCAATCCTCCCCGCTCTCGGCCTCACTGATGGGGTCCAAAAGAAAGCAGAGCAAGACGTTTGGCGCCAGCTTGGCTGCAGAAGTTGCTGTAAGGAGGCGTACAAGGCGCCATCCAACCGCCTTAGGGACTCTGCTCCAGATATTTGTGTAAGGTCAACTCTTTAGCCCAGGCATGTCCAAAGTCTATTTTGGGGGCCTAATCCAGCCTGCCAGTCGGTTCAATCCAGACCCTGAGGCAGTTCATCTCTTGGGGTTAAATTCCCGAAAAAAGCTCAACGAGTTCAACCCTTTGGCCGCCCCTCAGGGCCCTTCACTTCATCACATCTGGCTCTCTTTGAAAAAAGTTTGGACCTGGAAAAGAATTAAGAGCCTCGGACAGAAGATCACCAGGCTGATGGGCTATATGGAATTGACGGAAATGACTGGCAGAACCCGAGACCAGGGAGAAGAGACGGTGGAAGAATATTGGAAAAAGTTTAAAATCTATATATGGAAATAATGTAAAATTAATGAGTGTTAGGAAAATGTTGGAAGGGAATTATACGGCTTTAGTAGAAATATTTTAAGGAATTAAGTATAAATAAGTATTATAGTATTAATGGAAAATAAGGTTAAAATATGTTAAGATAATTACATGACAGAAAATAGAGAAAGATGGAAAGGATTTGCTGAAACAATCAATAGAAATGGAATACAAAAAGGGAGGTGAGAGGAGGTCGATGAAACAAGGGAATGAAAGAGAGGATATTGAGATGGTATGATGTGTGTTTTTTGAATTGTTTTTGCTTTTGTTTTGTTTAATGTGTTAATGTTAATGTTGCGTTCTGTATTGTTTATATATTGTATTGTACTGTTTTCTCTTTTGCTTTTGCTTTTTCTTCTTTTCTTTTTCCTTTTCTCTTTTTTCTTTTTGTAAGGTATAAAAGCAATAAATATTATTTTTTAAAAAAAAAAAAGTTGGGACACCACTGCCTTAGCCTTTGCTTCTCCCAAAGATATCCCACAAGGCGGAATACTTGCAACTTAAAAAAATTCCTTCCAGTAGCAGCTTAGAGACCAACTAAGTTTGTTATTGGTATGAGCTTTTGTGTGCACGCACACTTCTTCAGATATGCACACTTTGTATCTGAAGAAGTGTGCATGCACACAAAAGCTCATACCAATAACAAACTTAGTTGGTTTCTAAGGTGCTACTGGAAGGAATTTTTTTTATTTTGTTTCGACTATGGCAGACCAACATGGCTACCTACCTGTAACTAGTACTTGCAACTTGTTTCAGCCGCGTGGAACCTTTCGGCCTCCAGGCGCTGCTAAACTACAACTCCCATCATCCCTGGGCATGTTTGCTGGGAGTGGAGTGCTGGGAGTGGAAGCTCAGTAATGCTTGCGGGGCCAGAGGTCCCCCACACACACACACACCTGGTGTGCATGCTTATTGTAGCACAACCTAGCACAACCTGTTGCCAGAAGCATCATCATCATCATTCAAGAAGGACACTGGCAAACTGGAACGTGTCCAGAGGAGGGCAACCAAAATGGTCAAAGGCCTGGAAACGATGCCTTATGAGGAACGGCTAAGGGAGCTGGGCATGTTTAGCCTGGAGAAGAGGAGGTTAAGGGGTGATATGATAGCCATGTTCAAATATATAAAAGGATGTCACATAGAGGAGGGAGAAAGGTTGTTTTCTGCTGCTCCAGAGAAGCGGACACGGAGCAATGGATCCAAACTACAAGAAAGAAGATTCCACCTAAACATTAGGAAGAACTTCCTGACAGTAAGAGCTGTTTGACAGTGGAATTTGCTGCCAAGGAGTGTGGTGGAGTCTCCTTCTTTGGAGGTCTTTAAGCAGAGGCTTGACAACCATATGTCAGGAGTGCTCTGATGGTGTTTCCTGCTTGGCAGGGGGTTGGACTCGATGGCCCTTGTGGTCTCTTCCAACTCTATGATTCTATGATTCTATGATCATCATCATAATTATTATTTTACAAATGGCAAGGGATAAATTGCACACTCTTCTCCTCCTGCGCAGGGACAGACTACAGACTCTCATCTGACGCCTAGGCCAGTTGTGGCTAACCTTTGGCTCAACAGGTACCATAACACTAGAATTCCCATCAGGTCCAGCCAGCATTAACGGTGGTCAAGGATGACGGCAGATGTGGTTCAGCATCGACAACACACCCACCCCAGATGTCCTGCAGATTGGTGCACAAATGACCCCACTGGCAGAAGAAAAGTGATTTCCCCACAAAATATTCCGGCTGCAAGAATCTGGAAGTGCCAATATGTTCACAACTCTGTCCTTGACAGTATCACAGCTAATATATTCAGCTCTGCTAACTCACCCCCCTACTATGAAACCAAACTCTGCCCTGTGCAGAGAGGAGACGCAATCTTTTTGCAAACACACTTTTCCAATCATCTGATCCTTCCCCGACTTCTTCCTTTGCCCCTCGAAAGCAAAACCTGAAAAGTCCAGTTTTTTATTATTTCCGCACGCAGGAGGAATTTGGGAGGCGCAGATGCCAAATATTACCAGATTGCCCTTGGCGGGCGAGAGAAAAAGAGAGCGAGTTAAGAAAACGAGATCAGGTTGCAATTGGTTTTGGCAACGGCGACTCGAAGGGCTTTGTAACAGTCCCTTCCACATAACGAGGGGAAATGCGGCGGTTGGGAGGGAGAAGGAAAACACAGGGAGGAGAAACCACCCCTTTGGAATAGATTTCCCTGGTCTTCTCCCCCTCACTCTGCTATCTCAACCAGGGGGGGAAAAACCCATAACAAGTGACTCATTGCACATTGCAGTTGTAAGAAGCAGTTTATTAGGACCTCTCTAATCCTTGCAAGCATGCCTGTAAGGCCGGACCGTACAGATTATCCCCATTTCTCAGGTGGGAGGGCGGAGAGAATAATGACTTGTGTGTGGTGGCCAAAAGACCCCAACTCATGCCTCATGAGAGAACTGAACGGGCTGCTTCCTGCCCAGAGAGACCACCGCAGGTTGGCTGCAAGCCAGGAACTGGCCGGCTTGCTCCGACTTCCCTGCCTTTGAAGCCTCCGCTTGGGCCTGAACATCTGCTGCCTCTGGCTAGCAAAACCTTGGCTGCGCTCTCCAAGGGGGAAAGTGAAGACTGGACCACGTAACGCTTGACACCAAGCAGCTCAGGAGTTGCCAAGAGGGAAGGAAGGCAAGGAGAACGAGAGGGGAAGCCCTCAGCAAGGACAACTGATGCATTCTTGCCAGGCAGCCAAAGCGAAAGAAGCGGGGGGGGGGGGGGTTCTCACTACATCCAAGGAGAAAGATCTCAACCACAGAGCGGGGGGCGGGGGAGACTCTTCCAAATTTGCGCTTCCAGAAACCGGATGATGCTTTATACCAGGCATAGGCAAACTTGGCCCTCCAGATGTTTGGGGACTACAACTCCCATCATCCCTAGCTAACAGGACCAGTGGTCAGGGATGATGGGAATTGTAGTCCCAAAACATCTGGAGGGCTTAGTTTGCCTATGCCTGCTTTATACACAAGGTGCACCTTGCATTCCAACTTCTTAAAACTGCTGAAAGTTCTTCTGTTCCGTCAGTTAAGAATGCATCTGTCCCTTACGGTTATCTGATTTCAAACTATAACACATTTTTACATGGGTTTTGCTGTATGATTTTGTGCACCACTGTTATAAACTGCTAGGTGTTTTCTTACTATTATTATTAATAGTGATATGTAATCATAAAAAAACCACAAATAAAATGAAGACGCAAAGTGCAGAGGGGACCTGAGCAACGTAAGAAATCCTAAGCTGTTTCAATTGGTCCGAAAGCAGATAAAATGCAAGGAAAATGAATTGCTTAGTATATATTTAAAAAGAGTATGACCTAACATTCCCTCTATTTAAATGCGCAGTGCAGATGAGGCCTGGGAGTCCCCAAAGCTGTAGGGCAGTGTTTCTCAAACTCAGGTCTCCAGCTGTTGTTGGACTACAACTCCCATCATCCCTAGCTAGCAGGACCAGTGACCAGGGATGATGGGAATTGTACTCCAAAAGCAGCTGGAGATCCAAATTTGGGAAACCCTGTTCTACACCCTGACTGGCAGCACCTCTCCAAGATTTCAGATGGAGTCGCTCCCAGGCCTAACAGGAGAAGCTTTTGGGAACTGAACCTGGGAGTTCCTGCATGCAAGGCAGATGTTTAGCGACTGAGTTGCGGCCCTTCCCCAATCTTGCAGAGCTGACGTCCTCCAGAAACTGCTGGACCACAGCTCTCGCCAGCACCACACTGGCAGGTGCTGACGGCAGCTGAACACCACCTGACGGGCCCCCAGCTTGGAAGAAGGGCGCTCCCCAACATCCTTCCTCAGCTGCCTTCTGCCTTCCAATGCAAAAAAATTCGCACTCGGCACAAACAACGTTACATGGGAGGAGGACAGCCTGGGGAGAAACCAAAACACAACTCACCCGGTCAAGAGAAGCCCCCGTTGGGTGGGTTCCTGTGCGAGGCTCCTTCCTCCGTTGATGGGCCAGTTCTGCTAAGAGAGAGAGATGAAGACAAACGTGGGAAAAGAGAACTGTGGCCAAAGAGCGCAAAGGCCCTTGTATTAATATTGTTATTGTTATTAGTAGTAGTAGTAGTAGTAGTAAGGTAAAGGTAAAGGGACCCCTGACCATTAGATCCGGCAGGAAGATCAATGGCGTTTCAGTGCGCTGCTCTGGTTCACCAGAAGCGGCTTAGTCATGCTGGCCACATGACCCGGAAGCTGCACGCCGGCTCCCTCGGCCAGTAAAGCGAGATGAGCGCCGCAACCCCAGAGTCGGCCACGACAGGACCTAATGGTCAGGGGTCCCTTTACCTTTAGGCACAGCTCCATGTTTCTTTTGGGGGAGGGGGTCATCAAAGGAAGCGAGACCCCCCTCTGGCCATGATGCAAGAGGGTCAAAGGGGGCGAGGCTGCTTTAATAATAATAATAATAATAATAATAATAATAATAATAATAATTTATACCCCGCCCATCTGGCTGGGTTTCCCCAGCCACTCCGGGTGGCTTCCAACAAAGTATTAAAATACAGTAGCCTGTTAAACATTAAAAGCTTCCCTAAACAGGGATGTCCCTGTGCCAACTCACCACAAAGGAGAGTCGAGGGCTCTGGTCTTCTCCTGCGCTGATGATCCTCTCCCACAGCTTCAGGGGGATGTTGGAGATGTGGTAGGAGCAGGTGATGGCCGAGGAGTGGAGCGGGGCCAGGTACGGGGCGGGAATGGTGGGCCAGCCGGGCGTCTGCAGGTCAATGACCACCAGCTCCTCCTCCACCAGGACCACCAAGGCGGTTGGGTTGTCGAACTCTGGAAGGGAGAGAGAGAGGAAAGCTCCTGTTAAGATGCGCCAGGACAGATCGACTTTGGGGAGGACCGAGGAGGAAAGGAGAGAGGACCACTTAGGAACAGAGGCAGAGATGGAGGAAACAGAGAGGGAGAGAACGATGGAGTTCTTGTCTGTGTGGTACAGTGGTTAAGAACCTGAGAAGAGCCTACTGGATCCGTCCAATGGCCTATCTAGTCTAGCACCCAGCTCTCACAGTGGATCACTGGGAAACCCCGCAAGCAGAACGGGAGCACAAGAGCTTTCTCTCTCCTCCTGTGGTTTCCAGCATTGCTGCCTCTGACAGTGAAGACAGAGCAGAGTCATCCTGGCAAATAAGCCATGAATTTGTCTAGTCCGATTTCTAAAGCCATCAAGTCGGCGGCTGCCTCCAGCGGAAGAGAGTTCTGCAGTTTAACCACATGCTGAGTGAAGGAGTCCTTTCTTTCACGTTTCCTGAATCTGCCAACGTTCAGCTTCACGGGGGGTCCCCAAATTCTAGTGTTGTAAGAAAAAGGGGGAACACTTTTTTCTCTGCCCACTTTTTCCGGGTCACGTACAGTGGTACCTCAGGTTAAGTACTTAATTCGTTCTGGAGATCCGTTCTTAACCTGAAACTGTTCTTAACCTGAAGCACCACTTTAGCTAATGGGGACTCCTGCTGCCGCCGCGCTGCCAGAGCACAATTTCTGTTCTTATCCTGAAGCAAAGTTCTTAACCTGAAGCACTATTTCTGGGTTAGCGGAGTCTGTAACCTGAAGTGTATGTAACCCGAGGTACCACTGTATCATTTTATAAACTTCTATGGTGGTTTTTCATCTTTTCTCTAAAAGAGCCAATACCCTTTTTTTTCAGATGGGACAACCAGAACGACACACCATACTTCAAACATGGTCACGCCGCAGATTTGTAAATTAGCACTAGAGTAGGATGTTGGGGAGACCAGGGTTCAAATCCCCACTGGGTCATGAAGCACACTGGGTGGCCTAGGGCCAGGCGCCGTCTCTCAGGCCAGCCTACCTCGCAGGCTTGTTGTGGTGAGGATAAAAACAAGGGGGAAGCAGGGGGAGGAGGGGAGAAGCACGTAGGTCACCATTGAGCTCTTTGGAGGGAAGTCGAGATATATAGATGCAACAAATCAGATTGGCTGCTGTTGTCTAAACATATCCTCGCGGGATAGAGAGATGTTTGAAAATATCAAAAGGTATTTACCCTCCTCTACCTCTGTGTTGCACACGGTGAAGAAGTCGATGACACGCGACGTGAAATCAAGGGTGACCAAGGTCTGTCCTTGCAGGATGGTGACGCAGTGCCTGTCTCCATAACTGGCCCTGGGCATCCCCCCACTGAAGATGATGTAGGGGCTCCTACAGGACGGGAGTTAGAAACAGCAGTCAGGCAACAAGGCCACGCAACTTCAACATCCTCTGAGTCCCCCAGGTCGCCCCATCACAAAAGAAAAGCACCGTAGGCGAAAAGAAGCCAGGAGGACGTTAATATCGCACAGGTTGCAAAATCCAAGGGCACAGGAGGTGACCAAACAAGGAGTAAAATCTACTCTTAATCCAGACATGAGACCTACCCTGAGTCGCACGTCTGCCAGACAATCTTGTTGATAGCTTTGCACGGGAAGGGACCTAGAACGGCAGAGGAAGATTTTGGAGTGACGTTCTCGCTTTGTAAGACGCAAGCAGAAGAAAAAGACCTGGCTCACATTTCTTCCCACCCCCCGATTCCAAGCTCTTCTTGAGGCCACTCTCAGCAGCAGCAACAACAACAACAATGAAAATACCGAGGGGTGTTTCCCCCTCCCCTTCCTCACAAACAATACCAGAATGTGGGACCTATATAAGGACACTAGTAAGGCTTAGGAGTAGGAGGAACTTGTGGGATTCATTGCCCCAGGATCCAGAGCCAACATGTTCTAATTTTTGGCTCTGATCCTCCTCCGTTGTTGAATTCTATAATGGCAATTCTGAGACTAAGGAAGAGGAAGCGAACAGCCAAGACCACCACCCAGACTGGCAGCAATAAAACCACTAGCACATTTGCAAAGCTAAGCAGGTTCTGGGATGGTTTCAAACCGGATGGGGGACCACGTGTTGAGATTCCTGCATTGCAGGGGGTTGGACTAGATGACCCTCAGGGTCGCTTCCAATTACCCTAATAGACCAGCTTCTGCTGCCAGTTTCTAATGTTGTACACCCTGAGAGCTTTTAATAAAAGGTGGTAGATAAATGGAAATACTAACAACAACAACAAACTTATATCCCGCCCATCTGAATGGGTTGCCCCAGCCACTCTGGGCGGCTCCCAACAGAGCAAAACATCAAATTGCATGAGTCACAGTCTTTCACCACTTTTCCACCACAGTTAGTAATTTTGACATGTGCATCAAGGAGGGTTTCCGCCTTTTTTACACTGAAGTTCCCTGGATATAGAGCCTGGACCAAGCGCCGATAGAGGCCCTATAGCCATTAGCCTCACCGTAAGGGATAGTGGAGGTGGCCGGCTGCAGGGTCTTTGGCGAGCCGCCCGTCACCGGCCACACGGCGTAGCCTCCGTCGCTGTGAGAACTCACAACCGTCTGGCCGCTTCGCTCCCATCCGAGGCTCTCCAGCTGCTGCAAAAGACGGAAACCCAAAACGTGAGGCCTGAAGCATTTGGGACACGCAGAATGGCGAGAAAGAGAGAGAGAGGGAAGGGCAAAAAGGCCTCTGGACAACAGAACGGTCAGCGCAGAGGGGGAGAGAACGTGTTAGAGCGGGGGGGGCGGGTCATCGGCATTTTATTATTCGTATATTTTATTTAATTAATCTGCATGCCACCCTGAGATCTTCGGATGAAGAACAGCCTAAAAATACAAAACGCAAATACAAAAAATAGAAGAACAAAACAGTAACCACTCCCCTACCCCCATTTGAAAGGACATAGAATGTTAATTAGCCGGGGACCTGGGAGACCCGGGTTCAAATCTCCCACTCGGCCATGAAGTTCACTGGGCATGGCCTTGGGGGCCAGCCACTGCCTCTCGCCTACCTCACAGGGTTGTGGTGGGGATTAAATGAGATTGGGGAGAAGCACGGATGCCAACATGAGCTCCTTAGAGAGAGAAAGACGGGATATTTTAAAAATTCCAAAAAACGAAAGAAAAAGAGTTACCTGGTTGCCCAGAAAGAGGTGCTCAGCTTCCCTCATGTTTCCATCCCAAAGAACCATCAAGCCTCTGCTGTAGCCAATCAGGATCTTGGCAGGATCTTTGGGGTGTTCCTGCAGAGATTCCACCGGACCAAGCGCCTTCCCACATCGGTAGTCTTCGGGGACACTGCAGGATGAAAAGGCAGGGACAGAGAACAACAGATCAATAGAATTTCAGGCATGGAAGGGACCCTGTGAGTCATCGAGCCCTTCTTTTCAAATATTTTTATTGCTTTTTAAAAATACAACAACCACACCATATGAACATGGTACATTACACTGATGTGTGGTAAGAAGTCTCATACTTCGACTTAGGCAGCATCCGTACCATACATTTGAAGCACTATGATGCCACTTCAAGCAGTCATGGCTCCCCCCAAGGAATTCTGGGAGCTGTAGTTTGTTAAAGGTGCTAAGAGTTGTTAGGAAAGACCCCTATTTCCTTTCCACTCTGAGAACTGCACTCCCCACCCTTTCGGATGCATCACCGGGGCGAGCTCACCTCTGCAGGACTTCGTCTTGGTACAGAGTCCTGTCCTCCTGCAGCGTCAAGCCGGGAAGTTCCAGGAAGTAGATGCCACCCCCTTCCGTGCCGAGGTAGGCCACGTCACAGCTTGACCGCAGCAAGATGACCGTCACCCGGGTGATGCTGGGAGGGGAGCTGTCAGGAAGAAGAGAGCGATCAGGAGCCATCCTTGCTCAATCGCCAGGCCAATGGTTTTCCAAGGTGTTCTGGGACACCCTCTCACCGTGGGCATTTGCCAAGGAAGCGAGTTCCAAAGTTACCTCCAGGAATGCCTTGCGTCGTCACACCCCTGCCCTGCCATTTCAATCCTAGGGAGAGGTGCTCTCAGTAAGGCTGCTTGCCCCCAAGATTTGTCTTGCGCCCACAAAGACCAGGGCCTTAAGGGTGGTGGCACCCTTAGGGAATGTGTTCCCAGAAAGAACAGGCAGGCACTTACAGTGCTGACATTTAGGCACCTGCAGAAGACTCATCTGCTCACCCAGTCTTTCCCTAAGGAGGGATCCAGCTACCCTGAGACCCTTCTACTGATTTGTGTTGCAGCTTATATAGGTATCTCCCCACTCACGTGCACTTGTCTCCTGTGCGGTGCCAGGAAATAATTAAATAAATCTATTTAAATGGTGCAGAGGCATGAAAAGAGCCGACCTTTACGCCAACCTTTGAAGCCTGTGGAGAGTTGGGAGTTTGAGAAAAAGATGTTTGGAGAGAGTGACTGCAGTGGACTTCGGGAGATTTTTATTGATTTTTGGTGGAGTTTGGCTTTTTAGATGGTGTCGTCCACTACAGTCATACCTCGGAAGTCAACTTCCGTTAGACTTCCAAAACGTTTGGAAACCAAAGTGCTGCTTCTGATTGGCTGCAGGAGCTTCCTGCAGCCAATCGGAAGCCGCAGAAGCCGCTTCGGACGCTTGGCTTCCAAAAATAGTTCGCAAACCAGAACAGTCACTTCCGGGTTTGCAGTGTTCAGGAGCCAAAACGTTCGAGAACTAAGCTGTTCGAAAACCAAGGTGCAACTGTATAGGCGATTTCACGTTTACGCGTAGTGCCCGGGAAGGTAGCCCTGGCGTACTAGTACAGGCGTACAGGAGACCCCTGTACTAGTTTTGCAAATGCAGCTTTATTGTTGATGTTCGCAGCACAGATATTTTTGCAAATAAAAACAAAAAGTACCCGCTCCCTTCGCATGGGGCACTACACCTGGGTCCTTGGGGTCTTTTCACTGCAACGGTCAAAGCCAGGAATATGCAAACTATGTTTCGGGACTACAATTCCCATCATTCCTGACCACTGGTCCTGTAAGCTAGGGATGATGGGAGTTGTAGTCCCAAAACAGCTGGAGGGCCGAGTTTACCTATGCCTGGTCAAAGCCAAGCACGGAGACCCCCCTGTGCCCTGCAATCTCCTGAGATTCTGATGGCTTGGGAAGCTAGTTTCGCATTTCTGATGGCTGAAACACGGCTGGAAAACCACCGTCCTTGACTGCACACACCCACAAATGGAAAACCAATCTGAATAGTCAACACCCCCAAAAGAGCCAACGCATTTCAAGGAGAAAGTCTGCGCACCAGTAGCAAATGCTGTCCACCCACCGCCACCAGGCAGCCGTTTAAAGAAGATTGACAGACCGCACACCCAAGCAGAGAAGCCCGAGAGAAAGCTGTTCTTCTTCCCTCTCCCATGATGCTCTTTTAAAGTCACACCGCCAGCTCAGAGCCTCGGACCTGATAAGCAGAGACCACAGAGCAGCGGACACCTGCTTGCGAGAGATGCAAGCTTACAGATGCTGGGAGACAAAACCAGGAGAGGGAAGCCGGCGCCAGCGAACGGTGCAAAGTCACCGCACGTGGTAAGCGGCTAGTCCTTTTTGCGGCTCCCTCGCACGTGCAGAGTGAGAGCAGAAGCTGGAATGTGCTTGACAAACCCTTGCTTGTTCCCAGAGCATTGGGTTTTGGACACAGGAACAGAGGAAGAGGCCTTATACTGCCTGCACTAGCTGGCAGCAGCTCTCCAAGGTGTAAGGGGAGGCTGGGGATTGAACATGGGATTGAACAAGGCAGACATTCTACCACCATAGGTCTACTTGATGGCAGTTCTGTCTGAAATTTAAGGTAAGGTTCTCCCAAATAATCTTGGGATATGTAGTTTGTTAATTTCTGCTGAGAGGTAAAGGGACCTCTGACCATTAGGTCCAGTTGTGACCGACTCTGGGGTTGCGGCGCTCATCTCGCTTTATTGGCCGAGGGAGCCAGCGTACAGCTTCTGGGTCATGTGGCCAGCATGACTAAGCCGCTTCTGGCGAACCAGAGCAGCGCACGGAAACACTGTTTACCTTCCCGCCGGAGCGGTACCTATTTATCTACTTGCACTTGGACGTGCTTTTGAACTCCTAGGTTGGCAGGAGCAGGGACTGCGCAACGGGAGCTCACCCCGTCATGGGGATTCGAACCGCCAACCTTCTGATCGGCAAGTCCTAGGCTCAGTGGTTTAGACCACAGCGTCTGAAATTTACCTCTGCGCAAAAGCTCAACTGTCTTGCTTCCATCTTGGTAGTGGCGCCCTCCATGTGGAACACCCTCCCTTCAGATGTCAAGGAGATAAAGAGCTATGCCACTTTTAGAAGACATCTGCAGGCAGCCCTGTTTCTGGAAGTTTTTAATGTTTGATGTTTCACTATGTTTTAATACGTATGGTAAGCCGCCCAGAGTGGCGGGGTAGAATTTTACTACTACTACTACTACTACTACTACTACTATTATTTCGATTTGCCTGTTCTCATCTCTGCCCTCTAATTTTGCCATGGCAGGAGCAGGTCTCGCACAAATAATAATTAAGAATAATAATTATAATAATTAATTTATAACCCGCCCATCTGGGCGGCTCCCAACAGAATATTAAAAACATGATAAAACATCAAACATTAAAAACTTCCCTAAACAGAGTTGCCTTCAGATGTCTTCTAAAAGTCAGGTACAGTGGACCCTCCAGATACGAAATTAATTTGTTCCGGGAATCCGTTAGCACCCCAAAAATTATGTAAATAGAGGCGCACTTCTGCGCACACGTGTGGCGCGATTGAGCACTTCTGCGCATGCGTGTGCAGCGAAACCCGAAAGTATACACTTCCGGGTTGGCCGTGGCCGTATCCCGAAGATTCCTTATCCAGAGGGATACGTAAGTAGAGGTACGACTGTAGTTGTTTATTTCCTTGGCATCTGATGGGAGGGTGTTCCACAGGGCGGGTGCCACCACGGAGAAGGCCCTCTGCCTGGTTCCCTGTAACCTCGCTTCTCACAGCGAGGGAACCACCAGAAGGCCCTCAGCGCTGGACCTCAGTGTCCGGGCTGAACGATGTGGGTGGAGACGTTACTTCGGGTATACAGGACTGAGGCGGTTCTGCCACCACCCAAAGCAAAGGACACAATGATGCCTCATCTGTATTCCATGTACAGAGTCCAATCGGACTGGAAGATGACTCTCACTTGGCCGCTGTTGATGGGACAGCCGTCCCCACTGCACCCACAGACAGTTTGGAGGCTGGGGGGTGGACATGTAGCATATACTCTCAACTAGGGCTGGGCGACATATCGTCCAAAACCAATTAAAATCCATATTGTGATGGAATTGGCGGAAATGACTGGCAGAATCCGTGACCAGGGAGAAGAGTCGGTGGAAGAAGATTGGAAGAAATTCAAAGACTATTTACAGAAATATTGCAAAATTAATGAACGTTAGAATGATGTTGGATCGAAGTTAAGGGGTTTCTAGCTGTACAGGCTAAAAGAATATGGAAAAATTGGTTTTAATATGTAAAATCTAAAATTTAAAGTTATATTATATCAAGATTAAAGATTAGGATTAAAAAGGAGGGAAAGGAATTGCTGGATTAACATATTTAATTAGAATACAAAAGAGGGAGGTAAGAGGAGGTCCGGGAAACAAGTAAATGTAAAAGAAGTGAGGAAAAGATGAAATTGTTTTTAATTGTTTTTTCCTTTTTTCCTTTGTATTTTTTCTCTTTATTGTTAATTTTTTCTTCATTAATGTGGTTTTTTTCTTGTGAAATTTTAATAAATATTATTTACAAAAAAAAAATAAATCCATATCGTGATAACGGTTTCATAATTTTCGACCTGGCAATACATCATGAATCATAATGTGATTCTGTGTGCTATGCAAAAATCATGATGCGAGGAAAACCGTGAAGCCAGCCAAAATCTCTACATAGCTCCACCCTTAGATATCAGTACAGTCGTACCACAGAAGTTGAATGAAATCCGTTCTGGAAGTCCATTCGACTTCCAAAATGTTCGGAAACCAAAGAGCAGCCCCGTCGGACGTTCAGCTTCCAAAAATAGTTCGCAAACTAAAACACTCACTTCCAGGTTTGTAGCGTTTGGAAGCCAAAATGTTCGAGAACTAAGCTGTTCGAAAACAAAGGTACAAATGTATATTGCGATGTTTAGCTGGTGATATACCGCAATGTTGAAAAACACGTATCGTGTAGACCTACTCTCAACAGAGGCGAACAATCTTGGGGAGCTCAGGAGCTGCCTCACTTTGTCTAACAGCAGAGCTGGCCCTGGGGGACAGCTCACGAAGCAGGAAGGCAGGTAGCGGCTAAGACGGAAAGGAGGGATCCTCTAGATGCTGAGTAATCTATGAGATCGCTAAAGCGGTCCCTGCATCTTCTCAGGGGATCATCTCCCAAGAACCCACAGCGCCCAAAAAAGGAGGAAAAAGGAGGCAAGCAAGCTATGAGTACTTAGCGGTGTCGAACCCTGGACGTCCGGGGAGGACATAGCTATGGGTCTCCTCCAAGTGAGAGTAGCCATCTTTCTGGTAAATCTCCCACAGGTGGAGGGTGTTGTCGTCAAGGAGAGACAGCAGCCGGCCCTGGAAAAGAAAGGAAAGCCATCTAAGTGTGTAGTTAAGAACAGAAGACGACCTGGCTAGCTCAGGCCAATGGCCCATTTATACGCCAGCACCCTCTTTTCACAGCAGCCAACCAGATGTCTGTGGCAAGTCTACAAGCAGGATCCGAGCACAAGGGCAAGTTCCTGCAACTGGTGTTAAGAAGCACCGCTGACTCTGACCGTGTTGGCAGAGCACAGCCATTATAGTAGTAGACACAGATTTGTCTAAATCTCTTAAGCTGGGCACCACAAATTCTCTTCTGGGCTTTTGCTGCCTTTCCCCTCTTTAACGGCACTCCAATTAAGTTCCTAGCATTTGTAGAACCTGAGATATAAGACAGGCACTATTATTCTCGATTGTCTTTGAGAAACTGGCCTGCTCTGCCGTTTCAGTGTTTTGACTTTGCACCCCCCCCCCTGCGAAAAGTTCCCAACGAGGTCAAAAACAATTAGGTGGCTGCCTAATACCTATAGGCAGGGGGTATCAAACTGCAAGCAGCATCAAGGTGGGGGCAAAAGTTGCCATTATTTTACCTGTCCAGGTAGAAAGTGCATCTGGGTGACCGTCGCCGTTTCCCTATGTAGGCCTGTGAACTCCACGCCAGGAGCTCCGTATCTGAGGCAAGCACAGAGTCAAGGAAGAGAGAGACACACGGGAAGAGCTGCAATCCAAGCTTCTACCAGGCCCCTTCCTCCCCAACTGCGCGTTACCTGTATCAGAGAGAGTCCTGCTGGAACAGCTCAAAGAGCGTCTTGCTTTAGGCAGAGGGCAACTGGATGCCCCCATGGGAAGTCCAAGTTGCGAAGGCTACAGACTTCTCCCAACTGATGCAGGTATTGGTTATTTGGAGATAGAGTGCTCCTGGACAAGGAGGCTACATTTACCAGTTGGGAGTAGTAGACACTGACAATCGCTTGCGGCGGCAAACACTCTTTATTAAACGTCGATCCTGCCCTTCTTCCTGATAGAACCCAGGGCGGCAAACAGCAAAACAGTTGCACCTCCCTCAGAGATTTGGGGTGGTGGCACCCCGGGACAGGGCCTTCTCTGTGGCAGCCCCTAAGATGTGGAATTACTTCCCCAAAGAGATGCACTGGGCACCTTCACTATCCAGATTCTGGCGAATGCTGAATACATACCATGTCGCCCTGGTTTTTGATTTTAGGACCCAGCTCCATTCTGTGATTGTAACTTGGTTTAGACTACGGGTAGGCAAACTAAAAGGGACGTGGGTGGCGCTGTGGGTTAAACCACAGAAGGTCGGCAGTTCAAATCCCCGCGACGGGGTGAGCTCCCGTTGCTCGGTCCCTGCTCCTGCCAACCTAGCAGTTTGAAAGCACGCCAAAGTGCAAGTAGATAAATAGGTACCGCTCCAGCGGGAAGGTAAACAGCATTTCCGTGCGCTGCTCTGGTTCGCCAGAAGCGGCTTAGTCATGCTGGCCACATGATCCGGAAGCTGTACGCCAGCTCCCTCGGCCAATAAAGTAAGATGAGTGCCGCAACCCCAGAATCAGTCACGACTGGACCTAATGGTCAGGGGTCCTTTACCTTAGGCAAACTAAGGCCCGGGGGCCAGATCCGACCCAATCGCCTTCTAAATCTGGCCCGTGGACGGTCTGGGAATCAGCGTGTTCTTACATTAGTAGAATGTGTCCTTTTATTTTAAATGCATCTGTGGGTTATTTGTGGGGCATAGGCATTCGTTCTTTTTTTTTCCTTTTCAAATATAGTCCCCCCCCCCAAGGTCTGAGGGACAGTGGACCGGCCTCCTGCTGAAAAAAGTTTGCTGACCCCTGGTTTAGACTGTTTTTAATATTGTGTTCTAATGGTGTCACCCGTACGGCAACCTCAGGGTGAAGGTCAGTTAATTAATAGTACCAGTAATTATAATAATTATGAATGCCCAGCTTCCCAGGAAGGGTGAGCTCTTGCTTTAAAAACGAGGACACACAAAGCAAGTTTCTTGAAATTGGAAGGTTTATTTGGGGGTGAGCAAGGTCTGTTCATCTCAGAAGCTGAAGGTGGACAGACTGAGGAAGAAGCTGCAGATCCCTGAATTTCCCCAAGCAAGCAAAACAAAAAAACATTATGCAAAGCAGTTCAAACATCGCAAAGGCATGAAAGGAAAGGAACCAGAAGAGCGTTAGCACAATTAGCACCATTTCTACGGGAGCTGCATTTTCTTGGGGAATAATTTGGATCTTTGAACCAAGTTTTCTGCTTCAGAGTTGCTAGCCGTTGCTGCTCTAAACGTGGCGTAGACGTGGGCCCTGCACTCTGTCCCACATCGCAGTTCTCCTTTCACTTGCAGGCACGAAATTGTTGCTTTTGTTTTCCATGTTGATGGTGACCTAGTTTTCAAAGAGCCGGGCCAGCTCTCTGCTCCACAAGCGACGGCGGCACACATTTCAGAGCAGCGAACCGTGCACAGAAGGGAGAATTCAACGGTTCTCTCTCTGGCCTGGATTTTGAAGGACGTGTTTTGGACGGGGACTCAACCTGCCCTCTAGCTTTTAGGCACGTCCAGAAGGTCAAGGCAGGTTGTTCCGCTGAGTCCTCGAAGCAGGCGAGAATGGATCACAGATCACCCATCACAGGTGGATTCAAAGAGCGCAAGATGAGAACGGGGGACCATAAAGAGACGACAGAAGCCTCCTCTGAATGGGACGAAATAATTGCATTGTGTGATCACACAGCCACACACCAGCCTCTTAACCTACCTCCCAGAGGCTGTCATCGTAGGGATTCATGGGGGGGGGGGGTGGGAACCATGTAACCCTTGGAGATAAAGGTGGGATAAAAATGCAATAATTAAGCTGCTTAAGAAAGCTGGAGGAGCTAGCCAGATGGGGACGTCTGTCGCTACCCTGACACCCAGAGATCTCCACGTGGTCGCAACTGGACCCGATCTAGTCGCAAAAGGCACCTGGCGCCTGGCTAATTTCTAACCATGCCACACACCCATCAGCAGCTGACTTGGAGGGAGGTAAACGCCAAAGCAGGGGATCATTCAGAGAAGCGACAGGCTCCCTTCTCAGCTGAGCTCACGGAAGCCCTTAAAAAGTCCTGCACGCAGCATCAAGTAACAAGGATTTCCACTTGCAGAAGAGGACTTTCCCCCCTCTCCTCTCCTGTGCACCTCTTAAATTTGTTTTAGGGGTCCCCAAACTCACAGGAGAAAATTTGGGTATGGGCAAGTCGCATTGCACAAACAGGAATTTCCATGCTGGTGGGACGAGGGGGCTGGATACCGCCCTTAATGTGCTTTTCATAGGGAGCATGGATGCAACCCTGGCATACCATTTGTAAGTTTTTGAGCCAAGAACAACTTCTCTCTGACACTTTTACAGTTGCACAAACAGTAAAGTTCTCTGTACAACCCGGATCCTCCACATTTTATACTAATATAATATAATATAATATAATATAATATAATATAATATAATTATTATAATATTATATTATAATCGCACCTTCCCCACCCCCCAAAAAAGTTTCGTCTCAAGCTGGCCTGGCTACAGGAAAGTTCAGGGTCTAGAAAGGGGCTCAGACAGCAGGGAAAGATCAGAAAGAGACGCGAGTCACTACATTATAAAAATCCTTGATTCTCCCCATGTCTTCCCCCCGATAGGCAGTCCAGGGCTGCAATTAGGCATTGCTTCTTTAAGTATGAACAACAGCATTAGCGGCAGCGGGGCTGCAAGAACCCCTGAACTTTCTCACGGGTTCATCTCCCCACCCCCCAAGCCTGTCCTAGGGTAGCGTGGATTGCTTAAAATTTTGGCTTTCCCCCCAGACCAGGCATAGGCAAACTCCAGCCCTCCAGATGTTTGGGACTACAATTCCCATCATCCCTGACCACTGGTCCTGCTAGCTAGGGATGATGGGAGTTGCAGACCCAAACATCTGGAGGGCCGGAGTTTGCCTATGCCCACCCCAGACAGTCCTGGTAGGAAGTCTGCCCTATAGCCACATCCCCTGGCCCCAAGGATGATGGAACCAACTGAAGCTGTTCAGGAGCAAGAGAGGAAAAGGCACTCTGCGTATGCTCAGAGGTGTTCCAGCTGCCATTTCTCGTGTCCAAAGCACAGATCAGTTTGTCCAGTACAGGTTTCTCTGGTGCTTGCAGGGCATCAGGACCCGTTAAGGGTATAACAAGTATCAGTTCAATAAATGAGGCTGGATTTTCAGGTGTTTGGACAATGAGCTTGCAAGCTGAGATACTTTTTTATCTGAAAATACTTTCTTCCTGCCACAGCTTCCCCCAATGAATTATGGGAACTGTAGTTTGTTAAGAGGCTGAGAGTTGGTAGGAGGAGGAGGAGAGGAAATGGGCTGCAGTCCTCACAGAACTACAATTCCCACAATCCCCTGATCATTAAGCCACTCTTGAGGTTGCAGCTCTGGCAGGGGAATGGGGATCTCCGAAAAACTTTCAGCATGCTTAGCAAACTACTGTTCCGAGCATTCTTTGGGGAAAAGACAGGACTGCTTAAAGTGGTATGAAACTGCTTTAAATGCATGGTGTGGATGGGGCCTTATAAAATTACGATATCCAGCTTAAACACAAGAAAAGAGCTTGGAGGAAGAAGAGAACCTATGGGATAGCTCAGTCGGTAGAAAATGAGACTCTTAATCTCAGGGTCGTGGGTTTGAGTCCCATGTTGGGCAAGAGATTCCTACATTGCAAGGGGGCTGGACTAGATGACCTTTGTGGTTCCTTCCAACTTTATGGTTCTACGAGGAGCATCATACATGTGGGTCAGCAGGCCAAAACAAACCTCTGCATGGCCCCTATCAGCGCAATAAAGGTAAAGGGACCCCTGACCATTAGCTCCAGTCATGGCCGACTCTGGGGTTGCGGCACTCATCTCGCTCTATAGGCCGAGGGAGCCGGCGTACAGCTTCCGGGTCATGTGGCCAGCATGACTAAGCCGCTTCTGGCGAACCAGAGAAGCACACGGAAACGCTGTTTACCTTCCCGCTGGAGTGGTACCTATTTATCTACTTGCACTTTGACGTGCTTTCGAACTGCTAGGTTGGCAGGAGCTGGGACCGAGCAACTGGAGCTCACCCCGTCATGGGGATTCGAACTGCCTACCTTCTGATCTAGGCTCTGTGGTTTAACCCACAGCGCCACCCGCGTCCCAACCAGCGCAATACATGCCCCATAATTAATCTATCATCGTTATGATGGCACTCTTACAGTCGATTCCATGCATGCTCGATACAACAGAGTTTTTCCTGCAAAAGATCAGCTACCAAAGGACACAATAACTGCAGAGGGCACAATCCGTAGCAAACCAGTACCCTGAAAAGGCAGTGTTGCCATCAGGTCAACCGGGTCCAAAAGGAAAGTCCGTGATCTCATGCAGATGCTATGGGGAGCATTATCCCTCTCCTTATAAAGGCTCAGACCAAGAGACGTCTGGCGTTTCCTGCTCACCCCCAGCACACACGCAGTGCCCATCCTAAACGCTAAGGCCGCCACTGCCGCAAGGCGGATTAGCTTCGTTTTATTGGGCGAAATGCTTTTTGAGATTTACAGCCGCAATAAAACAAAAACAAAAAACCCACCCCAGAATTGGCTCAACGTTGATGCTGGGCTTTGTCGCCTCCTGCTCCAAACGGTTGTTAAGGAGCAGGATTTGTGCATGCATCACAATTCTGAAGGAAAACTGAGTGGGTGGGAGTAAGCACAAAGGCACCCGGTAAACTACAGCTCCCAGAATCCTTTGGGGGAAGCTGTGACTGTTTGAAGCAGTTAGCTCTGTTGGTTAGAGTGGGGTGCTCTAATGATGCCAAGGTTGCAAATTTGATTCCCCGTACGGGACAGCTGCATATTGCTGCATTGCAGGGGGTTGGACTAGATGACCTTTGGCAACCTTTCCAGCTCTACAATTCCATGATTCTAAGAGTGCTTCACATGGTGCTTTTACATGGTGTAAATATGGAAGATTTGGTGCAGAAATAAAGAGTAAGGCAGCAACTCCAAGGCGCGACTAGGTCAGCACAGGATAATTCCTTTTTCGTTGTCTGGAATTAAAGAGGGGATGGTCTTCTGGATAAAGACTCCTAATTCTCCCCAGAGTGTCTGCCATTCACTGGGTTAAAACAGATGGACAGAGATTCCTCGCTGGTGGGAGACAGACTGGAGATGTTTTTCAACATCTCTCTGGCAACGGCTCGAAAGCCACAGGGACCCACCGGCCATAAAGCTGCTAATATTTAGCAAAGAGCTGCCAAGTGACGAGAAACAGTCTTTAAAAGCTCTCCAAGGGGCTCTGATGTGTCACTGTTGGGCGGCAGGAGGGGGGGAAAGCTGCAATTCCCCAGCCTGATGCCCCATCTGGATCCAAACATTTCAAGCCCACCAGCAGGTCAGCCAAACAGGCAAACTGTGCACATCCGCTGGCTTTAGGGAAGGAGAGAAAACAAACAGCTGACAGCTGGAAGAGGCCTCCGCATACGGACTGCGTTTGCGCATAATACCACACCGTGATTCGTGCCAACCATGGTTTGGGCTCAGCCAACAAGGTGATCAAACAATGGCTTGTTTCCTCAAAGCTTAATTTGTCTTTCGCCTCTTTAGGTTGGTGAGCACCCGGCCCAGGATGGCCAAACAAACCACGGTTAAGCGAGGCTGTTGGTTACAGAGATAATGGCAAACCATGGTTCACAAGACGAAAACAAACCATAGATAACCAACCATTACTTAGCACAGCCTTCCGCAACTGGGTGCCTTACAGATGTTTTAGAACTGCAAAAGGAGCCGCCCAACTTGCATTCTTTAACTGACCAGCCATGTATCCCAAAGATCTCCCCTTTAGTTTTTCCTTCGGATTCTTAGTATGTTGCCATTTTATTTTATTTTAAAAATGTCTATACAGTGGTACCTCGGGTTATGAACTTAATCACTTAATCACTGTGCGATTTCTGTTCTCATCCTGAAGCAAAGTTCTTAACCCGAGGTACTATTTCTGGGTTAGTGGAGTCTGTAACCTGAAGCGTCTGTAACCCGAGGTACCACTGTATACAGCTATTTCGTTTTTTTAAAATCACAACAAAAATATGTATAATATTGCAGTAAAAAACATATTTAAAAAGTTAAACACAGACATCAATTAACCATTGTGGAACGATGTATTGCTAATGGCTTGCACAGGCTGAGCAGAAAAGTTTTCAGCAGGCGGTTAAAAGTTGAAACAGAAGGTGTCTGTTGAATTTCCATTGGCAGAGAGTTCCACAAGACTGAGTCGACGCCATTAAAGGCTCGGCTTCTTGTTGCTGCCAAATGAGCCTCACCAACTCGGGGGACGAATGACGCACTGGCAAGCGAGCTCAGTGATTGAGATGGGATAGAACTATTGGAATTGTAGAGTTGGAAGGGACCCATGAGTCATCTAGTCCAACCACTTCCAATGCAGGAATCTCAACAAACTGTACCCCACCCAATTTGAAACCATACTGGATATAAGTGTTCGAGCAGTCCCTGAGCTACCCTGGACCTAAGTTGTTCAGGGCTTGGTCAATTAATACAAGGACCTTGAACTTGGCTCGGAAGTAGATGCCATCAGCCTATGGCAATTTACCAAACAATGCAAGTACAGAGGTATTGTGTTTTTAATATTCGGTTTGGAGCCGCCCAGAGCTGCTGGGGAAACCCAGCCAGATGGGCGGGGCATTAATTAATTAATTAATTGCCCCGGGTGCGTGTTTGTGGAGACCCACTGAAATCCATGCATCTAAGTAACTTGCTTTCAACTGATCTACTCCAGAATAGACTGTCCATAGAGAAGAGTCTCTGCCCTGAAGAGCCTACAATCTAAGCTCTGGTAGTGGGGAAACATAGGAGAATAAGTGCTAAAGGGTTGTTTTAATACACATGTTATAATCTAGAGGCCTCTTTATTGAAGCCTCTTGCTAGGAAGGGTTAATTGCCTGCCCCTTTCTTGAATGTCCCTCATTCCTGGGCACAGATTTCTATTTTCCAGGGTTTTCCAACACCTGCATGGATTTTTTACCGCTCCGTTTATTCTTCCACTTGCGGGTTCCTCCATGCCCTTTATTGTATTTTTACTCTCCGGTTTGCAATCCAATCTGACTTGATTGCTTTATTGAAGGGCAGTATGCAAACGGAACGAAAATAAAACACTTAGAAGAAAGGTTGGATAAATTCCTCCCACACACAAAGTGCAAAAATGAAACCTTCCATATGTACGCGGGGGCGAATAAGGAGAGGGAAGGGGAGGGTCGATTCTGGTTTCCGACTTGAAACCAAACCAGTTCAAGGATTGAGTGGTTCAGCAACCAGGCGTTAACTAAGCAGTGCTTTCGCTGGAGGAGGACAACCCCCCCCCCCTTGTGAACACTTACAAAAGAGGCAAAGAAAGGAAGACTTGGTGAAAGGGAGTGTGCAGGGTTCTAAGAGAGGCCTCTTGGTGCACCAAGAATAAAAACTGCCTTGCTAAAACGAGAGGGAGAGAGGGAGGGACCCAGAGATTGCTGCAGAGGCAGAATTCTAGCATGCGCTGCAAGCCTCGCTCGCTGCGGTTACACTTTCTGCAAAGGGAAGCCAGAGGATGCCAGGAGCAAAGAGGGTTTCAGATGCACCCCAAGCTGGCCGTGGGCCTAAACGTGCAGGCGGGGATCCTGCTCAAAGACTTCTGCAGCAGAAATTCAGGAGCTGACAGGCAGCGGGGAGAGGAGGAGTGAGGAGAACGAGTTGGGTAAGGCCTACAAGCCTCACCAAAAAGAGACTCCAGCTTCCTCTGGCTCCCAGGCCCCACAATCAAAAGTCCCAAGGTTAAAGCATGCTTGGATTTGGCACAGTGGCGTAGCGTGGTGGTGGTGGGGGCCGTGGCCTAGGGCACAGAATCCTGAGGGGGCGCAACCTGGCATGCAGGAGGTTCCAGATTCAGGGATGGTTTGGAAAGATCCCGTTAGAGAGTAGTTGCCTGTCGCTGTAGGTAGTATTGAGGCAGATGGACGCTGCCCCTTGGTCTGAAAAGAGTTCCCTGCTGAATCGCGTGGCAGAGGCACAGCGGAAGTGGGAGGCCCCATTAGCTAAAGTGGTACCTCAGGTAAATAACAGTTTCAGGTTAAGAACGGACCTCCAGAATGAATTAAGTTCCTAGCCCGAGGTACCACCGTATATAGAAATATTGTCCAAAAGTGAACTCTGTATCGTGATATCAGTTTCATCGTTTTTGATCCCGGAATATACTGCGAATCGTGATGTGTGTTCTGATGCTCCACAGCAGGGGTTAGGAAACTCGGGGCCCTCCACACCTCTCTCTGTGGCCCTTGTGAGTCTCCCAGGCCACATGTATGCTCATCATCCCAGCTGTATGCCCTCCATGAATGCTTTGGACCAGCCGAAATTTTTTCACCTTTCCCTTCCATTTGGCAGAACAGCACAAAAACTGTAATTTTAAATTACAGCCATAAATTTCCATGCAGTGTTCATATTAAATAATAATGAACAATGGTAGTTAAGAAAGGGTTATGGAAGTACATTCTTTTTATCTCTATTCTTTTGGTTTTTTCCAGATACGTTGCTTTTTTAAAAACAAAACAAAACCCCAAACTATTCTTTCATAAACGAGTTTGGCTTTTATGGTTGAAGATGTTGAAAAAGGTTCTCCACAGTCGACCTGGTAGGCGACTGCTTCTGAGACTGAACTTTTCACAAGTCCTACATCCGGATGCAAAAAAAGAGACAAAATAGTACCATTTTTTTAAAAAAAAAAACTTGCTTTCTTTTTCTCTTCCTTTTTTTTGAGAGAAAGGGCTGGCTAAATTTTCAAACATCTAAGCATGTCGTTTCAGGAATGAACTTTCTATGCTGCCCTAGTCTCTCTCCACACACACACACACACACACACAGAGAGAGAGAGAGAGAGAGAGAGAAGCCACACAAAGAACACAAGACAATGGATGGGATTCACAGCTTTGCCATCTCCATTCATTCCAGCAGGGCAAGGACAAGAGCGCTGGCTTCCAAAGGGAATGAATGGAGGCTGGGAAGCAGCAGCACCTGGGAGGCCAGATGTCCAGAGGGCAATGGCAGAGCCGGGCTTATTCTATGGCAGCGGCAGGGAAGCTCAAAGACCACATTTCCTGTTGGTGACCTTGGTGACATGCCGTGGTGGGTGGGGCCAGAGGCAAAAGTGGGCAGAGCTACAGAAACAAAAAAAACCTCCTTTGTACTTTAACAGGCTACATGCTAGCCAAGCAAAACTGCGGTATCTACACACACACACACACACACACACACACACACAATTGTTTCTCCATCCTCCACCCGGGCAGGCACAAGGCATCAGTGCAGCTCAAGGGAACATTTTGGCTGGTCCAAAGCATTCACAGAGGGCATGCAGTTGGGATGGTGAGCGTGCATGTGGCCTGGGAGACTCACAAGGGCCACAGAGAGAGGTCTGGAGGGCCCCGAGTTTCCTAACCCCTGCTGTGGAGCATCAGAACACACATCACGATTCGCAGTATATTCCCGGGTCCAAAATGATGAAACCGATATCACAATACGGAGTTCACTTTTGGAATACATATATATATATATCCCCAGCCCTATTGCAAACCTGCTCCTTCGGGTCTTTGTGCGCATGCATGTGTGTGCAACCCCATCCAGGGCAGGCAAATGAATCTGTTAGCAGGACTGTTTGAGGGTGTCATCGTCCTCTTGCCAATTTCCCTCTCATCTCCCCTGGGCAGCTGTGACCTTGTTGCGAAATGCAGAAATCTTGCTGTGCAAGCTTTCACGCACTGGTGGCATGCCTCTGCGAGCAGAGTGGTATTGATTGCCCTGGGGGGGGGGGGGACGGCTGGAGCCGGCACTCCAACATAGCTTGCTCCTGCTCTCCGACCCGACTCTCCTGCATTCCCAGCTTTTGGGAGACGGCCCTCGAGAGCGAGAGCAGCATCTCCAAAATTAATTCAAGGTTGCTTTCCAGGAAATCGCAACGGGAAGTCCTCTTACACCCCTGGCCAAGGGTTTGTGTGTATGCCATCTCTTGCATTGCAATACTCCCCAAAGTTTCTGAATGGGAGGGATACGTGAGGCTGCTTTACATTTTGGGTTCCCCATATAAGGTAAGGGGGATGTGGGTGGCGCTGTGGGTTAAACCACAGAGCCTAGGACTTGCCGATCAGAAGGTCGATGGTTCGAATCCCCGCGACGGGGTGAGCTCCCGTTGCTTGGTCCCTGCTCCTGCCAACCTAGCAGTTCGAAAAGCACGTCAAAGTGCAAGTAGATAAATAGGTACCGCTCTGGCGGGAAGGTAAACAGCGTTTCCGTGCGCTGCTCTGGTTCGCCAGAAGCGGCTTAGTCATGCTGGCCACATGACCTGGAAGCTGTACGCCGGCTCCCTCGGCCAATAAAGCGAGATGAGAACCACAACCCCAGAGACGTCCGCGACTGGACCTAATGGTCAGGGGTCCCTTTACCTTTACCTTTAATAAGGTAAGGAGAAGACAGAGAGTTGCAAGAGGTGATTCCAAGCCACATCCCCATAGGGGAAAAAATGGGGGGCTATGATGGCCCTTTGCTATCTATAGGATTGTGGTTCCGCAATGACAGCCTTCCTATGTAAACACAATGTGTATTTGAAGGAAGGGAGGCAGAGGGAGATTGCATTGTGCTCTGGGACGGGAGGTTTCTCTAACTGCACACGACAGCAGGTCTGTAAAAATAGTTGCATATCTGTGTGTTTTTCTCCACTGGAATATAGCCATTTTAAGATCTGTATTTAAATAGACAGGCGCAGGTCCAGCTGCTGCTTGAATCAGACGTCAAACAGAATGAACACCCTGCACCCAACCACCTACCCACCCGAGAAAGGCAGCTAAAATGTAGTGATTTCTGAGCCATGAAGCTTGTTGGAGGACCTTGGATCAGATATGATTACAGAATCGTAGAGTTGGAAGGGACCCCTGAGGGTCATCTAGTCCAACCCGCTGCAATGCAGGAATCTCAGCTAAAGCATCCATGGCAGACGGCCATCCAACCTTGGCTTAGAAACCTTGAAGGAAGGAGAGTCCACAACAGTCAAGCACATCTGTCAAAAACTGTCAGGCACCTCCTCACATCTCAGAGGCTGGAAAGAAGCTTTATTTGCAAAGATCAAAGAACGCAGCATACAACTAACTTAATTTATTACTGGGCGTTTGGCCTGTGTTAACATCTATCGCCCGCCTCTCCTCCAAGAAACTGTGCATGCACCCACAGTGTGTTTTGCTGTATCCTCCTTACGACCCTGCGAGGTAGGTTAAGCTCGTATTCTCCGGCTCTGGAGGGTAGGACTCGAACCAACGGCTTCAAGTTACAAGAAATGAGATTCCAAGTAAACCTTAGGAAGAACCTTCTGAGGGCAAGAGCTGTTTGACAGTGGAACGGATGACCTTGGAAGGTTGGGGGGGGGGGGGTTAAGCAGAGGTTGGGTGGCCATCTATGGATCCTTTAGCTGAGATTCCTGAATTGCAGCGGGTTGGACTATGAACCTGAAATTCTATGATACTGTGTACATTTTTGGGGTGAGTTGGGGGAACCCATCGATACACAGGAGCCCAAGCCTGCATCCAGAAGCAGAGCAACTCAAGTACAAAGCTTATCATTGCTGGCAGATCTACGCCTTCACAAATCACAAGTCCCACCACCGCAAACACACACAAAGCCATCCTTCTGATACTTAGCACTTTACCGGCTGATCTTTCCTGCCAATCAACTTCCCCCTCCTTCCCCGTTGCAACCACAATGGCGCACAGTCAAAGGCGCAAGTGGTTTTTTATTTCATTTTGCATTTTTCTTCTTTTGCAGCTAACTGAAGTCTGATGATGTACCGAGTTAGCAAAAGCTGCTCTTTAAAAACAACTCTTGTGGTGTTATTGCCTTTTTAATATGAAGAGGAGCCAGAACTCAATGGCAGAATCTAGGCACTGCACCAAACTGGGAATCCTTGGCTTTCCAGCTTAAAGCAGGGGTGGGGGCACCCTGTGGCCCTCGAAAACGTTGTTGGACTCCAACTCCCAGCAGCCCCAGCCCAGCCTAGCCAATGGGAAGGGACGATGGCAGGTGTAGTACAACAACCTTCTCAAGGGCCACAGAATTCTCCATCCCTGAGCTAAATGGGAACAAGGCTGAAGAAGAAAAAATGTTCTCAGTTGGAGACTTTGGAAATCTGTCACCATCCGAGGTCAGTGGTTAGAAACTCAAGATATATAACCTAGGCACCAAATGGCTCCTTAAGCTTAAAGGTTGCAGTCGCCAAAATGAAACATCTAGTTGCCATTTTGGGGCAAGACAGCTCTAAAGTTTTATTTTTCAAATGATGGACTGACAGTGATTGTTTCTCAGTTAAGCATCTGGCTAGTTCAGATGACAACCTTGAGCTAGGTCAAGAATTTTGAACTTAAAGGAAGAAGAGTCACTTGACCCACATATATATTGGCCTATTCCTAACTCTTTTTCTTAACAGCTACTGTTGCTGCTCAGGCTACACACGTTGGTTCCTGAAATTCATCCCAATTTTGCCGATAAAAATACAGCGCAACAGATAGAATCCTACAGGATGGGGTATTAGTGTGTGAAAACAGTCTAGATCCAAGGAGCTCCAGATGGTGGAGATGTCAGGCACCATTCTGGCGCCCAGGCATTCCCACTTGGTCGCAAGTGGTCGGAAGCCAGGGGCAAAATGTACCTGGCGCCTGACTAATTTCTAACACTGTCCAAGGTCCATGTGACCATACATTCACAGCAGTGTCATAACCCCTTAAAGCAGCCGTGGATTCCCCCAAAGAATCCCGGAAACTATACTTTTGTCCAGGGTGCTGAGAGTCATTAGAAGACTCTGCACCCCTCGCAGAGCTACAATTCCCAGAGCGGTTTAACAATTGTGTCCCTCTTTCCCAGGGAACTCTGGGAACTGTAGCCCTGCGAGGGGACTAGAAGTCTCTCCCTTAGCAAACTACAGCTCCCGGAGTTCTTTGGGGGAAAGCCATGTGGTGTGGCGCTGCTTTGATTGCATCATGCAGGTGCACCCTGGAACCGCCATGGCTTCTGGGCTTCAACCATGCGTGCAGCCCATCGTCTCGCAGCAGACCCAGGCAGACAGCGCTGGAGGCAGATGAGGTCCTCACGGTGACCCCAAAATGACAAGTTTGTGAACTAAGGAACAGCAGCGAGCAACTCAAAGTGACAATACCATGAACTGAGACACAGAGAAATCTACAGGCAGGAGCTCCCACAAAACAGGCCGTGCGAGTGCATTGCACCCCTAGGGCGTGTCATTTTAGGGGCGAAACTTAATTTTTGCAGATTTCTTCAGCAAGTGTTCTTAATAATAATAATAATAATAATAATAATAATAATAATAATAATTTATACCCCGCCCATCTGGTTGCGTTTCCCCAGCCACTCTGGGCGGCTTCCAACAGAACACTAAAATACAATAACCTATTAAAGTTTAAAAGCTTCTCTAAACAGGGCTGCCTTCAGATGTCTTCTAAAAGTTTGGTAGTTATTTTTCTCTTTGACATCTGTTGGGAGGGCGTTCCACAGGGCGGGCGCCACCACTGCGAAGGCCCTTTGCCTTGTTCCCTGTAACTTGGCTTCTCGTAGCGAGGGAACTGCCAGAAGGCCCTCGGAGCTGGACCTCAGTGTCTGGGCAGAATGATGGAGGTGGAGACGCTCCTTCAGGTATACTGGTCCGAAAATATGCTTTTGAGCATGAGGAGTTCAGATCTGCTTGCCCGAATGGACGGCAGAGTGGGGCGCAGAAACTACGCTTTGTACGAAAGCAAAAAAATTGAAGTGCGCTTGCTCCACCCCTTTTGACCATGTGGCCCTCCGAAAGCTTGCCCAGGAGGGAATCCGGCCCTTGGACTGAGCTCAGCTCTCCGGAGGGAAAATGAATATGCGTCACCCTTCTTCCTTTTGCTGTTTTGCCTCCAGCGCAAGCCCCTCTGCCCCTGCACCCTGCCCCACACGTCAAGACGCCCCCTCAAATTCTTGCCAAGCCAGGGCCTCCCAGCAACAGCGGCTTCCAAAATCCAGCCAACAGGCATCCACGCCAACCAAAGACATTTTAGCCATCACCCCCCCACTTCCGGCTCCCTAGACCTCTGGCTATGTGCGGCTAGCAAGGAGGGGGGCTGGGTCGAAGGAGGGGAGGCGGGCAGCGCTGACCAACTGGGCAGATTCCTGCACTGCAGCCACCAGTAACAGACGCAAGACAGGCTCCCCATTCATAAGAAGAGACGCTTCATTGACCCGATACCAGGAAAAGTGGCCCGCTTAATTTTATTTTTGGGGGTGAACTTAAAAAAAAAAAAAACAAGCCCTGAAGGCAGAGGATTTTTTTATTTTTATTTTACAGGAGGTGACAGGGGGCATTTTTATTTTACCCGTCACTGCAGTAAACTGTAGGGTCTGAGTTTGGTTTTATTGTGAAAGAATAGAAGTTGATGCTTCCAGAGATTAAAAGCTAATTTTGATAAATCACTAGGCTCGCAGAGTCCTCCAGGCCTGAATTTCACATTCTACTGAACGCCTGTGTGTCTGATCCAAGAGGCCTGCAAACGTTTTGAGAATGTTAATGGAGTTAACCTCCAGAGAATCCCAAGAATCTCAGCTGTCTTAAATCTTACATATCGACAAAGACCAAGCTTCTAGTCCTCATGAAGGGGGAAAGTGCTAGGGCTGTTGTTCTTCCTGAGAGGCCCTCTTCCAGGAGCTCACCTGCCACGCATCCAAAGGAAAAATGAATGGAAAATCAGATTATCCCCATTCTGTTCCCCCACAAGGACGTCTGGAATTTTCTCAATTCCCTTTCTTAATGTTCATTTAATTTTTAATTCCCCTTTTCGTTCGCCTTCCTGTATTGCCATGCACAAGGTACACTGACAAGTTGAAGACGCAACAAGACACGCAACACAGATCACAATATAACAATCTGACCCAACGCAAATCAGCCATTAAAAAAGACTTTTATAAAGGACTACAAGCATGCCTCGGAGAGATTGCAAGCCTGGGTCCAGGCAACCTCAATAAAGTCGGTCACACACATTTCTTGGTTTCCTGGGGCATCTAAAAGTTATACCGTGCTGTAGCCCGTTAACCCAGCACCCCCCCCAAAGGGCAGGATAGAAAACCCCCGCTTATCCAGCTCAACTCTTGAGGTCAGAAGAGGGGTGACGGTGGCGGGTTCATCCCCTGAAAGCGCTGGGCTGCCTGCACCCGCATCCTCGTAGGGAGCAATATCTGCGAGATGCAATTAAGCAAAGCCCAATTAAAGCAATATGTGCTTATAGTCAATAATCCATTAGGCTAGGGTACAGAACTAGGTGCTTGGCAACCAAGCCTGGAACCGTGCATATCTGGATATGATCAAGGGGCGAGAAGTGGGGAACTTGCATTAGGCCTGGGTGAGGGATACAAGTCGGCTGACCGACATTCTGCCTTGTAACTGACCCAAGCGGAACAGAGAGCATGAGACTCTTAATCTCAGGGTCGTGGGTTCGAGCCCCATGTCAGGGGGTTGGGCTAGATGACTCCCATGTCCTCCCTTCAAACTCTACAATTCTATGTTGACAGACCAAGGAGGGAGGCCACATTCAGACCACTATGATACCACTTTAAACAGCCATGGCTTTCCCCAGAGAATTCTGGGAGTTGTAGCCTGTTAAGGGTGCTGTGAGCCAACCCCCCCCCACCATTTTCCCCTCACGGCGCTACAATTCCCAGAGCGGATTAATAATCACAGGGAATTCTGGGAATTGTAGCTCTGGGAGTGGTATTGGAGCCTCCTAACTCTCAGCTTGGGATGCGGGTGGCGCTGTGGTCTAAACCACAGAGCCTAGGGCTTGCTGATTGGAAGGTCGGTGGTTCGATTCCCTGCGACGGAGTGAGCTCCCGTTGTTTGGTCCCTGCTCCTGCCAACCTAGCAGTTCGAAAGCACGTCAAAGTGCAAGTAGATAAATAGGTACCGCTCCGGAGGGAAGGTAAACGGCATTTCCGTGCACTGCTCTGGTTTGCCAGAAGCGGCTTAGTCATGCTGGCCACATGACCCGGAAGCTGTACGCTGGCTCCCTCGGCCAATAAAGCGAGATGAGTGCCGCAACCCCAGAGTCGTCCGCAACTGGACCTAATGGTCAGGGGTCCCTTTACCTCTCAGCAGAAATTAACAAACTACATCTCCCAAGATTATTTGGGAGAAGCTGTGAGTGTTTTTGAAGTGGCATCACAGTAAATCGAAGGCATGGTGTGAATGTGGTCAGAGAGAGCCCAACCCTACAGAGCAGCCAATTGAAAATTCAGCAATGGGAAAAAAACACACCAAAAAAAAGTTTGTTAGACCACTCCAGGAACTGCAGCTCTGTGAGGGGCAAGGGGAGGTCTCCGAACAACTCGCAGCACCCTCTCAGCATAACTGTGGTATCGCAGTGCTTTGAATGTTCGGCGCGAATGGGGTCAGAGACCACCTTAAAGGTAAAGGGACCACCATTAGATCTAGTTATGGCCAGCATGACTAATCCGCTTCTGGCGAAACCAGAGCAGTGCACAGAAATGCTGTTTACCTTCCCGCCGGAGCTGTACCTATTTATCTACTTGCACTTTGACCTGCTTTCAAACTGCTAGGTTGGCAGGAGGAGGGACCGAGCAACGGGAGCTCACCCTGTCGCGGGGATTCGAACCACCGACCTTCTGATCGGCAAGTCCTAGGCTCTGTGGTTTAACCCACAGCGCCACCCGCATCCCTTACCTGCGTCCCTTACCACCTTACCTGCGGAGAAATCAATCTAATATGGTATTCAGCAATGGGTAACACACAATAAGGAAACCAGGGAAAGTTTCCTGCCTGTTCAGAAATTTGGCCGCAAATGTTCATCTCTTTAGCAGAATAAGAGAGAGAGAGAGAGGAGAGAGAGAGAGAGAGATTGTGTGCGTATTCAGTCTTTGCCAAGCCAGCATCAGCAGCCAACCACAACCAGGATTTTTATTTTTTATGGGTTGTGGGGGTGCTTTGCAGCATTCGACCTTCCCACCAGCTCTCCTTGGCAGCCATCCCTGGGAAGAGCAATTCCCTACCAAGACCTCTCCGGAGGAGAGGAAGACTCCCTTTAGGCACCGGTGTCGGCTTTTATTTTTACCCCTTCAGCTGCTTCCTCCCCTGGCCTGGCTGGGATGTAGAGAACTTCCCCCTACTCGCCCCCCAGCCCAACTTACTTGAGAACTTTTATCCTCTGTTCTTAAGCCCATTTCCCCCATTGTCTTCCCAACTCACACATGTACTGAACTGAAGCCAGCACGGCTGAGCCCTTCCAGCACAACTACAGACCCAGAAAGGGCGGGGGGGGGGGAGGAGAGGAGAGGAGAGAGAAAGCCAAGCGGCAGGGGGCTGTAACTACAAAGAACCGCAAAAAAAATTGGACGCCCCAAATTCTGCTGTTCAGAAAGCACCACATTTCTGCCTGGAGAGAACGTCTGCGTCCCCCACTTCCCAACGAGGTCTGTACATCTGAACTGCAGCAGTTTAAAAAAAAAAACAATAGAAGTCATTAAAATACACACACACACACACGGACAAAAACACACACACACACACACACACACCTACAGTTCATTGAATGATAAGAGTTGGAAGGAGCCCCCCAAGAGTCATCTAGTCCAGCCCCGGAAATACAGGAATCATCTTAGAGGTGATGTGGAGCAATGGGTCAGCTAGTCTGGTTGCTATAACCAGACTGCATTACTAGCTTCCACGCCGATATTTAATTTTTACTGTCACGCCTCAACTTTTTACTTGGGGGGGGGGAATGTGCTAAAAAGACAAAACCGTGCATTTTAAATATGCACGTTGTGTTTTATTTCTTTTTTTAACATATTGACAATTCTGAGCCCTTCCTGGAGAGGGGAAGAGGAGAACGTGGGGTGCAAGAGCAAATAAGACAGAGGCTCTGGGGGGGGGGGGGGAGAGAAAGACAGAGAGAAGGGAGAATGTTCCCCTGCATTCTATTCCTGAGCTTCTGAACTCCATGGAGACGGCACATCTTAGCAGCGATGCCAGTGCCGAGGCTTTAAAAGAGCCCGTTTTAGAAGCCAAGATTCCTGCAGTCCTCCGAAAAAAACGGCATCTATTCAGATTCCTTCCAAAAGGGCAGGGGAAGACCCTTATTGGAAAGTGGGGGGGGGGGGGTTGCTCCTTGCTTTGCACCAAGTTAAGGCTTCCCGGCCCTTGTTTGCAACTTCAAACAAAACACACACACCCCCAAATCCAAATCATCAACTGCGTTCAACACCAACCCGGTTAGAGGGGTCGAGAATTGCCCTTCCAACTCTGCTCCCCAGCTCTCCACCTCAGTTCACAACAGGAACTTAAAAATCAAAACACAAGCGTTAGAAAAAAAGAGCACTCCCTAAGAATAGCAGGAGCAACTGCTCAGGTTTCCTTGGAGGGCGGCAAAACCAGAACCAGGAACTTGACTGCCTGTTAGCTTTCCTTTCTGCTCTGTTCACATTCCTAAGTCTACTTCATCCTAAAGGCGGGCATCTTTCAACGCATCACAGCACGTTTTGCAGGCACGTGCCAAGAAAGCTAGCACAAAATTTGGCCAAGTACGCACAACGAAAGAGGACCAATTACTTTCCTGCCATGAATTAGTCCACGAGGTGCGGGGTAAAGCCTGTTTTCTTAAAACATGAATTCTCCTCCAGCCTTACCAAATCCCAATCCATTTGTACGGATCAAAACTGGCACCTTAACTGAGGCTCGGACACTTTCTGGTTGGCAGAGAAGACTCAAAAACTAGGAGAATGCAGTCCCCTCGTGACTTTCCTCCCTCTAAATTCCCTTGCACCCAGCGATGACACCCAAGGTGTCCCATGGGCGTTGGCTGCCTCTGCACCTCCAGGGAAGGTGATGAAAAGGAAAAAAGCTTCTCTTTCATCCTCTCCCCCACAGAAGGCAGTAGCAGCAAAGCAAAGCAAGAAAACTTCCATGCTACTCCCCGCCTGCCCCGGGAATGAGAAAAACAGGTGGTTGACACAAACAGGTGTCTCCCAAGCCCTGACCCCGTAATTTAAACCTCCACCTGCAATTTAGGAAGGCCAGAGAGGAGATGCCACGAGGATTACACCTGTTGCACCAACTCCATCATCCTGTCTGGGGCACACGCCCCTCAGAGGTGGCACTCCTCCTCATTAGCCGGAGCAACGTCACATCTACGAGCAGGTAAGACGAAGGAGGAAAAGGAATGCAGCAAACTTTTATGTTTTTTTAATTGCCTCTTTAAAAAAAAACAAAACACACAGAAAACTTGAAAATCGGCATGTTTGATGTCCGGGGTTGGAGGGATAGGAACATGCCTGAAAACTGTATGCTATATGGGACTGAAAACACTGAAGTTACAGGCAGGAGAAGAGCAGATGGGTTTTCCATTGGCTTCAATGGAGGAACAAACACAACACCAAAAGTAAGTGGCTTGATAATCAATACACAGCCCCACACCCCGAGTTCCAAACATGTAAAGGTGGAGACAATGAAAGGATCTGTTTCTCACTTTGTGATGAGCAGGTATTGTCAACCCTTTCCAAAAACACAGGAACCACTTTTAATCCAAACATGCACTTTTCTTAATTTCTTACAACGTATTTTCCTGGTGGCAGTGGTCCTGGTGGAACCCAACCTTGGATCAGGCCACAACTCACAAGTGAGTCCTGACCCACCAGCTGAAGGCCAGTGCTCTGGGGAATTCCTGACACAAAGGGCCAGATTCAACTACCTCATTCTGCTAACAGAAGCCAGCCAAAGGACTCCCACTAACGCCATGGCGTTTTCCCTCCCTGCAAATCTGCTCTGGAGGGGTGAACCTCTCAGAACGGCATGGGGTCAGGAGGAGAGGGGAGCTGGCCTTGTTGAACAAGCAGAAACTCTTGTGCTGATGGAACGACCTCCTTAGCATTGCAATGAATTCCACACAGAGTTAAGCAGAATTGCAAAACATCTCCCTGCCTTATGGATTTGTTATATTCTGAGAATAGGAAGGTTCCTGAATACCACATACATCTCTCTCTCTCTCTCTCTCTCTCTCTCACACACACACACACACACATTTCTGGGGGGGGGGGGTGAGATTTGATGGAAGGAGGGATGCAGAAGAGGCAACATCTCTGACAGTTGAGCATTATCAGGGCTCTGCACATCTCAAGTGAAAGAAAGGAACCCATCACTGATTCACACTCTTTGTTCGCCTGGCCCAGTGAAGTCTACTCTGCGCTGCAAACGGTCTCCATTGCCTCAGGCAGAAAAAGTCTCTCCCATCACTTCCAATCTGATTCTTTTTGCCAGTGACGCTGAGAATTGAACACTGGGCCTCCCTTGGTACAAAAGCTTTGCCATCAGCCTGTGTCAAGGCCACCAGCACCTGCAGCAAGGAAACCAAGCCTTGCACGTTGAGGTTTAGGAAGTCCCTGGCAGATCTCGGGGCCTCACTCGATCCAAAGCACAACTGCCAAGAACTCCGCAGATGAGCAACCCTGAGTCGTTGCAAATGGCCTGCTGTTGTCCTTCTAAAAGTTGATGCCAAAGAGCAAGCTGTGAACCCAGTCCAAACCTCTCCTCTGTTTACCTGCCTACCGTGCAGGGTCGTAAGGAGGATTATGAATATTGCACTTGAAACCTGTTAGGTAAGAGCCCATGCTTCTTTTCCGATAAAACCACGAGGGGCTTTCATGGGAACCTAGAAGCTATCGCACTTGGGTCCGCAGTTTTTAAGAAACAAAGGTTTTGATCAGGGTAGAGGAATCTGCAGTGTAACTACAACTTCCATCATCACCGAGGACTGGCCTTGCTGGCTGGGGCTGATGGGAGTTGGGAGTCCAGGAACATTTTTCAGAGGGGTGCCTGCAGTATGGAACTGCCCTACCCACCTCCTGTTGAGCTGCCCTCCCCCTCCAAAAAAAAAGATCACTAGCAAGAACGGTAACGGGCCCCGGACTTCTCACTTGCTCTAAATATACAAATGTCTAGAGAGCTGTAAAGTTCCAATATCTGGCTTAAATCACTCTGCATCTGCAGCTCTAAACCAATGTGCCAAATCTTTGCAACCCTGAGCCCTGGCCACACACAACATCTGAACTCTGCTCAAAGCGGCATTTTTGCATCTCAGGGATTAGTTACTCGGTTAGCTGGCTTTATAGCCCTAAACTAGGCATGTCCAAAGTCGGGAGCCTAATTCGGCCCGCTGGTCGGTTTAATACAGCCCCTGTGGCAGTCTATCTCCTGGAGTAAAATCCTAAAAGAAGGCCCTCTTTGAAAAAAGTTTGGGCACCCCTGCCCTAAACAATGCAGGCCCCAGATACCTGAAAAAAACGCCTTCTCACTAAAGACCCACTCGGGCACCGAGATCAGCAGAGCTAGTTCCTCAGCCCTCAGAAGCCAAGGGGTGGGTGGTCCAGGCAGAGAGGGCATTTTCTGTGGCAGCCCCTAAGTTGTGAATCTCCCTCCCCACAAAGCTGCACCTGACACCTTCAGTATACAGCTTCTGGAAAATGCTGAAAACACACCTTTTCACTCTGGCTTTGGACACCTGAGGGGGATATTTTAGGACCTGCCTTTTTTTTTTTTTTTAATAATTTTTATTAACTGGCCAATCACATCAAATTAAATCATATCACATAAATTCCGAATTACAAAGCCGAATTTTAAATTTTGCCTTATTCCTGTGATTGCAAGTTGTTTTAAACACTATTAGGAAGAACTTCCTGACAGTAAGAGCTGTTCGACAGTGGAATTTGCTGCCAAAGAGTGTGGTGGAGTCTCCTTCTTTGGAGGTCTTTAAGCAGAGGCTTGACAACCATATGTCAGGAGTGCTCTGATGGTGTTTCCTGCTTGGCAGGGGGTTGGACTCGATGGCCCTTGTGGTCTCTTCCAGCTCTATGAGTCTATGATTCTATGATTCTATTTTTAACCTATTTTTTTTTAATTGCTGCAACCTGGGACCTCAGGGTAAAGGGCAGGTGATAGGAAGGCCAGGAATGGGGAGCCTTTTTTTTTTAATGTAGAGCCCACATTCCCTTCCGGGAAAAGCTCCAGGGGCCACATGCCAGAAATGGGTGGTGCCAGAAGCAAAAGCCAAGGCCAGGCCAGTGTTTGCATAGCTGCCCAGAGTGGCTGCAACCCAGTCAGATGGGCAGAGTGCAAATAAAATTATTATTATTATTATTATTATTATGGCTCTGTCTATGGCCCCATCTGCACGATGTACCGTATTTTTCGCTCTATAAGACGCACCAGACCACAAGACGCACCTAGTTTTTGGAGGACGAAAACAAGAAAAAAAATATTCTGAATCTCAGAAGCCAGAACAGCAAGAGGGATCGCTGCGCAGTGAAAGCAGCAATCCCTCTTGCTGTTCTGGCTTCTGGGATAGCTGCGCAGCCAGCATTCGCTCCATAAGACGCGCACACATTTCCCCTTACTTTTTAGGAGGGAAAAAGTGAGTCTTATAGAGCAAAAAATACAGTACTTACAAGTATAATCATACCACATTAGGCTCTTATGGCTCCTCTCAGAAAATATTGGGAACTGCCATTTGTTGAGGGTGTTGGGGTTGTATAGGTAAAGGTACCCCTGCCCGTACAGGCCAGTCTTGACAGACTCTAGGGTTGTGCGCTCATCTCACTCTATAGGCCGGGAGCCAGCGCTGTCCGCAGACACTTCCGGGTCACGTGGCCAGCGTGACGAAGCTGCTCTGGCAAGCCAGCGCAGCACACGGAAACGCCGTTTACCTTCCCGCTAGTAAGCGGTCCCTATTTATCTACTTGCACCCGGGGGTGCTTTCGAACTGCTAGGTTGGCAGGCGCTGGGACCGAGCAACGGGAGCGCACCCCGCCATGGGGATTCGAACCGCCGACCATGCGATCGGCAAGTCCTAGGCGCTGAGGTTTTACCCACAGCGCCACCCGCGTCCCTGCTGGGGTTGTTTAGGAGACCCCTATTCCCCTCACGGAGCGACCGTTCCCAGAATTCCCTGGAAATCTCAGAGTGGTTTAACAGTCAGCCCCTCTTCCCAGGGAATTCTGGGAATAGTCTTTCCATGAGGGGAATAAGCGTCAACTCTCAGCACCCTTAAAAAACCGCATTTCCCAGAATCCTTTGGGGGAAGCCATGCCTTCTAAAAGTTGTGGTGTTTTAAACATGCAGCAGCTTCCTTTGTCCCTCAGGCCCCATTTCAGTCTCCCCCCCGGCCACTTAGGGGGCTCCCTTTAGCGGCCAAGACCAGGGTTTGAGCAGTTTAAAGAGAGCCAAGCCAGCCCACACAATGCAGGTGGGAAGGCCCTCTCCAACTTTTATCCGGGCTTCTGGGAGCATGCGATTGAGGGTGGGGAGGAACAGATTAATTTTTTTAAAGCAGGCAGAGCAACCGATGCACATTTTACCTTTGTGCAGCAGGTCAGTTCCGTTGTTTTGGCATTGTTTTCGAAAACACAGAAACAGAAAATTCCCCCCCCCCCAAAAAAAATGTAACCAAACCAAATTAGGTTTATGTATCTTGAGGAGGCACTTTAGTTTCAAAACAGGATGCAAATATCGATGCAAATAATGAAATAACAACAGAAGGGAAAACTGGGTCGGGAAAGAGTAAGGAAGGAATGGGGAGGGAAAGAGGGTAGTAGGTCAGATCCTGAGCACACACGCAACACACCCCATCTCTGTCCTCCACCCAGACAAGCAAGAGGCGTTATCATGCTTCAAGGACACAATCCGGCTGCAAACTTGGGGTGCAAAGGAGGACAACTGAAGGATGCAAGGCGGTGGGAGGGTGTGCGGCTTTCGGAAGAATTCTGTGGGCCAGAAAGGGGAGCAGGTAGGCCTGGGAGGGCCACATTTCCAGATCAGACAGCCATTCCCAACAGGGTGCCCAGTGGGAAGCTTTGTAGATGCAAGTTAACCCTTACCTTCCCCTTCCTCTGGTGTCATGGAAGGGATGCCCAGCCAAAGCAAAAAGGATACATTTTCACCGCTCCCGATTTGGTGCCGATGGCCATGATTCGTAGCTTGGGGTCGAAGGCCAAGGAGCTGGGCTGGTTGGGGAATCCATGCTCCACAGTCTGGAAGGGGAGAGAAGAAAAATATGTTTTAGTTACACCACGGTCGGGGGGTGGGGTGGCAAAGGGCTCCATAGGAATCTCTTCCAGAATGGAGAGCTGAATGAGAAGCTGGCGGGGCTCCAGAGCAAGAACGCATGCCTACAGATTAAACGAAAAGCGCTGCATATGCTTGTTTATTGAAATTCTCACTGTCGACCCAATCAACTTTATTGCAGGCAGCCAAAGGACATTACAATTTATGGCATTACAGAATAGTAGAGCTGGAAGGAACCCAACCGTCGTCTAACCCCGTGTTTCCCAACCTCTGGTCTCCAGCTGTTTTCGGACTACAATTCCCATTATCCCTGACCTCTGGCCTTGCTAAGCATGATGGGAGTTGTAGTCCAAAAAGAGCTGGAGGCCAAAGGTCGGGAAACACTGATTTCTAGTGCAAACCTCTGCAACGCAATTCATATATGAAATATAAAACTTCTGAAGCGATACACCAATTAATTTGGCGGGAAAACTTGTTACGGAGAGTCAGGGAACCACAGTGAATTCTCAATACTGAGAATTATAATGTATTATACATTTGAATCCAGTATTTTGTTTAACCCACCCCCGCCCCGATGGCTATAAACTATGACTCTCTGAAACAAGTTTCTCCTCCAAATTAATTCATGTATTGCTTCAGGAGTTTTATATTTTGTATATAAATTGCACTGCAGGAGGTTCAGACTACATGGCCCTTGGGTTCCTTCCAACTCTTGCTATTCCACAATTAGAACGCAGAACGAGAAGCAAGAATTAAAAGTTTATATACGTATGTGTTTTACACACACACACACACACACACACACACACAGAGTTCCCCTGCCATAGAAACACTGCATATCGCAAAGGTAACCTGCAGAATCCTCTTGTTCATCTCAAGAAAGGCGGTGGCTGGGCCCATACAGATCCCATCACTCTGCGCATGCTCCAAAGACATGCACAAGAGCCCAATCACAGGAGGGGATTCATCAGTTCAAGGGCCACCTCTTGTTCAAAGGCAACCTTCCAGGGGCCGCAGACCAGTGGTGGGTGGAGCCAGAGACAAAAGTGGGTGGGGAAACACATGCAAATGGGACCATTGTAGAGTAGGCTAGTTTTAAGACACACTCACAGACTCTTTTCTATCCTCCATTTAAATGTGGCCTAGGCCAGGCCAATGTTTGCATAGCTGCCCAGAGTAGCTGCAACCCAGTTGGATGGGCGGGATGCAAATAAAATTTTTATTATTATTAGTATTATTATTATTATTATTATTATTACTCTGTCTATGGCCCCATCTGCACGATATACTTAAAAGCATCATCATACCACTTTAGGCCCTTATGGCTCCCCTCAGAAAAAATTGGGTACGGCCATTTGTTGAGGGCTATGGGCTTGTTCAGGAGACCCCTATTCCCCTCACGGAGCGACCATTCCCAGAATTCCCTGGGAAACTCAGAGTGGTTTTAACAGTCAGCCCCTCTTCCCAGGGAATTCTGGGAACGGTCTTCTGTGTAAGGGGGAATAAAGGTCAACTCTCAGCACTCTTAACAAACCACATTTCCCAGAATCCTTTGGGGGAAGCCATGCCTTTTCAAAGTCGTGGTATTTCAAATGTATACGGCACGGAGATGGCCTCAGCACCAAGGCAACTTTCTTTGTCCCTCAGGCCCCATCTCAGCCCCCCAACCAAGGCTGCTTTGGTGGGCTCCCTTTAGCAGCCAAGAGCTGGGTTCGAGCAGGTTAAAGAGAGCCAAGCCAGCCCACGCAACGCAGGTGGGAAGGCCCTCTCCAACTTTTATCCGGGCTCCTGGGAGGAGACGCTCGAGGGCGGCCAGAAAGGAGGAACAGATTAATATTTTTAAAATATATAAAAATTGGCCGAGAGCTCGGCGCAAAGCAGCCACTCCTTCCTCATCTCCCCAGAGAACGTTTTCAGCCAAGGGCTGCATTATTATTTTTCTCCCTTCCTTGGACCCGACAGACAAATGAATCTTTTCAGCCAATTCCAGCTTCGCGTCTCTCGGGCTCAGAGGTCAATGCGAGCGAACATTCAGAGGAGAGAGGAAGGCAGGGAGAGAAAGAATCTGCATATATATATATGGAAAAGGCTATCAAGCAGTTGAGTTTCCAGCTTCCTCTCCTTGCTCGGCCCCCATAGCAGACCACACAGAAAATGAAGCCAGGGTGCCCTGACAAGGAGGCCTCTCCCCACGGCGCAAAAGCAGGAGGCGGCAGAAAAGAGAAATCCAACATGGCCCTGGCTAAGTTGCAGAAGGGAGCTGAGCAAAGGAATGATCCCGGAGCAACGGGGAGGCCATGCTGGACACCTGCCAGCTTGCAAAACAAAGAGGGGCTTACATTTTCTTCCACCTGGAAAAAGGAAGCCAGAACAAAGAGGTTGACCAAAGCTCGTGTTTCACGTTCTCCACCCAGGTAGAACCGCAGAATCACACCGACTTGGCTCACGGAGAAGTGGGCAGGGAATCCTTTTCAGCCAGAGGGCCGCATGGCCTTCTGGGGGCCACGTGCGAGTGGTGGGTGGGACCAGAGCAATGAATGCTAGCTTTCCCTTTGTACAATAGGCTAGCTCAGGCATAGGCAAACTTGGTCTTCCAGATGTTTTGGGACTACAATTCCCACCATCCCTGACCACTGGTCCTGTTAGCTAGGGATGATAGGAGTTGTAGTCCCAAAACATCTGGAGAGCCAAGTTTACCTATGCCTGGGCTAGCTTCTATACACACAGAGAGATACAGTGCTCTGGTTATGTACTTAATTCCTTAACCTGAAACTGTTCTTAACCTGAAGCACCACTTTAGCTAATGGGGCCTTCCGCTGCTGCCACACCTCCAGAGCACGATTTCTGTTCTCATCCTGAAGCAAAGTTCTTAACCCGAGGTACTATTTCTGGGTTAGCGGAGTCTGTAACCTGAAGCATATGTAACCCAAGATACCACTTTACACTCTATCCCATGGGTAGGCAAACTAAGGCCCAGGGGCCGGATCTGGCCCAATCGCCTTCTAAATCCGGCCCACGGACGGAGCGGGAATCAGCGTGTTTTTACATGAGTAGAATGTGTCCTTTTCTTTAAAACGCATCTCTGGGTTATTTGTGGGGCACAGGAATTCGTTCATTTTTTTCCTCCAAAATATAGTCCGGCCCCCCACAGGGACAGTGGACTGGCCCCCTGATGAAAAAGTTTACTGAGCCCTGCTCTATCCTCTATCCAGGCAAGCAAGAGGCTTGTGACTCCTGCATTGTAAGGGGTTGGACTACATGGCCATTGAGGTCCCCCATAAAATGAAAGTTCTAGGGTTCCACGTTCAGAGCTCAAGCAGATCAGAGCTTAACAAACTTGGGACTGGTTTACCTACGAGATCGCCTTACCCCACAGGTGCCCACTCAACCACTTCGACTGGTGGAATTGGAACTACTATAAGCGCCACATAACACCCATTCCACCTTTGTAAGAACTTGGGCGTCTGCACTTTGGAACTCCCTGCCCATTGACATAAGGCAGGCACCTCCACTGTACGTTCTTCGGAGCCTGTTAAAAACATTCCCCCCCCCCCAGACAAGCCTGAGGCTCTTAATCTGAAGGTCGTGGGTTTGAGCCCCACGTTGGGCAAAAGATTCCTGCATTGCAGGGGGTTGGACTGGATGACCCTCAGGGTCCCATCTCTGCAATTCTGTGATGCCCAGATGATTCAGAAGTTGAGGTAATTTTAATCTCTTTTAGTATTTTAACTTTTGTATGTATTAAAGCAGGGGTGTGCATTTTCCTTGATTTCCCTGCTTTAGCTCCTTGTAAATGGCATGGAAGTTTCGTTTGGTTTTTATAATTAATCGGTGTATAAATCCTATGAAATAAATAAATAAGGGCACGTCCCAGCCGGGCAAAAAAGCCCAACGACAAAAACACACATGCTGAAGGGGCGGGGCCTGGCTAGAGTTCCTGGGGCCGGAAAAGAGAGCTCTGTGGGGCCGCATTTGGCATAACAAAGTGAAGAATTGAACACAAAGGCAACACAAAACGTGCCATCAAGGAAATCAGGATTAAGGGAAAGGAGCATAAAAGACTGCATTGATTTTTATCCTCCTCTGCCCCCAAGGAGCTCAGCATGCCACAAAGTGCTTGTCACCTGTTCCCTCCGTACCTTGAAATCATTGGCTGAAATAACGCAATTAGAATGTTAGATTGCTTTCGGAATGTTTTCAATGATGTTGTTTTAATTATGTGTTTGCTGTGCTAGGCTCCTTTGGGAGGAAGGGCGGTATATAAATTGAATGAACATTGGTAATAATATTTTTAAAAGCGCCACAAGCCTGCGAATTAGATTAGAGAGAGAGAAAAAGGGTGACAACCCCAATGGCAGAGTAAGGATTTGAACCCAGGTCTCCTGACACTACACAGGCTACCAATTCTTTTGCTTTCGGGAGTCACGAGGCAGCAAGATCCTCCTCAGACTAAAAACAAAGATCTGGAAGCCGTGTTCAGCTGCTCCTCTGGCTCCCATAATTGCTACGACACTTTCACCCCCTCCTTCCCTCCAAATTTATTTTTGCTTTGGGCATCTTCAGGCTGCTGTTCAGGACAAAGGCAACGCTGCGCACAATTACGACACAGTTTAAAATTAAAACACAGGATACAATTATCGGGATTTCAAAAAGCAACCTGCAACACCTATAATTTAACAAACCACTCAGCCAACCATTTCTCACAGTTCCAAACCAGCAGAAAAAGAACCATTAATTGAGAGAACAGCTTATCACTTAGGTCACCAGACAGTACCTTGCAAGCTCTGCAAATTGCATTTGTAAACAGGGGCTGATTTTGCATTGTGTGTGCACGTGTGTGTGTGTGTGTGTGTGTGTGTGTGTGCAGACAGACATACACACAAGACAGACACATTCCTCAAGAAGCAGATTTATACAAGCAGGCCACACTACCTAGCTGGGACGAGGAACCTGCGTCTCTGCAAATGATACTGGAACTCCAACTCCCATCAGCCCTACACAGGAAGTCCCACATCTCTGTGTCCTGCAATCGCTCCAAGTCACGCACACAACCTGCTTTGCAGTAAAGCCTTGTGGGATCAGAACGTCCCTTGGTCAAGCACGATGCTGCCCTTTCGTCCAGCTTGTTATGTACTGAAGTTCTCACCCTGGGCCAGCAGGGGGATACTGTAGATAGTTTTCACTCAGGTCCACATATGCAAATAAGGGATTGAAAGTGATGTTCAGTGATTGGATAGTTACAGAAAATGGTTACAGTTGCGTTGTAGTGGAGCTCTCTATAAGCAGGCTGGCTGAACCCTTCAGTTCAGTTCTGTTCAGGCCTGTGAATAAAGAAGAGCAGTTTGAAGAATCTCTGTGTCGTCTGATATGTTCACCCACAACTTAACACAGCTCATCTCTCTTAAGTTGCAAGGGCCACAGGCTTAAGATCACGGGCAGGATCCAATGTCCTGCACTGGCACGAAACAAGAGCACTCGGGTTGTCAAGTTACGAATCCCAGCGTACGGCTTCCAACAGAGAAACCAAGCTGAGCGGCTCGCAGTCTTAGATGCTCTGAAACAAGAGTGGGGAAGCTGGTGGCCCCTAGGTTTCTCTCTTTGGCCCCAGGGTCTCCCAAGGCCACTCCCCCTCTCTCCAGGACACGCCCCCTCAAAGACCCTGCTCTGCACCCTCCTCTATCCCTTTGCCTGGCTAGGAGGGGGTCCTTGAACTGAGAAAATGCCTCGTTTGCCTGTATGGAAGATAGACTTGTGTGAGTGGGTAGAAGCACAGCTGAATTGCACCCTTCTGTGCAAAGGGAGGAGTCACATCCATTGCCCTGCCCACTTTTGCATCTGGCCACACCCACTTTTCTACCTCTGGCCCCAGACACCGCTGGCAAACGGCCCCTGGAAACTCATCCACGAAAGAGCAAAGAAAAAGAGTCCACCTTCTCTACCAAAGGCTGAATCCTGGCAAATCAGGAAGTCCAAACAGATTCAGGGAGCTGCTTATGTCAACTTAGGCTAGTTTTGTCTACACTGACTGGCAGTGGCTCTTTGGGAAATTGGGAGGCAGGATCATTCCCATCTGCTGTAGCCCAGTCTCTTTCTAAGGAGAGACTGCAGGGATTGAACCTGGCACATTCTGCCGCAGAGCTACAATCTCTCGCCCCCTTTTCCATCTGCTGGAGAGAAGTGAAGAATGTCCCCCATTTCAAATCCAAGGCCCACTTCACCAGAACCTAAAAGAAATACTTTTAAATATAGACACATATCATGCGAATCAGTCACAGGGCTGCATTTGTGTCGCTCTCTCCCTTTAAAGCACATCCAAAACATGTTCTTTCCCGCAAAGAATTCTGGGCATTGTAGTTTACTATTCCCAGAAATGGGCAGTGAACTACAGCGCCCAGAATTCTTTGAGAGAAAGGATGGTTTCGAATGTGTTCATAGGGCCCCTGCCCAAAAAGGAAAAAGGAAAACCCATTGATCAGACAGAACAGCTTTGAGATCTTCGTTCATCGCAGGAAAAGAGAGATAGCCGTGGTTTGTTTGTGCTTCTTTCAGTGTTTACCCATCTTTGCATGTGGGGTTTGTTATTATTTTCTCAGATGCTTCTCTAACACGGAGCCTGGCAACTGGGCTACAAATGCCAACCGGGCGAGTCATGGCTGTTTTGTCAGCTCACCAGGGTTGTGACCGGGCGGAAGGCCTCAGAGGATGGGTCAACCCTCGCCACAAGAGGATCACGGTACAGGGGAAGGCAGAGGAGGCAATATCAGACATGCTTTTCTCCAGGCAAGCTTTGAACAAACAAGGGAGAGCCAGCCAGGATCCTATGGATCAGGAAAGACCAGCAGTCAGAAATGGCCGCTTCCTTAGGTCACACCAGCCTCATGCATCTAAAGGACATTTGTCCCACTTCTTTAACTGTCAAAGCTTCTCCCAAAGAACCCTAGGATCTGTAGTTCGTTAAAGGGGCCGGGAATTATAGCACTGGGAGGGGTAAAACTACAGTTCCCAGGGTTCTTTGGGGGAAGCCATTACTACTTTAAAAACAAAAGGAATAACATGTTTTAAATCAGGCATAGGCAAACTCGGCCCTCCAGATGTTTTGGGACTACAACTCCCATCATCCCTGACCACTGGTCCTGTTAGCAAGGGATGATGGGAGTTGTAGTCCCAAAACATCTGGAGGGCCGAGTTTGCCTATGCCTGTTTTAAATCTATAGTGTGGATGGGACCCTGCTCTGTTGGGGGCAGTGCAGTTTGCCTTCCAAAGAGCTATCTGACTCAGGTTTTGGAATGGGGTGACCATGTGCTCCTTTGGGGGCTGTCGTGAGGCCTCCACCCCACTGAAACAGATCATACCACCCTACTTCTTTGAGAAAATGGTCCCCTGTGTTTGTTCCCCAATATGCATTTGATCTGGACAACTCAGAAATTGCTGTGTGTCTTAGATGGGCACCCCAGCTGCTGAAGACTCCAAACTTCAAACCGCTCAGATAGACTGCTCCTGCCTCTTGCTGCTCTACTGCTCGACCGGACGCAGCTAGCCAGAGTTGCAAGCATGCCTCTCAACCACCAATATTCTATGCTTTTGTGAGCTTTTACCCTGCAGTACTGCAGGTACGGAGGCAGTAAGAAACCCCCAACTAATCCAGCCTTTGCCAATAGGGTGCCCTAGTACAATCCAAATCACCTGGAGAGGGCACTATAGGGTGGGAAAATCTAATACTATTCACCAGGAGAGAGTGTCCCAAGCGAGAGACCACCAATGAATGGATTCCGCTTCTCCTGCGAAGCTAAAAAAACCGGCAAGAGTCCATTTTGGCTGGTGACTCACAAGCTTCATGGGTAGCTATTACACAGGTCAGTATCTGTGCTGCCCCTTCTTGTACGAAGTGCCCCTCTGCCTGGCCTGCTGCCCACTCTAAGTCTCCAAGAAGCATGTGTCCAGATCTTTCAACCCACCAGATTGGGGAAACAATACACACACGTGCTTAGACAAAAACAGGGCACCAATTCAATCAGTTCTCAATATGCGGCATGGTCTCAGATGCCCACTCTGCCACTCTTGAGGACAAAAGTGGAGGGGCCCGAGGGAAGAGCAGCTGCTTGGAATTCAGAAGGTCCCAGGTTCTCCCACCACCACCAAGAAATTTTAAGTTGTAAAGAAAATATTCCAATTTTTAAATCAAAGATGAAAAAAACCTAATCTAAATAAAAACACAAACCAACAGGAGGAAAGCGGGGGGGGGGGGGGGAGAAAGAAGAAAAACAGTTGGGGGACTTCTGATTCTTTGTCTGTCAGGTATATATAGAAAGGTATTCAAAACATCAACTCCGAATACAGCACCCAGCAATTCCACTTTGTATAAACCAGTATCTTCTCCAATCCTCAAATTCAGGTATCATAAGTTCATTTCCTTTTTCACACAAAAAGTCTAGAAGGAGTTTCTAATCTTTAGTAAATATTGACAATGATTTTTCTCTGATTAAAAACGTCAACGCCATCTCAGCCAAGTCCAATAATTTTAACAACCAGTCCTCCACCGTAGATAAAGATGTATCTTTCCATATAAAAGTCTCGCCGCTGTGATCATGTATTGAAATACAGTCGTACCTTGGTTTTTGAACAGCTTCTCGAACATTTTGGCTCCTGAACGCCGCAAACCTGGAAGTGAGTGATCCCGTTTTCAAACGATTTTTGGAAGCTGAACATTCGACAGGGCTTCCGATTGGCTGCAGGGGCTTCCTGCAGCCAATCAGAAGCCGCGCTTGGGTTTCCAAACGTTTTGGAAGTCAAACGGACTTCTGGAACAGATTCCGTTTGACTTCCGAGGTACGTCCCAGGTTAAATAACTACCATCTCCAATTAAAAGCAACCCCTTCCCGAACCAGGTAGAGAAGAGACGGTTCTCCACCTGAATGCATATAAAATTGCTTAGCTAACTTATTATCAAAGAATACATATAAACCAGCCTAAGAGATTTATGGAATAATTGGTATTTTGTGTTTCGTTTCGTAACAACGAGTTCAATGCTAATGTCCAACCTTATGAAGCTTTTGACCTGATGTAACATTCTGAACATTTCTTTATGGCCTTCATCTTTGATTTATTTTGTTTATTCACACATAAATGCTAGGGGGGGAAACCCACAAATTTAAAAATAAGCCAGGGACGTTCCTCCTACTTTGAACGACAACATACAATGTTGAGCACAACATCTTTAATGAACAGGCAGCAGCACGGCTTTCAAACAGGACTGGAGAAAGGAGTTTCGGAAATAGAAAGCCCTAGAAAGAGAGCTTGGCCAAGCCAGCACATCGCTTGCCTTTTCCAATCAGGCTCCACATTCCACATTGCAAGAGACAAAGTCAGAAGAAATCAGCAGCACCAGGAGAGCCACGCGGGAGAGATTCCCTGAGCAAGGGAGCAGAGATGTAATCTGACACATCAACGCAGATTTTTTCCTGGGCTTGGTGGGGTGCCAGGCCACTGGAGCGGGGTGGCATTTGAGGGTCTAAAGCAGGCATGTACAAAGTCTGTTTTGGGGGCCTAATCCGGCCCGCCGTTCGGTTTAATCCGGCCCCTGTGGCGGGGTAAAATCCTAAAAAAAACCTGAACAACTTCAACCCTTAAAAAAGGTTAACAACAACTTTGGTTGGCCCTCACAGCCCTTCACTTCCATCAAATCTGGCCCTCTTTGTAAAAAGTTTGGATACCACTGTTCTAAAGCATGGGTAGGCAAACTAAGGCCCAGGGGCCAGATCCAGCCCAATCGCCTTCTCAATCCGGTCCGCAGACGGTCTGGAAATCAGCGTGTTTTTACATGAGTAGAATGTGTCCTTTTATTTAAAATGCATCTCTGGCTTATTTGTGGAGCCTGCCTTGTGTTTTTACATGAGCAGAATGTGTGCTTTTATTTAAAATGCATCTCTGGGTTATTTGTGGGGCATAGGAATTTGTTCATTTCCCCCCCCCCCCAAAATATAGTTCAGCCCCCCCCACAAGCTCTGAGGGACAGTGGACCAGCCCCCTGCTGAAAAAGTTTGCTGACCCCTAGTCTAAAGCATCTCATCTTGGAATTTCTCGTTCCCAAATGTTTAAAGGAAGGGTGCAGCGGGCTAGGGCAGATTAAGACAGCTACATTTCCCCCCACCCCCCAGCACATCTATTCTGCAAGAATCAGGCAAACTTACAAATACACAGAGGCATCTGATACAGGACCCACACAGGTTGTCCCAAGTGTCACAAAGTCATCACGACTGGGCAATCGCAGGGGCGATGGCGCAGATATTTTAGCAGAACCCTTGTAAAAACTTTAAAGACAATAGCAGTGGGATGAGAAGCACTAGAAACCACATCAGTTGCCCCTTTGCAGAGATGAGGAGGCGGCAAAATCCCCAGCACTTAATTTTTCCGCAGGAAAAAAAATCTCCGTTTCGCAGAGTTTGTGAACGGGTGCCGGCTGCAAACAAATATCCACCAACTGTTTACTAAATGCAAGTAAAACAAACATGCTAGATGAGGTACGCTCTAGGGTAGGCGTGACTCCCCCCCTTTCCTTCTGAGCAAATTTACAGTGGGCAAAAGCAAAAGTGGGCAAAACAAGGAATTTCCCCCCCTTCCTACAGAAGGCTAGTTTCTACACACACCTCTCCAGGCAAGGGAGAGAGACCTTATCGAAATTCAAGGACACATTCCGAGAAAAGTTTCAGCCCTGTGAAGTTTATCACCGGATGTCCCTGAACCCCAAACACCTGGAAGAAGGCACATTACGGAAGGTGTCTATAGGAACTGCACCCAATTACAGCGACTTACAGTAAGAAAAGCCTCTTTGGACTGTTGCTGTCGGGTAATCTTCAGTTTGCCTCCCAGAAACAATCTCCGGGATTAATTAGCATCAGAAGACAAACACACACTTGCCCCTAGCTTTGATTTAACTCTATCCAGTTGGAGTTCAGCCCTGGCTCACGATAAAACCAGGCGAGTTTTTGCTCTATCCCAGAGACACTTATTTTTAAAGGGTTGGTGTTTTTTTAATATCCTCATTCTGCATTGGTACAGAGCTTCTCTCCGTCTCATATAACACTAAAACTCAAGGTCACCCAGCGAGATCAACAGGCAGATGTTTTCAAAGTGAAGAAGCTGTACCACTACATAGCTTGTGGGACTCCCTGCCACAGGATATGGCGATGACCATTGGTTTGGGTGGCTTTAAGCAGGTGTGTCTGGGGAAGGGCCACAGCTCAGGGGCAGGAAATGCAAGTGGTCTCAGGTTCAAATCCCCAGAATATCCCCCGCCTGCAACCCTAGTCAGCTGCTGCCAGCCAGTGACGGACTAATGTGCCTGGCTCAGCGTCAAGGCAGCTTCCCACAGCACAGACACTGATTAGCCATGATGGCTAAGTGCATGGTAGGCAAACTAAGGCCCAGGGGCCGGATCCGTCCCAATTGCCTTCTAAATCCGGCCTGCAGACCGTCCGGGAATCAGCATGTTTTTACATGAGTAGAATGTGTCCTTTTATTTAAAATGCATCTCTGGATTATTTGTGGGGCCTACCTACTGTTTTTACATGAGTTCATTCCCCCCCCCCAAAAAAAAATCTAGTTTGGCCCCCCACAAGGTCTGAGGGACAGTGGATCGGCCCCCTGCTGAAAAAGTTTGCTGACCCCTTTTTCTAAGCGGAACCTCCAAGGCCAGAGGCATTCTACCTCTCAACAGCATTTTCCAGGAAGCATCTGGATGGCCACTGTGGGAAACGGAATTATGGGCTGGAGACACCTATTGCCCCAATTTCAGCAGGTAACCACTGAACAACACACTCAACCCCCAAGGCAAGGTTGGGATGGCAGGAATTTATCCATCAGGGCAGAACAAGAGAGCAACCTCGGGAAAGCTCTTCTGGGTCTGGGCACTTGGGCCTCACACATTCTTTAAACTAGTTTTTGCTCTCCCACGGCACCGCCAATTCTTCCTCAGCACACAGCCTGGGGATGTCTGAATGAGATGGGGTGCCTGAGAAGGTTTGGATGTTGCTTTCGAGATCCAGGCTCCCCCAAACTTGATCGGAAAAGCAGCAACAGAGAGTTGTGATGGTAGGGCAATTCTTGTGCGTTTCAGCTCAGGACAGGCAACGCCTCCTTCTCAAGTCCCTCCGCTGGCTCCCTAAACTGCTCCAGTGGTGTAGTGGTTAGAGCAGTGGTTCCCAAAAGGTGTGGCAGGAGAGGATGGCAATGTGGCCAGAAGGTTCAGGGACAATCCAAGAATCATTTAAACATTTCAGTGCAGTGCAGTATGTAGTCACAGAGTTGAAAGGGACCCTAACAATCATCTAGTCCAGGCATCCCCAAACTCGACCCTCCAGGTGTTTTGGGACTACAATTCCCATCATCCCTGACCACTGGTCCTGTGTGCTAGGGATGATGGGAGTTGTAGTCCCAAAACATCTGGAGGGCTGAGTTTGGGGATACCTGATCTAGTCCAACCCCCTGCAACGCGAGAATACGCAGCTGTCCCATCCGGGGATCGAACCTGCAACCTTGGCATTATCAGCCCCACGCTCTAACCAAATCAGCCATAGTATCAAAACAGTTCTTTTAATTTGCAGAATATGGCTAGATAGTCCAGAGCACTAGCTCTTCTTCTACAGTTCTCCACGGCATGTTGTTGTGAACAACAATTGTCAACACTGACAAATACAAAAGAACAGAAAAGAGAAAGATTTCTTGGTGTCAATGAGGAGACGAGAGTTTGTTTGCCTCCAATTAGACCTTGTAGGAATGAGATCACCCGGCAAAATCAAGCCCACGCCTCTCGCTGAGTTTGTACACAAACTTAAGGCACATAGGCAAGCAGCTCATTTATAATTATATCTTGGGAATAACTCATGTTCTTACGTAGCAGCATTGTTTTATATCTTCTGCATGTCCTATGATCATGTTATAAAGTAGTTCTGTCCTACATTATAAATCAAGCACTGCTAGGTGCCTGTTCCTTTTTGTTCTCCAATTTTTGTCCTTACCAATACAGTCGTACCTTGGAAGTTGAACGTAATCCGTTCCGGAAGTCCGCTCAACTTCCAAAATGTTCAGAAACCAAATTGTGGGTTCGGATTGGCTGCAGGAAGCTCCTGCAGCCAATCGGAAGCCATGGAAGCCCCGAATGACGTTTGGCTTTCAGAAATCGTTCGAAAACCAGAACACTCACTTCTGGGTTTTGATTGTTCAGGAGCCGATTTGTTCGGGAGCCAAGGCGTTCGAGATCCAAGGTACAACTGTATGAGATTCAGTGTAGCGCGAATTTCAGAATTTTTTATTCTGAAAGCATAGCCCAGAGAAAAAAGTTTGAGAGCCACTGGGTTAAAGTGTCAGACTGAGACCTGGGAAAGATCAGGGTTCTGATCTCCACTCCTTGAACCAGCCACCAACCATCAACTTATGCTATCCCCACCCCACAGGGTTGTTGAGAGGATGACATAAGGGAAGAGATCCCCCTGCGTCACCCTGAGCAACTTGGAGAAAAGGCAGAATATAAATGCAATCAAGAAACACAGAATTGCCCATCTCTATACTCAGAGCTTTCCTGCCAACCCAGCAGTTCGAAAGCACGCCAAAGTGCAAGTAGATAAATAGGTACCACTCCGGCGGGAAGATCAATGGCGTTTCAGTGCGCTGCTCTGGTTCGCCAGAAGCGGCTCACTCATGCTGGCCACATGACCTCCGAAGCTGCACACTGGCTCCCTCGGCCAGTAAAGCGAGATGAGTGCCGCAACCCCAGAGTCGGCCACGACTGGACCTAACAATCAGGGGTCCCTTTACCTTTAACTCTGCTCACCCACCCAAAGATTCTGTTCTTTCCAAAGGACCCACCCAATTCTCCCCTGCTGCCTCTTCAGCCTGTCCCCCAAACCTAATCTTTGCCCTTCAGTTTTTCCCTGCTCCCTAGATTCAAAATTATCCTAGAAAACAGACATCACCATTTCCGGAAGAACACGCACATAGGATTGCACGATGAGCATGCCTTCCCGAGAGCGTTGCTGCCCGCACTGGAAAATCCGCAACCCATCCTACCTCCCGAAATTAATATTTCCTGCAACATGTGAGCAACATACAGGCACTCTCTGTGCAGCCCACCAGGATCCGGGGAGCCTCCACCCCCTCCCACCCACCCCAGGAGATCAGCCCGTAACTGGGGGAAGGTCACTGGTCTTGCACAGCTGAGCCACACCAGCACAGAAAGCTTGGCTGCATCGGGGTTGTCAGAAGGGCAAAGTTAAAGCTTCTACTCTTACTGATCGGAACACAGTTGGCATGGGGGTTGGCGTCAGCATATGGGAAGGGCAAAATCATGTTTCTGTCTGTTCAGAGTGTGAGTGTGTGTGTGTGTGTGTGTGTGTGTTCAGGAGTGAGCAGAGCAAGGGGACCGTAGACCCCAGCCACACACACTGCTGTGTGGCCCACCAGACTGCTTCCATGTGGCCCTTGGAGCAAAAAGGTTGCCTGATCCACGTCTGCAGACGCCCCTTCCTGGGTGCATCCACATTGAACGTCTTAAAGTACATAAGAGCCATGTGGATCAGGCCCATCTGGACCAGCATCTAGGGGCCAAACAGCTGGTTAATATTCTGCAGCCTTTTAAATGTGTTTGTGAGAAGCAGAGGTTATTGTTTTGTCGCTTTCGTTTTTAACTACTGTACAGTGGTACCTCGGGTTAAGTACTTAATTCGTTCCGGAAGTCCGTTCTTAACCTGAAACTGTTCTCAACCTGAAGCATCACTTTAGCTAATGGGGCCTCCTGCTGCCACTGCACCGCCAGAGCATGATTTCTGTTCTCATCCTGAAGCAAAGTTCTTAACCCGAGGTACTATTTCTGGGTTAGCGGAGTCTGTAACCTGAAAAGTTTGAACCTGAAGCATATGTAACCCGAGGTACCACTGTATTTACAGTGGTACCTCTACTTACATGCCCCTCTTGTTACGTATCTTTGGGATACGCACGCGACAAACCCAGAAGTATATTTCTGGGGTTCGCCGCGTGCACATGTGCAGTACAGTGGTACCTCTGGTTGCGAACGGGATACATTCCAGAGCCCCGTTCGCAACCTGAGCAGAATGCAACCCACGTCTGCGCGTGTCACAATTCGCCACTTCTGCACATGCGCGTGACATCATTTTGAGTGTCTGCGCATACGTGAGCGGCGAAACCCAGAAGTAACCCTTTCCGGTACTTCCAGGTCACCACAGGACGCAACCTGAAAACAGTCAACCTGAAGCAAACACAACACGAGGTGTGACTGTAATGCTCTATCGTGCTGCACGCATGCGCAGCAGCGCTCTATCGCACCATGTGCAGAACAGGCACCTCCGGTTGTGGAAACCTCGGGATCCGACCGAAGCTCCGGAACGGATCCCATCCGCAACCGGAGGTACCACTGTACTTGTATTTTATCCTGTGAACGACCCAGAGATCTTGTGCCAAAGGGCGGTATATAAATCGAATGAATAAAAAATAGTAAATAAATAAAATTCAAATGCAAGAGCAACTCTCCCCTCCTGTGGTTTCCAGCAACTGGTATTCAAAAGCATCGCTGCCTCTGACTTCAAAGCTCAGAGCATAGCCGTCCTGGCCAGCAGCCCTCGACAGCCCTCTGAATTGGTCCAATTCTCTTTTAAAGCCATTCAAGTTGGAGGCCATCTATGCCTCAAGTGGGAGGGAGTTCCACAGTTTTAACGACGCACTGTTGCGTGAAGAAGGGCTCTCTTTTATCTGCCCCAAATCGTCCAACATTCAGCTGTGCTTTGGATGCCCCCGGAGTTCTGGTGTTAGGAGAGAGGGAGAAAAACTTTCATCTCCCCGCCTCCTCCGTTTATGAACTTCTATCATGTCACCTCACATACCCAGGATTAAATTTATGCGCCGAGAGGCCCCCAGAGCCTCCAAATTAAGAAGAGCTCATTGTCCTCCATCACTGGGCCATCTGCCTGCTCTCCTCGCCACACAGATGTTTATGGCGAAGAAGCAGCCCCCTCCCCGTGGGACCAGTCAGGGGGCCTATCCAAATTAAATAAGCTTTGCCTCCCTTGCCAAAGTTCAAAACAGAAAGAGAGAAAAATGCAGGAGGATTCGGAGACCTACAGAAAGGAAGGTTTGCCTGCCACCTTTTAAAAAATAAAAGAGTTTGATTCTTGCGCATTTAACAGGTGAAACTTTTCTTGGGCTGGAGATTTTGCCATTGTTTTGCCTTCTAAATTCCTACATCCAAGGCTATGTTAGAGACAGAAGAGTAGAGATCTTAAACAAGAGAAATCATTTGGCATTATTATTAGAATTTATATAGCATAAGAGAGGGACTTATCACAGTGGGATATTCTTCCCTTGCAAGACAGGGTCAAGCCACACAGCTTATCAGTGGTGGCATGCGGTGGTCAGACTAGGACTGGAGAGACTCGGATTCGAATCCTCACGCAGCTGCGAAGATCGTCGGGTGACTATGGGCCAGCCACTCTCTAGATTACCCTACCTTCCAGGGGGTTGCTGTGAGCATAGATGAAGGGAGAAGAGAACTTGGCCTGGCCTCAGGAGCCCTGTGGAGGAAGGGCAAGATAAAAAATTCCCAGCGCATTTTGCATTTCCCAGCCCAGGTGCAAAATCATTTCAGGAATATGCCTAGTTTCTTCCTCATGCAAGAAGGGAGAAATCTTATCATCGCATCCCTAAATCAGGAAATTTAGGGGGGAATTGGGGGGTGGAGAAAGAGGAGATAAGAGAGGAAATTTCCCAAGGAAAATGCAGCACTCAGTGTTAATCTGAAACGGTTAATATCCCCCTGCCTTTCTCTGTTCTGAAATCCCCTGCAAATACAGGGGGGAAGAACACAGAAGTAGACACAAAGGTAGAAGAGATTGCGAGATATTTACCTAGAGAGCATAAGCACATTGATGTGCCTGGGATACCAGCTTGACGCAGTTAAGCTAAATTCTCCCCCGGCTCCTAACTCAGGCACTGAAACAGTCAAGCAGAGGCAGCCAGCAGGCTCATCAAGCCTGCACAACAAAGAAGACCAAAAGAAGGAAGATAAAGACAGACTGTAAATCAAGGATTGAGGACGAAAGCCTCCCCTTGGAAACAGACAGAGCTGGAGATCTGAAGCAGAAGAACCGTGAGGTTTGATCTCTTTGTTGCCCAGTTGGGAGTTCAGGCAAGTAAACGAACCACTGCCCTAGCTCAGTGGCGCTAGACTAGCGCATGGGTAGGCAAACTAAGGCCTGGGGGCTGGATCCGGCCCATGGACGGTCAGGGAATCAGCATGTTTTTACATGAGTAGAATGTGTCCTTTTCTTTAAAATGCATCTCTGGGTTATTTGTGGGGCCTGCCTTGTGTTTTTACATGAGTAAAATGTGTGCTTTTAATTAAAATGTATCTCTGGGTTATTTGTGGGCATAGGAATTTGTTGTTCTTTTTTTTCCTTTTCCAAAACATAGTCCAGCCCCCCCACAAGGTCTGAGGGACAGTGGACCGGCCCCCTGCTGAAAAAGTTTGCTGACCCCTGCGCTACAGCAACTGCCAGAGATCCTGGGTTCAATTCACAACACCTTTCCGGCCCCACCTAAGTTCATTCAAGTTCATCCAAGTAATATCGGGATTTGAAGACTGAAAAAATAATGGTTTCTAGAAGACAGAATGCTTGGATTTTAAGGAATGAATATTATATGTAGCTGCAGGAAAGAGAGCCAGAAATCCTTTTACTCTTTCTAAATTTCTTTAGTTTTTTCTCCCCCTTTCTCCCGCTGTTCTCCGTCTTTCTCAGGTCTCTTCTTATCTTTTCTGACCTAGTTTCTCTCTCTCTTTTTTAGACTAAGTAGCTGTTTTCTCTTTATTACAAAAAGATACTTTGTAATGGGCATGTATTTTTGTGAATAAGTATCAATAAATAAGTTTTTAAATGATAATAAATCAAGACCTGCCTAAAACGCCTGCAGGAGCTGCTGCCAGCCAGTGCGGGCAACGCCAGCTTGATACAGAGAGAGCCAGGGGTGGTGTTGCTGCGGTGAAAGTGCTGGACTAGGGCCCAGAAGACCTGGGTTCAAATCTCCACTCGGACGTCAAACTCGCCAGGTGACCTCAGGGGCCGGTCACTCACTCTCAGCCTAACCTACCGCACAGGCTTGTTGTGAGGATAAAATGATCAGGGGGAAAAGCGCCTAGTTCCGCCTTCCGCCCCCAGAAGGAAATGTAATAAATAAATAAATAAATGAGATTAGGTGGTTTCCTGCGCAACTAGGTAATAAAACCCATCAGAAACGGACACCCGGCCTAGATATGGCTTTTTGGAATACGGCGAAAGGAAAGGAAGACAGCAAAAGGATACTGCAGGATTCACTTATACCAAATGAACAGTAAAGAGGTACAGTGGTACCTCAGGTTAAGTACTTAAATCGTTTCGGAGGTCCGTACTTAACCTGAAACTATTCTTAACCTGAAGCACCACTTTAGCTAATGGGGCCTCCCGCTGCGGCCGTGCCACTGGAGCACGATTTCTGTTCTCATCCTGAAGCAAAGTTCTTAACCTGAAGCACTATTTCTGGGTTAGTAACCTGAAGCGTATGTAACCTGAAGCGTATGTAACCCAAGGTACCACTGTATTGCCAACTTAAGGCGATCAAATGCCTTGACAGCATGTAAAACTAGAACAGTCATTGGTTCTGAACGAAGTTGGACCCAATAAAGAATATTGAGAAGTCGCCCAATAGGGAGCGCAGCAGACCTCTGTCTTATAAAACCAACTTGGCCTTTATCTATGTCGTTTGGCATAATTATTAATAGCCTATAAGCTAGCAGGCCTGGGAATAATTTAGCATTTTTTAAAGAGATGGGCCTGTATGACCGCTGCTTGTTCCCAAGTCTTACGGGTGGTATTTGCAAGTGAGCATGCAAATATTTACGCCACAAGGGAGCAGGTGGGCAAGAACCCCAGGCAAAACTGCTGGGAGATCCATGATCCCCAGATGATCTACCGTATTTTTCGCTCTATAACACACACCAGACCATAACACGCACGTAGTTTTTAGAGGAGGAAAACAAGAAAAAAAATATTCTAAACAAAATAGTGGATATATGATTTTTATGGTTCATGCTGTGGCCACAGACATGTGATCTGACAGTGAGTTTGGAGTAGCCCAATGCAAAAATCCTGAGGATCCATGTGGATCCATGCTTTGTAACCATGGAGGAGGGAAGGAAGGGGAACCATGGATCCTCTGCTCACGACTGCAACAGATCCCCCCCGCCACCCGCAGGCATTCGTTCCATAACACGCACAGACATTTCCCCTTACTTTCTAGGAGGAAAAAAGTGAGTGTTATGGTGCAAAAAATATGGTAATTATTATTATATATTTATTTATATCACCACCCTGACAGGAAGTCAAGGCAGCTTGCAGATAAAACTGAGAACAGCATTTTCCTCTCCCTGGCCCTTAATCCGGGGGAAGCGAACACTTGGCCCTCCAGGGGTTGTTGGACTACAACTCCCATCAGCCTCTGCCAGCACGGCTAGTGATCAGGGCTGGTGATGGGGATGAGAGGCCCAACATCTGGAGGGAGGTGGAGTCCCCATCCCTGCAATCAGAAGCAATTGTTACTTCTTATTTATTTGGGGGTTTTAAAAATCCACTTTAATGTAACAAAAATCCAATGGTTTTACTTATAATAATAATGATGATGATGAAACATTCTGTAAAATTTCCTTTAAAAGGAAGCACGACTCGTGTCACATACAAAGCTGAGCAGTGTACAAAATTAAAAGTCGAAATTCCAGGAAAGCTAGGGTAGCAGAGTACAGTTTCTTCACACTTCCTGCGTATTTAGCACTGAAACCAGGGCTACACAGCTCAAAATGTGAACTTCCAAGATACAATGGATGTCTTACTTAAAGAGTTGAAGGAGGAATTAGGATGCTTGGGGGGGGGGGAGAGAAAGTCATTTAAATAGGAGGAAAGATTCCGCTTTAAAAAACCCACAAGACGCACGCACACAAAGGGCTTTTCAGCAGACTTACGGCAAAAAGAACCTTAATTCTTTTTGGAAGTTTTGCTTCCCAGAACTGCAACGAACTATCGTTGCAAGAGTTTTATTGCTTCCATCCTTGTATAAGGAAGATGTTAAAGGGTTTGTGTGTGTTACTGCAGGTGCCCAAGGGGAGGGGAGGGGAGAAACCCCACAACATCCCAAAGGGGGGGGCAGAGAGAGAGCAAATCCAACCCCCAGTTTCTCCCTGGACCAAAATCAGAGGGCAGGACAAATGGTGGTGAAAAGGCAGGGAGCGGTTTACAAAGAATTAAGCATCATTTAGGTCTGCAAAGTAAAAAAAAGGGGGGAGGGAGGGGAAGGGGAGAGAGAGGCAGAAATAAGATTTTGTTTTTAATCCTCTCTCATCCCAGACCAATCTTTAGAGACTAGGAGAGATGGGCTGGTGGGGTGCAGTGGGAGGGAGGGGGAATTTTGCATGAAATGCAACCCAGCAGTGCGGCGAACAACTCCTGCCAAGTCTACACACACACACACACACACACACACACACACCCCGTTCTCTCATATACGAACTCAACATCACACTCCCGGAGCTCTGCTGAAGCAAGGATGGTGTTATTTGCAGCTTGAAGTAAATAAATAGCATTTAAAGGAAAAAGAAGCAGATCCATTCTTTGGCCAACTCCTCCCATTCGAAGGAGGAGGAGAAGGAGGAAGAAGAAGAGGCACCCTAATCTTTGCCGGGGGTTAGCGTGGGAGGAAAGGAAATCTGTGCTCACACAGAAGCATACACAAAACAGTTGCAAGGTGCCATCCGGAGTCTTTGTTGGGTGTTCCCGAATTGCACCAAAGGGGAGACCCCTCTGGAAATTCCTTCCACGCCAAGGAGAGCAAAATTTCCTCCACAAAAGTGTCTCATCCATTCTTTCTTCTTTAACCTGACTCTTCTTTTCACATAGCACGCACCCAAAAAAAACCCCCAAACACTGATATCCATCCTGGTCCTTACTTTTGGGAACTGTTTGCACTTCAAAGGGAGAAGCTCCATTGTCTTACAAGAGCACCTTATGCAGATGAGATTATTTGGGGGGGGGGAGGCATAAGGGGGGGTGCAGCTGTTTCCATTCAAACATTTCTCTCTCTCTCTCTTTCCTCTCCCAGAGAGGGATGGCGCAAACGAACACACACCACTCTTAAGTTAGCTAGCAACCAGCCTGCCCCAAACACTCCCTTTCAAAAAGGGGGGTAGCTAAACCGGGCACCCACTCCCCATTTTCAAAGGAGGGCTCGTTGGGCTGGCCCCTCACCCCAATATTGCTACTTCCCCAGGCGGAAATCTCTCTCCCCTCCCCCAAAAGTGGGTCACAAATACACAGCCCCTCTTCCAAAAGACAACCCAAACTGATGTGCACCACCAAAGACTCTATTGGGGTTATTGTTGTTTGGGGGGGGTGTTCCCCAAACACCAAGCCGTGACCAACAAAAGTGGGTCACAAATACACAGCCCCTCTTCCGAAAGACGCCCCAAACTAATGTGCACCACCAAAGACTCTATTGGGGTTTTTTTTGGGGGGGGGAGGGTGTTTCCCAAACACCTAGCTGTGACCAACAGAACTGACCTCCACCCAAAAAATACCCCTAAAAACACCCCCAGTTCTTCCTCTCGCTGCTTCTTTTTCCAATAGGCAGGGAGGACCCCCAACCAGGGGGGGAAAAAATAAAGAGATTGAAGTCATTTGAGCCCAGGAAGATGAGGACCACCACCCCATTTCAGCAGAGGGCCGAGACCGCTTGCCAAAGTTGCGGGGCGAGCGAGGCGGACCCCAGCCCCATTTGGGGGGAGCCCTGGCCAGGCACCCCTTGCGGTCGGTGGTGGATGGGTGGGGTGGGGTGGGGGGTCTTTCGGGTCTCTACCTTGTTGAAGGCGAAGAGGTCCTGCTTGATCTTCTCCCGCTGGGGGTCGTGGCCCTGGCGGCGGAAGCGAAACTTCATCATCTTGCCCGGGGGGGGCGGCGGCGGGGGGGCTCTTGGCCGAGGGGGGAACAATGCCGCGCGGGCGGCGCTTCCCCCATGCAGCAGAGGCGGCGGCGGCAGCAGCGGCGGCGGCAGCGGCGCCCTCCGCATCCAGCAGGAGCGAGCGCGGCAGATGCGCCCAGGTTGCAACAGCGCAGAGAGGGCTGGTCCGCCGGGGAGGGCGCGAGGGAGGGAGGCAGGCAGGGGAGGGGGCGCCCGAGCGACGCCCGCCGCAGCCAATCAGAGGAGACCCCGCGGGCAGCTCGGCTGGACAATGGGCTTGGAGGGAGAGAGAGATAGAGACCCAGAGGAAAGCAGACGAAGGAAGGCCGGGCGGCTGCTCGCCAGCTGCTCTGAACCCCTCCCGCGCCGCCTCTCTGCGCCTGCGCAGCGGGACCGAAGCCTGCTGGGAAATGTAGTTTTTTTATATTTAAAAAGTTGGGAGGGTTTTTTTTGTGTGTGTATGGTTTGTTTGCAGATCAAGTTGCGTACAGACGCGCCCCAAAATTTATCCAGTGAAAATACGGACGTCCTATTCCATGATGATAATAAAATGATGATAAAAATAAAAATCTGTGCTTCTAGAAAAAGAGGGGTGCCGGGACTCACCATGAGATGGTTACAGTAAATGCCACATTTTAACCGGTGCTTTTCTTCTAGGGAAAAGGTGCAGGTACTGCGTACCCCTGAGTACCCCCAGGGAGCACTGATCAGAATAACACTATTTCTACCCCTCTCATCTGACTGGGTGGCCCCAGCTGCTCTGGGCAGCTTCCAATATATATATATATATATATATATATATATATATATATAAATAAATATAATAAAGTATTAAACATTAAAAAACTTCCCTAAAGAGGGCTGCCTTCAGATGTTTTCTGAAGGATGTATAATTACTTATCTCCTTGACTCAGTGGTCGCATAACTCCATGCCCTCCACCATTTCTGCAGTGAAAATAGGGACATTTTATTCAATAATAATGATAATAATTTTATTATTTATACCCTGCCCATCTTGCTGGGTTGCCCCAACCACTCTAGGCAGCTTCAAAGATATATAAAAACATTAAACATTAAAAAAAACCCTTCCCAATACAGGGCTGTCTTCAAATGTCTTCTGAAGGTTGAATAGTTTCCTATCTCCTTGGCTTGGGGGTTACATAACTCCATACCCTCCAACATTTCTCCAGTGAAAATAGGGGCGTCAGCTCCCGTTGCTCGGTCCCTGCTCCTGCCAACCTAGCAGTTCGAAAGCACATCAAAGTGCAAGTAGATAAATAGGTGCCACTCTGGCGGGAAGGTAAATGGCGTTTCTGTGCGCTGCTCTGGTTCGCCAGAAGCGGCTTAGTCATGCTGGCCACATGACCCGGAAGCTGTACACCGGCTTCCTCGGCCAATAAAGCGAGATGAGCGCCGCAACCCCAGAGTCGGTCCCGACTGGACCTAATGGCCAGGGGTCCCTTTACCTTTACCTTAAGGGAAAGCGGGTCATTCCAGCACCAAATCAGAAACCGGGATGGCTTCTGCAAATCCGGGACTGTCCCTGGAAAATAGGTTCTACTATTAATACTAAAACAACTACATCCACACCATAAATTCAAAGCACAATTATGCCACTTGAAACAGCCATGGCTTCCTCCAGAACCATATTTTGTTACGGGTTCTGGGAATTGCAAACGAAACTGCTCCAGTGGCCAGGTTAGCTCTGAGGGCCGCCAGTTGCCCACCTCTTTGCAATGGGCTTATTGCCTTGTCTCCTCTGCCGAAGGCTCACTTTTATTCAGCAACAAATATTGTGGCATCTGCATGCTGAACCCGTGACAAAGTGTTCTCCAGGCAGTCTGCAATAAAGTCCGTCTGAAATAGCTTCCGCTGGAAGTTTGGGCCTTCAGGATGTAGCAGCCAATCCGGCACTTTGGCAGTGAGCAATGGTTGAATCAGGTTCTTCGTGTCTGCCGCGTAATCCTGCATTGCTTTCATAAACAAGATTCGTCAGATAAAGCCAGCTGGGAGTCAAAGGAGCAGGTTCCAGGTCTCTGGAGTGTGGGGTTGTTTTGCTCCTGGGCAGGGCAGAGGAAGGGCTGTGGCTCAGCGTCAAAACACGTGCTTCCGTATACGGGAGGTTCCAGCTTCAAGTCCTGCCATCTCCAGCCCCGCCTGCGAGAGCCTCTGTCTAAAACAGGGGTCGGCAAACTAAGGCCTGGGGGCCAGATGCGGCCCCCCAGGCTCGTAAATCTGGCCCGCGGACCCTGCCGCCCGCTCGGTCAGTCCCCGCAGGGTGCACACCGCCTGGGAGCTCTGCGTGGATGGGCCAATGGAGCAGCTGCTGCTCATCAACAACGCCAGAGAGCGAGCGGCGCCAAGACACACTCCTGAGCGCGTGCAGAGTGCGTTCCTCCTCCAGGACCACAGCCAGCTGCAGAACCGGCTTGCAGGGTACAGTGGTACCTCAGGTTAAGAACTTAATTCGTTCTGGAGGTCCATTCTTAACCTGAAACTGTTCTTAACCTGAAGCACCACTTTAGCTAATGGGGCCTCCTCCTGCTGCCACGCCACCACTGCACTATTTCTGTTCTCATCGTGAAGCAAAGTTCTTAACCCGAGGTAATATTTCTGGGTTAGCGGAGTCTGTAACTTGAAGTGTATGTAACCTGAAGCATATGTAACCCGAGGTATCACTGTATTTATGTTTTTCAGAATATAGTCCAACCCCCCACAAGGTCTGAGGGACAGTGGACCGACCCCCTGATGAAAAAGTTTGCTGGTCTAAAACCTTGCAGAGACGCAGTTGGTCAGTATATACCAAGGGTGGAGAGTCCAGATATGGCCCTAGGGTCCTCTCTACCTGGCCCCCGGAAGGCTCTCCAAGCCAGCCTGTTCCCCTCCCCTCCTTGAGTGCTTTGGGCTGTCCGCACACTATGCATTTAAAGCACATATGTTCCCTCAAAGGATTCTGGACACTGTAGTTTGTGAAAGGTTTCTATGAACTGGAATTCTGAGACTCAAAATTATTTGGCAGAAAGGATGTGCTTTGGATGCATTTTAAAGGTTCAGCATGTGCACAGGAATGGAATGCGCCTTTGAAATCGAATGATGCCTCTTGCCTGGCTAGGTGTGGGCACCTGTAGAAATCCCTGGCTTTCATGTGGCTTGAATCTTGCCTATTGTACAAAGATGAGCGTCGCAACTCCGGCCCAGCCCCATTTCGCCTCTGGTGCACACAATATGGAGCCAATAGTCTGGATCTGCATAGGGCAGGGTTCCCCCCGCCCCCCCCCAAAAAAGGACAGTCATTCTTGCCTTTGAGCCAATCCCATTGAATACAGTCAGACTGATTTCCAAGTAAACATGCGACATGTTTGCACAATCCTTTGCTCTTGGACAAAATACGCAGGAGTTTGTCTTTTAAAAGCCTGGTTCAGGGGTTAAACAAGACTGGCACCTTAAAACAGGACATATCTTAGGGGAAATCCCGCCACAGGGCGCCAAGAAGTCCCCTGAGTTAAATGGGGCTTGTTTCCAAATAAGTGTGCAAATGGTTACAAGCCTTTTGCTTGGGGTAGGATGATCCTGTCTTATTTATTGCATCTATATTCCAGCTTTTCCTGCAAGGAGCTTCAGATGGCAAACATGGTTCTCTCTCTTCCTCTTCCCCCACAACAACCCTGTGAGGTAGGTTAGGCTGAGAGGCTGGAGCCCAGTGAGCTCCATGGCCGAGTGGAGATTTGAACCCTGGTCTCCCAAGTCCTAGTCAGGCACTTTCACCATTACACCACAGAAGACTGTCCTTTGTTTGATGGGCTGGGTGGTCCAAGTCTGAAAGATAAAGATGGGGCTTGACGTTGCTCATCAACACAGACTCAGAAAGCACACAGCTTCACCGCTTTGCTGAGATATACAGTATCATTCGATTTCAGGTAGGCAACCACAGCTGCACAGAGACAGGCGCAGCCCTGCTCCAGCACTGCAAAGCTGGAGACAGTGCATACATAACCTGTTGAACTTCTGCCTGCTACAGGCCACCAGGGTAGGGGAAGGAGCCTTACCAGGAAAACAAATCTTGGCAGCCGTTTGTAGCACTTAGCTGATTTAGCTGGCAAGCCAGATCTCCTTGAAAGCAAGGCGACTCTTTGAATGTGTACATTTAAAGGATCAGGGCCGCAGGTGGGGAACTGGTTCAGGCAGGGAGACTCCTTGGATTAATTGCCAAAATGCCTTGGCACCGGCTGCCGTTTTGCAAAATCCGTAGGCGTTTTGTTTATTTACCACGCGGCCTGCCTCTGCAAACTCTGATCCCTGTTCCTGACGCTGATCACAGGTTTGCCGCTTTGCCAAAACCTCTGCAACTGGTAGGGGAAAGCTTCTTCTTGTGTCCCTTTTCAGCTTTTCCAGGCTCCGAACCTCCTGAGCGATCAGAAATGGGCAAACTAGATGCAACAGGCACTGCCATCTTTCCAACCAGCCAACAGCAGCTTGGCTGCAGGAGAGCAGGAGGTGATCGCATCCATCTCCGTGCTGTGGAAAAGATTCCCCTTGTTGATTTTCAGCAAATCAAGAGCATGCCAGGCCACTTTTCCTGGTTAGGTGACATCCACAGAAACAACAGCTTGCTTTCAGTAATGCCACCTGAATGGCTCATGTACCTTTAACTGGAGGTGAAGCTCCCACTTAGGGTTATCTTCACACCTGGAAAAGCTTCACCTGTTTAATTTATGTGATTAAAGGCAGAACAGCTGAGCCCTTAGCTTCTCACACAAACCTACAGTTCCCAGGATTCTCTGGAGAGGAAAAGGAACGGCTACAAAACCAATTATTGGGGGGACGGGACACTGGTGTGACTTCTATCTCTTGCATTCTAGACATCTCCACCTGCTAAGCGTCTATGGCCAGCCTGCTATTAAAGGCACAGAAGCAGGGCTGGTTGGAAGAAGTTGGCAACCTTTCAGGGACAGAATGCATTTGTTCCCCGTTCTCCATTTTTTGGTAAACACAAACTTCTGGGGTTTTTTTTGCTTTTGGGAGATGCTCATTTCTCTGTGCAGATGTGAGCTGGTCACAGAGCAAGCCGAACCCGGTTTACTCAGAGACAGGTCTTCCTTGCTGAACCCAGTGAGATTTACTGCTAAGTTAAGTGTGCAAAGGCAGATCTCGGGGAGCGTGGCCGGTTTGGTCGCACTGGGAGCCACAACTATGAAGTCCAACGGAATACAAGAGGCAGGGGGCCAGGGACCAGATTTTGGCATTGCACATGGCCCTGCTGGAATTTGAGGTGCCAAGCTCTGCCACTGGTTTCGGACCTCAGCCTTCAGGGTCCAGCTCCCAGCTTTGACCCTCCTGTTCTACACACAGGCAGCAGGAAAAGATGCTGTTCAG